AACTATTGATGGAGAGTTGGTGCCCGGTGACACCATGGATCGATCTTGTTTTTATGGGTTTTGTGGGTATTTGGTACTTACTAATGAAAGAATCTGAGACTATGGACAAACCAGCACCGGTATCAGCTAGTATCCGAGCAGGATGGTCTTGAACCATTCCAGAGAGCTCCAGTACTGCTTTGCCTCCACTGGTAGAGAAACATACTTGACAATCTTGATATATACAGAGTGATGGCGAGGAGGTTTGTAGAGCAATGCATGCCATCAGTGCATCACCCCACTGACGTTTCCCTCGTCGTCATCATCATCGTGCTCCTCCTCGTGATCGGGGTCCATGGGTTGCTGGTATGAGCTGAGGTCCATGGCCTCGGGGTCACCCGTCTCAGTGCTGCCTGTGGGGCCATCTCCTGAGTCGGTGGCCTCCTCGAAGGGGTCTGCTGTGGTGACCATAACCTTTGGTCCCATGGGTCGAGAGCTAAGAGGGTTTACCCTCCTGCTGGGGCAGTCTCTGGCCCAATGGCCGATACCCTTGCATACATGACAGGTGTTGATACCTGATGGAGCAGGGCTTCCTTGCTTCGAGGGTTGGGTGGGATGATGAGGAAGGGGTCGGTTTAGGTTTTGTATAGTTGCTTGTGTAGTTGCTTGTGATGGTGATCGAGCTGGATAAGGTTGAGTGGGTTGTCTGATGGGGATCGAACTTTGATTTGGCCGAGACCCAGTTCTTAGTGGAGGTGACATGGCATTTGGGAGTGAGTGTCTAGCCGAGGACTGCTGTAGTAGCATCCTCTGTCGATCGATCTCCTCAACCTCTCGATACCACTCCCATCTCTTCCCAGGTGGATTCCTCTCAAACTTCTCCTGTATGCTGCGAGTGAGACTTCCTCTGAAGAGATCAATCACTAGCTCGTTGTCATCTAGGTTGACCTGTCCCTCCAAGTCTCTGAACCGCTCTACATGACGTGTGGCGGCACCAGGAGCATCACTTGTGAGTCTGAGAGCCAACAGCTTGTTGTATGCCTCCATCCTAGCATTGCGTGGGTTGAACTGCTCTGACAGTCGCTCTGTGAAGTAGTGCCAATCATTGAACAACCTTCCTTCTCTAGCTCTATCAATGCGGAGCTTGGAGGTCCACCACTCTCTTGCCGTCCCTTCCAGTTGAGCACCCATGTGATTGATCATCCTAGACTGCTCATACACCTGGTTGAACTTAAACCATGCTTCGGCTTCTAGAATGAAGATCTCCATGTCTCGGGGATTGAACTTTGGAAAGGGGGTGGCAATGGGCTTTGACCGGTTAAGCTCTGCCATGATGCTGGTATCCTCCTCGTGGTCCAGGGGGTAAGGATCCATCCTAGTCCTGCTGTAGGGGTCCAGCTTAGTCTTGACATATCTTGGCCCAGTAGGTGAAGCATACTTCTCATAGTTGATGTCCTCCTGCTCATCCAGGTTGAATGAGACTGATCGTCTTGGTCGTGGAGCCGGAGTAGGAGTATGTGGGTCTCCTATCATAGACTCATCTCCTCCTCCTGCTTGGTCTTCCGAGTGAGAGAGGTCCATTGTCTCCTCCCTACCCAGCTGAGCTCGTTGTAGTCGTTCCTCTCGATGACCCTGCCTAGTAAGCTCTAGCTGAGCTTCCAATAGAGTGAGTAGTCTATCGAGCTTATTGTTGAGGTCTGGGTCCGTCATGGTGATTGTGAGGAGCTGCTTGAACGATCCACTCTAATGTCAGGGGTCTCGCGCCTGAAACCCAGGTCGGTCTGTCGAGATACTCGGTGACTATCAAACTGTGCGACAGCTATTGTCTCGAGATACTCGGTGACTATCAAGTTGTGCAGTGACAGCAGGTGGCGTTTGTTGTATATACTATCGTAGGTTTCGGCTGACCTCTGTGGACACTCCGTTCAGGGGTAGCTCGGCACGATCAATATCAATGTTATGATGACACCAAGGTCTGGTGTGAGTGTTGATGATGATGAGGTTGATGGTGTTAGTGATGAGATTGGTGATGTCGGTGATAATGAGGTTGATGGTGTTGGTGATAAGGTTGGTGGCGTCAACACGAGTGTCCAGTGTGTTGACTTGATGCTTGAAGTGATCCCCGGACCGCAGTGGACTACTGCCTTCGGTTCTATCTATATCCGGACCGCTAACCTGCTATGGGCGCCTTCGGACGTCAGGTAGTGGTGATACAACACACACACTACGATGAGGAGCAACCTTGATAGATTGCTGCTATGCTGACTGTAACTAATGAGTACTTGTGTTTCTAAAGTATTGACTAGTTGTATGGTGAGTAGAGTGGATGGGGATCCACTCGACCTATGATGATGAGAAAGCATGGTTATATACCTCTTCACAGCATTGCCAGCGATGCTGCTCCTGCTCTCTCTCCAGAGAGTACCTTCTTCATCGAGTACTGCTCAGGGGCCTCTCCTGCTTGGCACCCCTGTGCCTCTTGTCGACACTGCTCCTCCTCCTCATGACCTGGTGTCGACTCCTTCGACACTGCTCCTCCTCCTTTGATCAGTGACAGTTCCTTTGGCTCTTGTCTCTCGAGCCCCTGAGTGGTAACCATCTGCATGCTCCTTGAGCTTGGTCCTCTTCGTGGCTGTGCCTGCTCCTTGAGCTTGGTCCTCCTCGTGGCTGTGCCTGCTCCTTGAGCTTGGTCCTCCTCGTGGCTGTGCTTGGCCCTCCTTTGCATGTGAGTCCATAGGAGTCCATGGTCTCCATGGAGACTGCACTACGACCATGCTCTCTACTGGTGTCGACTAGGTCTTCGATACCTGTGCTCCTTCCATATGAACCCATGACCCTCCTGCTTCTTGAGCATCCAGGCCCATGACAACTACTAGTTATAGCTTTACACATAAGTATACATTAGTATTCAGTCAGCATGTTGCAATCTCAACAAGATTGCATCCATCATAGTGCATGTGTTGTATCACCACTCACTGATGTCTGAAGGCAGTTCATAGAAACCTGCAGTCCAGATAATGATAGAACCAAAGGCAGTCATCCACTGTGGTCTGGGGATCACCTCAAGCATTCAGTCAACACACTGGACACTTGTGTCAGTGCTACCAGTCATCTCACTCACACCAGACCTTTGGTGTCAGGCAATACATTCAAGTTATTGATCATGCTGAGCTACCTCTGGATGGAGTGTCCACAGCAGTTAGTTGAAACCTGCAATAGCAAAGCCATTACTGCATCTTTGAGCAAGAAAAGTGATAGTGATGTCTCTACTACATATCTTGCCAAGAATCATAATACCACAAGCATTGTCACATATCTCAACAGAATTCATAATAGATGCAGTTCTATTACAGATATCAGGTTTTGGGTGCATGACCCCTGACACGACGCTCTTCCACCGCCACCTCCTTCGAGGGCTAGGCCTCGGAGATCACCAACCCGTCATCCTCGCCAATAATACTGGATGCATACAAGTGGCAAAGGACCCCGCCATGCATTCAAAGCTCAAACACATTGACACTAAATATCACCTCCTTTGCAATCATATACAAGAAGGCAACATATCTATGTGATATGTCAATACCAACTACAACATTGCTGACTTTCTCACCAAACCAGTCTCCCAACACCTCCTAAGCCAAACCTGACTCTGTCTAGGATTAACCAAGATTGAACTGCTCATTTGCTCAGTTGTCGAGGGGGACAGTGAAAGCATGTGATCCTTTGCTCCAGGAATGCTGTTTTCTCCAAGCATGTGGCTCTAGCTCCGACTCCACACAAACAACAACTTTGCTCACCTGGATATACACATGCCACCTGGGCTGACCACTGGACTTTAGACTCTTGGCCTTTAGACACCATGATAACCATCAGGACTCAGAGCACCATGCAGTAGATAGCTGACACCTATCCCTGTAATCTCCATGTTGAGCACCATCCTCATCACTCCTGCATAAAGTACACAAATACACAGGACATCAAGACACATATATACACCCTAGCATTGTCATGTACTTAGAATGATCATCATTGCAATTGATACTTGTGATCAACGATATTTGACATGCGAACTTTAACAAAAACATACGCCTTCCATCCTTGACGACCCTGCAATCTCATCTTTCCAACGCAATCTCGGCCCGATTTGTAATTTTTGTGATTTTGGGTGCGTGCGTGCGTGCAGAGAGTGTGTGTGTGAGTGTGTGAGTGTGTGTGAGTGTGTGTGAGTGTGTGTGAGTGTGTGTGAAGCGGAAATCAGCTTGCTGTTGCTGCCTCTCTGCTGTTGCGACCCTTTTTTCTTTTTTTTTTCTTTTTTTTTTTTTTTTTTTTTCTTTTCTTTTCTCCAAAAACACACGCTGTTCTCGGCTTGACTTGCCCACCCGCCGCTAGCCCGACTCGCTCTCCTCTCCATCATCGATAGGGTGGTGTTGCCACATCCTTTTCATCACGCTTCAGTCCATTCAGCTCTTCATCACGCTTCGCTCCATTCAGCTCTTCATCACACAGTCTCTCTTCGAGGTTAGGCTGGAGACAACACCTCTACGTGTGCTGCAAAGGGCGCGGGCACATTGTTGATCGACGTCGTTTCCCTTTGCCGACTCGACTGTCCCCCCCTGGATTTGCTTCAGCGTCCTAGTCTGTCCTCCACCTCGGAGTTCAGCTCGCACAGTGCCGTTGCCAGCTGCTCCTGATCGCCCGCAGAGCCTCTACAAGATATACATTCTGCACTTTCGTCCATCGCTCTCTGATCTTTGCGGATCAGTTCGCCTTGAACGCACCGACTATCTCTCTGCACCAGATTCGAAGCTTGCTGAGCACAGGCGAGGCAACACCACTCCGATCTGCCCATGTTCCAGTAACCGTTCCCGGCATCGTCGCAACTCGTCGCCCGAACCGCCACACGTGGATCATTCTCGCGCACATACAGCATCGCACAGGCCGCCCACCACATCCCACCGGTCCAAGCTTGGCACGTCCACACAGCTACTCTCCATCTAGTCTAGCAACTCAACTTTTCCAGCATGACCGCAGCCCCAGTGCGAATCACAGATGACGAGCTAGCTCGCGAGGTCGAAGCGCTCAAGTCACATCGCAGGCTTTCTGTCAACAGACCTGTCCTCGATCCAGACCTTCCTGACCTTGCAGCGGCCTACGGAGGTGGACAAGAGCTTCTCTCTGTGCCCTCGCCTGAACGCGAACGACGCGGCTACAGTCTGGTAGATGATGGTGCAGTACCAACACGCAGTCCCTCCTCCTCCTCGTCTACTTCACCCATATCTCCCGGCAAAAGCTTCAGCAAAGAACGTGCTCCCTTCACCGCACGACGCCGCGGTCAAGGCTCTGATCAGTCTTCCGGCTCAGAAGGTCTCACTGCATCTCCGACTCGACTCTCGCCCGTCTCGGGGTCTCCGACCAACGATGCATTCGACTCGAGAGGCTTGCTGACCTCGCCTACCAGCATGAGTTCCTCCAGCTCGCATTCACAGTCGCAATCGCCAAAGGATCCCAGTCATCTATTCTGGGTACCCGCATCAGTGCATCCCGAGATCTCGCCCACCGACTTTCGCAACTTTATCAAGGAGCATGCCGCTCGCGCTGTCAACCAGCATACTGGCCAAGATGAGCATCTGACGAATGACACTCTGCCTCCGCTAGCTGTCGGCGATTCGCCCATCGCACAGCGACTCAACTCGGTCCGACAACAGCAGCAAGAGCGTCAAAGTCAGCAGTCAGGTGATACCCGCGGTACCCTCATTGGTCGCGCTACTTCGCTCTCACGACGTGGTAGTACGCTCCGACGACAGTACCGACCAGAGAATGATATAGACGATGGCGAGGAAGATAAAACGCCACGGCCTTTGCAGCGCAATCGAAGCGGCTTGATTCGAGGCACCTATGGTCTGGCTATTCCCAACTTGACCATTGATGATCTGCAACGCTTGGAAGCAGCCGCGGAGGAAGCTAGTCAAACGCAGGACCCTGCAATGTTGCGCAGCGTGCTCCGACGAACGCTCAGTCTCAACACCACGCCGGATATGGATACGATGGATGCTGTGCCTTCGGAGCCGATCGAGGATCCCGATGCGCCTATCATTGTTCCCAAGCCGGGCCAGATCTTACGGAGAGCAGCACGCACCAAGATGCGCAAAGCGTCTGGAGATGCATCGAGGGCAAGTCTTGCTTCTCGAAGACGTCCGCCTCGCAGCTCGACAGATGCAGATGCAGTTGCGGTCTCAGAGGGCAGTCGAGCTTGGGAATTGCAAAAGAGCGATGCTGAGGATATGGAGAGGCGGCATAGTGGCCAGTCCGAGCTGTCGTCAGGTGCAGATGACGATTCGTCTGCTGGTGATAGCTCTTCAAGGCCCGTTTCGACCGAAGCGATGGATTCGATTGTTGATGCTTACTCGAGAGACTCGTATCAGTCGGATGCTTCGCAGCGGACGAGTGTTACTTCAGTTGTTGATGCTAAGACGTATGACGGCAATGTGTCAGGTGGATCGGGAGGCAGAGTGGAGGTAGAGAGTCCTTCGCTGCCTCACACGCCAACGCAGGATTCGTTTACGACGCTAGCGGCGCCTTTGCCTGCTATTGACGGAGCGGACTGCAAGACTGGACCGATTCAGCCTCCTCTGCAGTCGACAGAGTCGCCAGAGACACCGAGGCCGGATAGCAAGGTCAACAACAACCAGATCAAGCCGATTGCTGTATCGCACCTCCCACCTACGCCAGCGTTTGAGAAGACGAGGCCTCAGCAACAGCAGCAGCAGAAGGTCTCAACTCGGCCAACATCAGCCAGCAGTCAAGGCTCGTACACCGCAGAGCCGGCGCCACTTCCTGTTGCTCAGTCGCAGCAAGCGCCGCGTCGTGATGCACAGCCCGTGCCATCGGCTAAGTCGCAAGTCGCGCCTATGGTCGCTGGCCCTCCTCAACAGCAGCAGCACCAGCCACCGCGACCACCTCTCCAGCAACAACAGCTACAGCAACAACAGCTACAGCAGCAGCAGCAGCAGCCTGTGCAACCACCATCAACACCACCTGCCACGAGTCACGCCCACGCTCACACCAAGCACAAAGAAAAGGAACGCAAAGGTGCATTTGGTCTCTCCTGGTTCGGTCTTGGCAAGGATGACGAGGAGGAACGAGCAAAGCTCGAAGAAAAGTCTCAACGCAAACGTGAGAAGCACGAGAAGCGTGAACGCAAAGAACGTGAACGTGAAGAGCGAGAGAAGGAGGAACAGCACAGCTCTTCCAGCTTCCTCGGTGCTCTCTTTGGCAAGAAGAAGGGTCACGATGAGTCTCATCACCAACAATCTCTCGCCGGACCACGACCTGCCATGAACGGACAGTTGACTGCCGGAAGTCTGTTGGAGAGAAACGAGATGTGTGGCAAAGGTGGATACTTTTATTCGAGGTACCCTATTCATATTGAACGCGCTGTTTATCGATTGAGTCATATCAAGTTGGCTAATCCGAGAAGGCCGTTGTATGAGCAGGTGTTGATTAGTAATTTGATGTTCTGGTATCTTAGTGTTATTAATAGAGGTGGTCAGCAGTATGGGCAGCAGCAGCAGACGGCAGGGCAGGTGGTGCAGGGTCAGGGAGCGGAACAGAACGGAGTGGAGGCAGGGCAAGGTGCGAATGGGTACGTAGGGCAGGTTGATACATCTAGTGCCTATGATGGAATGGACACTTTGAGTAATGGCAGTCCAGAGTCAGAGGATGGCTCTTCTTCTTCCGATCAGTACAGCAGCGCCAGTGCAGGTGGTGGCGGCGGGAATGGTGCCGCTTTGAGACAGAAACGAAATGGGTTGGTCAAGCCGAACCGTGCTCCCGGTGGCGCAAATCGTGGTCGAACAGCAGAGACGCCCATGAAACAGCCAGGGTATGGTATGCAACATCGACAGATTGATGATGATCTCAAGATGCATGGCGGTGCGGGGTCGACTGGCTTTGTTGTGGGTCAAGTGGTGGATGTGAAGGCTTTGCAGGCGAATACGCCGTACATGTTGGTACCGGATCCGAGGGCGGCTAATGATGATGGAAACATGTCTACTACGACGGATTATTTGGGGTTGGGGAATCAGTTTGGGTTGTCTGAGCCGCTGTGGCCTTCTTCTGGTGCGGAAGGGGGAGAGCAAGGTGGAGAGCAGCGAAGGAGTACTTCAGGGCAGCAGAACGCAATCTCGACGGTGGCGGGGGAGCAAAAACGAAGCTCAAGCCCAAATCGACCCTACCGATCGGAAGCAGAAAAGGAACGGGCTTGGTTGAAAATGCTCAATAGCTCCTCGAATACTGCTAGTAGCAATCGTACTTCATCTCCTGACCATGGATATGGATCCATCTCTCAAGACGAACCACTCAGAGCAGACGGGGAGAGGGAGAAAATGGAATCTCACCCTCAAGGCAGAAGTATGTCTCTTGGAGGCATTGGAGCTATGAACCGTACCGGAGATTGGGGGTCCTCTAACCCCACCACTGACCCCAACGCCAGCAACAGCAATACTAGTGGAGGGAGGGGGGATCGAAACCGGAAAATGTCAATGGGAAACATGGCCCCTTCCGCGTCAAGTCAAGGATTGGTCAATTCGACTAGTTCAGGTTCCTTCGGAAGTGTGGAAGGAGGAATGACGAGCTCTGTTAGCGCTGGGGCCTTAGATGGGAAAACGGGCGGGGTAGGGGAAGGGCAGATTCATCTGCCAATTGCACCGGGAAGTAGTGCTATGCTGGATGCTGCGAGATTGAGTCAGTCTCGCCGACGATAGCACTTTTGTAGAACTGGGATCAACTTGGATTGGTAGATTCTGTCTTGATGAAGCGGAATGAGACACACGAAATGGAAAGGTAAAGAACAACTTGTGTGAGCGTGGTGTTTGGAAGGCTGAGAGATGCTGGTGAGATGATCCCACAAGTCGAGCAGGATGAGGGATATCGTATGAATGACTTTGTAGAGGATAAGTTAGCTTTGTGAGGTCACTGGTGGATTCTTCGACCTTGTACTCGTTTGAGCTCCAATGGAAGGTGGGGCTAGGGATGAGCTCGTGATGCAACACCCGATGGACCTCAATCACATCTTCAATCTTTGGCTTCAGCAGGTTGCTGTCTGTTTTTGCACTAGTAAGATCTGAATGCCACAAAAGTCTCGCACTCAACAGCGCCGTCAGAGAGACAAAAGCTCAGTCGACGGGTCGAAGCGGCGGGATCCTCCTTCTGGCAATGCCATGCTCAGTTTTGCATGCCGATGTCCTGTGGCGAATGTGAAAGGTGTTAAAATCTCGTGCGAAAAAGAAGAAAAAAAAAAGAAAAAAAAACCTAATTTGTGGGCAAAAATCGCGCAAAACCCTCGAACGGTGGAAAGAGCCAGAAAAGGCACGGAAGGGTTCAAGTGCACACGACATCAAAAGTGCGCGATTTTTGCCCCGCCTCACCCCAAATTTCTGCGCCACTTTCAACACTCCCCTTTCAACTCTCGGCTGCTCAGCCACCTGACAACAAATCGCCCCGTGCGCAGTCGCGCAACTCTCCACATGAGACCCCTCTTCCGCGTGTATATAACTCGCCCTTTCTCTCTCGCTTCTCTCCGTCAATGACACCAGCCAATACCTCTCTATTCAACACATCCTCTCACTACTCCTCTCACTACTCCTCTCACTACTCCTCTAACACTTCACTCAATCTACTCAACTCGTCAAGATGGCTTGCTCGTGTCAACAATCCTCCTCAAACACCTCTGGCCAGTGCACTTGCGCTCCAGGCACCTGCAAGTGTACCGGATGCACCGAGGCCTGCGCTTGCCGAAACAACAACACTACTGAGACCAAGAAGAACTGCAAGTGCGAAGCCGAAGGTGAAAAGTGTACCTGTAGCAAGGATTGCAAGGCTTGCGATTGCTGCTAAGCTCGCCCGACCTTGAAACCATACCCAGCCTGCCTTACTTTCACGGAAGGCAGAGTGAAATCACAACAGGCTACTTTCTCCTCGTTCGATGTTGATTACTGCGCTACTTGAATAGTACAGATAGGCTAAGCAAACCTCTTGCTCAACGATCGATCGATGCGGTTTTTCGACCTATTATCGTCTGGTTGTTTCTTGATGTAGTTTCGTATCGGCTCAGATGAGCAATAATAAAGCAATACCAAAGTCTCAGTCTTTCACTCTTCAAAATAGCTAAAGGCATCTCTATGTGTGCCTTGGCTCGTGATTGCCATCAAATTGTCTGTGAATAGTAGAAGATGGACAGAAAGATGCCTTTGGTCGGAACGAAGAACGATGCTCGGTTTCGATCGAGCGATTTAGAGGACCTGTTCGAAGATCATGTTGAGACCAAAGTGCAAGGTTAGAGTTAGAACAACTTCACTACTGGAGAGTCTGACTAGTACGCGCGGTTCTTCGTACACTTTCCGCTCATGGAGTGGGGATAGTGCCAAACTTCTCCTTCCAACTAAAGAGGGAGGGTGGGGGGCAAAACAGTTCAGATTGCAAATTACCTAGTGTTCGTAAGGACACACTTTTATATCGCTGATCAATCAATTCAAGCTCTCCCTAAAGAGGCTTCGATCTGCAAGTTGGCGATGCTGGTTTGTTTTCATCCTTCTCTTTTTGCCCCCCTCCCTCTCTGTCGTTCTTTCGCGGTGCGAATCGGAGGAGGTGGTGAGACTCACTGTTGAGACTTGTTCGCTGTGCAAACCTTTTTACATCCAGGGCTTGACAGAGATACTATGTTCGGGACTGAGGAGGTGCTGGGGATGGTTTTGTTCGCTGAATAGTTACCGATAGCTCAGCAAAGAATGGGTATTGGGAGGAGGGAAGGAGCCTGATCGACGATGGATATAGTCGGGGGTGGTCTTGCCTATGTTAGGCTAGCAGTGAAAAGGCATTGGAGGGCTTATTGGCAGCTTCGAGCAGTGTGAAGGACATCGGCTTCGAGTTTACGCCCTACTTGGAACTGAATCGGCAATCGCACCGCTCACGACCGAGATCAGCGAACAACCGCCACCAATGCGCCTCCCGAACAGCCTAGAGCTCCATCTTGGGCAGACAAGGAGGTCCGCCCTGCCGGCTATACCATGGAACAGCGGCGTTTTCTGCGATCCCGAACGTCAAGATCAATTCGGCTGTCGTACTCTTATTGAAGATCTTGGTCGGCAGCCTTTTTGCCGTTCGATCGATGCAGAGCTCTCTGATTGCTTTAGTACCGTCGCACGTGATGGAGAGATGGAGTGTCGGATTAGTCGGTGCGGCGTCTTCCTACGCGCGAGGCTGGAGATTGAGCAAGCTTGCTATGAAAGGTCGGATCGGGGATCGGGGATCGGGGCTTTCCGCTCGCCATTGTTACACCGGACACTTTCGGGCAGCTACAATGAGCTGCCGAGTAGCGGTAAACAAAGGGTATGCGACCGCGCTGTCCGATGGGAATCCGTGAATCTTGAACGCGGACAGAGCTTTGTGTGTGTGTCACCATTGTCGCCGAGGGTAACACGACAGCGACCGCGTGATGAACTGCAGGGTGCATATCAGAAGCTTCTTTGCGGCAATGTTGTGTTTGATCGACAACGCAGCACCGCCAGCCGCAGCGAGAGACTTCTGTGCCAGTGTCGCACAGACCGTTAGTATGGCAGAGGAGGAGCAGTAAAGGCTGCGAGAAAGCCGAAAGAAGGGCATGAACAAGCAATCCCGCGGCTCCGAACGGTCACATGTACTTTGAATGCGCCTTGCTTTGCTGGCAGCAGCGCTATAAGGTGTATGAGCGAGCGTTTTCAAATTCCGCAACCGGTCCGCCGCCCAGTGATCAAACACTCGAAGCTCTGTTCTTGTTCCAAACCACGCGGCTCCTAGAAATGTAAGCAACCAACACCAATGTGTTCTTGTGTGTTCTTGTGTGTTCTTGTGTGTTCTTGTGTGTTCTTGTGTGTTTGTGTGTATGTGTGCGATGACGACGGACGGGAGGACGAGAGAGTTCTAATAGGAGGATCAAGAAAAAGAGTCTAAAGTTTGTATTTGTTCGGCATGGTCTTGCCGACGGTTCGGCCCCGTTTTGAATTCAAACTGTCTGATGTATTCATGCAAGCCAAGTGAGGAAGAAAGGAATGCCGAAGCTGGCAGGCTCGCTTGTCTTTGCTAGACATGCCGTGTTGTTCTGGTGCAGCATGTGTGTACTAGCCTTGCAACGCCGCAGGTGCAGCTTCGGTAGAACGGTTCGACATTGTGCACCGCCGGCATGTAACCTCTCTTGGTCTTGGCTGGGATGCAAGTGCACGCATATGCCTCGGAAGTCCTTCTTTAGTGTCGCCGTGTCTCGCCGCTTGGATCGCCCACATCCCTACATCCAGCTCCGCCGCCGCCGGTTGTTGTGCTTTCCAAACCGTGGGCTTCTGCTTTGGGATGATCCCTGAAGTGCCTGTGCTCTCACTGATGATGAGGTCGCCCGTGCTGACCATGTGCTGACTGGGCCGTAGGAGGAAAGAATCTTTTCATGCCATACGGCCGTCGCTTGGTTCGCTTGCCCTCATGCCTCAGCTGATACAGCTTGTTCCCTACATTTGCTGTCCAAGGCACTGATACAGAGTGACCCCTGAGATTAGAGCAATCATATTAATCCATCCATATTAATCCATCCATATTCATCCATCCTCATTAATCCATCCTCATCTCCGACCTTGACTCTTACTCCTCTCAATTTCTCATCCGACCACCTCCTTCACTCTCATCTTCGCCTGTCGTCGTCGATCTTTCTTCCCGCCATAAATATAGTAAGGTATCCCTGCTTAAGCATCACCAAGTCTCTTCGTAGTCTTGTCACTCTCCTGGCTCGCTGTAATTCAACATGAAGCTCTCCTCTACAGCCCTTGTGGCAGCGATCTCACTCGCCAGCACCGTCACCGCCAACATTGGTCGCGGTGTTCCCGACCCCAACCACATCCAGAACCTCTACCGCCGTGCTCGTGACAGCGGCGAATACAACAAGCTCATCAACAAGCGTGCCTCCCCCGCTCAAGCCGCCCTTCGCCCTCGTGCCACCACTGAGCCCGAACAGGCTAAAATCCTCGACCCTCAACAAGAATGCACAGCTTACAACCTTCCCGAAGTTGCTGCTCTTGCCAAAAACTTCCCTGTCCCTTGGGAAAACGCCACCATCCTTCCTGGCGACACCGAAGCCCAAACCGTATGGTCCAACATCAAAGCCTCCGGTATCATCCCCGCCGGCATCACACCCAAGGGTAAAGTCAATGGAGACTTCTCCGCCTTCACCCCCACCTATCCTCGCTCCGACCCTGACTGCTGGTGGAGCTTCAACGGTTGCGATGACCCTAAACACCCCAACCTTTCTGAGGATCTAATTCAGTGCCCGGAACCCAACACTTGGGGTCTCACATTCGATGATGGACCCAACTGCACCCACAATGCCTTTTACGATTTCTTGCAGAAGAACAACCAAAAAGCAACCATGTTTTACATCGGTTCCAACGTTCTCGACTGGCCTCTTGAAGCTCAGAGGGGTATTGTCGACGGACATCATATTTGCGTACACACTTGGAGTCATCAGTACATGACTGCTTTCCCTGACGATCAGGTCTTTGCTGAATTGTACTACACTGCTAAAGCGATCAAGGATGTTGTTGGTGTCACCCCTACTTGCTGGCGTCCTCCATTCGGTGATGTCGATGACCGAGTCCGTGCTATCGCCAAGGGTTTGGGTCTCGAAACTGTCCTCTGGACCGACGACACGGACGATTGGAAGATCCTCCCTCTCGGTACCCTACCCACCCCATCCATCGATGCAAACTACGCTGCCATCATCGCCAAAGAAACACAAGGTCCCACAGCCGGCCAGGGTAACATCGTGCTCACACACGAAATCAACGGTCATACAATGGAAGAATTCATGAAACAATACGCAAACATTCAAGCCGTATTCAAACACATTGTTCCCCTCACAGCTTGCAAGAACCAATCTCGTCCCTACCCGGAAAACATCGTCTACCCTAACTTCGAACAGTATGTTGCCGGAAACATTAACGCTACTGGTCTGCCCAAGGGCAGCGAGATTAAGGCTGCCGATAACAACTACAACCCGAGCAGTGCTGTTGCGCAGAGTGAAACGGGCACTCAGAGTGCCGGCATTGCTGGTGCGACCAGTGGTGGGATGAGCAAATCCGGTTCTAGCTCGGTGACGAATGCAAGTGCTTCCAAGGCTTCACAACCATCGAGTAAGTCTGGTGCAATGGGATCAGACGTGTTGGTGGTTGCTTCAATGGTCGCTGGTGCTTTGTTGAGTGCGATTGTTATGCTTGCTTGAGCTCGTGGGGGTTTGAGAAAATGCTGGTCCGACGCTAGCTGGCGCAGCAACTCTTGCTCCTGTTCATTCGGTAGATCTTTCATGTGTTTATGTATACGAATCACATCACCTATTTGACAGGACAGTAGATTAATCATGTCTCGTTTTTCTCAGGCTCGTTTGTCGCCATGTGTGCTCTTCATATCGTGTCGCCTACATTGAGTCGAGCGCACAGTCTGAGGGTTTTATTAATAACTGAGTCAAAAGCGATCGTCTGCAATTACATGGCATGGGTATCATCAATCTAAATAGCAACAACAAAGGGCGCAGCGGTACAACAAACCGCTCTGCATACCAAACCGAAATCGAATCTCTTCCACCTCTACACTCTGTTCAACGCCATCGTAGTAGCTCTACTACTCACCAACGCAGCCCTCGGACCCGCCGGTTTCGCTGCACCACCAACCGTTCTCGTCCTCGTCTTCGCCGGCAGAGTCGTGAATCCATCCTCACTCGCTCCGCCAGGAACCGTGCGAATGGACGGCTTAGCAGACAATCCCACCTCTTTCTGCTGCATGTCTCTCTTCGCAAGAATAACAGAAGGAACCACAGCACCAGGAGCAATATTCTCCGCCGCCACGACACGATTTTGCTCCACCTCAGCCTCTTTTGCTTGTTTGCGCATAACTCTGCGCAAATGGCGCAGGGAAGAAGAGCGAGGAGTAAGACAAGGAGTGAGTGCGCCATGGACTGTAGCTGCTCGTTGGAGCGTGGATGCGACGATCCCGCTGAGCGGAAGGGTTTGCGCTGTGATAGCGGAAAGCATGGGTAAGGAAGCAGAACCGGTGTTGGCTGCGTTGGCTGTGGCGCGAGAGAGACTTGCAATGGTAGGTCTCATCACGCTGGGTGAGAAAGATTGACCTGCGGGAAGCAAAGTTTTCTTTGTTGGTGAAGTGAGAGTCGTGGTAGTGCTGGAAGTGGTGGTGGAAGCATTAACATTGCGCTGACTCCCAAATCCAGCCAGAGCAGCCTTGGTTCGAGCTTTGATCTCCTGTAATCGAGTCTGACGCGCTGCTTCCGCTCGACCTAGACCCTGTGAGACGCTGCTACGAATGCTGCCACCAAACCTACTGCTGACTGAGGTGGCAACTGATGGCTTCCTCACATCGTTCTCCACAGCTTTCACAGGCGCGCTTGGTTCCTCCTCCGATCCGATACTTGGTACAGCAGGAGTGGCTGTGGTGCTTACACCAGTAAACCTATTCCCCACGCTAGCAGAAGCCGTCAAATTTGCCCTAGAACTGATACTTCTCGATATCGCAGCTTGTTGCTGTTGCTCCTTCACAAAAGCCGCTTCTCTCTTCTCCCCTCTCGCACTAGCCACCGTCTTCTTCGCCGCCCCACTACCTGCGAACCTACTCTTTGTCGCCTTAATCACCGTCTTCTTCAACGAATAAGCAGCTCTCACCGCTCCGTTCTCCGCATCCCCATTTTTGTTATCCGAGACGCTGAACTTGTACGGCATCCCTTCACGATCCGGGCGAGTGACGCAGATGACAACAGTCTTCTTCTCGGGCGGGATTTCGAGAACTGTATTCTGCAAAGCATCGCAGTCTTCGGTGACGGCGAGTCGGAGACGCTTTGTTCGTGGGGGCTCGGTGCTGTTGGATGCTTGACGAGAGGTGGTGGTGGTGAGGGAAGAGGGGAGCTTGGCTTTGGAAATGGGTGGGATGGGCAGTGGTCGACGTTGCGATTGAGTGGGAGGTAGTTTGCGGGAGCTGGTGGAGCGAGACAAGGCGGCGAGACTGCGGGTTGAGGTTGAGGCATCTACTCGGGGGCGTCGCGCTAAGGTGGATGTGCTTGCGAGCATTGGCAGACGCTGTGTTGTGGATGTGCTGGCGGCCATGGTTGCAGCTTTGCTCGGTGCAGCTGTCGAAATCGCAGCACCATTAGGTTTGGCATCCCGTCCGCCACCAACACGTCGAGCAGCGTAATGGTTCACGATAGAGTCCATCTTCTTGAATTGCTTTTCGTGATGTATCTCGTACCTTCCCGAACGGCTCTTTGACATCCCCTGGGTGGAAGCCGAAGCTGCAAGGTTGTGCCAGGTACCATTGCTGATGCTGGACATGGTCGTCAGCGAGCCCGAAGTGGAAGATCGCCCAGCTGCAGTGAGCCTTGCATTCATCTCTGCCAGGACGGAAGCAGCAGCCGCTGAGAATTGGCGGCAAGTGATGGAAGGCAGTGTAGACGAGCTGGTCAGATGCTCGCTCGAAACGCCTTCCGGAATAGGCAGAGACGTAATGTCAGGGTACAAGTTTGAGCTGGTCTCCGCTGTGATGGTGGATTGGCGGCTCATTTCGAGGATGGTCGCTGTCGAGAGCGGCGATGCAGTGAGAGTCGAGCTAGGTAGCGCCTTGATGATGCGTAAAGGCTGTGTGGTATCTGCGCTTTCGTTGGCGAGCGTAGGTGAAAGAGGCGGTGTCGGAAGCTTTCTTGCAGACGCGGGCGAGAACAGAGGGAAAGCAATGGTGTTCTTCTGCGGCGATCGCAGCTCCTCGTCCTCATCATCCGTATCCATCTCATCCGTTTGCCCTTTGACCTCTTCAATAGCCTGGACCAGATCAGACATCCTCTTCTGCCTCGTGCGTGGAGTCAGTGGCGGGAACGGCATAGCTTTCGTCCGATCTTGATCGAGCTGCTGATCATCGTTACCAGACTCAACACTAGAAACGCTCTGCCGGGGACGCTTGACATGGCGAAGGATTGCAACGTTGCCCTTTGTCGGACTGTCGGAAGGGATGTTGGAAGCAGCATACTCTTGTATTTGCTGAATGAGGTCTGCGTTCTTGCCGATTGCTTTGATGCCGAAACGACGGCAAAGGTTGGTGAGCTGCTTGCGTTTGAGGCAGTGAAGTGCATCGGGGGAGAGTAGCATGTTGCCGTTCATGTTGAAGGTGATGGTTTGCGGGATGATGCGATGCTAGTGCACCACCGCGGTTGTAGGCTAGATGTGATGATGACGATGAAAGGGGATGATGGATGGACGGAGTCCAACCAATTCAGGAAAGGGAGTCAAGTGATGGTCAGACAGACGACAGAGGCTTCCATGCGGATGGGTGCTCGGCAAACAGAGCTGAGTTACATAAATGAGCCTTTGCTGACGCTGTGTTTGGCAAGTGACAGTTCGAGTGCTTCAATCATCTTGGCCTCTTTTGCTCTTCGTGTGTTGTACGGCGGTTTTGAGATGAAGTTGGTGTTGAGAGAGGTTCCACAATTGAGCGAATTTCAATGCGCAACTTTCTCGGCTCTCGGCGCCAAAAAAGTGTTGGTCTCCGTAAGGGCGCGTAGATCGATCGGGCTTTGTAAGTAAACACACGAGATCTGAGATCAAGTGTTGTTCTCACCTGTCACACACACTCACCCACGTTTTCTTAGCTGCTCTGTGTGTCAGGGTGTGTCAGAGTTACAGTATGTCGGTCTTCCTCCACACTGTCACACTGTGACATCCTGGTGAAGAAGGCTCAGGCTCAGTCTCTTGATCATCCTTAACTGCGCCTCCTTCTCTCCATCGTTCTAACTTTGCGATCGTGCGGAACAAGTTCGCTGCGGGAATCTAGAACAGTGTCAGGGCGTGATCCGCGCTCGACACCAACGACCCACTCCATCATCTCTTCCCGGCCCGTGACGGACCGATCTTGCCGTTAGCCCACGGAACCATGGTCAGCTGTTCTGCGTCTTCGGCGGCTTGAAGCTCTTCCTCGAGCTCAATATATACCTCAGGCCGCAACTCGGAGCTCTTGTTCGGTCGCTGCTGCCGAACATACACGCCACGCAGCTGTGAGGATCACGTACACCTCCGCATCGGCACGGAGCCACTTCAACTTCATTAGACGGCTTCCAATACCTCCCTGCAAGTGATCACAACCTTATACTGTTACGAACGACTACGGGCTTGCAACGTACCAATCTCGTGTATGTGCTTGCGGGTCTGGCAAGCAAGTTTCAGAAAGCTAGCCTCGCCCGCTCCTTCTTCTGCATCTCACTTCTGTAACGTACGCAGTGACGACACACGTTTTTTGTCCTACCACCCTTGCTTTCCGCGCTTAGTCCACCTTCCGTTTCATCTCGGATAAGCTACAACTTGCGCTTTGCTTCATTTCCGCGCATGCTCACACACTGCGCAGATCAACTAAAAGAACTCAGTCGATCACACCTTAAGCTTCGCTTCAAGCTGGGATCAGAAACCGTTGTTCCTCGAGGTCGTCTTGGTCTCTTTCCCTTCACGGACAGATTCTCCCTCGTTGCTTCTCTTACCGATCTCATTTCCGCATCTTCTCTTCCCGCGACTTTTATCACTTTTCGCACTTTCCGTCCCCGTTCCGCAGCAGAGCCATTCTGAAGGCCTTTCCGCAGTCTGTAGCATCGACAGTTGGTGTTGCTAGAAGGATATATACTCGCCCTCCGAAAGCTCCCCAGCCCATTCCCCTCTCCGGTCGACACCCAACACTTTGAAGACATCACCCTATACTCATACACCTTAGCCCACTCGCAACTACCTCGATAGACCATAGAGAGCATCCCATCTTCCCCATCTACAACACCTCTTCTAAACGCTTTACGACCACTCAGTCGCTATCTTGTCGCTGGACTACGCATCTATCGTGCAGGCAGCAGCATCGTACAACCTCTCCTCTCAGAGACACTGCTCTATCTCCCACTGTTCTTTCACCACCCTTCTCTTTAAGGCCGCGAGCATCTACCATCAATAGCTAATTCTGAGCCATTTCAGCGACCACCGCATCAACTCTGCGAGCAAGTCCGGTCTCACTTTCATAGCTTACGGCCATTGTCTGGTGCTCGTCAAGTTGGACTCTTACTCATCGTTGTTCAACCACATCCATATTCGACACAGAAAGCCGCAGAGCTATGGAACACAAGCGCAAACATCGCGGACAGCGACACGAACGACATCCCCTTGCAAACACCACCAGTCGCGGAAACAATCACGGCTCAAGGAAACGACCAGCCGTAGACGCACACTCTCCACCCGCCAAGAAGACGGCTACGACATCCAATCGCTCGCCTCATCACCAAAGCTCTTCAAAGCATCAACACCTTTCAAGCTCTCGACATTCGTCCAACATCCTAAAAGGCTTGTTCCAAGCCGGGAACTCTGGCGGTCCAGATATCGCCATCGATCTCACCATGTCGGACTCAGAGTCAGAGGCGGAGTCAGACCTCTTCCACGACCTCCTCTTCGATGGAGCTTTCGAGGACACACCCACCTCGTCACAAGGCATTGATGGCTCTTCGCCTGCATCGACAAGTAACTCAGGTCCCAACATCATCAAATCCAGGAAGGTACAATCGCATTCGGCGGCCACTCGTACCAGCACCACCAGTAACGCAGCAGAAGGCTCCCCAGCCTGGGCCCTCTTCAGCTTTGAATGCGAAGACGAAGGCGATCCCGGCCGAGTATTGCTACCGAAGCATGACTCCGCAACACGATCCGAGCAGCCAACAAGCATCCAAACGAAGCACAGCAAACCCGCCTACGAGTTGCAAGGAGATGGTTCGGAGACCGTTGCGAGCACGTCGAGCAGCGATTCTGATGATTGCATCCCAGCATTGACCCCGCGGACCGGAGTTGTCGCTCCTTTGAATGTGGTGGAGACCCACATGCGCGTGGGCGTAATGCAAGCTCAGATGGATGGGAGGAAAGCTGTACCTTGGGGAGTACAATACTACCTCGCCTGTCTTGTCTCCTTCGGCCTCTTCAGCCTGGACGAGCTTTCATTGACGAAAGGAGTCAATGCACTACGGTCCCCTCTGAACGCCACCTCCATCATTGCACTCTTCGAACCCACTAACCAACAGATCCTCTGGGAGGCTTGCAAGGAAAAGGGTCAAGCTCCTGTCATGGCAAGGCGAGCCACCGACTGGGAGCGCCAAGTCCACGCTGAGCTCGACCGTGAGGCCCAAATCTTGGCCGAATCCCGCTTCAACGGCGTCATCGGACCACCAGGGGAGGAGATGAGATCGTTCGGCGGCCGTGTCCTCTTTGAAGGTCGCATTGCATGTATCAAGAACGAGGGGCCTCCCAAAATTGGAAAGCATCGCAAACACCGCGATTTCGAAGTTCAGCTGCTTCCACCAAAGATGGGTGGCAGCTGTCGCTTTTCTAGACGTTTCGGCAGCGTCAGTATCCTGCGCTTGAAGATGGAGCCCAGCATGGCGAAGGATGCTCGTCGCTTCGCAGTTCACCCTAAGACTCGCGATATCCAGCAAGAGATCTCTGATTTCTTCGCACGCCCCTTGCTGATCATGGGTCGCAAGTATCGTCCTTTCATCTGCAAGGACGAGACAATCTTCTATCTCTGGATCGAATCTCCCAAGAATTGTCCAGAACAGCCAGAGTTTGACTGCATTTGGGATTTCATCGACCACCATCAACCTTTCGCAGAGAACGGTCGATCGCCTCTCGGCAAATACATTCAACGAGTGCAGCTCGGTCTCTCGACTTCGGTCCCCGCCTCGGTGATAGACAAGATCACGTATGAGCCGGATGTCTTTGGTGATCCAGATCCAGTTACTGGCAAGCGCGTCGAGATGACCGACGGTGCAGGTGTTGTCTCGCTTGCCGTTGCCAAGGATATCGCCGAACACCTAGGGTACGAGTCAGTCCCTTGCGCCTTCCAAGGACGAGTAGCAGGCTCAAAAGGCGTCTGGTATATCGAGCCTCGCCCCGAACGCTCATTGCCCGGCGAGAAGCCGACTCGCTGGATCAGGGTGCGCGACTCTCAGAAGAAGATCAACTATGCGGACGACAAGCCGTTGGATCCAAGCCAACTCGTCATCGATCTGTTGGGACCCTCGCGCACGTTTGCTCCCTCCACGCTCTCCAAACAAATCATCATGGTCATACAGGCGAATGGCGTTCCAACAAGTACGTTCGAAGGTATGCAGGAGGCTGAATTGAGAGCCATTATCGACGAGATCTCGAACTGGGATGGCCCGGATGCCACCGTCTGCATGCGGCTTGCTACGGTCGTCGAAAAGTACTGCAAAACCGAATCGATGAAGGCGAAGCGAAGCACCGAGTCCGCCGAGCATCGTGCGCAGGGGATGAGCGACTTGAAAGGCAAAGGTAACGATGGAAGCAGCAGCTTTGGCGACGACGATCGTGACATCTTTCACGGTCAGAATGGCAGGCACCTGTGGAACGGGATGCCGTTGTGCAAGAACGAGCGTGCCTACGAGATGCTGCTTGTCGGCTTCCACCCAAAGTCGTGTCCATATCTTGCCGAACTACTGGTTGAGATCGCAGACAACGCCATGAAGAGGATTATCAAGCGCTTTACAATCCCCGTTCCCCGCAGCGCTGAAGCTATGGTAATGCCGGATCCGACCGGCACGCTGGAGGAAGGCGAGATCCAATTTCGCTTCAGTGGAGATCGGCTCCTTGATCCCGAGACGAGATTGAAGCTGAACCATGTTCCAGAAGGCGATGTCCTGGTTACTCGACATCCCTGCTTGCTTCCGACCGACATTCGCAAGGTGCGCGCGGTAGTACGACCAGAATTAAGCACCTACGAGGACGTCGTCGTGTTCTCGATAAAAGGGCAGGGACCGCTCGCCTCGCTTCTCGGTGGCGGTGACCACGATGGTGACACCATCCGAGTATTCTGGGAGCCAAAGCTCGTGGAACCTTTCCAAAACTCGGACACCAAATACGCAGATTGCCCTTTTGAAATCAGCGATGTGTTTGACAAGTCCAACACGACAGTTGCTGACTTTGTTGCTGCACACAGCAACAAGAAGAAGAACGAACGTGACACGATCCTCGTCAAGGAGCTCGTCGCTGGCGCTTTCCAACCAGCGGTTCGTGGCCTCTACGGCGTTATGCACCTCTACGCGGCATGGCAGTTGGGAACATACAGCAAGGAAGCAGTTGAATTGGCGCACAAGTTCTGTCAGTGCATGGACGGTCAGAAGACCGGTCTAACGCTCAAGGCTCGGGTCCGAATCAACGACAGTAAGAAGTATCTGGGTGCTTTGCCTGATTGGGCGTACGATTCTACAGACGAGAGTGAAGCTTACGATTGGTTCTCAAAGGAAGACTATAGTCCGGCATCGACGGCGATCAGAAACGCAGCTCGGCCCGAGTCGGCTCTGTGTGCTTTGTGGATTAAGGGGAAAGTACAGACGGGCATGCTGAAGAAGAAGTTGTTCGAGCAGATGGAGAAGTTCCGAGGCGTTGAGGACAAAGCCATCTCGGGGCTGTGGAAGCAGGCACAGAGTCTTGGGCGCGTCTCGACGGAAGAGGAGGAAGTGATTGGACGCCATGTTAGGGTGATGGAGGATAGTTACAGTCGCACGAATCGGAACACTACTGCGATGATCAAGAAACGGAAGGGCGAGCTGAGCAACAGTGCTACAAGCAAGACTGGATTCAAGAACGACGGCCGGCAAACGAAAGCGCAACCCTTGCGTAGAGTTCAATCCGAAGCCAACCCCTCGATGTCGCAGAGAGAAGAACTGGGCGGATCACAGATGGAAGGTGAGGCTGCCACCTTTGCCGTCGACGATCTGAGCAGCAATGGCCAGCCAGAACGACGCGGAGGCACGATCGAAGTGCCGACAGTCTTAGGATCGGCCAGCGAAGTAGGGAGATGCTTCTGCCAGTGGCCCGAAGCCTTTGCCAAGAAACACATGAGCAAGTTGGATGACGACGAGATCGAACGACTCGCAAGGCTGCGTGCTTCGTATGCTTATTCGATCACGTACTCTCACAGGCCCAAGTTCGCATTCGAGATGGCGTGGCGATGGATCATGAGCCTCAAGGCGAAAGAGACCGGAAATGCAGGAACAACGAGCGATGGGCGTCGATTGCAGGACCAGGCACAAGGTCTCGGCGGTCTCCAGGTACCTTTCTCAACCCTAGATTTGCTCGGCTTGCGCAAGAAGATCATCACCCGCAACTTTGAATTGACTCAAGGTCGAGGAGTAGAGATCTAGCCGTCAACAGGCCCCTCATCATCCGCCGACCCCTTCTATACCCCACGGGCCCATGTTCCATCCTTATGCGAAGACATTGCATCAAGCAATACGGAAGCGGCAGCATCCAATAGTAACAAGGCAGCGGTAGCAGGCTGAATGGAGTAGAGAAAGCATCGCCATAGCGACTAGATCAAGAAATATACATTCCCGAATTCCCCGATTTCTCTGATTTTCCTGATTTTCCTGATTTTCCTGATTTTCCTGATTTTCCCGATTTTCCCGATTTCCCTTGTCGTTTCCAAAATCTTGGTTGGAGACACGTTTCCGAGCTTCAGCTGCGAATGAGGAGCGTTGGATTTCGCAGCGTGGCCCGACAAGACAAAAAAGAAAATCACTAAAAAGCAGAGAAATTGCCATCGCACTCTGCTGCCTTGGAAAATTGACGAGCCTTGAGCTGAGGAGAAGATGAAGCATTTGTTTTCAAATTTTGAAAGATACAGAGAGGCGCGAGAAGAAGAAGAAGAAGAAGAAGAAGAAGAAGGCATTTCTTTCCGATTGTCCCACTCTCATCCGATGCATCTCTTTAAAAGAAAGCGTGCTCGTGTACCCTTTTTTTTCTCTCATTTTTTTTTTTCTTTTTTTTTTTTCTTTTTCCTTTTCTTTTTCTTTTTCTTTTCTTTTCTGGTGCTTGTCGGCAACTTTCCGAAGCTTGGCTGACTCGGACGAGCAATTGCATTTCACTTTCAACGACACATCCCACTCACTTCCACCTCATCCTCATCACCACCGTCACCACCGTCACCAGCTTGCACACTCGACTTCTCTCGCGACTGCTACCATCGGTCAAAGTCAGGCAAGGCAGCGTTGGCATCTTTCCACCCTCTCGCCTCCTCCGTCGCAAAGGCTTTCGACTTCGTGACAACCCGCCGCTGCTGGGTGCGTGGCAGTTTCACACCACCACCATGATCGCATCCCTTGCTCGTGTTCAGAGGGGCCGCCATGGTCTCTCGGTGGCTCAAAAGGCTTTGGGTGCCAAGCGCACCCTCGCCACCCCCGCAGCTGATGGCCGCGTCCCCACGTTCCATTCTTCTCGAGTTCCACCATACACAGAGCTGCTCTCCACCCTCGAGACAGTTCGAGCACAGCTCAACCGGCCCCTCACTCTCTCCGAAAAGATTCTCTACTCGCATCTCCGCAACCCCGAGCAGGATTTCGCTGGTGTCGGTTCGGATGTTTCGGCTATTCGAGGCAAGAAGTACCTCAAGCTTAAGATCGATCGTTTGGCAATGCAGGACGCTTCAGCACAGATGGCTCTCCTCCAATTCATGACCTGTGGTCTTCCTCGTACCGCCATTCCTTCCAGTGTACACTGCGACCATCTCATCCAGGCATACGAGGGTGCAGAGGCCGATCTCAAGCGTTCCATTGCCTCGAACCAGGAGGTCTTTGCCTTCCTCGAATCCGCTTCCAAGAAGTATGGCATCGAGTTCTGGGGCCCTGGCTCCGGTATCATCCACCAGATCGTTCTCGAAAACTACGCAGCACCCGGTCTTCTCATGCTCGGTACCGACTCTCACACTCCCAACGCCTCTGGTCTCGGCTGTCTCGCCATCGGTGTCGGTGGTGCCGACGCTGTCGATGCTATGACCAACACTCCTTGGGAGCTCATGGCACCCAAGGTGCTCGGCGTTCACCTCAAGGGTGAGCTCAGCCCATGGTGCACACCCAAGGATGTCATCCTTCACCTCGCTGGCAAGCTCACTGTTCGTGGTGGTACAGGAAAGATTGTCGAATACTCAGGTCCTGGTCTTCAGACTCTCCCCGCTACCGGTCTCGCCACAATGTCCAACATGGGTGCCGAGGTTGGCGCTACTACTTCTGCATTCCCCTTCACTCCTGCTATGAGCTCTTACCTCGAGGCTACTGGTCGTGCCGAGGTTGCTCGCGCTGCTGAGCGTGCCGCTGCTCAAGGTTTCCTCTCTGCCGACCAGGGTGCCGAGTACGACCAACGCATCGAGATCAACTTGTCCGACCTCGAACCTTGCCTCAACGGTCCCTTCACTCCCGATCTCAGCACTCCTCTTTCTGAATTCGTCAACAAGGCCAAGTCCGATGCTCGCGACCACCCTGTCGAGCTCAGCGCTGCTCTCATCGGCAGTTGCACCAACTCTTCTTACGCCGACATGGCTCGTTGCGCCTCCCTCGCCCAGCAGGCTCGTGACCGAGGCATGAAGGTCAAATCTAGCTTCGACGTTACTCCTGGTTCCGAGCAGGTCCGAGCCACCGTTGAGCGTGATGGCATTCAGCAGGTCTTGACCGACGTCGGTGGACGTGTTCTTGCCAACGCTTGTGGTCCTTGCATTGGTCAGTGGAACCGAAAGCAGTTGCAGGGAGAAGACAACGTCATCCTCACCTCCTTCAACCGTAACTTCCGTGGCCGTAACGATGGCAACTCCAAGACCTGGAACTTGCTCGCCTCTCCCGAGATCGTCACTGCTATGGCCTTTGCCGGTCGCCTCGACTTCAACCCTATGACCGACACTCTCACTGCTCCTGATGGCAAGCCCTTCAAGTTCGAGCCCCCTCAAAGCGACGTCTTGCCCGCCAGTGGCTTCGCTCAGGGTGATGTCGACTACCTTCCCACACCCATGCCTGAGCCTCAACCCGACACTGAGGTCCTCATCAGCCCCACCTCCGCTCGTCTTGAACCTCTCGAACCCTTCCCCAGCCCCTTCGCCGCCACTGCCGCCCAAGGCAAGTACGAGCTCCCCGCCATGCGCTGTCTCCTCCGCATCAAGGGCAAGTGCACCACCGACCACATCTCTGCCGCCGGTCCTTGGCTCAAGTACAAGGGTCATCTCTCCAACCTCGCCGAGAACACCCTCATCGGAGCCACCAATGACGAGTTCGACGCTGTCAACGTCGCCAAAGACTACGTCACCGGTCAGAAAGACACCATCCCTGGTGTGGCCAAGGCCTACAAGTCTCGTGACCAGCCTTGGATGATGGTCGCCGACCACAACTACGGAGAGGGATCTGCACGTGAGCATGCTGCCTTGCAACCACGATTCTACGGATGCAACTTGATCGTCGCACGCAGCATTGCTAGGATTGCAGAGACAAATTTGAGGAAGCAGGGCGTTTTGACATTGTTGTTCGAGAACGAGGATGACTATCTCAGGATTGGATCTGGTGATCTTGTGGAGACGGTCAACTTGACGGAGCTGATTAAGCCAGAAGGAGATCTGTCAACACAGGTCAAGTTGAAGGTGACCAAGTTCGAAGAAGATGGCAAGACTGTTAAGCAGACTTTCGAGTTGCCGACTAAGCACTCATTGAGTGCTGCTCATTTGGATTGGATCCGTGCTGGATCTGCGCTCAACCTTATCCGTGAGCAGGCCGCCTCTTCTTCCAGTGCTGACTCTGCTGGTGGTGTCTCTGGTGCTTTCGCTGCCGCAGCAGGTGCAGCCAAGTCAGCAGTCAACAAAGTCGCTTCTCTCGGTGGCATTCGTGGCTACGCAACCGCAGCAGGTGGTAAGCCCACTGGAGGCTCCCGAAACCCCAACGATCCCAACTACATTCCCCCCGCAGCTGATCCCCGCACAGAGTCCATTCGCAAGATCGTCTACCCCCCATCGCCTTCGACCGCCCAAGACAAGGCCGCACACTCGGCCACCTCGGCATCTGCCGTCCTTCCCTTTGGCGACGCATCCGAAGAAATTCACAGCACCATCACCCGCGCTTGGCTCCTTTACCAACGTACACAGCGTGAAGAGCTCGCTGCTCGTCTCGACAAGAAGCAGGCCCGTCTCCGCGAAGCTCTTCAAGACCTTCGTGAGCAAGACCCACGATTGTATGCCGCAGCAACTTATAAAGTTGCACCGAACAAAAGGTCGCCCAAGGAACACAGGAAGTTGGTGGAATTGGGATTGGTGACGCTGCCAGGAGCTGAGCCCAAGAAGGATGCACCGACGGGTGCTGAGGCGAGGAGGTTGGTCAAGGCTGTTGCAGGTGGTGCTAGATTGGAGGGGTTGTTCCCGAGGGAGATCAGGGTTCCTACTGTTACGCCAGGGAGGAAAATTTGGCCTGATTACGAGCCTAGTCAGATCCAAAGTTAGGGGGAGAGAGTGAGTTGTGTATTCATAGTAGTTTTGGTTTAGATTCAATTCATACTTTCTTGGCTCAGCGTTCATGCATTCTCGGTCTGTGATTGCAGAAGGTGATGGAGGATGATGTGATGAGATGCAATGCACGAATCTGACATGCACCACCGAGTGCAACTACTGAGTCTGCAACATCTTGGTCCAATCATACTTGTCCCACTCCTTCCTAAAACTCTCCCTAACTCTCCCCTTCTCCTCTTCACTTCTCCTCTTTGACCTTCCAAACCCTCTGACATACCCACCTCCATCCTCACCTTCCGCATCTAAATCCTCCAACACCGCCCTAATCACATCTCTTGCAAAATTCGCATCAAACTTACCCCCTACTCCACTACCTGGACCAGCAGCCATCTCTCCAACATCATACGCATCGTCACCTCCCCTATCTTTCCCCCTCCCCCCTCCTGACCCTCCACGACCCTGCTCGCTATCCATATCCTCAATCACATGCCCATATCCAGTTGACCAACGATAATCCCAACTTACCGCAAAATACGGCAAATTCGGCACTAGCGCATTCCTAAACGGTCTCTCCACCGTAAAATCGATCACCTTCCTATGCGTGCTGAACTCCCCTCCCACACTCCGTAGCGATTCTTTCAACACTCCCGGTAAAAAATCCATCGCTGCTGCAGGAAGTAGTACTGCTTCGATGTAGCTGTGTAACTGCGGCTTTAGCGATGTAATCGTTTCATAGAATATGACTTTTTGACTTTTACTCGCAGCTAACTGCATCAAGCATTTTTGAAAATTCTTGATCTCGTCCCATGTTTCCTCGTCGGCTTCTAACAGACTGAGGTGGTGCTGCATGGGGACGATGAGGAGGTTTTCTCCCATTTCTCCTTCTACTACCCCTTCAGTGTCTGGTATGGCTAGGTAGGCACGATACCCACTAGAAACGACAACGGCGCGGGGAGGTTTGCTACCTTCATCCTGCCAACAAAATCTGCATCTGTCCAGGGCTTTTTGGGTGCGAGCAAAATCGTTGATCGCAAATTGCCGTTTCAGCGCATCACTGCGCATTTTCTTTTTTGCATATCGATGAGCTTCGTCGTCCTGATCTTCTAGGTTAGAGGAGAAGCTGGCGTCGGTCATGATGTTTGCTGCTAGTTCTGCATCTGGGTTCTTCTGCGCGGATGGACCAGCAGAGAACTTTTCCTGTCGAACCAAGTCAGACAGGGTGGTAGTGTCGTCGTCTGCAGAATATCGGATGAAGTGACCTGTGCGAGGATCGCGCGCTTCGAATGTATCTCGACCATTTAACTTCTTCCTGCTCCCCCCATCAACACCTGCAGCGGGGTCAGTGGAAGAGGAATCCAGCGCACCAATATCGTACATCCTCCCCCTAGCGTCAAGTGTGGGAAGCACCTGCAACTCTCTCGTCCCATCCTCAACCAGCACCCCTGCACCACTCTTCCCACCCCTCCTATAGGTATGGGAGGAGGGGGCGAACGCACCACCTTTATCTCCAGCAGCAGTAGTGTGTGCTTTTGCCCGTCCAGATTCTCGCTCGTACTCCTCTTTGAGGGCGGAGTGTTGTGGATCGTCTCCCATGAGTTCGGCTTTGAGGATGTTAGCTTGCAGTTTGTTCAGCTGGTCCGGGGTAAGAATAGGTCGATCGGGATCGGAAGAACCATCATCAAGCACGACTCCAGCTTGAGTTGCATCCGGTCGTTCAATGAATGGCGTAAACACCGACGGAATAGCAGAAGGAGTAGTGGGCTTGGCGGCACTCGGAGTCTCAAACCCAATATTGCGAGGTGGACGAGGTGTTGTTGCTCCACTCGACTCTCCTGGTCGTTTAAACCCTTGTCTACTACCCGGTCTTGAGCTAGGCTCCGAATCATCCGTCCCACTAGTCCTCTCCCCTGAACCGCCACTAGCAAGCATATAACTTCTCCTAGCAACGCTTTGTAACGTTGGCGTACTCCTCCCTCCCTCCTCCTCCCTCTTCTTTCCTTTCGCCTGCCCATCCAAAACCCTCCTCTCCTCCAACGCATCCTCAAAATCATCCATCGTTGCAAACCTCTCCAATGCAACCTCCTCCAAGTCCCTTCCCTCCACTTCCGCCGCCTCTAGCGTACGCTTCAACTTCATCATTCGCCACTGATACCCTGGACCCCCATATTGCTTCTTTCCCTCGTCAGCGTTCGGTGTGGTATACTCGTCAACGGTCTTCCCTTGGACGAGTTGAGTGTTGAGTTCGCGTGAACTGATCTTCAGCTTTTCCCGATCAGATTTTTCCGGTCTTGGTTGCTTCACGCGGGCTTGACCGAGAGTGGAGAAGTATGAAGCATCGTCCGAGTTTTTATCGGGGTGGGATAGCATCCAATCGTCTCGTTTCAGACCAGATGTGTCGGTGGAAGTGGTAGCATGGGAAGTGAGATCGAGAGAAGCAGAGGTGGGGACGAAGTCGGAAGCTGGTTGTTTCGGGTCGCTGCTGGGAGATGCTTCGTTGCGATGGCTTTTATGGTGGCTTCGAGAATCGTGGCGTCGCTCATCGTCTTCCCTACGCCTCTTTTTGCGGTCGTTACGATCTTCCTCCCCTTCTCTGCCGCAATGGCTACTACGATGCGAGCTATGGTGGTGCCTGTGTCTGTGCCCGTCATCGCCCTTCGCCCTTTCCTTCCTGTTGCTATCGCTTCGACTGCTGTGCTTTCTGTCGTCATCGTGTCTATGCTTTGAGTCGCGGTGATGGTGTCGATGACGATCTTCCCTCTCCTTCTCTCGCCGTGAGGAAGAGTGGCGGCTGGAGGATGCGCCTGATCCGCGCTCCCTGTCGTCGCCCATATTTACAGCCAACGACTTAGAGATCGACGGAGGAAAGAAAGGAAGAGCGCTCAGTCATCTTCGAAGAAGTGTAACTTTCCGCCGAAAAGTTTTCGGAATTCGAAGCCCGCGACCCTGTCTGCTGAGCTGCGTGCCAGTGTGGAGGTTTTGAGCGCTCACCAATTCATATCATGCTCCTCCTTCTCAGGACCTTCTCCCTAGGTTTGAGGCTCTCGATCTCACCAGACACCTTGATCCCAGCCTACAGCGACACCTCTGCAGCACATAGCAGCCATAGCCTGGGATACAAGCATTGATTGCAACCCATGAGACACTGAATAGAAGCGGCAGGGGATCACCTCTTAGCGCGCAGGTTTGGGTCATCACCACATGCTACACCTATCCTCCTTCCTCTTCGCCATCTTATCTTTGCCCGCCTTACACCCAAACGCATCCCCAAACTCGGGCATATTCACCAGTACCCCATTTACCCTATATTTCGTCGGGCTATGAGGATCAGTTCTAATCCTCTTCACCTGTTCACTAGTCCTAGTATTCCTAGCCCAACTAACACCGTACGCAATAAAGAACATCTGCTCCCTCGTATACCCCAATCCAGGCAACAACGCATTCGCAGCCTCCACCACCTCCCCTCCCTGCTTTAGCTCATCTTTCCACGCTCTGTAACTTTGCGCTAATCCACCCGCATCGGCAACATCCTCACCCTTCGTAAAATTAGATCGTAGATGCAGCACCCCTCCCTTCCCATCCGACACAGTATAGGAATGGTACTGGTTAGCCAAGCAAGTCTGTCTCTGCTGGAATTCGTGTGCCGTAGCCTCGGTCCACCAGTCTCGAAGGTAGCCATCCTTGTCGTAGAGTCTTCCATCAGGATCGAAAGCATGCGAAAGCTCATGCCCAGCAACCGCTCCAAATGCACCTCTCTGCAAATAACTCGGCCAAGAAACATGGAAGTAAGGAGGCTGCATAATGCCCGCTGGGAACAAAATGTAGTTCCCCTGCGGACTATACTCAGCATTGACTTCAGCAGGGAACATATCCCATGCCTCGCTATTCAACTTGCTCCCTACCTGAGCCCAATCTCTCTTGGCCATCCGAGTAGCCGACGCTAGACGATTCGCAAAGTAATTCTTCCCATCCACCGGCAGATCCGCATAGAAGTTAGCGACAGAAACAGCATCCGTAGTATTCGGACTGGTGGGGTAGCCAACCATGACCCTAATTGCGTCTGCTTTCTCTTGAGCCTTCTTGCGCGTTTTCTCGTCCAACCAGTCGAGTTCGGGCAAACGAGACTTAAAAGCGGCAATGACGGAATAGATAATCTCTTCAACCCTCTTCTTACTCTCCCCCTGGAAAGCTTCTCGGACGAAGTACCGACCAGCCATAAACCCAAGCGCTGCGTTGAGATCACCTAGACAAACCGTTTCCCTATCCTCTTTTGCGTCTGGATCAACTCCTTTCGTGTACCTCTCCAAACGTTCAGCTGCAGCTCGCAGCTTGACGCTAGGCCCCAGCGCAGTGCCGAGCTCCCTAATCGCCGTCCAGACAATATACGCCTCCAGCACCTCCGTCTTTGTTCGCGAAATAAGCGCATCCAACGAAGTGACGAATCTGGGACTGGCCAAAATCACTCGCTTGGGAGTACGCACCGTTAGAGCAGAGTAATACGCTGACCAGCTAATCGAAGCGAAAATATAAGGCAACGTCGTAGAGTTCACCGGGTTATAACTTGCAACCGGATCATAGATCTCCTCCGAATCAGGGGTGATATCCGCAAGCAAGCGTTCGAACTCGACCACCTGATCAGCGAAAGGAGCGAGTGCAGGACGAGACTTTTTGCCTTTCTTGTTTTTCTTATCCTTCTTTCCCTTCTTGGTTTCCTTCTTCTTGCTAACATGCTCGTCGGATTTGTGTTTCGCCTCTTCATCATAAGTACGCAGACCTTGAGACACGACCTTCTTGTAGAACTCGATTTCATCTTTGTCCTCGTAGTACGCCTGATCAGGCAACCCAAGGCCGGAGGGGAAGAACCAAGGAGTAGCAGCAGTAGGGTCTTTCACTGCATCACCGTCAATATTAAGCTCGAAGAAGGCAGGAAGACCACGGCTGTGTGCCCAAGCGAGTGCTTCGGTGAGACCTTTCTGCCTTTTACCTGAAGGCGGGGCAGGACGGGGGCTTTCACGAGGAGGGTGAGGCTTGGGGGATCGTCCAGGAGGTTGGTTAGGTGGGACTGGCTTTTCGGTCTCGTCCGGCTGCACGTGGAAGCGAGACACTTCAACCCTTTCATCGCTGACTTCGAAGTCGGTATTGAGGTCTTTGGCGTCGTGAGCCTCGAAAAGGGTACGAAGATGATCAAGGACATCAAGCAACGGCTTACTACCGAGCTTATCTTGAGCCTTGGTATCAATACACGACTCGTAGTAGCCCTTGAGTTTAGCCAAGTTGCGCTTGTCTGCTTCCGCCTGCCCATCTGTCAGACTGTTACCCTTGCTCGCCTCAAGCTCCAGTGCTTGGGCGGAGGGAGCATCATCAATAATCTGACGAATAATCTTGGCATTCTCAGCTAACACATATTGACCGGTCCCAAACAGTCCAGCATCAGCAGGAATTGGATGAGCCTTCAGCCAGTTATTCGTCGCGAACGCATAGAAGTCATCACAGGGGTTTACCGTCTCATCGATCGACCTGAGGAGTTCGCTTGCGGCAAGAACGCAATCCTTTGAGGTGCAAATGTCTCCCTCGGGCGGGTCCGGGTTAGGGTTTCCAGGCCCAGGAACAGGTGCGGGGGAGGCGGGTCGATGGGCGAGCTTGTACTGCGACCCGGCGAAGAGACCGATGAAAATGGCAGCTAAGAGGAGGAGTGCAACCGAGAGAATGACGAGGAAGCGCTCCAAGGGACGAAGATCTTCCGGTTTAGCGAGGGGGGCGAAGGTGGTGGAGAGATGACGTTTGATGCGAGCGAAGAGAGATTGGTTGGTGGTGCTGCCGGATTCGGTGGTTTGGTTGGGGAGGAGGGGACGGTCTTCGGGATGGTCATCGGTCGATGGTCGACCGTAGTCGCGGCTTGCCATGGTGGGCGGATGAGGGAGGGTTTAACGCGAGCCCTCAGCCGTGTCTGGTTGATTGACTGGTTGGGTGTGGTGTTGTATTGTCTGCAGATACAGGCTCAACGGGAGGAGATGAGTGCTGATCTTGCAAAGGAGATGGTGAAGGAGAGGGAGCAAGGTGTCGTTTGAGATACGCTCGCCTGTCAAGCGGTCAGATCGTCAACGAGCAACGGACAAACGCTGCCGTCCTAGCGCGGGGCACGAGCCACCTTAGAAAAGCAAAGAGAGCCGTGTGCACACTGTGGAGGCATCGAACCCTTTTTTTTTTTTTTTTTTTTTTTTTTTGGTTCTCGAAAACTTGCAAATGTGTTCGACGGCAAAGCTTGGCAGACTTCTTGCTACCATCATCTCGAGCGTTGATCGAAGCTAACTCGCACAAGCGGCCCAAGGCCCGGTCCGTATGCCGCCATGTCGAATGCAGGACCATCAAAGCTGTCTTTCGGGCTGAAGCCTGCAAAGGTTGCGCTATCCGGTGCCGCAAAGCCAAACATTGCACCCTCAGCTTTAGCATTCGACGATGCAAGCGATGAGGACGAAGACGACGGCTCTGCAGGACTGACGTTAGCGTCAGAAAGTCGCCGCAAAGCAAAAGAAAGCCGACCAAACTTTCACGGCGTAGCACCACCAACGCGCACCGAAAAGAAGAAGCAACAAGAAGCCGAACAGCTCGACGCATCAGTATTCGACTACGATGGTGTCTACGATACGATCAAGGATGCCGAACGCAGAGTCAAACAGGCTAAGCAAGCTGAGGATGAGACCAAGAAGCCCAAATATGTCGATGGTATACTGGAGTCTGCCGAACAGCGCAAGCGAGACCGTTTACGAGCGGAAGCACGCATAATTCAGAAGCAACGGCAAGCGGAAGGAGATGAGTTTGCAGATAAAGAATCGTTTGTGACCAACGCATACAAAGAGCAACAGGAAGAGTTGGCAAAAGCGGAAGAACAGCAGAACAAAGAAGAGACGGAACAGAGAAAAGCGAACAAAGGCATGGGCTCGTTCTATCGGGACATGCTCAACGAAACCAATGCTGCCCGAGATGCAGCTATCTCCGCTTCACTGGCCGCTCCAACATCCTCGATTTGGTCTTCCACATCACAGTCACAAGTGAACAATGCACCTGAGGAAAGAGAATCACGAGAACGCACCGACATAGACCTAGCAAACGAAGCAAGATCCAAAGGCCTCGAAGTGGAGCTTAACGACGACAACCAAATCGTCGATAAACGCTCTTTACTCAGTACAGGTCTCAACATCGTCTCTAAGCGACGCAAGACCACCGACGACACCAAAGCAAACTCTACAGAAGGCGAGAGTAGAGAGTCGAGAAGAAAACGCGATCAGAGGCGACAAGAAGAGTATGAGGCAAAGATGAACAGGGATGCGCACAAATCAAAACGGAGCGCATTGATAGAAGAACAGATGTTGGAGCTGGAACGCAAGAGAGCGGCGGAAGAGGAGGAGGCATTGCGGAAGGAGAAGGAGAAGGTGGATGCAAAGCGGAATGATACAGAGGCGATATCGCAGGCTAAGCAGAGGTATTTGGAGCGTAAGAAGCAGCGATTGGCTGCTGTTGGGCAAGGATCGAGCTCGTCTTAAGCACAACGTCCATCCGTTGTTTGCATCTGTCAATTGTATTTGTACCGTGTCACATCCAAAGCATCGCGCATTATGATGGTACCCATGAACTATGTGTTGCTGATCGATGCAGAGTCGTATGTACAGAGGACGGAATGAGAGTCGACAATGTTGAGCTGAACTAGTAGTCCTCCGACTCGTTAAAGAAACCAGAGTAAGTCATGATCGTACCGTAAACAAGACCTCCACCAGCGATCGACATCCAGCAAGCCGTTGGTGCGATGACACCAGCATGTGCCAGTGAGAGTGGCAGCGCGAAGCCAGAAACGATCATAACGCCGGTCATGAAGTTACCAAAGTCGAGAAAACCGCTGTTGTAGTCTGCTGAAAAGTCGTCCGCTCCGGCGCATCGTGCGCACATGCTGTTGGGTAGCGGTGTCAAGACATAGATGAGTGCGACGAGAAGTGGAAGCCAGTTGGACCAGAGTGCGCAGGAGAGGATGATGAGGAGAAAGCCCAGGGCTAGCACGAAGGAGAGCAGGATGATGGCTGTTGTCAAGGAGGGTAGGGACCAGATAGCGTGATGCATGGTGAGCGTTTACTCTGATAGCGAGCCAGTCTAGCAATGGGAGCTCTGGACGTTGTGCTTACTTTTGAGACCTGCGGCCATGATGAATCTATAGATGCGGTCCGCTTTTCGTTTGTGAGGGATGGATAGCTTTGGTGGACCGGAGACGCTGGAGGTTGGCTGCGCGTGTATCGAAGCGCACGCAGACGCTCTTTGAAGGACAGGCAGATACCTGGATGTTGTCTGCTAAAGCCTCCGAATGCCAGACAGAGATGTTGAGCGTGGATGCGGGAATGTGTTGCTGATGATGACGAGAAGGTTGCGGTAATGCAGATTGAAGCTTGATGACCTCGAACACCCGACCTTACACAGCTTCGCGAGCAGTTCTCTCTATGTGGAGCGAAAGTGTCTCTTTGGTCTGTGCGTATCGCCCGGTTCGAAGTGATCGAATACAAAAGTGATTCTTCCAGATTGAACCATTTGTATTGCGGAGCAGGAGAGGGGCAAAAGCTCAGAGGCAGCACAGCGCTTTCTTCTTTCGAAGCGGTCATAAAAAAAGAAAGAAAAAAAGAGTCGGATTTTTGCTCACAAAAATTAGGGAAGAAAAAAACAAAAACAAAAAAAAAAAAACCAACCATGAAAAACGGAGAGGCTCACAAAACAAGGCAGCAGAGCGCGACGTTCAAGTTGCGTGCGTGTGTGACACTTTTCCAGGCGCGGTGTCGTGAGGCGTGACTTTATGACTTTCTGACGCCTTTCCAAGGCGAGGAGGGCCTATATCAACGGTGAGTTATCGCCCTTGACAACGCGTGAAAATTGTAGGAAAAGGAAGCAGAGAAATTGAGGAAAAAAAGGAATGTTAAATTGCCTAACTCGAGTGAGTCGCTTGCGAGCTCCCAGCCCTGGCCGGTCGAGCGTCGTATGTAAGCGAGGCGGAATGCGCGCGAGAACGAAATACAAGAAGCGATATAAGAACTAATGAAACGTGAGATGTGAAATGATTGTAAAACGGGTAAGGGAGGGAGGGAGAAACTTGACGAAGCGCAGCATGGAGGCAAGCGCGACGAAGAGAAGGTGATGGAGAAAAAGAAAGAGAGGAGAGCGAGTGAAATGGATTCAAAGATTGCGACGAAATGGAGTTGCTGCGCGTTGGTCACGTGCGCCTTCGCTCACCATTGAAAAGTGCGCACCTATCCATTCGCACGATAAGACTTCTGAGAGAGAGAGAGAGAGAGAGAGAGAGCTGTGTGTGTAGCCTTCTTTCTCTGCATTGCGCAGTCACAGTTGGGATTCTGCCCAAGAGCCGAGAGAGTCTTTCGAGCTTCGCGCTTTGGCAGTGAGCGTTAACAGATAGAGAAAGGTCGAATTTGACTCGAACTGCTCTTCGTCTTCATCATCATCCGCAATCTCTCCACCTTCCGCATCTTTCTTCACCTTCAACACCAGCCATCGCAGCAGCGACTCGATCTCATCAGCGTTTTATCTCTTCGCCGCGCTCGTTCCTGCCAACCTCTCTACGACTCAGTTCACGGCAGCAGCATCGATCAGATCGAACTAGCATCTACGCTCTTACCTCGGAACGACTTTCGACAACGGCCACACCCAGCACTGTCGATCGAGTCGGCTTTATTCTCAGTCCGCTGACCTTCTATCCCATCGACCAACCGCAAAGCGCCCCGCGCTGATCACCGTCATCATACCATCACTCTTCTCGCTCTCGCTCGTTCGCTGACCGGTGTCCGAGCTCAACGCCTCCGTCCTTGAGCGGTTGCGTCTTTGGTCTTTGTTCGTAGCAGCCAGACCCCATCATGGCCAAGAGGACGGCTCCTACCACCAACACCACCGGTCCGGCGTTTCCACCGCTTGGACTGGTGGTCGGTCCAGGTGCACCAGCTGCCGACTCTCTCAACCATGGCTCGCATTCGTATTCACATAGCGCCAACCATGCGCCCAGCCCACCACCACCACCAGAGACGCATAATGCCGCCAACGGTCTACCACCAGCGCCGAACAAATTTGACGTCAGCCAAGCTCAGCAGTGCCGATTACAGGATGCGTATTGGTCAGATGAAGAGGTACGTCGCATCTTTCATCCCTTGCTCCTCACAGACAGACACCCCCGCTCCCTCTTTTACTGACCCTTTCTCCCTTCTTTTCTTCCATTCAATCGCTCGTCGTTTGTGTGTAGGAGGACATGGACTGCCCATTGTGCTTGGAAGAGATCGATCTCTCGGACGCCAACTTCAAGCCATGCCCATGTGGATACCAGATCTGCCGATTCTGCTGGCATCACATCAAGCAGAACTTGAACGGAAGATGTCCAGCATGTCGTCGCAAGTATTCGGATCAGACGGTAGAGTTCAAGCCCATGACTGCTGAAGAGATCAAGAGGCTTACACAGGCAAAGAAGCAGAAGGAGAGGGAAAAGAAGGAACTCGAGTCCATGAACCGCAAGCATCTGGCCAACATGCGTGTAGTTCAGAAGAATCTCGTCTACGTCGTCGGTCTCAGCTCTAAACTCGCCAAGGAGGAGCTTATCCCTACCCTGCGCAGCAACGAGTACTTCGGACAGTATGGACGCATCTCCAAGATCTTGATCAGCAAACGGAATACCGCATCCAAGCTTATCATGGGAACTTCCGAGACAGCGCTTGGCGTCTATGTCACATATCATCGCAAGGAGGATGCCGCAAAGGCAATCGTTGCTATCGACGGCAGCAAGGGAAGCGACGGCAGGATCATTCGAGCGAGTTACGGCACCACCAAATACTGCACCACCTATTTACGCAACTTGCCATGCACCAATCCAGGATGCACCTACCTGCATGAGCCTGGAGAGGAGGCCGACAGCTTTACGAAAGAGGATCTCTCCACACTGCGTCACGCCGCCAAAGACACCGAAAACAAGGTCAAACCAGCTTCCTTGGGCATTACACAACCGCCAAAGCGATCCGACTTCTTCAGCAGCGCAGATGCCGAGTCATCGGCTCTACCAAAGACAGCTTCCTGGGCGTCTGGAAAGCCCATGTCGGCTGCACCTTCGCCTGCGTTGGTCATTGTCGGTAGTCCCTTCCGCGATTCCGACATGCCACCGTTGTCCGCAAGCTCAGCATCTGCCCTGGCAAGGAAAGCAAGTTCGCAGAAGCCATCTACCCCGAAAGCCCAGAAGCAATCTTCGACCTCAAAGAACAAGCTTGCTCTCGCCAGTGGTCGACCCGAATCTCCAACTGTACTTGGCACCGATTCGCCCATCACATCTCGGCCGTCTTCTCCTCTGCCTGGCAAAGCACAGCCCACATCGACGGCAGAGGCTAATTCGACAACATCCACAGCGACATCACGAAAAGAGCAGAGCGCTTCGGCAACTCCGAAAGCGGCAGGGACCGATTCACCACTACCTCCACCTCCCGGATTTGCCAAGGCTTCGCCACCTCCAGGTTTGGCACGGTCCGCATCGACGACAGATTCTCGACCGACGACACCACAGACCGAGAGCGATCATCCCAATTCCAACTACCAGCCTTCCTCGAGCGCTCAAGCGTTGCTCGACGACATGCTGCAGAGACGAGAAGCAGAGCCAGAGATCGTCAAGCCCAGTCCATTCCCCGACTTCGACGATGCTCTCTCGAGCTTCAAAGATGGCGACTTTTCGTTCAACTTGCCCGCTAACCAGCAGCTTGCCAACAACGACGGACCCTCCGAGCTCACCAGTGCTTTCACAACCTTCAGTCCGTTTGGTGCGCCGCCCGGTGTTTTGGCTGTTCATTCCAGCCTCGTGACCGCTGGAACGCCCCCTCCTGGTATCGTGAGAGCACCCAACCGCAGCTCGACTGCTTCTCCGGCTCCTCTCAGCTACTCAGGCTCGTTTGATCCTTTTGCGCCTGGCGCTGGAGAGACGATCAAGGAGGATGGCAGCTCGTTCGGTGACAGCCCTTACCCGAGCTCGTTCAACATCACCGATCAGACGAGGAGGATGCTGGGACAGGACAGCCATGTCGGTGCAGGTTTCGGCGGCGGCAGCATCGGTGTTGGTGGTATCGGCCAGGAGGACTCGCTCGAGACAGGACAGGATGCATCCAAGCGTGCCTCGCGCTTCGACTTTGCCAAGCGAAAGGAGTCTGACTCCTTCATGGGTGCTTCGCCTTTGCGTACAGAGCTGATGCAGCAGGGCTTCCGCGATGGGGACAGCTGCGGAGTTGGAAAGGATGCCACCAGCCTGTTGGGCAGTGTCTTTGATCAGGACAACACAGCTGATCGCTTGAACGGACTTGGAGATGGTGGAGCTTCTGCCGCAGCAGTATTCGGCTTGAACGGCGGACGCGAGTCTGGTGGATTCCCGGGTATGGGTCTCTCGAGGCCACCCCCCGGCATTGGTGGTCCTGGTGGCTTTGGCAGTCGCTTCGGTACCAACACGCCTCCTCCCGGCATCTCTGCTCCTGCCAGCCGCCAGCAGCAGGCTTTGCTTGCATCGTTGCACCAGCTCGGAGGTAGCAGCCTTGGTGGCAATGCATCCGATTCGCTCCAGCAACAACAACAACAACAACAACAACAACAACAGCAGCAGCAGCAGCAGCAGCAGCCCCAGCTCACCAACGGTAGCGGTGTCAGTTTCCTCGCTGAACTTCAGCAGCAGGCAGCCCAACGAGCTCAGCAGCAAGCGCAATTTGCATCGGGTGGCAGGGATCACTCTGAGCAGAACCGACTCAATGGTAGTGGCAACGGCAATCCCTCGGACCCCTTGTTGGCTCAGCTGCTTGCAGGACGTCGCACAGGCTACGGTGGTCAACAAGGCTCTGGATCCGACCTGCCTTTCAATGACCCAGCCATCATGTCGATGACCCGTGCACAGGTTCAGGTCGCCCAGCAACAACAGCAGCAGCAGCAGTTCGGCGGCAACCGCTATGGAGGTGGAATGGGAGGCTTCGGTGGCTCTTTTTCGCCTTATGACCAGCTGAACAGCGGCAATGCTGGATTTGGTGGCTCTGCTCCTCAATACGGCGACCACCAGCGGTTTATGCAGCAGCAGCAACAGCAGCAAGGTCAGGGTCAAGGTCAAGGTCAAGCCTCGCCGTATCCGAACATGTCCTAATCTCGACCTCATCGCCACCACTTGTTCTTTTCTCACTTTCTCGTCATCGTCGTTGTTTGTCTTCTTTTTGTCGTGTCTCAATCAATCATATTTTACATTTTGCTTCTGTTTTCAATGTGCGAGTTTGAGCATGACTGTGTGTGTGTGGTGGGGGGTTCTTGCAGAGCTGATCTCGTAGACTAGCGCTGCACAGGCGATCCTTATGACAGCTTTCGAAAGGATTGTGTGGCGCATATGGTTGATTTTGATTTGAGCACATATCTGTACAGGGAGACAAACAAGGGAAAGAAGGGGGAGAGGGGAAAGTGAAGTGGCGAGAGTGGGAGTGGGAAGTGGAAACGAAATCAAGCGTGGGCGGCAAGCGGAAAACATGCATCGAAAGGCTTCTCGACATCAAATCGGTTCATTTCCAAAACAAGTCCGCTTCTCGACAGCATCTTGCTCGTTTGACCAACACCATCTCTTTCTCCTCAAGGAGGAGCACCTCCTCCACCACCGCCGCCGCTCATCATTTCCTTCATCATGTTCATCATTCCACCCATTCCACCCATTCCTTGCATTATTTGTTGCATCGAAGGCATCCCCCCGCCACCTGGTCCTCCTGCACCACCGCCAAACATGTTCGCTAACCCTCCTAGTCCTCCTAATCCACCCATTCCGCCCATTCCACCCATCCCGGCTAGACCTTCTGGGATGTTTCCTGATTGAATCTGCTGCAGGAGCTTTTCTCGTCCACCTGGCTGTCGAAGTTGAGCTTTGATATCGGGAGGGAGTGCGTTTTGCATCTGCATAACTTGTTCTCTCGACATTCCGGGGGGAAGCATACCTGGAGCTGGCATCTTGCCCTTTCCTCCTGCACCTCCCATACCCATCTGACGCAAGAAGCCATCCTTTCCTCCCATCTTCTTCACCATTGACCCTACCATTCGGTATTGCATCAAGAATTCTTCGACTTCTTTGACGCTTGTACCTGACCCACGAGCTACACGACGAGCGCGGGCGGTCATGCGAACTTTCTGCAGAGGTTTCTTCTTTTTCTTTGCCCTACCAGCCGCAGTGGAGCTTTCTGCAATCGCCACTTGCTTGCTCTCCACCGGTGCAGGAGGCTTCTTTGAACGGATGGGAGCATAGAACAACCTTCCATCAGAGTCAAGTTCCTCGGCAGTCATAGCATCAGTAATGAACATCATCCTCTTCATCTTCCCTCCCGCCGCTTCATCATCCCCTCCTGCTCCACTCAACATTTGGCCCATCCCCGGAATCATCCCTGCGATCTTACTCAACGGTCCCATCCCCATAATATTCGACAACTGCTCCCTCCAATCTCTAATACTAAACACACCACCCTCACCAATCTTCTTCAACATCTCCTGTTGCCTCTCTTGCCCTCCATTCATCTGCATCTCTTCCATCTTATCCATCAATCCACTGATATCTCCCATACCCAGTAACTTGGAGATGAAAGGTTGAGCACGGAACGGTTCGAGATCAGCAGCGTGTTCACCGGTACCAATGAACATAATGGGTGTGGAGGTAGCAGCGACGGCGGATATTGCTCCACCTCCCTTTGCGTGTCCGTCGAGTTTTGTGACGATGATGGCACCGTAGCCAGCAGCTTCTTTGAATGCACGGGATTGGGCTTCTGCCGCTTGACCGATGTTTGCATCGAGGACCATGATGGTAAGGTCGGGGGTAACGGCGACGTCGATTTCGCGCATCTCGTCGAACAGTTCTTGCTCCTGTTTGTGACGTCCGGAAGTGTCGACGATGATTACTTCGAATCGGTTTTGTTTGAAGGAGGCTACACCTGCAGCAGAGATGGCGACAGGGTCGGTTTCGGTGTAGGATCCGTAGAAGGGGACGTTGATCTTGCTTGCGTTCTGTTTCAGCTGATCAAAAGCACCTGCTCGGAAAGTGTCTGCGCAGACCAAACCCGTTTTGAAACCTCGCTTTTGGTAGTACAGGGCCAATTTGGTACACGAAGTCGTTTTACCCGAACCCTGCAAACCTACGAACATGATGACATTAGGCTTTCCCTTCTTCGGCTTGAAGATATCCCCTGGGCCAGCATTGCTAGAAGGAACGACAGCACCCGATTCATCGTCTGTTTTCGTCTGGCCATGAAAAGGATCTACAAGAGCAACGAGATGGTCGAAAACGGCTTTTTGAACTCGTTGACGTCTTTGTGTGTCGGTCCAGTTGGCGTTTGCTTTATCGTTGAGTAGAGCTGTAACTTGAGCTTTGACCCGAGAGCGGAGGTTGGCGACAAGTTTGACGTTTACATCGGCTTCGATGAGGGCATTGCAGACGGATTTCAGGAGTTGGTCGATGGAGGCAGCATCGACGGTGGGGACTTTGGAGAGATCTTGGAAGGCCGAATTGATCCGACGGCCGAGATCGGAGAGAACCATGCTAGACAGAAGGGAGCGCGCGAAGAGGTCTGCGCTACTACTTGATGCTGCTGCTGATGGTGATGAGGGGGGAGTGAGGTGCAAGGTATTCGCCGCTCGATTCGAGGTGTGGGGTTCAACGAATGAGCGTGCAGCGGCCACCTTTTGCGGACTCATAGAGTGGCTGAGGTCACGTGGAGGTCGATCTCGATCTGCCCGATCTGATTAGAGATGTTGGTTATGGTAGCCTAACATTACAGAAATTTACGGCCTCCACCTTGAAGTCTCTCTGCACAGTTGAAGATACATCGGTATTGTCAAGAAATAATGTGTTAGATCAGAACACTCATGATCGGGGAATCGGGAAGACACCAAGCGACAAGGAGGATGAGATGGATGCAAAACTAGTGGGGGCACATGCAACTTATGCTCGAGGGTCGACACCATGGCATGCAGGAGGTATGATAACATGACAACGGTAATGAAAGGAAGATACATGGCACATGGGCATGACTCGAGAGAGTAGGCTTAGCTGGATGCCAAAGCATGTATATATACTCCTGTCTAGTCGTCACTTCCTCATGGAAATAGCAGCACTTTTTGTGAAGATCCACTTGCTTAAGTTGAGCGCCTGACTGTGGCCTTACTAAGCGGTGTACCTAAATTCAACTTGCACGCTTCTCTTCTCTCTCTCTCTCTCTCTCTCTCTCTCTCTCTCGGCAGTGCGTTGGCAAGCCAACAGACATCGACCCACAAGAATCTTGGCCACACTACGATACCCTGATACACTTGCGGCTGTGCGATCTATACTCGACTGCGTCCTGTTCATACCACACAAAGGCTGGATCGTGAGGGATGAAATCATAGACACAACCCAAGTCGGCGGCAGTGACTAACTGATGTTACAGTTGCAATCGGCTCGTCTGAGTGAAGTGCGATGGTGTGCATGTTGTGACAGGGAGATGTTGACAGGGAGATGATCGCCATGCTCTGTACGCTAGAAGTGGATGCGATCTGTTGAGATAAATGACGGATGGTAGGAGGTAACTTACTTAGGACAGCAGGTGAGAAAGGCGACACAAGAAGAATCGGCGGGGCTGTGCAATCCGGATTGACTGTCGAGCTTTGGCCGCATATCAGCACTGCAAAACTGATTTCTCCCAAGTCGGCAACGATTCGAGCTTTCTTGCTGCACTTTTCGGCACTGTCGGCCAGTCCATCAGCCGGTCTTGTACAGAGTAGTACCAAGCAGATCACTCGATGCTATTGATTCTATCGACAAGCTTGTAAGGATGCGTCAAGTGCAGGAGGCTGTTGAACTCGAGAGAAAGACCCTTTTTGGCGAATCTGCGAACAATCAGCCAAAAAAAAAGTGTCAAGTCAGCAGCACTGCCCGTCATCCTTTCTAATGCTGCTTGTGCTTGTGCTTGTGCTTCTGCTTTGGCTTCGCACCTTGGCTTCCCTCCCCCTCCCTTCCCTCATCTGCTGACTTTTACCCATGCAGACCCAGTCTCAAACGACATTGCCGCTCTTCATCTGGTCCAGCTCGATCCTTTTGTGTCAAGATGAGACTTTCCTCCAACATCCCCTCCTCGGACTCGTCCAGCTCAGGCAGGCTCGAAGACGAACTTGCCAGGATCGTGCATCAGATTCACAAGACTTCGACTATTCTCAATATCGCCAACGACTCTGGCATCTCCTTCTCCGGCCAGGGAAGCAGCGGCTTGATTGCAAGTCCAGTCCGTCAAGCGACTGGAAGCTCAATAGCTAGCACTATCACACCTGAATCCGCACCCGCTCGGTCTGATACTGTTACATTGGATTCTTCCGCTCCTGCACCTTCAGCCAGCGCAATCGTTGATCCTTCTCGCAACAACCGTCCATCTGGACTTCCGATCCTTGCTACGTTTGATACAAGCTCTCCACTGCCGGGTAGTGCCAATGTCGTAGATTCACCTTCTGTTCTCAAAGCGAACGAGCCTTTCTTTTCGGAAGCAGCAGGTCCAGCCTACTCTCTCTCGCCATCCTCTTCTCAAGATTTCGAGTTGAACGCGTTGTGGGATAGCCTAGCAAGAGAGCTCAAACCCATCGCCGACATTCTTCGCTCTGGACGACATCGTACACCTCTCGGCACCTCCCGATTGCCCGCAGACTGTGTTTCAGCCCTCCAACTCTGGCTTTGCACCGGATCCTCACCCTCCAAACAGCCTCCTAACAGCCACGCTCTCGAAGCGGCAATCGAGATCTTCCGTGTCCTCGCCAACTTGTGCATCGATCACGACGCAAACCGGTCCTTGCTCGACGCACTCAACGCCGCCCCCACCGTCCTCGCTGCCGTATCTGCGGTATTGCGCAAACAAGAACAGTCCCGCTCATCGGCGCTGTTCTCGGTCAAGATCCTCACTTTCCTCCGAGCAGCGATGGGTGCGGTGCTGAACATGCAGTTGGAGCATATCGCTACAAAACAGTCGCTTGCGAATGCAGAGTGTATCCGGGTTTTGACGAGGGTTGCCTCGCATGAGAGGGTGTATCTGCCGCATGTGTGGGCAGAACCCTTGACGGTGGAGATGGAAAATGATGCGGAGGCGGTGGGGAAGATGAAGATGGGTGCGACTGTTAGTAGTTGGGCGTGGAGAGTCGTTCAGGAGATATTTGACGATGCCAAGGAGGAGAAGGAGGGAGATGTTTCAACGCCTTCGGATGAGGAGGATGAGGAGAGGGGTGGTTTGGGGGGGACGAGGGATGTAAGAGGGATTCTTGCGAGGAAGTGTTTCGATGAGTTGCTTCGTCCGCTTTCGTTCTATATTCCGAAAGAAGAGGGGAAGGAGGGAGAGAGGAGGTTGGAGTTGGATACGGATGATGTTGAAGAGTTGGTGGATTCGGATGCAGAGATCTTGCAGACTATTGGGGGGTTGTTGGAGACGTGTGCTGTTGAGGAGCATGTGTTTAGGCAGCGTGCGGTCAGAACTATGGACAGCGAAGGGGAGGCTGCGGCTAAGACTTGGGGTTTGGATTCGTTGATGTCATTCGTTGAGCGTGCTCAACTTCCCCGAGAGTGGGTAAGGGACTTCCCCTCCAGCAACGAGGCTCAGTCAAGCGAAGACGCAGCCGCAGCCGACGAGATGCGAAAAGCTTTCGGCTCGATCAAAGCTTCCGCCGCACGCGCAGTCGTCGCTATCTCCGGAGATGATTCCAACATGGTCATCCTCTTCGATTCAGCATATGGCTTCATCCATCGACTCAAAACCTGGATTCGATACGATCCCAAAACACGCGACGATCTCGTCAGCTGTGGAATGCTTGCTCTCGGCAACCTCGCTCGAAGCGACGCACACTGTCTTTCTCTCGTACAAGAACACGAACTCGCCCCCTTTCTCGCGGCACTGCTGAGGGATGCGGATGATATCAAAGTAGCACACGGCTTAGTTTCGCTGCTGAAGAACCTTTCCATTCCGGCCGCGAACAAAAGGGTAATTGGCGAATTGGGGGTGGTGGATGCAGTAGTGAGGTTCATGGGTAAGGATAAAGATATGGTTCAACCGTTGCAGTTTGCGACTGTGGGGTTGTTGAAGCATTTGTGTAGTGGGGTTGGGGAGAATGCTGTCCGTCTAGTGGAGGGTGCGGGGCTGAACGCGGTAGTGGATATGATTAGAAGAGTGGATGATGTTCCGACCAAGATGGAAGCGACCCGAGTCCTGGTCAACGTCGTCAAATCTCTATGGAACTCGGCATCTCGTCCCAGTTCCGAGCTTTCAGAGGAAACCCTCTTCTCAGCAAGAAAAAAGTTGGTGAGGAGGGACGTAATCCAATCGCTAGCAGAAATGGTCCGCACTTCACCCAAATACCCCGTTCTGGTCAACGAAGGGATCATCGCCCTTACTCTCGTAGGAAGCGAACGGATGGGTGCGGAACTCGTCAGTCTCTCGCTTCTTACCAAACCTACCAAACCTACCGCCGACGAGGAGGAAGACGAAGAGATGGCTTCTGATAGCGAAGCTGCTGCACTACGAGCGCCGAGGCGAAGATCAACGGTGGATAGTTCGGCTTCTACTTCTTCGCATCCGCTGCCACCACCTGCTTGTGCATTGGATATGGTGAATTTGGTGCTGGCAAGGAGAGATGCTAGGATGCCTCCTCAGTTTGCGAGCAATGCTTGTGCTCTGGCTATTAGTCTTTGTCGTGCCACTACCGCAATTGGAGAGGGGGAAAGTAGGGGTGCAGTGGGACAAGAAGCGGTGAAAAAGTGTCTAACACAGACGAAACCGGTGTTGGAAAGGTTGAAGGATTGTGGTCCGATAGAGGCGCTTGCTGCTGCAGCAGAGGCGCTGGAGGGGGTTTCCCGTGTCACAGCCAGCTAGCTCTTATAGGCGATCGATCTGTAGGGATATTAGTTCATCATCATCAATCAACATCATCCCATTGCACTTTCATCCGTATTGCTAGTCAGTGATGAGCGGAGGAAGCATTGTGTGAAAGAAGCGATCTGACGACAATCGGGATCTTGATTTCCTCAAGATCTCTCTCTCAGACTTGTGAATCGGCGGTTGTCAAGATAGCCTCTGAATTCTGGCTCGAAATTTGGCAACCTGCGCATCAGGCCTCTAGAACCGTAGTTCATGCTCCGAGAAAATGGAAATTAAAATGCATTTTCGAGAGAGCAAGCGCTGCCTCGGATCGGTGCATTATCGATTTGATGGATTTCCTCCAAAAAAATCCCCTTGTTGGCTAGCATCGCGGGTTGCGAGCTTTCAAGTTCGACGCCAACAACACTCACTGCTATCATCACCACCATCACTTTCTTGCACGCTCCTTTGCTCACACCATCACCACCACTTCCAAGTTCGCTTTTTAAGGAAGCATCGACAGTGCATCCAAACGCGATCCTTCCGCCTCCAACAAGCGCGACTGCGCTGAATCCTACCGCGCTTTACTTCACACCCACTTCACACCCACTTCACACCCACTTCACACCCACTTCACACCCACTTCACACCCACTTCACACCCACTTCATCACTTCGCTGTCCATCAAGACCAGCCATCATCTCATCCGAAGATGTTGTTGAAACTCTCATCCACCTTCCTCCTCGCACTCGCTGCTGCCACCACCAGCGTTTGGGCCCAAGACGAACGCCTAACATTCCAAAACGTAACCTCCATCTACGGCACCTGGTCTTCTGGCTCCCAAAATGTCACCACCGGAATCGAGTTTTTCAACCCCGTAACTCAATCCTTCACCCTCCCTGCCACTACCGGCATTTCCTACTCCTTCACCGATAACGGCTATTTCGAAGAATCCCGCTATCAATTCGCCTCGAATGCCGTCACCAACCGTTGTTTCAAAGCCTCGCTAATCTGGCAACATGGAACCTATCAATTCCATTCAAACGGCTCCATCACACTCCAACCTTTCCCTGCAGATGGATATATTCAGGTTCTCGATCCGTGTGGAGCGCAGACGAGCAGCATTTATCACTATGCGGAGTTCGAGTTGATCAGCAGTTGGTATAATTATCAGGACAACAGTCCAGGGTTCAAACCAAAGGGAGAGGCTAGCTTTGCGCTGCAGATGATGGCATTCGACGGCTCCAAACTTCCCCTAATGTGGCTTAGAAACAGACCACCGAACATGCTCCCAACCAAACAGCTTTTCCAACAGGTGCTGAACGATGCTGGTGCCTAAAGATCGCAACTTCACCCTAGCTCCAAGGATGGGTTCTTGCACCAACGACTCAGCCAATACGGACTTTCTCTCTTCGATTCTATTCTCATCTCTCTCGCATATCTTCACTCTTGTGTTTTACGTCGTGATCGCATTCTGCTTGGTTTTTTTTTTTTTTTTTCTCTCTTGTTTCCGATGACTTGTGCTGAATGCGTTGCGAGGTCTGTGGTTGCGGTTGATCGAAGAAGCAACAAGGGCAGGCACTAATGGTGATCTGATTGTTAGTTTCGGAGTAAGTTGGTTCTCACATGCCAGCATCACAGCATAGCAAGTCAAAACGGTTGACAGCGAGAGGATTGCATTGCTGAATTCCGCCTCACCGAGCTGAAAGCGTGTCCATGATAAGCTTGCTTTCAGGGTAAGGCTTACTTGTCTGCTTGCTTCCAAACATCTTCATCGCCAGTACTTAGTGGTGCAGTATTCGCATTCGCTTTTGTCTTTCCCCCTTCGTCCTCATCATCCTCATCATCGTCGTCAATAGAAAACAGATCCTCTCTCCGCCTCGCATTCCCACCAAGACTCGAACTTGCTCCACCGAAATCGTCCACGGTATCATCCCAAATCTCACCACCACCAAACCTAGCCTTTTTCTTCCCCCCTATCCCGCTTCCCCCGCCCGCTCCGGTTTGTTTCAGACTAGACTTCAACGCTCCCCCTCCATCTTGCATTCTTGGCATAGTCTCCAATTCCTCCTCTTCATCTCCTTCCTCCAGATCCAAATCGCCATACTCCTCGCTATCCAGCGGAGCATATAATCTCTCTAACTCCCTCCGCGCTCTCCACCTTTTCTCGCCATGCCAAGCGAAAAACAATCCTCCTCCAGCCCCTAGTAGATTCGCTACTATGTCACCTAGTTGAAAGACTTTATACGGCAACATACCCTGAACTATTTCGCTTCCCACCCCTCCTACTACGAAACAGGTTATTAGTGTTAGAATCAACGATGCGTTTCGCCAGAGGTACGAGGAACGGGCTGACTCGTCTACGTCCCATATTAGGTAGAACAATGCAGTGGCGAGGAAAAAACAGATAAAGTGGAGTAACTTGTCGTTTATGGATAAGAGGAGCGATGCTGAGGGATGGAAACCAAGTAATCCGAGCAAGATAAGGACAAAGATTGTTAAGAGCAGGATAAACGGACGGATCCGGAGTGGAAGTAAAGGTGGGGTGGAAGGAGAAGAGGAAGGAGGGGTGGAGGTGAGGCGGACTGAGCGCAGAAGGAGAGATTTCAAGATGGATAGACGGGAGGATGGTGGGGTTGGAGAGAAGGGGGAGAGCGATCGAAGGTCCGAGATGAAACGGGGCCAGCCTGAGGTTGTTTCCAGACGAGGCATGCTAAGTGCACTGCTAGCCGGTATATAGGCTGCTTCGAGGTTGGTAGCAACGGTGGATCGGTGGATCGGTGGATCGCTCGACTTGCGCTAGATGAGCCCTTAAAGGTTGTACGTGATAGGTCCATACGCGACGGGAGGGTGAGGATAGGGTGAGGTAACCGGGAAGAAGATAAGATGCAAGTGTGTGTGCAGTGTGTTGGATTCCGAGTGAATCTTCGGAAGACGGAGTTAGAGAGGGTCAAAGCGCCTGACAGCCAAGAAGCGCAACTCTTCTGTTTTGAAAAACGCCTCAATATAGCGCAAGTCAGGCACAGGGCTTTCTCTTTGCCTAACTAATGTGTATAGGCTTCAGGGACCTCCTCCTCATCCTTGCCTTTCGAACACCGTCTCTCTCATACACGCACACTCACCAGCAGAAGAGGTTCTACAGTACGCGGCAGCTTAGAGTTCGTGCACCCTAGAAAGCCAAGAGGAACAAGCGCTTCACACACCCTCTCTCGCTTCTGTATCTCTTGTCCTTAATTTGCTCGGGTGTATGGAATTCGCTCGCCTCTGCACCAGGAGAGCCAAAGGCGAACTTACATACTGCAGCTCTCCATGTGAACACGCAAGTTTCCGATCCGTTGTAGTTCCACTCGACCGAGTAACGTTGTAAAGTCACATTTCATGGATAGAGTCCAGCCGTGGGAAGGCGACTACTCGCGTACTCTCTCCTTACACTTCTCTTGTTGCTTCTGAGGATGTCAGGTTGAGCATGGCATCCCTTCACCTCTTTTGACATCACAAAGGCCCCACAGAACCTATCGTCTTGTTGAGAACCGGATCTAGGTCCGATCGGCGATCTGAGCTCAACCTCACACCTATACACACACACACACCAAAAATTCTTTCAAGTATGTGCGAGTGTCAGCATTGGAAATGTCCATTAAAGCATTGATGTTGCCGAGATGGTCTAGTGCTTGATCCCCCCAGCAGCCCCAATTCCAACCCCATCTCCTCCGGCTCTCGCTCCATCACCCAGCGTTGAACTAGGTATCCCAGTCGAACAGTAATAGGCCAAACTAGAAAGTGCTCTTCTTCGTTTCACGCCCAAAAGCAACTGTTTCACTGCTGAGGGAGGCTTTTGCTCCTTGTATTCTTGTTTCTCTGAGAGTGTGTTGTGCTTTTCGGAATGGTAGTAGCTGTGGTTGGTAGTGAGGTGCGAAGCAACTGGAGAAGTGTCGTAACTAACGAGTGGGGTGTTTGGTGTTGATATTGATGTTGGCGGTTGATTGGAGCTGGGAGAGTATGGGGAAGACGTGTATGATCGGTACGACCCGTGGCCTGGACTTCGGGTTCTCTTACTTGTGCTAATGGGAGAGGTATCTCCGGGAATGGGAGGAGGGGGAAGAGGCATACCACTAGCAAAAGCACGGATCGGGGTCATGGCGGCACTTCTACTGACCCTCCTCTCCCTCTCCCTCTCCCTCTCCCTCTCCCTCTCCCTCTCCCTCTCCCTCTCCCTCTCCCTCTCCCTCTCCCTCTCCCTCTCCCTCTCCCTCTCCCTCTCCCTCTCCTTCTCCCTCTCCTTCTCCCTTGGATCATCTTGCTTGCAACCTGTGGTGTAAGCTCTTACCCTACCACCCACCCTCCTCTTCCCTTCGCCATCTTCCATATTCCTCGCTGCAGTCCTGAACGCCTCAACTAGCGACTTTGCAGGCAACGAACCCCTATGTCCTGCCCTCGACGATATCGTTGGTCTTCCTGAGCGCAGCCTCCACCAACCCCCAAGCTTAGTCTTCAACCCTTCGTCCAATCCCAAGTGTCTAGCGTTGAGCATCACACTCTCCCATCTTACTTTGCCGTTCTCCATTGCGCAAGTGAGTCGGGTGAAGTCTCCCAAGTAAAAATATTCTACGAACAGGTCGAATACGGTAGGATCCGGTAAAGGAAGTTCGATACTCGGTAGATCTTCCGATTCAGTTGAGCTGAGCGAGGGAGAGGATAGAAGGTGAGACAGGGCGGAAGATTGGACGATAAGAAAGTCCTTATGTAGTCTATACAATCTGCCTTCCGATCTAGGAGGACAGAGGGGGCATGAGGAGGGGGAGGTTGTGGCTGGTGGTGCTGATCCTCGTCTGTTCTCCGCTAGATGGTGGTGGGGAGGAGAGAATCGGATGCTTCGCAGAGTTGACCGTTCGTGTTGGTCAGGTTCGAGTCTTCGGCGCTTGACATAGCTTTCCCCTTCGATGCTGCCTTCACGAACATGTGATGAGGGCGGGCTTCTTCCAGTGGAAGCCCGCTCAACAAAGTGACTCGTGGAAGGACCAGCAGAATTCGGCATCGACGCACTCGTCGCTCCAAACCTCTGCCCCTCTTCGCTAAGTTGACGATGTGAACAAGTGTATAACTTGACCACCTTGATCAAACAGTCTGCTGTGTCGGGACGATGCCAGTACAAACAACCGATCTTGTGAAGGGATGATATTAGCTCCTCTCTCTTCATTGTTGGTTGAGTTTCGAAGGTCGACGTTGGTGTTGTTGCCATAATTGCATCATTCGGTGGGCGATTGTATTCGATGATTGATTGATGGGGTAGAGTTGTGTGGTAATTAGTAGCGAAGAAGTCGAAGTAGATGACGAAGATGGCAGTGGTGGTGGAGGAGATATATGAAGTGGGACTTGGCCTAGTCAAAGTTCGGGAAGGGATACGGATAGTAGATGAAGGGTATGAGAGTGTCTTGACAAGCTTTCCATCGACAGGTACGTAACAGAGCCCTCTGCAGGGGTGGACACACGGCGTTCAGGAACACAAAGCTCCTGCCAAAATACCGGCGGACTAACCACGCCCAGCCTCCCGACCATCCTCTCTTCGCCACTCATAGCATTCTCTTCGGTGACACTCAGTCTGCAGCGAGAGTGCAGGCATGGTAGAAGGTTTTTCGCTCCCTATTGTGCTTATCCAATCAATTGTCGAGCCTAGGCTCTATTTCCCGCCAAGACCCTTATCGAGACCCTGACTGTGACAGGTGTCACACGTAGCACAGTCACTTGTATAGATACATACACTCTTTCACACTCTGATTACTCACTTGTGAACTTAGCGGACGTTGACGCCAGCACATCAACCTGATTGCCGACTTAAGTGGTTACCGCAATGACACACAAAAGCTGTCACTCCATCGCTACTGCAAGCCACGGATGAGAGGGCTTTCACAGCAATGCAAAGTGTTGCAGGATCTGGCATGATGCTTCTAGCCCAACCGCTTTCTCTCCAAGTGAGGAGAAAGTCCGGTCACAATGGGAGTTTTACATTGATCGCTCCTTTGTTCGCGTGAGAAAAGAAGACCAAGCCAAGGTACTGCGCTGTATAAGATCGCTCGCATAGTAGATTGCAGCGGAAATCAGAGCCTTCCCATTGTTTGTTTCTCATGGAACCGGGGGGGGCCGCTCTGATCCCTTACAATGCGAATGCTTCCCTTTGTTCATATGATGGAAGTGTGGGAAACGGATTTTCCCCTCCTTTGCCACGTGGCTGAGAATTTCGTTCCAATCTGCGTGAACTTTAATCACCTCGCTTTGTTCGACCATTGTTCCTTGCTGTGAAGCTTGCTGCACAAAAGGATTGTCAGCAGCTTCCTTTTGATTGTTTCTCCCCATGATACTATCTTCCCTTTGTGTGTGGTGGTAACCTGATCTGAGGTAACCCAACTCCAACGGAAAGAAAAACAACAAAGACAGGAGTGTATGAGGTTTCAGCTGGGCTGCCATGCCCGAACATAAGACACCGCCTGAACTTGCAGATGGTTGTTGCATCCGGTCCGAGCTCTCCAGCATTACGAAGTGGTAGATAGGTCATGTCCGTTTCCTCAGCAGGCCTTTTTGTGTTTCACTCGGCAAGTCTGCATCTTCTTCTCCTCACTCCGAGGCTGTGATTCGTCGCATAACAGAGCTGTGTAAGGCCCATCAGTCGTCGCTGAGCACAAGCATTGTCTGTTCAGAGTATGTGGCTGTATTGCAATTGGGGTCAAAGTACGTATTCGGCCAAGGTAAGATCGGAACGAGAACCTGCAGGATGTCTGCGCTTCACTGGTAGCATTTCATGCTGCAAGTTGGAAGGTCAAAGTCGAAGACAATGGTGACTGGAGTCAGTAAAAAGTTCGGAAATCGGCCTGGCCGGACTTTCCCGAGACTACTCCGAGATGTCATCGATCGCTGCAGTCGACATGTCTGACGCGTATACTTACAGATCCTCAACGTCCTCTTTCGAGCCAAGGAAGACGGGGCAGCGCTGGTGAATGCTGGTAGGCTGAATGTCGAGGATACGCTCTGTACCGGTCGTGGCCAAACCGCCAGCCTGTCAGAGAAGTATATAAAAAATATATAAAATAAAATAAATAAAATAAAATAAAAAAAGGAAGAATGTAACACAAAGACCGATGTAGAAGCAGAGTCAGCAATCCTGCACTATCGCTGCTTCTGCCTTCAGACCTTCCGAGATCCGGTCTTGGGGGTTGAACTTACCTGTTCAGTGAGGAAGGCCATCGGGAAAGCCTCGTACAGCATACGTAACTTTCCTGCCTTAGACTTCTTGTCATCAGGGTATCCAAAGATACCACCATACAGCAACGTCCTGTGAACATCCGCCACCATCGATCCGATATAACGAGCCGAGTAAGGCTTCGCACCTTCACCTTTGGGGAACTTGATGCTGTCCAAATACTTCAGAACAGGCTCGTGGTAATACATGCTGTTACCCTCGTTGATCGAGTAGATCTTACCGCGGCTTGGCAATCGAATGTTGGGGTGAGTCAAGATGAACTCTCCAATCTGGTTATCAAGCGTGTATCCATTCACACCGTTACCCGTTGTTAAGACCAAGTTGGCCGAGGATCCGTACATACAGTAACCAGCAGCGACCATCTCACGACCGGGACGCAAAACGTCTTCGAGAGTACCCTTGGATCCGTCACGGACGAGGTAGATGCCGAAGATGGTACCGATATTGACACCGGCGTCGATGTTGGAGGAACCGTCCAATGGGTCGAAGACGACACAGTACTTGCCCTTGGTGGATTCAAAGGTGACACCTTGTTGCTTTTCGCCGACAAAGATGGCCTCGTCGTCCTCTTCGGAGACAAGGACGGCGGCTTTGCCCGAGGCACGCAATGCGTTAATCATGATTTCGTTGGAGAGAACATCGAGCTTCTTTTGGTCTTCGCCCTGAACGTTTGTGTTTCCAGCAGCTCCGATGCTGTTGCAATTTGAGTGGGAAGGGTCAGATTGAGCTCGTTAGCATTTGCTCGTCAGCTTTGCGAGGCGTGGTCGCGCATCAAATGATACTTACAGGTTGATCAAGCTGGCCTTTCGGACATTGCTCTCGATGAACTTGCTGTTCGTATCAAGATGAAGAGAGGATAGAGCGTGAAGAGTGTCAGCTATACTTGGTCACTCGGCATGCATCTATTAATGCTGCGCAAGGCAGCTTTGCGTCGTACTCACCAGGTGGTCTGAAGCGAGCTGAGCAAGATGGTAAGATCACCACTGGCAGCACTAGTCTGCCTGAGCTTAAAGCCTTCGGTCAACACATGTCGTGTCAAGGTAATGATATCAGTGGAAGGGGGAGAGTAGTCGTCGGCGCCCATCTTGTCGGTTGTTCTGATGTGTTTCGTTTTGAGTGAATGCGGAGCGAGTTTGACTTGGTGTCTACGAGGTCCTTGACGAGGATGGTGATGGTTTGGTGGAAAAAGAGATGAGAGCGCAGGTGCTTGGATATCTTGGTGTTCAGCCCGTTTTGAGTGTGTCCAGTCGGACGCTTCCGAGCAGGTCCGATGTCACTTGGCGTCTGTTTTCTGCGTTGTGTTGTGTTAATTAGTCACGGGTCGCTGCAGACCCACACTCTCCCTCGCTCTTCGAAAGGCCGAAAGCGGGATGTGATGTGCTTTCAACACAGAGCAGCAGAGTGCGGTTCGAGCACAAACTCTCTCTCCGCAACTGTGCCTTTCTTTTCACGCCTTCGTTGGTGTCTGTGCGCGCTCGCTCAGTGTGGAGTTTTCCGGGAGCAGTTGAAAGCCGCTCTTGTCCTGTCAATCGGGTCTGACCGGATCAAGCGGCTTGACCGATTTCTTCACCCTTGCCCCACGCTCATCTTTCCCGATTCGATACGAGCTATTCGCACCTGCCATTCACCGCTCGCTTCGTCGTCCATAGTCAAGTCGGTCGAAGTCGAACCATCTTACTGAGATGGTCGGCAATCCTCCTTGTGATCACAGAACAGCAAAGAAGTCGAGTTTCTTGTCTGAACAGCCTTCTAGAAGTCAAAGCTCAGTTGAGATCACTCTAGACACTCCGGTCATCGACAACGCTTGTAATGTTAGAGCTGTAGCGCTGCATCCAAATTCTTACTGTATTCGCTCTAACGCGGAGCAATGGGCACCTATCGCTTGTTGAAGTTTGAAGACGTTTTGGTCCCGATACTGGCGATCGGGGAGAGTCCGAGTACGATGTCACTGCTGCTAAAAGACAGAAACATATATACTCAATTGACTGAGAGAATGTGGCGAGAGCCTAGTGCTCTCTGTGAGATATATATACATGTGAGCGGCACATGCCGAAGGTGGGAGTACTCCTACTTAATGACCCAGCCTGGCAACGAGCGGGACTTGGTCGTACCCGATCCTTATCAGAATCGGTTAACCCCGATTTCCGATCTCGTCGTCCTTGCGTCACTCCTTAGCGTCGTCATTGGATCGTGTATTCCAGCACCTACTGGATCGTTATGTTTAGCATTTAATGGTACTGAAGACCTGTGATGTTGTTTTTTTTTTTTTTTTTTTTTTTTTTTTTTTTTTTTTTTTTCTTTTTTTCATGGCTTTTTTGTGCCTCAATTTTCAATTGAATTTCTTTCACGTTTTTAGTCTCTGCTTGGAAATGACAGACTCGATCCGCAGCTGGACCCTGAATTTTTGCGATTTTGGAACAACTTTACACGACTTGTTGCTTCCGAGCAATCATCACAACGGTAGGCCCGAGCGTCGATGACTACGCACACCATCTCAACGCCACCGCAGTTCTTCCACTGAACAGAGCTTGGCATGCCAGTCTGACGGTAATCTACCGGCGACGTGTCCAATCAACTCCCATCTCCAAGGAGTACCTCGTGTTCGCTTCAAGATGCCCGCTACATCCTCCAAGAGAGCAACACCGGCGCGGAAGAAGGCAAAGCTTGCCCACGACTCGACGAGTGCTGACAAAGAGGCAAGCAATGGACCCGTATCAGAGGCTCAGACTCAAGTGCAATACGTCGAAGCGTCCGCATCCGCTTCATCACCGTCGCGAAACAGACCAAGACGATCAACGCAAAAAGTGACCGTCGACTATGCGATCGAGCCATCTCCAGAAGAGTCTCCTGAGCCAAGCACTTCAACTCCAACCTCGCCACGATCCGCTGCCACCGCTCTCGCAACACCGACTGCCAGCACTCCGCAAGTGATATTTGCAACACCACCTCCAAAAAACAGTGCAAAAGGCAAAGGCAAAGCAAGAGCCAAGTCAGAAGACGAAGACTACAACGATGATGCGGCCGATGAAACATCCTCTCGCAGAGATCCCGACCTGGAGATATTCACCCTGGAAGGTCCGATACATGATGTTAATAGGGTGCAGCTCAAGACTAGCAAAGCGAAGGCGATGCGCCCGTTTTGGTTACAGGGTGCTGTTCAGCCAACTTTCTTTGGTGTGCCCACTTCGGACGTGTTGCAAAATGTAGCTGACCAAGAAAGGGACGCGAAATCAGAAGCGGCTCGAGGAAAGCACTCACTTGAAGAGGCACTTCCTTGGCCGCAAGACGGACTCGCGGAGACTTGCTTGGATTCCAAGGCGTATCCTTTGATCAAGAAGAGCTTGCAAAAGTTCTGGCTCGGGTATGTTGGGTGGATTCCAAATGAAGGTGTGTACGATATGGCTTGGTATCCGGGCAAAGCAACGGGGTACAGAGAGAGTCAAGAAAGATCAGCTTGGGTGAAGACTGCAAGGCAGCAACTGATGTCGGGCGAGAACCACTCAAGTCTCACAGAGAGGGCTGATCGAGTAGGATCGCCCTTCGTTCAGCGCTGGCTGGACACCCATCGTCACACTCTTAAGCTTCTCACCACCAAAACAGCACAGCCATTTCTTCAAGACACAACAACCCCGCAACAAAGCGCAGTACGCCACCCGACCACTGTCATGAAGCTAACCGTCCCGGAGATCTCCATGCGCAGTCGACTCAAGAGGCACACTCTTACCGACACGCCCAAAACACCTAAGAAACCATCTCGTTCCAAGACTGATGGGGGAAACGGAGAAGCTGACGATGCAGGCGAAGGGTCCGACGAAGAATTCGCCAACGAAGACGAAAATGCCATTGCTGCGTTCGATGCGAACCAAGAGCCTATCAACCTCGACGATCCCAAGTTTGCCAATATCCCCAACCTTGGCATCGAAGAGAAAGGTCCACAGACTGGTGACGTGCTGCACATTTCAGTCGGGCCATCGGGACAAGAGAGACCAGTGCAAATCCCACGGGGCATGTCAGAACGGCTTGACAGAATGGGCGTAGTGCCGGATGAAGGTCATATAATGAATGCCGGAGGCCATGTCTACGATCTAGGTTGGGTTCCTGTGCCAGTGCATTTGAATACGGGCAAAGAGTACTTTGTGGTGTCTGCAGCCGGGTCGAAGGCGCCAATGACGCTTGTTGGGCAGAAGCAACAACGTCCTGCGCCTGCAAGCTTGCAGGTTTGGAGCGTCTCTCCAGACTCGCCTGCAGCTTCTGACGGTGGGAAAGGGAGCAAAGGAGAAGCCAAACTGGAGATGGTAGTGTGTCATGAAATGGGAGCGGCGTACAAAGTTGCATTCTGTCCGATCGGCCATGACTATTCTGCTCATGGAGTAGAAGAGCAAGGGATGCAAGGCAGGCTGCGTCGATTAGGCCTTCTAGCAGGATGCTTTGCAGATGGCAGCCTATCCATTTTTTCCATCCCCAATCCTGACTCCATACGCGCTGCTCAAACCAAGTCAAAAGCCAAGGCCTCCGCAGATACACCTCTCTACATCCGCCTCGACCCCATCCTCACACTCGAACACCTGCACCAATCAGCCACCTCTCTCTCCTGGGCTGGAGGAGAACTCCTCGCCTTCGGTGGATCCCAAGGTTGGATTGGAGTTTGGAACATTGGTCGTATACTACGTAATCCCTCCCGCTCCATCCCTCCACCGCCACCAGACTACGTCATCCGAGCCCACCGCTCCGCTATCACCGACTTGACTTTCATCCTCGCCCCACCCATCTCCTCCTCCGGCCACATCCTCCACACTTGCCTCCCCCAAACTCTCTTCTCCGTATCCCTCGATGGCTGGACAGCATACATCTCCCTCCCCCGCTGCAGCGCTACCTCGATCGAACGGTCTCGTGCAGTCCACTATGCATGCACTTTCTCACCTTTCACCGGTGGCAGCCTCGTTCACGAAATGGCAGACGGCTCCATCGCTCACTACTCCCTTCGCCCGGAGGAGATGCTTCGTTCGCGTTCGATCTCCCACACACCCTCCCGAGTCCTCTCGCTGTCCTGCTCTGCTTTCCACCCGATCGTAGCAGCAGGCACAGCTCATGGTGAGGTGAAACTCGCCAACATCTTCCGTACTCTGCGAAGGAGTCAGCGTAACCATGTACCCATCTACCAACAGGTACTGGACAGGACAACGGGGGAATTGACGGTGAAGCATCACTTGTTGGCGGAAGTGGCGAACAACGCCGAACCGAAAAAGTGGGCTATTGCACAATGGCACCCCTCCCTAGCAGTGACTGGGGTAGAGTGGAATCCAAATCTAGGCCGATGTAGGTTGCTATTGAGTGGCACTGCTGGGGGGATGCTAAAGGTTGACTTTGTTAAACCTCCTTACGAAAGCTAACTAGCCTGCACACTCAATCGACCTGGTTCAAAGCAATGCAGAGTGATCGAGATGATCAAAAGAATGTGTGTCAGAAGTTACTAAAACGGCATTTTCGCAGAGATTCAGATCCTCCACAATCCCACTTGGACAGCCTCTGAAGCAACATCCTCATCCGACGAAAACATCACATTCACCTGGCTCGGCCACGCAATTTGCCATCTCCAGATTCCGATCGGCAAGGGCAACAAAGACACCATCCTCTGCGATCCGGTTCTCTCCCGTCGCGTGTCACCAGTCCAATGGTTCGGTCCTGAACGATACACTGATGCCCCAGTCACTTCAGAAGAGATCGCACACGCTACCAAAAGCAAGGCAAAAACGCATGGCCGGATTAAGGTGACTTGTGTTCCTGCACAGCATTGCTCGGGGAGAGGATTGACGGATCGCGATCGCACGCTGTGGGCTGGTTGGACTTTCCATGCTATGATCGAGGCTATCTGTTGTTCGAAATGATTGAATCAAGTGCTGAACTCAAGGCATCATCTCCCCCAACGTTCTCGTTGGTGTGGATTACTCACAAGCAAGCATCAACCTCGCCAAATCCATCAGAACAAAGCGTGGGGGCGATTGCGAACAAGTCAATTTCGATACTACGTCGATATTGTTGGTATCTGGCAGCAGTCTCTCACCAGCTTACTCGCCAGATCGAGTTGCAGCGAGATAGGCGCCACTTGGCCCTATCTAGACGGCTGATGATGTGACCACAAGCAAGAGGAAACAACCCGGCCGGCAAAATAAAAGCTTCCTTTTCGGCCCGTCCTATTGTGGATCTGACATGTCACAATTGGCGTGACAGCTGTTCCTTCAGGGTCCAAATGATGTCGCAGTGTTGGAGTGCTCGAACTGCTGCGCAATTTGCCTCACTTCTCGGCAGTGATGGTGTTCTGCACTGTATGACCTGTCGAAGGTGCCTGTCCTCCTCTAAGCTTGCTCGCCTGCATCGCAGATTGTCAAGGTGCAGGGCGATAGATCAGAGCGTCAAGAAGGTGCCTATCCCACCTAGACCATCCAATGTCTCATGTTCTGGTCACCACTTACCATACTGCTGCGCGATTGCTTCACTTGCGCAGGCGCCACAGGTCTGGCCGGCGCCTTGACGTGAAGCTTCATGCCCTTCCGACGCATCACAATCAACCTCGAAGCCCACGTTATAGACTACAGTGTATCTGTATTAGTTGAAAGAGATTCTCGTCGTTATGCACACAATGAGGTCTCGCTGACGGCTGAGCATCCAAGCCTAGCAGCATCCTCTCCTACCTGTTCGACGCTGCAGTGACAATCGCTGCACTGAACTGCACTGCCAGCTGCTCTATCTGCAGTCAGGTTGATCGAAACGCCTATGAACGTTTTCGGCTACTTTGCACCTCGAGCCAAGTCATTGTTGGCTGCTGTGTCAGTAGAGTCCAGCCGTCACCAAGAAAGCGCTGTGCTGCCTCTTGCCTCTCGTGTACGCTGGCTTGGCAGTCTCGAACAGGAGTCAATCGCCCTTTCCTGTGCAGAGCAAGACTTACTCATAGCGCAAGACTGTCATTGTCATCCAGACGAACCTTTTAACTGATGAAAGCGAGTCGATACTTGCTTCCGTGCTCCCACCATCCCAACGTTGTTCGCCGACCTTTTACTTTTGCTCTTGACATTTGCAAGCCTCTTTACCACTTTACTACGCTATCAGCTCTATCTTGGTCGAGCTCGACGCTTTGCACATTCTCTCTTTCTTTGCGCCCTTTTTCTGTTTGCTTTATCAGCTCTTCTCGCATCTCATCAGGCTCTCGACTGGTTCGGGCTTTGCTTGCTCCTCCTCCTCTTGCCAACCTTGAATTCAGCTCTTGCCAACTGCCTCATCACCAACGCTCTCCAGCCTTAAGCGATCGGGACTGGATCCGGATCACAGGCACAGCTGTCCCCGTCAAGCCAGAGGTCTAGACATTGTCTTTCAAAGACCTCCACCGAGCAGATATTGTTTGCGTAGCTTAAAATTTTGGTGAAGCCCCTTGGAGCAGCAATACACGGCTTCCGACCTCGAACGCCGACACTCTCTCGACAAGACTGCGCCTTTTGGCTCTGTACCAGACCGAAGTAGTGCGCCTGTTCATAAACGCCACTTTGTTCCCGCGCAGACACGACCAAGCGGCAGCCAGCTATCTATCCTCCAGTCCTAAAACCTTATCGCATCCTCTTTCCCCGGCGCCGCCTTACTGTGACCATCCTGTGCGAAAAACCGAGATTGACTACACTAACAACGACCGAAGCGCCAGAGAAAAAGACGAGTAGCTACAGATCAAAAGCCAGAGAAAGCAAAGAAACAGAGCAGGGACCGAGTCAAGTGCGCAAGGAGATCCATTACTCTAATTGATCGACTCTACCGGCCCGAGCCCCGATTAGATCTACGCTATTACGCCAAGTTGGTCTCGACTGCCAGCATTCGCCGCCCTTGCCGAACATCCATTCATCCACGCCGCCAGCATTAATTTTTCTCAAGGTAAGTACAGATCGGTCCGATCACCGTCCGGTCCCGTGTTTCATGATGATCGTCGTCGTCATCGTAAGAGAATCTTTTCGCGGCCCTTTCGCCGGTGTCCTGCGAACAAGCCATGGAGAGCTGCGTCGGAGAGGCGCCGAATGTACGCAAAGACGTGCATCAAAGAAGCGCTTGTTCCGGTCTGGCGCGGGCCACAGCTCCGGAGGTGTAGCATCATGCTGCACTCGATGGCTCGAATGCAGGACTGCAGGCTGCTGCTCAAACTCACTAGCTGTACCTGACGGTAATGGCGACCATTGTGGGTCATGTCACAGTGATGAGAAAGCATGCCACATCTTTGCAAGGGCCCCCACACACATATGGAAGGGTAGCGACCGCTTCAGGACATTTCTAATTCCGCCCGTCGACTTTCTGTGTGTGTGTGTGTGCGGTGGTGGTCCTTGTAGAGTGGGTGCGCGTGTGGCCTCTCTTTGTTCTCGTCGCATGGCTTACAACTTTCTCAGGCTCGGCGAAAGGCGTCGCATGGGCGTTCTTGAGAAGAAGAACACGAGGAATCTAGCGTTGTTCGCCTGGGAAGACTGCACGGTGTTGGATTGGTACCGGTTTCTTTCTCCTCGTTCTCGCCGGTGCCTCCTGTTAGTCCTCCTTCGTGTTCTTCTAGCTCTTCTTCGTGGGCGACTTTCGCCTTTTCCCAGGGTCTGAGTTTGCTCAACCTAGATTGGTTCACTTTCCGCCGTGCTCCGCTACCTTCGGCTTATGCGCCACTCGATGAACAGCCAGCTCTTCAACAGACCTCAGGGCCACGCTTCGTTCATGCTCATGCTCTAATCGTGGCTCGAGACAACTCTATTATCCCATAGAGCTTGTTTGGAGTCAGATCATCGTGTCACACGCACGCACACACGCACACACACACACACACTCTCTCTCTCTCTCACACAGTCGAGAAGAGGACTGCTTTGCCACATCTCTGATGCGAGCGAATAAGGTTCTCCGTCTCTAGCCAAGCTGTCAGTGACTACCGTACGATGTGCTGCGGTAAAGGCCACAACTCTAGTTGCGTCTGCCTTTTCTTGATTTCATTTCGATCGAGTCGTGGCCATTCAGAGCTCGGCGTTCAAGAAGAGGGAGAGAATTTCATTTCATTTCATTTCATTTCATTTCGATTTTCGTTTTCCTTTTGAATTTTCCAGGCCTTTTTTGAATGGCCTAGAGAGAGAGCCTTTTCGGCAACTGGCTATCGGACAAGCGATGAAAAAGCCAAAATCTCAGGAAAATGGAAATGAAAATGGAAATGAATCGAAATGAATTTCATTCCATTATTACTGATGGAAAGATGGAATCAGTTTGGCAAGAAATCGGCAGCGGAGACAGAGTGGAATTCGAATTCTTGCCGCTTTGTGCATGCATACCATCCTCCTCAGCCGCTCTGCCATCTCACATGGTTTCCATCGAGGGCTGCATCCCTTCCCGCTGTCTCCTGCTGTCTCATCAGAAAACTACAGCGCGCAGTGCCAAGTCTTGATCTCTCTGTACGTTTCCTGCTTCTGCCTCGGGGTTCTAACATCTCAAAAGGCCTTCTCCTATTCTGCTGCCCCTATCAAATGTATCAAGCCCGTAGGCCAAGCGGGAGTTCATCTTTCATGTCCGTCTCGATGGCTTCCTTTCGGTCCGGCAGGAAGCAACCAAGACGAGCGCGGATCGTGAACTCTTTCTTCAACAGTGGCTCGGGCATGCCAGTCCACTTGCCTGGTTCTCGATATGCTTCTGCCTGCCTAGATGGATTCGCACTCTCGGTGTACTTGCCTGCAGTGTGCAGTAAGCGTTCTCGGCAGTCTGCCGTCTGCTGTGCGGTACTTGCGCCCCTCGATGTGCATGTTGGTCAGCAGCTCGGTCGTCGCAATGCTCTCTCTCGCTTGCCTATGATTGGCAAGGGACTCCCCTTAAAGCCGGGCTGAAGCAATCCCACGTAAGGGGCAGCAACGCGATACACGCCAGTCATTTCAGGCGCTGACAAGAGCACGGACGCGTCTAAAATTTCCGGGGGCGGCTTTCTTCTTGCAAGGAGCGAGCAAGGGAGCAAGGGCAACTCAATTGGGCGCGGGCTCGCAAAAGGGCAAGCATGGCCAAGTGCCTCGGCTATTGACCCGGAGTATGTGTGGCGTCTCGCTTGGGCTTTGGATGGTCCTTTTTTTTTTCTTTTTTTTTCTTTTTTTTCTTTTTTTTTTTTCTTTTTTTTCTTTTTTTTTTTCTTTTTTTTTCTTTTTTTTTTCCCTCCCTTTCCCACTGCAGCGCACAGACGGGTTGGCTTTCAGAACCGCTTTGACATTGGCTTTGGCTTAAGAGAGAGAGAGGAGTTAGCTCACTCTCGAGCAAGACTAGCTCTGATTCCGCGCTGCAGTTCGGCTAGCGCTTCATTCCCTGGCACCTGCATCTCGGACCTGTCAAGCAAACGTGCATCTGTCCGTTTCCCTTGCACCGCACATTGGCCCTTGTCCTTCCGCTGCTCTTGTCCTCCCTGGCTGCTGCGTTGTGTGCCTGTTCGCTCCATCGACCATCGTCCGCACTTCTGACCCTTTTGCCTTGCTCGCTCATCGAGGGTTCGATTCGATTTCTTGATTTGCCCTTTTGTTTCGTTCGTTCCTCGTTCCTACTTCTTCTGCTTGCTTGATGGTTGGTCCGGCGTTGCCTTTCCCTGTCCATTGAACCGCCTCGGTGTTGCATACATCGAGGCGCACTTCACTGCCGCCGCCCATCCCTACGTTTCCCACCCTCGCCGAAGCGGATGCGTCGTTCTCCGTCCTATCATTTGCACTCCAGCCTGCCTGCCATTCATCGTGACAGCTCTCTTGACGTGTGCTTTCTTTCTCTCTCTCTCTCTCTCTCTGCTCATCTGCGTTGCTTCATGCTACCCGAGGCCAGCCCCCTTCCATTTCTCAGGATCATCGACAGCCCCTTCGCCCTTCGCCTGCGTTAAGCTCAATACTCTCTCCTGACACCTGCCTTGCCTTTTGCCTATTGCCTCGCTTCTTCTTCTTCTTCCCGCTCCTTTGCGACAGCTCGGTGTACCGTCACGACTCACTTTCTCTCCCTGACCCTTTGCCGACATCCGCCTCCCCTGTCACCTGTCCAACACCTACGCCTACATCTACACCTTCCTCATTCCACCCTTTGCTCTTCTTTCCTTAAAAGACCCCTCGCATCTACCAACCACACGTCCAATTCCGATCAACCCAACCCCCCCCCCCCCTTGCTTCTCATCAGCCATCCACGCGCGCTCAGCCCAGCACGCCTCGCTTAACCCACCTCCTTCGCCTTCCCTACGCCTCCTTGATTGATAGTCTCAGACAAGCTTGCTCCTACTCCTCCACCAACATCCCGCAACAGCAGCATCAGCATCTAAAGTAGCCACCATCGACTTGCTCCTACTCCTCCACCAACATCCCGCAACAGCAGCATCAGCATCTAAAGTAGCCACCATCGACTTGCTCAAACGCTTTCGACCGCTCATCTACCTATCTGCAACCTTATTTCGCTGCATTCTTCAGCCATCACTGCAGCCATCCTTGCGGCATTTAGCTAGCTTCCATCTCCGATCGATTTATAAAGACCTTTGTGGTACTCGCCGTCATCCAACATCTCTCTACGTTTCCCTTCTTTCTCTACCTCACCACTACTATCTCCCATCTCCTTCTCCATCACATTACCCGCCGACATGTCTTCATCACAAGCTTCTACATCTGCCTCGGCGCTCAACTCTGGCTTTCTTCGCCGTCACCCTGCCAGCTTGATACCCAAGCTTGTGCACAACCCTGCCATCACCGACCTGATCAAGAGCCCCGTCACTCGCGAGATGGTCGTCTACCTGGCTAATCAGGCTGCTCACGTCATTCAGTGCGGCTCCACACAGTCTTCCGACTCTCCACCTGCGACATCAACACGCTCGGTTGCTTCTGCCGAAGCCGACCCTGCCGGTAAGCTCGAGATCAACGGTCTCCCAAGCTTGGAGACCTTCATCGCTCTCCTTGTTGAGAGGTCAAATGTTCAGGTCCCCACCCTCCTCTGCACACTTGTCTACCTTGAGCGCTTGAGGTCGAGGTTGCCACGCGTTGCCAAGGGTATGCACTGCACCCGTCACCGTGTATTCCTTGCCACCCTCATCGTCGCTGCCAAGTACCTCAACGACTCTTCGCCCAAGAACAAGCACTGGACCAAGTACGCTGCTCTCTTCTCCCAGGCCGAGGTCAACCTCATGGAGAAGCAGCTCCTCTACCTTCTTGACTACGATCTCCGTGTTGAGGAGGATGATTTGATGGTTCACTTTGCTCCCTTCTTCCGTCGTGTCGAGACCCGTGCCGAGGCTGGTCGTCGCGAGATGCACCTTCGTGGTCTCGAATGTGGTCGTGAGCGCGAGCGATATGTTCGTGCTAGCGAGCGTCGTGTTCACCTTCGTAACCTTCCCGCTTCTCAAGTTCCTTGCTGGAACCAGAAGAGCGAGGCGACGCGATACGAGCAGCATCGTCGTTCGGCCGCATATCACTCGCCTGACTCGCTCCACGCTTCGCCACAGGAGATGCAGTCTTCGTTGATGAGTCGACAAGACTCGGTCGAGTCCAACGCCAGCTCCACCTCATCCGAGGCAGAGTTGACCGACGACAACGGTTCCTCGTCATCATCAGCTGAAGAGTACGATGACTACGAGGATGACTATCTCGAGCAAGAAGGTCTTGATGTCCGTATGCAACAGCACTCGGTCTCTAGTCTTGCCTCCAGCCAGTCCCATCCTGTCATGGTCGCCAACGGCGAAGAGATCGAAGCTCACAAGCCTGGATCAGTCATGCATCGTTACCTCTCGCAAGCTTTGCCATCGAGTATGAAGAAAAGCACCTCTTCCCACTCGCACATGGAAATGCAACAACCAAGTCAAGCTCACCTCCCCACATCTCACTCGATGAGAAGCGTACGAAGCAGCTCCAACCTCCTCTCTAGAATGCTGGGCGGACATCATCAGTCTTCTGCCGCATACTAAACCCCCTTTCCCACTATTTGATCCTCGGGATTCGGGTTGAGTCTCATTCCTTTCATCGCTTCTTCCACATTCGCCTGGTGCGGATAAGGAGGAGCAGGTTGGGAAGGATGGACAACCGAATCACCGGAACACTACTACTCTCTCTTTGTAGCAATTTTTAGCAATCTCTCAGTCCTTCTCACTTGGCATAACATAGTCGGTCACCGTTCACCCCCACACCTCACCGTCACACAATAGCATACTATAATCACGCAGCACCCAAAACACTTCCCCCACCCCCACTCAGGTTGGCAAACCTTCTTCCCCCACCCCCACTCAGGTTGGCAAACCTTCTTCCCCCATAGCATTTCTTTTTAGCATTTCTCTGCTTAGTCTTTATTTTATTTATTTATTTCTCCCTTGCAAATGCAAAGCAATAGCAAAAGATCTCTTGCGAACAACACAAACACACTCTTCGGCCTGTCAACCTGTGCAGCTTTGGATTTCTACTGAGCTGAAGGTACAGGTGGGATCTGATCTGCATCTACTTGGTGCGATTCTGCCTCAGATCTCTCCACTCGTTGCGAGTCTCCCACACTGGGCAGATCTCGAGTCTTGACCATAACCAACAACCCCAACGAAAGTATATACCCCACTGTCGGGATCAAAAAACAAGCACTTGGCAATCCTGTTTCGATCGTCAAACTATACACTACACTAATCAAGATCGGACTGAACCCATTCACGACGTTATCCGATATCGACAATGCTGCTAACCAGTCATCTGTTGGATTTGGATGCAGGCTCGAATGCAGAGTTGGATATTCTTGTCTCTTGAGATCCTGAATGATAGCGATGGCAGCAGAGGCAACTGCAGGACCTGCGCCTGCTCCGAACGACAGAAACAAGGTGCCAAAGATCATAGTTGCTGCATTTGAGAAGCTGGCCGAGAGAAATACGACGAGGTAGCCGATAATGTCGGCGAAATAGGAGAGTTTGGCGATCGCTATGTCGATCGATACTCTCCAGAGTACTGCTGCTCGGATCGTGTCTTTTGTTCCTATTGTTTCTGCTTCTGATCCTTGATCATGGCTGGTTTCGGGTGGTTGAGCTATTCCGCGATCGCCCAGTTCGCCATCTCGGGTGGAATTCGGTTGTGTGAGATCAGGATCTTTCAATCCCGCCTTCGCCAAGGTTTCCAACTCGTCCACCGACAACCCGACAATCTCAACTGGCTTCCTAATTGTCCTCTCCAACAGCACCACCAGCAGTGGAATAGCAAAAATCAACCACGCCGCTCTACTAGCCCCAATCAACCCCAACAACAACCCGATCGCATCCGGAGTGAAATCAAACCTATAACCAGCAAACACTGCAACATAGGATAGCGCACTAGTTCCCACATTTGCAAATGCTCCAGCAAGCGCTAACCAGGTGAGCCGATAATCTTTGCTTCCATCCCTCGCTACTTGCGGGAGGTAGATTGATAGGGGACCCAACACTTTGCCCGCTCGAAGTCTAGCTGGGGAGATAGAGGAAGAGATGAGAGTGGTGCTGCTGAAATCGGTACCGGCGAAGGAGATCCCACTTTGGGCTGCCGCCTCCATGTTTGCATCTACTGGATTGGTGGGGGCGATGGTAGTTGGTTTAGTCTCAGGTACGAGGAGCAACGTCCAGATGATGGCCAGGGAGAAGAGCCGACAGCAAGCGACTAAAGCTGCTGGATTGCCGTGTTTGGAAGGAGCTTGTGGTGTGCCTGGTATAGGTGGAGGAGTCATTGGATCCGAAGGCAACTCTAAGATGCCGATGCTAGGTTGGAAGAGGGCTTCGAACGCAACACTAGTACGAGCTCTGACGGAGGTATCTAGTGCCCATGCAGCCAGTAATGGTCCCAAGAAAGCACCGCAGAGTGTCGCCGTGACTAGCCAATTCAGCGCCAATGTTCGACGAGTAGGTGGAGCAACATCGACAATCATCGCCCGCAACACGCACAACACTAGCGCTGTAAAACCCGTCAACCCAGCCAAGAAGCTGCAAAACAGGATCAAAGCCAGCGAGACAGCTGGCGGGATCGCTAACTCACTCGGTACTGGCCCGAGCGGGTAACCCAACGGGAGGAGCGCAAAAGGAATATAGTTGATCATGTTGGAGAATAGCGAGATGATCAACAGCGGTTTCCTACCCCACTTTGACAGCTTGGGTCCGTAGAAGAGCATGCTGGCACTCGACACAACAAAGCTGAGCATGGTAGCTACAGCCACTATGATGCCGACTTTGCTTTCTACGCCAGCGACTGCGCATGGTCTATCTCTATCTCGTGGGAGTGGTGCGTGCGGGTCGGAGGGGAGTAAGTCGGGGTGTGTGGAGTAGTGGTATGAGCAGGTGAAGCCTCGAAGACCATCTAGGTAGGAGGGAGCTGCGCCATAGAAGCCTGCACCGTACACCAGGGCTACGGCGAGAATGCGTAGGATGGGCCATTGCTGTTGGAATCCTCGAAGAAAGCGGATCAGAGATCGGTCTGGTTTAGGTGGCGTTGGCGGAGAGGAGGAGAGGTTGGCAGCTTCATGTTGGGTGGTGCCGAGGAGAGGTCGAGTCTCGTCGTCTGAACGCTGCATCTTGGAGCTTCTATGCAGCCGCCATAGAAGGCGGTGGTGATGGTCAGCGGACTCAGAGGAGAGGTGATGAGAGCATTCGACACTTTTGACAGCAGCCAAGCATCAAAGACTGGAATGCGTGTCTGTTGCAATGACAGATGTGGGCTGGCTGAGTGAGTGAGTGAGTGAGCCCAAAAAAAGTAAGTGTTAAGCCGGGCAAAACTATTCGCAAACCATGTTGAGGTGGCTTGTGCGCGACCTCCTTGCAGATCGATCGCGGGCCCAAATCGGGGATGGAAAATCGGGGATGGCAAATCGGACTTGCTGCTGATCCTCTCCTGCCTGCCGCTCCTCTCTGCGCGTTCTTGGCCCGAACGCTGGACCGTTTTCATTCCATTCATTCGCCCGTAAAGCGCTCTCTTCTTGACTTTCTCCATCCATTTCCTGGTTCTGCCGCCGCTTCTGCGATCTACATCTTGGACCAACCGATGGATTCATTCATTCCGGTTCAGCCTTCCATCCTTCCTGTTCGCAGCTTCACTCTCCAACCCCGACGATCGCGCTCAACTCTTTCCCTACTTCCTCCCCGCACTTCCATCAGCTGCGACCATCTTCATCTTTCGTAGCCGACACGCGTCTACCGCAGCTCCTAGGCTACCATTCTCGCTTGCGCTGCGCTGTCCTTCTTTCAGTCTCGCGGCTTCCATCCCCATACTTGCAAGCGCGCAATCTATCACACGTACGCTCGCTCCTGGCGCTCGTCCGCTCATCCTCCGCCAATCATGGTAAGTCGCCAGAACCATCTCAACCTCTAACCATACCGAGCTGCCGGCCGCATCAGAACAACTAAACCCCTTCTTCCTACCGTCCGGCTGTCACCCGCAACTTTGTATTGCAGGCGACCCTCAACGTCAAGGATGCGCTCTCCTACCTGGACCAGGTCAAGGTCCAGTTCGCAGAGCATCCCGATGTCTACAATCGCTTCCTTGATATCATGAAAGACGTAAGTTCCTCAGCACATTTTGCTGAATCGCCCAGCGCCCCCCCATCATCTCGCTCACCCCTTGCCATCACCTTCCCCCTTGCCACTCTGCCCAGTTCAAGAGCCAATCTATAGATACCCCGGGCGTCATCGAAAGGGTTTCCACCCTCTTCCGCGGACACCCAAGCCTTATCCAGGGCTTCAACACCTTTTTGCCTCCCGGCTATCGCATCGAGTGCAGTCTCGACCCAAGCGAAAGCAATCTCATCACTGTCACAACACCTACAGGTACAACTACACAGACTCCAGGCGGTGTCGGTATTGCCGGTGCCATCAACCGCATGAGCGGCACTGGCTCTGGTCCACCGCCAGGTCCATCCAGCCAGCCTACCGGTCCTAGAGGTCCAGGCGGTATGGCTATGATGCACGGCTCTGGCCCCCGACACGCAGATCAGCCTTCATCGCACATGCATCCCCCTCCTCATGGCTATGATGGTCCTCCGGGTGCTATGCCACCCATCGGCGGTCCACCCGGTCATCCGATGGCTCATGGTCCTGGAGGCGCCAACTTCCCTGGCGGCGCAGGGCAGCCCATGGGTCCTGGTGGCCCTCAGCATCCCGCTCACGGCCCTGGCCCTGGTCCGATGGGTCCTGTCCCTCCTCATCACGGCCATGGCCGTCCTCAATCGCCGATGCCCATCGGTCCTGTAGCTGCTCCGCCTGGCGCTCCTGGCTCTAGCGGTCACACAGGCATGCATGGTGGTCCCGCTGGTCCTATGACGCCTGCCCAGGACCCCAAGCGTCCACCAGTCGAGTTCAATCACGCCATCAACTACGTCAACAAGATTAAGCAGCGCTTCTCCCAAGACCCTGACACTTACAAGCAGTTCCTCGAGATCTTGCAAACATACCAAAAGGAGCAGCGCCCCATCCACGATGTCTACGCTCAAGTCACCGTTCTTTTCGAGAACGCAAAGGATCTCCTTGATGAGTTCAAGCAGTTCTTGCCCGACACTTCTGCCGGTGCACAGCCAAGCGGAGGTCTCTTTAACATGCTCGGTCACGTCACCTCGGGGCTTGGCGGCAACGCTGCCGGTGGACCATCAGGTGCTATGCCAGCTCAGCCAGGGTACCGAGGTCCTCCTAGTGAGGGTCCTGATGCAAACCGCAAGGCAGGCTCAGCTGCCATTCCTGGTGCAACACCTTCTGGCTCGCGCAAGAAGCGAAGCGGCGCCAACGAGTCTGGCAAACCTGGCTCTGGCAAGACCAAGAAGTCGAAGCACGGCCATAAGGCGGAGCAACGCACCCCACCTCTTCGCCAAGAGCCGCTCCCTGCCTCGCCCACCTTTGCACACCCAGGACAGATGCACCACGTCTACGGCATCGATGGGATGGTCGCTGCCGAGGCTACTGGTCTCGTGCCTCAGGGAACCGTCGTCAATGGCCTTGCTTTGGGTCAGCCTCAGGCTCCTTTGGCAACCCTCGACGAAGTCGCCTTCTTCGACCGTGTCAAGAAGCACATCGACGACCGCACCACCTACCTCGACTTCCTCAAGCTGCTCAATCTCTACACTCAGGACATCATCGATGTCAAGACTCTTGTCGATCGCGCTGCGCTCTTCATCGGTGGCAACCGCGAGCTTTTTGCTACTTTCAAGGGCTTGTGTGGCTACGACATGGGTCGACACGGCTGGCTCGACAATGAGGATCCCATCGTCGAGAATGTGCCCGCTCCCCTACGTGAGCGCGTCGATCTGAACAACTGCAAGGTCTACGGAGCATCGTACCGCAAGTTGCCCAAGTCTGAGGTCAACCTCGCTTGCTCTGGCCGTGACCCGATGTGCTGGGAGGTTCTCAACGACAGCTGGGTCAGTCACCCCACCTGGGCTTCGGAGGGTGAGGGCTTCAACCCTCACAAGAAAAACCCCTATGAAGATGCACTCTACCGATCCGAAGAGGAGAGGCACGAGTACGACTACCACATCGAAGCCAACCTCAGGACCATTGCTCTTCTCGAGCCTATCGCTGCTCGTATCTCGACCATGGACAACGAGGAGAAAGCCGCGTTCCGACTCAAGCCCGGACTCGGTGGTCAGAGCAAGAGCATCTACCAGCGTGTCATCAAGAAGGTCTATGGTCGCGAACAAGGTCTTGAAGTCATCAACGCTCTTCACGACACTCCTTGTGTTTCTGTTCCCATTGTTTTGCACCGACTCAAGCAGAAGGATGAGGAGTGGAAACGTGCTCAGCGAGAGTGGAACAAGGTCTGGCGTGAAGTCGACGCAAGGAACTACTACAAGAGTCTCGATCATCAGGGTGTCAACTTCAAAGCTTCCGATAAGAAGGCGATCACTGCGAAGGCGTTGATTGCTGAGATCGAGGCGAGAAAGCTTCAGCAGCAGCAACGCAGGCTTAGCATGGATCCGACCTTGCCAAGGCCCAAGCCTCGTCATCAGCTGGTGTATGTGATGGACGACATGCACGTCTTGACGGATGTGCTCAAGCTTGCTTTCAGTTATTTGGATCGTGCGACGGGGAGCTACAGCTCGAATGATAGGGAGAGGATCGAGGCTTTCCTTCGTTCTTTTGTGCCTAAGCTTCTTGCTGTGGTTCCGGCTGAGTTCGAGGAGCTGCTCAATGGTGATGTAGACTTGGACGATGATGAAGGCAAGAGTCTTGCTGATGACGATGCTAGGAGTGAGTTCACTGCTGGTGACGATGACACTGATGCTTCTTCTACTGCTTCTGGCTCTGCTAGTCGTAGAGGTAAGAAGCAGGCTGGTGATCTGCGCAAGAAGATCTTGAAGAGCCAGGCCGAGACTTCGAAGCAGAACGAGGATGGGGTAGAGGAGTCGGCTGATGCTACTGGTGCTGCTGCCTCCGCTAATGCTCGTGCTTCGAGTCCTACTATCGTTGCCGATGTCGATTCTGTGGCGGAGGCCATGGCCAATCAGAACTCCAACACTGTCGCTCCTGCCGTTGCTTCGGCTGAAGATGTCGACATGGAGGATGCGTCCAAGCCTGTTGAAGATCCTTCTGCTTCCAAGGAGGGGTCTGCTGACAAGGAAGCCACCTCTACCGAGCAAGCTGACGCTGCTAAGGCAACTGAAGCCGGCGAGGCCAGCAAGGAAGCCGGTCAAGAAGACGCCCCTGCCGAAGCCGAAGAGCCATCCAACCCCAACGCAGCCACCTGGATCAACACCGACCTCAACGCCACCTTTGACTCCTCCAAAGGTCACAACGTGAGCGTTCGCGATGCTGTCGAAGACCAAGATTCCTCCTCCATCCGACCTGTTAACTTTTTCTGCAACAGTCAGTACTTTGTCTTCATCCGACTCTTGCAGTTGCTCTACTCTCGTCTGCGCAAAGTCAAAGAACTTGGGGTTCAGATGTCGAACAAGCAGCCGCTTCGCAGCAAGATCAACCCACTCGCCATCGAGCTTGGGTTGCAAGACGGCGGGAGTGGACCAGCTGCTGTTGTTGGGGCTGCTGCCAATGCGTCCAGTCTTGGACCTGTTGCGCCGACCAACGAGGAAGCCGGGCTTACTTTACATCCGTCGAGATACTACGATACGCTTTTGGACATGTGCGAAAAGCTGTTCGACGGCGATGTTGACCAGAGTACATACGAGGAAAGCGTGAGGTACATGTACGGTATTGACGGCTACATCGTTTTCACCTTGGATAAGGTGATCGGAGCGATGATCAAAGTAGTTCAGTTCTTGACGACGGATAGCAAGTGTCAGGAGATGCAGGCTATGTTGGATTCCCACCGATCCAATTCCAATAGTACGTTGACCAGTTACAGGCAGCAAATTGCAGATAGGATGGCAGCGGAGGGTCTGATTGGGAAAGATGAAAGCTTATTCCGTTTGGAATGGGTTCCGGCTTCGTGCACTTTGCTTATTCAGATGTTGTCGAAAGATGATTTGACGTTGGATGACGCTAGGACTGTGGAGCAGAACTGGCTTCACTATATGTCGAGCTTTAGTCTATGGACTCCGACTGAAGGGTTGCCTACTGAAGCGCAAGCGCCGTTTATCAAGCGTTGCCTCTCAGGTAATCGCAGAACGGACAACGATGCGACGGGCATGAGGTATGTTACAAGGAGTGGGCTGGAGATTAGGATTTGTTTGAGGACATTCAAGTTGTTCTTTGCTCATGGGACCGAGGATGTCTTTGTGAGGATCAGGCCGGAGGATGAGAAGAAGGAGTTGGACAGGAAGGCGGCGGTGGTGGCAAAGAGGAGGAATCAGAGATGGAGCGATTGGTTGAGTGCGAGGAGGCAGGCTATCGATCATCCGGGAGTGGGAGGGGAGCGCGGAATGGTGACAGAGGAGGGGCCGGCGGCGGGTGAACAACAGCAGGGTGTGGAGGGGAGTGCCGCTGCGACTGCCGGTGGTAGGGAGGAGGCGAACGCGCCGAATGGCACTGCGGCTGAGGCTGGACAGACTGCTGAGGCTAGTGCTGAGGCATGATCGACTCCTCCATCTTTCTCCTGCTCCTTGTTTGCATTCTAGGTGTCGACCGCTTTGCGCATTGTATGAATCAGTATTGTTTCGTTTTCGAATCTTTCACAAGTGCGTGATGTGACTTGTCCCCGGTTCTCATGTCGAAGCTCTGATTGAGTCACTGGGGTGCGAGACTGGCCTTGACTGCAATCAGATCATTGATGTGGGTCCTCTCACTTTCAACTCAACTAGAGCAGCTTAATCGCTGAAAACACCGTGATCCGAGTCGAACTCTAGATCCAAAACTCGTCTGACGTGGCGATGTGAGCTCGTGGCCCATCATATGAACGTTCAATCGAACCTTCCAAGCAAGCTGATGAGCTGTGTAAGGTTTTATTTTTGATGTGTGAGAGGGATGATACAATGCCGCCTCTTGGAAATGAGGACGACAGAAAACCTTGAACCTACTTTATTGCAATGAAGATAGGATGCGTGAGTGCTGGTGATGATGCTAGAGAAACAGAGGAAAGAAACGTCACTTGATGGAGGAAAGAAAACGTTTACTTCTGGGCGTTCCAGACGTTGCGGAGGACTGTGCGTGCGGCGATAAATGAACAAGGATTAGAGAATGTAAGGGTCAGTTGCTGATGAGCGCTGAGTGTTTTAAGTAGCATAGCTATGGCCAGTGTCAAGATTCCCTTCTTCTCGATCCTAACTTCGGTCCTGCCTCGAACCCAACAATGTCTGTGATGACGGTGAATGTAGCAAAGGTCTGACTCTCTAGGGCCCACTGAAATGGCCATACGGCCGGGCATTGAGATCTTAATCCAATGCTTTATTACTCTTCGCTCCTTTAAAAATGTTTTGGAATCCTGCTAAAAGGCGTATAATGCCGCCTAATGCAGACTGTCAAGGGCGTACTCCCACACTCTCCACCTCCCCTTCCTTCTCTTGCCCTCCCGACACTGGCCTACACAATGCTGTTTGATGTTGGCGATTTGAAATACTTACGACCCTCCTTTTGAGCAAGACGGTTGAGCGAATCATCACCCTCACCAAGCTGACGGACGAATCCGGACAAGGGGAAGATGGTGGATTGACCAGGAATCATACGTCCGTTCGAGTCAACATCCGCAACGGCGATCTGAACCGAAGCGTGGTCCTTGGCCTCAATGATGCGGCCAGTGGCAGCGCACTTTCGGGGGACGTAAAGGTCAACAAGGTCTCCCTGTATCAATAATTGTGGTGGTGATTGTGGAAGGGTCAGTTGAGATGCTCGATTGGTGGTTGGTGGTAGGTTGTGGAAGCATGCATCATCGATGGGAGCTTTGGAGGAGCGCGTTGTCGAGATTGGTGGATGAAAGTACAAGATTGCTGTTGGTGTTCAGCTGATACTGAGGGCGAAGGAATCTTCGACATGACCTGCAACCATTCCGAGATGCTGATGTAGTGACTGCTTTCGCATTGGTCCCCAGCAGCATCGAGTGCTACTATATCGATGAATGCCCTCCAATGCATTGACGCACATCTCGACGTTCCTTAAGTTTTACTGCAAGGACGAACACGTCTCTTTTCCACTCTCCTCTTCTTCCAGGTCTCCTGCTATGCGACCTTCACGCGCTGTAAGTATCCGACTGTGCATCCAAATGATAGATTCTGTTCAACAATGACGGTCCATGTCTGCAACAGTACTGATGCTGGTCGATGCCACAATTGTCGATAGCAGTTGGTCATGCTCCTACATTGCAATTTGTCGACACTTCTGCTGTTGCTGATGTCAAATGCGCTGCTCCTCCGACGGCTGATTTCTCCGATGCTGCTTTGTCATGTCGGGGGGCAGCAACTTACGCGGTCGTTCTCCATTTTGATGATATGTGATGGGTGATGGTGGTAATGTCAAGATGGTGTCCACAGCCCTAAACTCCAACACGCTCTCCGCATCGCCGCCTGAGCACGTTGACAGGGCCAAGCCTCTCTCGGGCTCACAGCTCCAGCTTCAAGCATCCTTAACTTGTGAAGGCCAAATTGCTGTGTGTTTCTTCTGTTTTGTGCCAAGTAAAAATTCAGGCTGGCCGAGAACTGACCTCGGCCGGGGCCCGATCGTAATTTTGCTATTTCTGATCTGAAGATTTTTTTCTGCACAACAAATCGGATGGAAAGGAGAGGTCTAACAAACTCGTTGAAAATGTTTGGAATCTCACCGCGGCTTCAACGTAGGCGGGAAAGCCAGCGAAAAGGCTTGGCCTGTTGATGCAATGCAGCCTCTTCACATTCTGCTTCAGTAGGTCGCCAATATCGAGCCGTGCTTCTTCAACAACAAGGGTATGAGCAGCAGTCGTCGTCATCAAGCACCATGTAATGAAGTGGTCAATCAGATACTTGTACGTGCCATATCGATATCGCACGCCATGTGCAAGATGCCAATCTTCCAGGAACACCAAGTGTCAGCTTGCGCGGTGGTTGAGACCATGAACGTGCGTGGGCTCGTCCGTGGTACTGTTACGTTGGTCGTTCACGTGCCGGCATGCTGGACGTAACGGATCTAGATTAGATACAATGTGGGGGAAGACACGTAGAGTCAGTCCGAATGAATTAGCTTGTGCAGTGCCAAGCGTTCGTCAAGAGATCTGAGAGAGACAAAGTGCAAGTACGAGAAAACGCAAGTCTCCGTCTAGCAATGCGGGCGCATCTTTCCGCATCTGCCAAGCCTACAAGGACGATGGTTTGATCCATGATCCCGGGTTTTGGGTTCTATGGCATTGGGTTGATGGATAGGGTTAGAGTTAGATGCGAAAGAGGGGCAAGCGATTGTTGATCAGAATGCAGTAGCTTAGCGCTGCCTCGTGGCAAAGGATCTAGTGGGGTTGCGTTGAGAATGGTGCCTGAGCCTGGATTACTGGCGCATTTGATTGTCACACCCTTCTTAGCGAGGTTTTCCAGCACTATGGAAGATATCATCCGAAAGACACCTTGGGTTAATGGCGAGATGAGGGAGAGCGTACTTCTTACTGCTATCTCGGAGCGAGGTACTAATTCACAAAGTAGCATGTGCATCCTGGCCCATCAGTACTTTACAGATAGACAAATGGGCTGGAGCGTCACAAGCAAACGCGGAAAGCTCGAGAGCCCGAGGCCAAACAAACTGAACAGCTCCCTATTCCGGGTTTGAGAACGATTTGCTTCCCTCCAACTCCAGCAAGGTGGACGAACAGGTGGTTCTCGAACGCGGCAAGATCCGTCAATCAGAGACATTAAGGCGGCAGAGCGGGTAGGGTTTGCTTTATCCGACAGAGAGAAGCTGGGCGGCATTGTGGCTTCAAGGTTGCAGAAAACAGGTCGGTCAATTGACTAGGCTTGCTCAGCGCAGTGCGGTCGTACGGATAGGAACTTGAATTTGTGCACACGCTCCGCCGTTGCGAGATACAGTCACCCAGACGGCGACAGAATAATGGAGTACTCGTGTAAGGGTCGTACAAGGGAAACAGGCACGACATGAGAGGTCCAGAAGGGCATCGTCGGCAGTTGAAGATGCACCGGCATCGCCAGCGCGCGACACAGTAAAAGGGAACACACAGGATTGGGGAATTGGAAAGGTATCGGGTGATGAGGAAGACAAACAGAATGCAAAGCTAGTGGGAGCTAACACAGCCTATGCATGAGGATTAACACCATGGTATGCAAGGGGCATGTTGCTATGACAATGCTTATGAAAGCAGATATGTGGCATATGGACATGACTCGACAAAGTAAGTACAGATGGGTGCCCAGAGCATGTATATATAATACAAGTCATGTCGCTACCATACAATGAAAATACAAGCCTTTTGTCTGAGACTACCCATTTGTGAGAGTGCCTGCTAGTGGCCTCTGTATCGGTGTATCTAAATTTAACTGGCTCCCAATGTGGGGCTCAAACCCATGACATTCATCATGGCAGGAGAAGGAGATCACCAAGCTGGTGAGATGGCCAAGAAGACAAAAGGAGGAAGGAAAGGAAAGGTAGTCCAACAAGTACAGATTGATGATGAGGCCACTGACGGTAACGAAACCGAGTTCAATGAAGCAGAAGAAGGGTCAGACTCCAACGATGACAACGAATGGTATGACTACTGCACCTTAGCCAAGATCATGGAGGCAGTCCCCAAACTCATGTCATGAAACTACTATAGCTGGAGCACCCTCATCAAGGCCACTCTCAGAGTTGTTCCCCATGCCATACAGCACTTGGAAGGCATGTATGATAACAACCATCCAAAATGGAACAGAAACTTTGATGACACTTTAGCAGGTGTGCTACATAGCACTTTAGACACCAAAGGAGAGCACAACATCCTCTACTTATTGCTTGACATTAGTAAAGCATATTTGACTTTCCACCAAACCTGGAAGAAAATCGAAAACAGCCTGACCAGTGAAGCTACTAGGATCTCACGACAAATTGCACTCCTCGCACAACTCAATGAAGTCAAGATGTTTAATGCCGATGCACGGAAGCTAGTCCAAGACATTAGAGTCATGCAAACAGAGACAAGCCTACTGGGAGCACCTTTCAGTGACGACACCATATATGCAGCACTCCAAAGGTGCATGATCTGGCACCCGGTCTACAAAGAAACAGTTGCCACTGTCCATCAAGTTAGTTTCGATGCACTTGCCACAGCATTAATGATGTGCCAATCTGCAATCGAAAGCATCCCTGCCCAAAAGGTGGATCCATGACAGGCAAGTGCTCAGGCAGCTGGTAGCAACGAGCAGGACAGCAACACTGATGAGGATGCTGAAAGCTCAAAGGCTAAGACTGGACCAAGGAGGATTCGCTGCTGGGTGTGCAGACACTATGGACATGGTGCCAGAAAGTGTGACACCACCATCACCATCCCTGAGAACTCCCCCCTCACCCAGACTAAATAGGAAGTCTGGTGCTCACTCACTCCGAGTTGGTGAAGGCCCCCAAAATCAGACCAATCGATCCATTGGGTTCTAGATTCGGGAGCAACCTTCCACATGATTAATGACTACAGCATGTTGATCCATCCAAGAAAGTGCAGAAAGCATGTGTATACCACTGGAAGTGAAGTCTTAGAAGCAACTGCTGTAGGGGACATTAGCATATCAACAGAGTATGGAGAGATACTGCTCCAAAATGTTCTTTATGTTCACAGTCTCAATATTAATCTATTGTCAACCAACTCATTGACAGATGAAGGAGCACATGTGACCCTAGACCCTAAAGGGGGACAAATATATTTGGCAGATGGCATGATACTAAAAATAGTAAAGAATCACAAGAGTGGATTGCTGGAAATACAAGGTGATACATGGCGACCAAATGCGATGACTGCATCAACACTGCTGTTGGAAGGGGTGGATGAAGAATTTGGGCTAGCTGAATGGAAAACAAAAGTTTCCACAAAACAGCTCTGGCATGAGCGACTGGGACACCCAGGTCAAGATAAGTCCAGGGCAATCATCAACAAATTGAGAGGTGAACCTGTAGAAGCATTGGACCCAAACACAGCTCTGACATGTGAGCCGTGTATACAATCCAAGAGTACAGTCGCCAGGATGGGGCAAGGTAGCAGCGAAAGAGCTGCAGGGCCCCTGGATCTTGTCCATATCGATCTAATCATCAATTCATCCCATGTGATGGAGTACACATGCATATTAGTACTGGTCGATGACTATAGCAAGTACATGCATGTACAGCCACTATCACAAAAAGGTCACACATTTGTGCAGCTCAAGAGAATCATTTTATTCCTAGAAATGCAAATGAATAGAACATTGAAAGCAATTTGGTCTGATCAAGGGACTGAATGGAGGAGCAACGAGGCACTGGAATGGACACTTGGGAAAGGGATAGAATGGCAGACCACTGTGGGATACAATAGCAGACAAAATGGATGAGTGGAACGAATGAACAGGAGTTTAGGTGAAAAGATGTGGACATTGCTGATACAGAGAAACCTACCAAAGGTCTTTTGGCCATACACGATCCAGGCAGCAGCTTTCAAGATGAACCTAACTCCTAATGTTGATGGAGAATTCCCTTACCAGCTAATGTTCAGAAAGTCACCAGAACATTTCATACATCTCATGTGTGTATTTGGATGTTTGGCTTGGGTAAATGTCCCAAAAGCCAAGAGACACAACAAGAAATTGGATCAGAGAGCAGTCCTGGCCATATTCATAGGTTACAGCTTGGAGAGAAAAGGATGGCTGTTCTACAGCCCTGGTTACAGCCCAAACATCTTCTGGAGCAACTCAGCCAAGTTCATGGAAACTCAATGTTGGTCAGACTGAACAGAATGGAAGCCAGTGAACATTCAACCACCTCCAATTCTGAACAATGAGGAGGACCTAGCTAACTTGGGGTACATGGAGGAGGACCTCTTTGATGAGGATGATCAAGATCCCTTGAGTGAATACATGAGCATGGAGACAATCTTGGGGGAAGGGGAGCACAAGGAGCCGAGATATGAAGCACAAAATTCTTTTGGGCTAGTAATGACAGGGTTTAAGAAGGAGGAAAGGAATCTCAACCCAACCGTTTGGGAAGCACTGGCTGGAGAGGACAAGAGGTTCTGGGAGGAAGCAATGTGCAAAGAGCTAAAAGGGCTAGAAGCAATGAATACATGGGAGACCACTGACTTACCATGTGATACAAACACAGTTGACACACGTTGGGTATTGAAAATTAAGACAGATGCAAATCTGATACCCACGAAGTACAAGGCAAGACTAGTAGCACAAGGGTTCATGCAAAGGGAGGGGATAGATTATATGGAAATCTTTGCACCCGTGGCACCCATTCAGTTGATCAGAGGAGTACTAGTGATTGCCGCCATGCAGGACTGGGAGGTCGACTCGATCGATGTCAAGCAGGCTTACTTGAACTCCAGCCTACACCACGATGTCTACCTCAAGCCACCCATCGGAACGAAAGTGCCACCAGGGAAGGTACTAAAGCTCATGAAAGGGCTCTATGGTCTGAAACAATCAGGCCGCGAGTGGAACATAGAGTTAGACACACAATTGCAAAAGATCGGCTTTCACTGCATGTCGAGTGCCCCATGCCTGTACTCGAGAGGGACAGATGATCGACTCACAGTGATAACAGTGTATGTGGACAATATGCTCATTGCATCGCCTAGCCAGAAGGAAGTTGATTGCACCAAAGCAGAGATCATGAGCAAGTGGGAGACAGAGGATAATGGACTGGTAAAGGAATTCTTAGGTATAAAAATCACGTGAGACAGGGGCCAAGGCAAAATATCGCTCAACCTAATGGCATACATTAAAAGCATGGTAAGTAAATGGTTGGAAAGGCCAAACAAAAGGTCATGGATACCGATGCAAAGCATCGCAAACACTGTTGGAGGAAGCAAATGTACTCCAGAGCAAGCTAAATGATATCAGGAGTTGGTGGGTCAATTGCTATGGGTGTCCAACACAGTACGGCCAGACATTGTCAGGGGTCTCGCGCCTGAAACCCAGGTCGGTCTGTCGAGATACTCGGTGACTATCAAACTGTGCAACAGCTATTGTCTTGGTATCGGTGACTTATCAAGTTGTGCAGTGACAGCAGGTGGCGTCCATTGTATATACTATCGTAGGTTTCAGCTGACTGTCATGGGCCTGGATGCTCAAGAAGCAGGAGGGTCATGGGTTCATATGGAAGGAGCACAGGTATCGAAGATCTAGTCGAGATCAGTAGAGAGCATGGTCGTAGTGCAGTCTCCATGGAGACCATGGACTCCTATGGACTCACATGCAAAGGAGGGCCAAGCACAGCCACGAGGAAGACCAAGCTCAAGGAGCAGGCACAGCCACGAAGAGGACCAAGCTCAAGGAGCATGCAGATGGTTACCACTCAGGGGCTCGAGAGACAAGAGCCAAAGGAACTGACACTGATCAAAGGAGGAGGAGCAGTGTCGAAGGAGTCGACACCAGGTCATGAGGAGGAGGAGCAGTGTCAAAGGAGTCGACACCAGGTCATGAGGAGGAGGAGCAGTGTCGAAGGAGTCGACATCAGGTCATGAGGAGGAGGAGCAGTGTCGAAGGAGTTGACATCAGGTCATGAGGAGGAGGAGCAGTGTCGAAGGAGTCGACACAGCTCAAGAGGCACAGGGGTGCCAAGCAGGAGAGGCCCCTGAGCAGTACTCGATAAAGAAGGTACTCTCTGGAGAGAGAGCAGGAGCAGCATCGCTGGCGATGCTGAGAAGAGGTATATAACCATGCTTTCTCATCATCAATAGGTCGAGTGGATCCTCATCCACTCTACTCACCTTACAACTAGTCAATACTTAGAAACACAAGTACTCATTAGTTACAGTCAGCATAGCAGCAATCTATCAAGGTTGCTCCTCATCGTAGTGTGTGTGTTGTATCACCACTACCTGACATCCGAAGGCGCCCATAGCAGGTTAGCGGTCCGGATCAAGATAGAACTGAAGGCAGTAGTCCACTGCGGTCTGGGGATCACTTCAAGCATCAAGTCAACACACTGGACACTCGTGTTGACACCACCAACCTTATCACCAACACCATCAACCTCATTATCATCGACATCACCAATCTCATCACCAACACCATACATCATCATCAACACTCACACCAGACCTTGGTGTCATCATAACCTTGATATTGATCGTGCCGAGCTACCCCTGAACGGAGTGTCCACAGAGGTCAGCCGAAACCTACGATAGTATATACAATGAACGCCACCTGCTCTCACTGCACAACTTGATAGTCACCGATACTGAAACAATAGCTGTCGCACAGTTGATAGTCACCGAGTATCTCGACAGACCAACCTGGGTTTCAGGCGCGAGACCCCTGACACTGACCTCTGTGGACACTCCATTCAGGGGTAGCTCGGCACGATCAATATCAATGCTTTGGTTATGATGACACCAAGGTCTGGTGTGAGTGTTGATGATGATGAGGTTGATGACGTTGGTGAGGAGGTTGGTGAGTGTTGATGATAATGAGGTTGATGGTGTTGGTGATAAGGTTGGTGGCGTCAACATGAGTGTCCAGTGTGTTGACTTTGACACTTGAAGTGATCCCCGGACCACAGTGGACTACTGCCTTCGGTTCTATCTATATCTGGACTGCTAACCTGCTATGGGGCACCTATGGACGTCAGGTAGTGGTGATACAACACACACACTATGATGAGGAGCAACCTTGATAGATTGCTGCTATGCTGACTGTAACTAATGAGTACTTGTGTTTCTAAAGTATTGACTAGTTGTATGGTGAGTAGAGTGGATGAGGATCCACTCGACCTTTGATGATGAGAAAGCATGGTTATATACCTCTTCACAGCATCGCCAGTGATGCTGCTCCTGCTCTCTACTCCAGAGAGTACCTTCTTCATTGAGTACTGTTCAGGGGCCTCTCCTGCCTGCTTGGTACCCCTGTGCCTCTTGAACTGTGTCAACTCCTTCGACACTGCTCCTCCTCCTTGCTACCCTGCTTGTTTGGCACCCTTGTGCCTCCTGAGTGATGTTGACTCCTTCGACACTGCTCCTCCTCCTCAGGACCTGTCGACCCTGCTCTTCTCGAGCCCCTGAGTGGTAACCATCTGCATGCTCCTTGAGCTTGGTCCTCTTCATGGCTGTGCCTGCTCCTTGAGCTTGGTCCTCCTCATGGCTGTGCTTGGCCCTCCTTGCATATGGCTTGGTCCTCCTTTGCATGTGAGTCCGTAGAAGTCCATGGTCTCCATGGAGACTGCACTACGACCATGCTCTCTACTGGTATTGACTAGATCTTCGATACCTGTGCTCCTTCCATATGAACCAGTGACCCTCCTGCTTCTTGAGCATCCAGGCCCATGACAGACATCTCGTTCACGGTTGGAGTCCTAGCACAACATATGTCAGAACCAAATGATAGCGCATGGCGAGTGGGGATACATCTGCTGAAGTACCTGAACCAAATGAGCAAATATCGCCTGGAGCTTGGAGGGATGCATAGGAAGCATGCAAAACAGCCGGTGGTCACATATACTGATTGGGCTTCAGACCCTACCAATGGATGAAGGAGTACATCTGGGGCAGTCACATACATATATGGATGTCCAGTCAGTTGGAAATCACATGTACAGAAGTGCGTAGCATTGTCAGCAGTGGAGGCAGAACTGATCGCTGCATCGGAGGCAGTGAGAGAAGCCCTTTTCTTCTCGTATTTACTCAGGGATTTAGGGATCACAGAAGTCAAACCAGTCTTGTACACTGACAGTCAAGGATGTATACAGGTCAGCAAGGATCCAGCCAAGCATTGGAAACTTAAACACATCAACACTAGGTATTACTTCATTAGAGACCATGTGCAAGATGGCAACATATCAATCGAGTATGTTGAAACAGCCAATAATGTGGCTGACATACTTACAAAGCCTCTCAAGGGATTCAACATGACAAGGATATCAAGAATGATAGGATTGGGCATGCCATTGTGGGGGGGAGTTGAAGATGCACCAGCATTGCCAGTGTGTGACACAGTAAAAGGGAACACACAGGATTGGGGAATTGGAAAGGTATTGGGTGATGAGGAAGACAAACAGAACACAAAGCTAGTGGGAGCTAACACAGCCTATGCATGAGGATTAACACCATGGTATGCAAGGGGCATGTTGCTATGACAATGCTTATGAAAGCAGATATGTGGCATATGGACATGACTCGACAAAGTAAGTACAGATGGGTGCCCAGAGCATGTATATATAATACAAGTCATGTCACTACCATACAACAAAAATACAAGCCTTTTATCTGAGACTACCCGTTTGTGAGAGTGCCTGCTAGTGGCCTCTGTATCAGTGTATCTAAATTTAACTTCGGCACTTGCCCCGCATTTTCTCCACGCGTCGGTCAGGGCTGCAGTCCAATTCCGGTTTCTCTTTCATTTATTGGCCGTGTCACTGACTCCCCCACGCCAAGGCAGACTGAGGATGACTACATCTTTTGATGCTTCAAGCGAGCCTCGTCTCGAGGTGTTCCTTTGTAACCGTCCTCGGTCTTCGCTCTGCTTCTCTCTCCCGAGCACTACACTGCTTTTGTGGAGCGCCCTGTCCGCAGAGCCACTCGCATGTTGGCTGCAGAAATTGTACGGGTTCGTGTGCACGCTGCAACAAATCGATGATAGTCTCTGCAGTTGAGCTCAATGTAAAGCTTGTGAACAGTTCTTATCAAAGCTTGAGGTTGACATTTAGAGTGCACGAGCCCTTTGTCAGCGATTGCAGATTGGCAAAAGTGGAAAGATGGCCAGTAGCGGCGGCAAAAGCGCGCTTCTACGACGAGCCACTCTACCACGACACCGTGTCTTCTACTCCTCTTCGCCCAGCAGATCTTGTGAGCGCTTCGCTACAACTCTGGTCGTTCACCTCAGCTGTTCAGGAACCTTACCCCGCACTTTACTGACCCAAGGTTTGATTTAAATACAGGTGCCTGTGCGTTTTCTCTCCTTCTACACCCCCTCGTCCCACGTCCCTGCTCTCCTCCCTCTCCCCCTCCTCTCCTCATAAGTGCGAGACATCATGTCGTCCTCTAACAGCGAAGTTCACAATGCCTACGATGACAAGCCCGAGAAGCTCGGTGGGCCCATGATATCCACCATCTCTCGCGAAGATCGACGCACTCCCGATGAGCGCGGCTCCCTCAATGACGGGTTTCCTTCCGACGTCGACGAAAAGAAGCTTTTGAGGAAGATTGATTTCTACCTGATCCCTTGGCTATCGGTGCTGTATCTACTCAGTTTTTTGGATAGATCAGCCATAGGTAACGCTCGTTTGTACGGCCTCGAGAAGGAGCTCAACCTGACAAGTCAGCAATACAACATTGTCCTTACGGTTTTCTTCTTGCCCTACGGCCTTTTCGAGGTCCCTTCCAACGTCTTGCTCAAGCGTCTTCGTCCTTCGATATGGTTCCCGACTATTACTATCTTGGTTGGAATCTGCATGATTTCTCAAGGATTGGTCAAGAACTACCATGGATTGCTCGTTGCTCGTTTTTTCCTCGGTGTTACTGAAGCGGGTAAGTTCTTAAAACAGGTTGGAGGGAAACATACGGGTCTTGACGAAGTCGAGAAGCCGACAAGGGGGATTATGTCAGCTTCCCGGATCACTGAACCGAAAATTTGAGCGGAAATGTAGCCAAAAGCCTTTGTAGCACAACCAGAGCTATTGCGATCTTCTGGCCTAGGGTCTGGAGACACCTGGGAGGCCTTCGACGGGAATAAAATTGATCGGATCTTCTCACCAACGCCTCGATCACGCCCCGTCTTGACGATGATTGACGCGTTTTCCCTCACGATGGAGAGCCACTGGCACCCTATAGCGTAGATTGGGCTTCGCCGAATGGCTGCAGCACATGAAAAGGGCTCCCTTTCCGAAGTTCTAAGCCTTCCTGGCGGATTGTCCAAGAGAGGGCCTATGGAGTTGCCTCGGGGGCAGGTGAGCACTGGACAACCTGGTCATGCATCGCGCACGACTTGCTCTGGAAAGGCAGAGCCTCTTGCTTGCAGCTGCTCCTGTGGTCTCAGGCTCCTCTGTTCAGCTGAGACCTGCTCTATCGGAAAACCAATGCCTTGAACTTGGCACCCGAAAAAAGGCGGAGGTCACGATCGGCAACACCTTCATCACGCGTCCAGCAGCCGCCCAATGTACAAAACCTTTCCACATCGATCCGGGCTTCCTACTGACAACAATTTCACTTCTTTCTACACTCTACGCGGTGGCAAACACAGGCCTATTCCCCGGTGCTAACTATGTAAAGATCCAACAGCGTCTCTCTAATATCCAGATCGATTAGTTCAACCTTGACTGACATGTCCTTGCCCATTTTTCCTTTTTGTTATTTTTTTCCCACCTCATCTGCAGCTTCTAAGTGGGTGGTACAAACGTAGCGAATTTGGCCTACGCGCATCCGTCTTCTTCTCTGCTGCCACCATATCTGGAGCCTTCGGCGGCCTCCTCTCCTTCGCTATCAACAAGATGGATGGTATTGGCAACTACGGCGGATGGCGCTGGATTTTCATTATTATCGGATTAGCTACGTTTATTTCTGGCGTCTTGAGCTTCTGGCTTTGCGTGGACTTCCCAGACACAGCTAGCTTCTTGTCCGATTCGGAGCGAAGGGCGGTCATCTACCGTTTGCAGCAAGACCAGCAATTCTCAGCCGCTGGGGAGGGCTTCAAGTGGGCTAACGTCTGGAAAACCTTCCTTCAGTGGCAGACTTGGTGTGGAATGGGAGCCTACATCGGTTGTGTGGCCCCCCTCTATGCCTTCTCCCTCTTCACTCCCACCATTGTCAAGTCCCTCAATCCCAGCTACACGAGCAACGTGGCCAACTTGATCTCAGTCCCAGTCTACGTTGTGGCCTGTCTCTTCACCGTTGTTGTTGGCTTCCTTGCTGACCGTACGGCTCGCAGGTCCCTCTACTCCATCGGTCTCTCCCTACTTGGAGTCATTGGCTATATCGTCCTTATTGCCAACAACCCTGCTGGAAAGCCCGGCGTGTCCTACTTTGGCGTATACCTCGCAGCTCTGGGTATCTATCCCATGATTCCCAACACTATTGCCATTGTAGCCGGCAACAGCGAGGGTGCATACGTACGATCCGTCGTCACGGGTGTCGTCATTTCCTTCGGTAACTTGAACGGTGCCGTTTCATCCAACATTTACCCTAGCCGTACCTCGCCCAGGTTCTTCCTCGGTCACTCAGTCGTACTGGCCTACATCGTTATCGGAATTATCTGCAACGCCATCTTCTTCTTTGGTCTGCAATGGGAGAACCGTAAGCGAGAAGCTGGATTGCGGGACGAGACTATTCTGGCTAATGACCCAGCTATGTTGGCTTCAGGTAAGGATCTGCAGGCTGAGGCCGAACGAATTAGGGCGGAGGAGATCAAGCAGGGCGGTGCTATCGGTGGTCTTTTCCGTCGTTTGCATGTTGGCGGTGGTGGTACGTACGCTACTGTGGAGGAGGCTAAGGCGCTTAAGGGCGACCAGTACAGTGGGTTCCGTTACCGTTCCTAAAGGGTTTATCAACAACGTTGCGACCCAGTTCGTAGTGCTTGTGCGTCGCCTAGATTCTGTGTCTATTTTGTATGCTTATTGGTCCGGTAACAAATGCAATCCGTAGAACAACACAATCATTCATGATCCATTCAGCAAGCGACGCTTGACGACTCGTGATATACAAGACAGCTGACCAAGTCTCGCGAGAGAAGCCTGCTGTAAGGCTTCTGTCCGTGCGAAAGCCGAGCAAATTGTTGGCAGCCTCTTCGTGTCCTACACACTGCGAGTTTGGGCGATCTCTTCACATTAGAGATCCTGTCCTCCAGCTCTCGGGACATCCTTACTCAATGTGCAAGTCAGTCTTGTTGTTGACCAGCACAGCTCGTGATTCAGAAAGTAGCCGTAGAATTGAGTCTGTCATTGCTAAACGTACACAAAGCGTGACCAACTGTTCGTCGCCAGACACAATTGATCGAGCTCATTGCTGCGATTCGCAAGTTTCAAGCCGGTCTAGCCGAACCAAAGCATCAGACTGAGCAAGCTATTGTCGCAAAGCTCCGTTTCGAAGCGGTACTGCAACACAATCACGATCACAAAATTCGAAAATCGTGCTTCATGAGCGGACTGTGATCGCTTGTGGTCATTGCTTGCTTTCGTACCAGGCGGCTCTCAGCTTCACTTTGCCGATGTGCTAGACTCGCTTCTGTCTCTTCGTATGAAGTAGCCGAATCCGTCGATATTCCGTTGAGTCACGGAGCTGTGATTTGGTCTTGTTCAAGTGATTCATTACCGTCTGACAACACGAGTACAGAACACGCCCGTATAGCTTGCTTGAGCCATGAACGTGTTCCAGCTTGTTCACGACAGCTTATCACAGAGGATTATCGACTCCGTTGAGCTACGGAACTGCTTCGATTCCAAGTTTGAGCTCCCACATTGGCCAGCTGTTGCGCTCGAAGAATTTCGCAAGCAGACTTCGTCAACATATCCGGTTCACATGCTGCAAGAACAGGAGCGGAACAACAGAAGCTCCGTCTGTACACGGAGCTGTATTCTGCTCGTGACCTCCTTATCATCATGGGCTTGATTGAAAGATAGCTGAACATGCTTCTACAAGTTTTCTTGTCTCGCACAATGACTCAAGTTACAAGCTGCATGGCTTGGTTGCTTGTCTCAATCTCATTAGTAGTCAATCTTCAACTCCGTAAATAGACGGAGCTGCTTCTCAGCATCTCTCGAGAGCTGTGCCTTGGACAGCCAGCGAACACGACCAGGACCATGAGCATGCTTCGGACCGACACATTCGGTTGCCGACTGTATTGGCCAATGCTGCGTCAGAACACGGAGCTGGATCAAGGTGAATGTCACCTTGTCGCATCAGGACCCCCAGCATGATCCGACGAGTTGCTGAGCTTCACATAGCGTTTCGTCATCACACACAATTGAGTCTGCCGCTAACGTCCGTTCTGTCAATGGGATATTTCTGTCTCCCCCAAGCCCCAGAGCTGTCAGAAAACCGCGTTTATACTTTTGTCAGGGTCAGTCCGCAAAGCATGTGGAAGTTGGCTTTGTAGCCCGCTCACAGAACGAGCTCATGTGACTGGCCATAGTCGCATCGACAAGCCGTGCTCATCTCCGCCTCTTGACGATGCTGTTGTGTAGCCGCGTTCGAGCCTTCCGCATCAGAGCCAACACAACTTGCGGTTTTCAGCTCGCATTATCCCGACTCGAAGCGACGACATCTTTTAGCTTGTCATTGGCCCTCCGCTGCTAAACGGACCCGCCCCAAGTCGACGTTCCGCTTGAGGAAGATGTTCCGCACTCTTTGACAGACGGGATCTTGCCCGATGCTGATTGTGTCGGCTCCCGATTCGGCCACTTCCTGTCGTGCGAGACAACGCGTTCCTTGGTTCTTGTTAGAAAATGATCTCACAGATCGGCAGTTCACCGCTGTTGCATTTTTCAGCCTCCACCGTAAACAAACGATTCTTCCTGTTTTGCGAGCCTGAGAGCCTCTCACAAGACCGGCCACAACTCATTGAGGACGTGAAAGGTCAGGTTAGCATCTCAAATCGGGAGCACACAATACTACACAGACTTGACTTGAGCTATGTGAAATTTGTCTATAGGGAAAAAGACACTGCAGCGCAGCATCTCTAGCCAAGGATCGTTGACCATGAGCTATACATGAGGGAATGAAGATGCGATGAGAGGGGTGTGTGGATTGTATTCGTACAGAGGCGTCTATCTGAAAGGAGTAGCCATTTTACTTGGTCTCCTCACGGAGGTAAGTGATCAGGTCGTTGCGGTCCTTCTCCTTCTTGAGACCGGCGAAGGCCATCTTGGTACCAGGGATGTACTTCTTGGGGTTCTCGAGGTACTCGAAAAGAGTCTCCTCATCCCAGGTTACACCCTTGTTGATGTTGGCCTGGGTGTAAGAGAAGCCCTCGACGGAACCGGTCTTACGGCCGAAGAGACCGTGAAGGTTGGGGCCGACTGGGAGTGTGCGAGAGCAAAGAAGAGAAAAGCGTTGTCAGTCAAGTTGTTCAAACGTTCCACCGAACCCTCAGAGCAGAGCAGAGCAGAGCAGAGCAGAGCAGAGCAGAGCAGAGCAGCCATGGGTGTTCCGAGATCACCTTGCCACATCAACCTTCTACCTAAGATAGTTGTGTATCTCCAGCAGCGATATTCGTCGCAGCATGCTGCGGAGCTGGAGCGATGTGGTGATGTACGTTTGCTGACTCCGTCGGCGGCCTCAAATAGCAAATAGCGATCGACCGACGAATCGCAAGATGACGATGGCAGCGTTGCGTGTGTGCGCAAATGTCGTTGTCGTCATTGTTCCTCCGAGTCCATCCATGATTGCTCTGTCTTGTCATCGAGAATACCTACCCTTGTTGGGCTCACCAGCACCGAGGGTGTGGCACTGAGCGCATCGGGTCTTGAAGAGACCAGCACCCTTCTTGGAGTCACCGTCCTTGAATCCCATTGTGATAGATATGTATGTGTGTGTTGAAGGTTGGTAGAGGGAGAGTGTTGCGCTAAGATTATGGTGGGAAGTGTGGAAGAGAACAACGAGATGTCGACAATATATCGACCAGGCCGATTCCGGAAAGCCACAGAGCCACGCTTTCCCAGCTGATTCTTCGCTAAGCCCAGCTGGCTGACCCTTTCTGTGACCCTGAGTCAGTAAAATTAGGGCGATTTCAGCTTACGAAGTTGACTCTCACAACTGGCTGAACTAGTATTCTGACAGACATGCACGCAACACTCTTTCCGCACCGTGACAAACCGGAGGGCCAATCGCAAACGACGAATTTTCAAACAACGTCTGTGGATCGAATCGATTTTTATTTTTTTTTTCCTCCTTTTTTCTTCTGAGCTCCAACACACCAGCATAGGGCGATCCCGAGTTCGAATCTTCAAGGCCGATACCCGGGAGAGACAACGAACAGCTTGCTGCCGCCTACACAGTGAAGTGTCGGAAGCGCAGTTGAGTTTTTGTTTCCTAGGTCTTTGGTCAGCACATTCCTCCCTCATATTGGTTCATCCGGGGCTGTTGAAACACATCCACACACTGTACCTAACTGGATCCGGAAAGTGGCTACACCTATGACGGCTATGACACTGAGAAAGACCAATTAGCAGCGGAAGCGAAGCCGGCAGTCTTTCCGCTCTCACTCGCTGAGCCAGCAAATATGTTTGTTTAGCGTAGCGTGGCTCTTAACTTAGCTGACGATCTACAGGCCTTGGCGAAGAGATACAGTAGAGAGGGCCAGTTGCTCGTCGATTTGAACGGCTCAGGAGCTGTGTACGCGTCAAGTTCGACGTCATCGGTGTCAAATCGATCCGAAGCTTTCCGAATCTTTGTCGGCCGTGATATAAACCAATCGGGACTTTAAATTAAGTCCTTGCGATCGGCGATCAGAGGCTTAATTCCACATATGTAGCCTCGAGTGCGTGGCTTGGTCGCGACTCGTCTCCTCGTCTAGCCTTCGCACACAGCGGTCGTAGGACACTTGCATGAATCATCGTGAGCTTCCTCAACAGCGCAGTAGGCGTCAGGGTCAATGATGAAGGCTGCCTGCACGGCACATCGGAGAGTGGCTCCGACCACTCGACGAGTGTAGAAAGGAAGTGCGTTGAGAACTGAGCAAGATCTGTAGTATCGAAGACAGCTCGTCCAGAAGCAGGCAACGGCATGTGTCAAGCATGATCATCTATTCAATCCAAACCTTAACCTGGACGAGCTACAAACAAACATCCTGCGCCAGGAACACGTTGCTTGTGCGGGCATTCTGTCACGATTTGGGAAGCAACTCCAGAGATCCTATCCGTAGGGCCCCACAAGGACCAGAACCTCGAAGAATTGCTCGAACTTTCGGTATCAAGCAGACACCACAATTGTTCACAGTCGAGCGAGTCTGAAGAAGGCATACAGTGATTATTGGCAAGGAGCAGAAAGATAAGGTTAAGTATACACATGAGTCAAGAAGAAAGATTCGCAGTCGGAAAGAGAACGGTTTTGCAGGTCTATCCGGCAGGCTGGAATCAGAGAGAATACGTTGTCCGGTGCGATCACGTGTGGATGACCGTAGCCAGCCGCGAAAGTGGGTATCCAAATGGAATGCAAGTTGTTTGCGGGATCACCAACTTGAGAAAGTCGAAACGAAAAGTGGCAAAAAGCTGATGTCGAAACGTGGTATCATCGAGAGGTTTGCATGGTAAGTGGAAATGGCTGTTGTTTAGAGGTATCTAGATCGATCAGTCGCTTATGCGAGGGACTCCTTGACGGAGCGGCCACCGCGGAAGGCACCAGCACCGACAAAGATGACCATTGCAAACATGAAGGTAAGGATGATCCAGCCAATCCAAGCGAAAGCGGTAAGAGCCTTGGTCGAGTTGCAGTAAGGGAAGGGGTAGTCCTTGGCAGCGCAGTTCGTAACGCCTCCAGTGCGGTCGGTCAGAGCAGCAGCGCCGGCGAGCCAGAAGATCCAGGTAAGGCCGAGCGAGATAGCGTGACCGGCAATCGAGGTGATCACACCACCAACGCTAGCGAGGAAAAGACCAGTCTGTTGCGAGTCAAAGGAATAGAAGCAAAATCAAAAAGTATGGTTAGTAATTTAGTCTGCAAGCTTATTGTTCAGTGCAGCTCGCTCATACGGAAAATACTTACGTAGGCAGCGCCGACAATGAAACCCCACCAGCCGGCAAAGAGAAGGAAGCGGGTTGCGTTCTCAATACCCTTGGTTGGTGCGTTGTTGTTCTGGTTGTAGTCGGCAACGAGGGTCGAAGCGATAACGGCAACAATGAAAGCAATAAAGGTGAAGATGATGAAGCTGATAGGGTGGCCCCGGCGGATGGCAGCAGAAGTGTCGACCATTGTGAACGTTGTCCGAGGTGGTCAGGTGTGAAAGATTGGTTTGATGAAGATCGCTAGGATGGAGTTGATGGGTGATATAGACAGGAGCGATGTCAACATAAATATAGTGGAGCTGATCGAGACTAGCCAGGCTATATATATTCGACTGTGTCGAACAGTGTCACACGGAAGTTTCTGCCGGATGACGCGAGGCTGAGCACTGACGATGGCTTGAATGGATGATGAATGCGACGACGGTCAGCTTCTGCTTCTGAGCTCTCTTTTTTTCTTCTTTTTTTTTTTTTTTTTTTTTTCATTTCATTTTTTTTTTTTTTCCCTCCTCCTTGGTTCCAAGAATGGGAAAGGGAAAGGCTAGGCAGCAGTGTCAAACTCCTCTCTGCACGTCGACGAACCCACAGACAAGACTGCAGAACGCAACAGAACTGCGAGCTGTAAGATGACCTGACTTTGGTACGCAAACAGAGCCCAAATTGACGCTGCGTGTGACGAATTTAGACGCGACACGGATGCCGAGCCTTGGCGCGAAAGCTTTGAATCAGCTTTCCACTGCGCTGTTGGCCGCCTACAGCCCACTTCGTCATCGGACTTGCGCTCCAAGAACAGCCTCTCTTAACCACCTTCCCATCTTTCTATGGTGACAGTGACCCACCGACAACGACACTAAAGCTGAATGGCTGAAAGGGCCCTGGCATTTTGCAGGATGCCGACGGTCCCTGTCTGACTACTATGTCATCGCATGGCTCAGCCCTTTGTCATTCGCCTTTGTGCTCGTAATGCCAAGAGTCTCGACTGTTTTCAGCGCTCGTTACTGTACTCTCGCCTTCGAACCCCTTGACAACATTGCAGCCCACACAACAGCCTGAGGCTTCTTTCTTGACTCAATCTTAGTTCAAAGAGTCACTCGAGAGCTTGTGACCATCAGCCGGCCCGTGTTTGAGCCAACTCGACTTAACCTTTACACAGTGCTGCTAGGCATGGCCCGCGCAAGAGCGCGTGGAGGTTCAGTCAGTCTGTCAGTCAGATTCACGTTGTCCGGCGCGGCATTTCGCCATTTGCAGATCATCTCGGTGTTGAGTTTTGAGCCAAGGAAGCAAGCTTGGGCTGAGCAACTTGGCAAGAGCTATGCAACTGACCCCGACGAAACACTGCTCACTAAACCAAATACAGCAACTGAAACACCGCTCCTCTCCGTCGCAGAGTGTGGAGTCCGAGAAGAGAAGGAATACCAAAGTGAAGGAATCCAACAGGTCTGCAAATCAGACAGACCACTTCCGACAAAGAACTCGAAACCCTTGCTGCACAAGCCGAGCAAGGCGTCATCGAATGTGTGAGATATCGAATATCAGGATCATGCATCATCATCGTCGCCGCCCAAGCTGTGCCTGTGGCAAGAAGAAAGTGATCAGATAATCTGATCACAATGAGGGAGAGCTCCAACATTCCGGCACCACTGATGATAGTGGGGCTGGCAGTCATCTCATTTCTTCGAGACCAAGTATTAAATGTCAAAGGTTGCCTATGGTCAAGTTCTACTGGAGACATGGCGCTAGTTGTGAGCGACAAAGTGAGAACGGCCGAATCGCCGATTGGACTTAGATTGCCTTCCATTTCATCGGGACCTCTCAGTCGACCTTGTTGGGTGTCCTTCCTGGCACCGAAACAACAGGCAGTACAATGCTGCTTGATCTACAGCATCCGCATTCGACTAGCATGAGCACGGCATTTTCGCAGAGATTCAAATCAGACATGCCAAATATGTCTGCCCTGCACTTAACCCCCAGAGGGGGGGCAGGACCCCATGCCCAGGGCCCTCTAATAATGTTAGAGGGTAGTGGGTATGTTGGCTTGGGCCAGACCAATCACCCAGTAATGCACTGGCATACTGGCTAAGTAGATGTCTGAGGAGGGAGGAGGTAGTTTCCCTGCCAAGTTTCCCTGTCATGCTCTGCTCCACTGTTGTAGATATATAAGAAGTGGTACTTAGTTAATAGCCCCTATAGAGAGGACCATCCATCTGTACTCATGTTCATTGTTGTAGCCATACATAATCAAACCACATCCTACCAATCCAAGCCTGTCAACCTTCAACAGATAATGATATGCAATGCTACATCAAAGAGAAAGGAGTCCTACAGATAGCTTTGAGTTGAAGATTGAAGCTGCACAGCACCACCTCATGAAGCTACGTTCTAGCTCCTTATGGTATAGGTGTATGGTGTCATGGGCCTGGGTGCGCATAACGAGGAAAGACCGAAGTTCATATGAAGGTAGTGCAGGAATCGTGGAATCAGGTAGATCATAGGAGCTGTGACAGAGTTCACTGAGATTGGCAGTAGAATCAGCTCTATGGCAGACCACAGCGAAATCAGCATGAGCATCGTCGATATCACAAATCCCACCAGAATCTGCAGCAAGCGAGAATGTGTGGCAGATTCCATGGAGATCAGTAGTAAGGATGTCCATATGATGATTCACATGTGAGAGGGACCGAGCTCAGTGACACATGGTCAGTTACCACTCAGGGGCCCACAGGACAGGAGTAGAAGAGAACCATCGCTGGTCAAAGGAAGGAGATCTGTGTATAGGACACCAGTGAAAGGGACATGAAGAGGAGGAGCAGTGTCAATGAAGTTGACACAGCTCAGGAAAGACAGGAGGGACAAGGCTTGATATGGAGGAGGTGCCTCCTTGGAGATCCCTGTGCAGTACTTGACGAAGAGGGTACTCTCTGGAGAGAGGGAGCAGGAGCAGTGTTGCTGGTGACACTGCGAAGAGGTATATAGTCCTACCTCCTCATCACAAATGGTCAAGTGGAGGGTCATCCACTCTACTCACCAAAACAACTAGTATTACTTCAAGCAAATAAGTATCATTAGTTCACAGTCAGCATAGTAGTAATCAACAGATTGCTCCTCATCGAAGCATGTGTGTTGTATCACTGTTTCCTGACATCCAAAGGCAGTTTGTAACAAACCAGCAGTCCAGATAACAATAAAACTGAAGGCAGATGTCCACTGCAGCCCGGGGATCACTTCAAGCATTAGCTGACACACTGGACACTTGTGTTGGCATCATCAATCCATACTCACACCAGACCATTGGTGTCAACATCAAGTTCACTTAGAGTTGTATTGTAGTTTGATCATGCCAAGCTACCTCTGGATGGAGTGTCCACAGCGGTTAGTCAAAATCTGTCATAACAATAATACAACTACAGATTCCAACGAGAAAGGTGACAGAGAAGGCTCTGTTGCATATTTCACTAGGAATCGAAATACCATTAGCACTGTTGCATAACTTGACAGAATCGGTGATAGTATCAATACTACCACAGATCTCAGGTTTCAGGCACACGACCGCTGACATATGGTAATTGCAATGCTTGAAATTTTCAAACTAGGTGTGTCATAAGGAGCTTTGGCGTTGTCTTCCTTTAGTCTCAGTGTTCTTCTTCCTAAACATTGTCAGGGGTCTCGCACCTGAAACCCAGGTCGGTCTGTCGAGATACTCGGTGACTATCAAACTGTGCGACAGCTATTGTCTCGGTATCTGTCTCAACGGTGACTATCAAGTTGCGCAGTGACAGCGGGTGGCGTTCGTTGTATATACTATCGTAGGTTTCGGCTGACCTCTGTGGACACTCTGTTCAGGGGTAGCTCAGCATGATCAATATCAATGCATAGGTTATGATGACACCAAGGTCTGGTGTTGATGATGATGAGGTTGATGGTGTTGGTGATAAGGTTGGTGGCATCAACATGAGTGTCCAGTGTGTTGACTTGATGCTTGAAGTGATCCCCAGACTGCAGTGGACTACTGCCTTCAGTTCTATCTTGATCCGGACTGCTAACCTGCTATGGGCGCCTTCGGACATCAGGTAGTGGTGATACAACACACACACTACAATGAGGAGCAACCTTGATAGATTGCTGCTATGCTGACTGAAACTAATATATACTTATGCTGAAGTGATAACTAGTTATATGGTGAGTAGAGTGGATGAGGATCCACTCGACCTTTGATGATGAGAAAGCATGGTTATATACCTCTTCACAGCATCGCCAGCGATGCTGCTCCTGCTCTCTCTCCAGAGAGTACCTTCTTCATCGAGTACTGTTCAGGGGGCCTCTCCTGCTTGCTTGGCACCCCTGTGTCTCTTGAGCTGTGTCAACTCCTTTGACACTGCTCCTCCTCCTTGCTATCCTGCTGCTTGTTTGGCACCCCTGTGCCTCCTGAGTGGTGTCGACTCCTTTGACACTGCTCCTCCTCCTCAGGACCTGGTGTCAGTTCCTTTGACTCTTGTCTCTCGAGCCCCTGAGTGGTAACCATCTGCATGCTCCTTGAGCTTGGTCCTCTTTGTGGCTGTGCCTGCTCCTTGAGCTTGGTCCTCCTCATGGCTGTGCCTGGCCCTCCTCACATATGGCTCAGTCCTCCTTTGCATGTGAGTCCGTAGGAGTCCATGGTCTCCATGGAGACTGCACTATGACCATGCTCTCTAATGGTATCGACTAGATCTTCGATACTTGTGCTCCTTCCATATGAACCAGTGACCCTCCTGCTTCTTGAGCATTCAGGCCCATGACACTAAGTTCAGTAGTAGTTGCCTTTTTACTACAGATTTTGGGTTTCAGGTGTGCGACCTCTGACACCCCCTTGTCAAAAATGATTGTACTGCTGCTGGGTGAAAGGAAGATGAAAAAGCTGTTTTGCCTGTCTTTAGCCTTTGAACAGTGTGAAAGGGTTGATATTGGTCCATGAGGCAGATTCTTACTCCAGTAAGTGGTGAGAATGGCTTTTCGAGCTGCAAGAGCCTTGTCAATTGCAGCTTGTTGTATGCTGACCATACACTTGAGGAGATGGGGATGCCTATTGACAAAGTGTGATTGGTTGTCTCACAGCTGCTGGTAGAGATCATACATGTGTGGGAGGAGAGAGTTGTGGCTGATCACATTGAGCCTAGTTGCAGCAGCACTGTATATGATGTTGGCACATTGCCTCCAAAAGTGGGTGATATCCTTGAACTTGGCTGTGGTTTTGTTGCAATACTTGCATGTTCTGATCCCTGTCATCTCAGGCCGAGACAGGAGATTTGCTGGAGGGGGCATATTGGGCCTTGTGGTTGGATCATCTTTTCCCAAGGCTTCTACCACTTGATTGCCAAGATCTTCTGGCTCAAGCCAGCCAATGTTGGTAGGGATCCCATCACAATCAAGGGTGGTTGTGTTTTCAAACAGCCAGATAGTGTGAGGTGTCAGGGGTCTCGCGCCTGAAACCCAGGTCAGTCTGTCGAGATACTTGGTGACTATCAAACTGTGCGACAGCTATTGTCTCGGTATTGGTGACTATCAAGTTGTGCAGTGACAGCAGGTGGCATTCGTTGTATATACTATTGTAGGTTTTGGCTGACCTCTGTGGACACTCCGTTCAGGGGTAGCTCGGCATGATCAATATCAAGGTTATGATGACACCAAGGTCTGGTGTGAGTGTTGATGATGATGAGGTTGATGGTGTTGGTGATGAGATTGGTGATGTCGATGATAATGAGGTTGATGGTGTTGGTGATAAGGTTGGTGGCATCAACACGAGTGTCCAGTGTGTTGACTTGATGCTTGAAGTGATCCCCAGACTGCAGTGGACTACTGCCTTCGGTTCTATCTTGATCCAGACTGCTAACCTGCTATGGGCGCCTTCGGACGTCAGGTAGTGGTGATACAACACACACACTACGATGAGGAGCAACCTTGATAGTTTGCTGCTATTCTGACTGAAACTAATGTATACTTATGCTGAAGTGATAACTAGTTATATGGTGAGTAGAGTGGATGAGGATCCACTCAACCTATTGATGATGAGAAAGCATGGTTATATACCTCTTCTCAGCATCGCCAGCGATGCTGCTCCTGCTCTCTCTCCAGAGAGTACCTTCTTCATCGAGTACTGCTCAGGGGCCTCTCCTGCTTGGCACCCCTGTGCCTCTTGAGCTGTGTCGACTCCTTCGACACTGCTCCTCCTCCTCATGACCTGATGTCAACTCCTTCGACACTGCTCCTCCTCCTCATGACCTGATGTCGACTCCTTTGACACTGCTCCTCCTCCTCATGACCTGGTGTCGACTCCTTCGACACTGCTCCTCCTCCTTTGATCAGTGTCAGTTCCTTTGGCTCTTGTCTCTCGAGCCCCTGAGTGGTAACCATCTGCATGCTCCTTGAGCTTGGTCCTCTTCGTGGCTGTGCCTGCTCCTTGAGCTTGGTCCTCCTCGTGGCTGTGCTTGGCCCTCCTTTGCATGTGAGTCCATAGGAGTCCATGGTCTCCATGGAGACTGCACTACGACCATGCTCTCTACTGATCTCGACTAGATCTTCGATACCTGTGCTCCTTCCATATGAACCTGTGACCCTCCTGCTTCTTGAGCATCCAGGCCCATGACATGAGGCTCTGCAAAGATGGAAACAGTAGCACTGATCCAACAGTTGTGCAATGCTGTGCCTTGAGGTGGAACATACAAGGTGTTGATGAGATTGGGGTCTGTGTCAGTGGTCATGCACCTGAAACCCAAAATCTGTGGTAAAAGGCAACTATGACTAATTTTGGCAAGATCTATTGTAAAAGCCTTCTATTGTTATTCTTGCTGGAATCTGCTGTAGAAGCCTTCTATGACTGTTCTTGCTCAAATAAATTATAACTAAAGGTTATCATGGATTTCAACTGACTGCTGGGGACACTCTGTCCAGAGGTAGTTTAGCATGATCAATATCCAATAGGTACTTTGAGATGACACCAAGGTCTGGTGTGAATGTGCTTGCACCAACACAAGTGTCCAGTGTTGACTGAATGGTTGATGATCCCCAGACCACAGTGGACAACTGCCTTTGGTATGAGATCAAGAGAGCTGGACTGCAGTATGAAACCACCTTTGGTGTCAATCAAGATCTGGACCACAGTATGTACTGCCTTCAGATGGCATCAAGAAGCAGTTACAACACATGCACTATGATAGAAGCAATGCTCTGCAATTGCTACTGTTGACGAAACTACTAAGTATACTTGTGAGAAAGTTATAGCTAGTACTAAGTAAGGTAGATCGGGTACAACACAGTCCTGCTCGTTGTCAAGCTCGATCATTAAGTAGGGTACTCCCACATTCGGCATATGCCACCTCGATGTAAATATATCAAGCTGAGAGCACTAGGCTCTCACCACGTTCCATTTTAGTCAATTGAGTATGTGTTCCTGTCTTAAACAGCAGTGACATCGTGCTCCGACTCTCACCGATCGTTGATCATCGGGATCCGTTCTCCTCACATTTTTTCAATATGATCACGCTCAACTCCGTTCGTCCCTGTGTCCGAGAGGCTTCGTCTCAATAGCACTCACACACAATTTCAGAACAACAATGTTACTGTAACTCTTTTCTACTACCTTCAATACACACCACACAACCCGAGGCTAGGGCATGGGAAGAATACAAGTTTGGCATTGAAGCGACATGTACGCCTGAACGGGGAAAATGATGAACAGCGTGAAACGAGAAGCTTTTTGTATGTTTGAATGGAACAAGCGCAAAGCGCCACATGGAATGCCGAGTTGCTGCCCTTATCGAGCTGCAGGGTTGTCACAAGAAACAGAGCAGAGCATTTCTTACGCTCTACCCTGAACCTCTAAACATTTTTTATGTGCGAGTGACGTGAAGGAAAAGAGGCAGAAGTGATAGTAATCAGGAAGCATGCAAATGATTGCAGTGCTAGTTTACTGGCCACGAGCCTCCTTCTGTCGTCGTCGCTGGTCACGCTCCTCAGTGATGGTAAGAGCAACACCACCGCCACGGGGCATCGAGATCATGGGCTTGCCCTCGGAGCCAATAACGAAAACGTTGCCGAGACGGGTGGAGAAGTCACGGCCGAGGACGTCACGGATGTGAACAATGTCGAAGCCACCAAGGTGTCGCTCCTTGCCGACGATAACACCGGCACGGCCCTGGTTACGACCACCAGTGACCATAACGGTGGCACCAGTGTCGAAGGCAACAAAGTCGAGGATCTTCTGCGAGTCAATGTCGAATCGGACAGTGTCGTTGACCTTGATGGCAGGGTCGGGGTATCGGATGGTTCGGCCGTCGTGCGTGACAATGTGGGGGACACCACGGGCACCGAGCTGCACCTTCTTAACCTTGAGGAGCTTGTAGGTGGCCTCCTCGGCGGTGATGCGGTGGACGATGAATCGGCCCTTGACGTCGTAGAGGATGCGGAAGTGCTCTCCGGACTTCTCGATCGAGACAACGTCTTGGAAACCAGTAGGGTAGGTGGGGTCGGTGCGGACCTTGCCGTCAATCTTGATGAGACGCTGGGCAGTGATGGCGTTAACCTCACGGCCGGTAAGGGCGTACTTCAATCGGTTGCGGAGGAGGATCTGATAAAGGGAAAGGACAAGATGAGATATAATTAGCATGTGTTGTTCAGGCGATCGAAGCGTGTTGGTGTTGCAATGAAGCCCTTCGACAAGGCAACCAGAGAAGCGTCACCAGGTCGCAAATCAAACCTTCCCAAGCCAACAAAAAGCTCATAACACCTGTACAACGACGCAGCTGCGTGGTCGCGTAAGGTAGCTCATGATGCACATGGTCTGCCGTTGCCGTTCCATCGTGAAAGCGGTCCCTTGGAGATTCATGAGCTTCCGTTGCATAGTTGGACTCGGAGGCGCCTATCACGAGAACCCGACCTTACTGAACTGCCTTGATCCTTTTCTTGACGATGCCGATGTGCATGGTACTTTGCGGAACCCTTCCGGTTGTGATTCTCGAACTGTGTGTTGGACGACCATCACCTGCTATCGGTGCTAGATCATTACGTGCTTCGTCCTCATCAATTCCGTGCGCTGCGATACTGCGGTGCTGCTAGTCTGCCATTGCCATGTCCAATATCCTGCTGTTCGCCTGCGTTTCATCGTGGTGCTTCTGGTGTCTTTGTCGGATGCCTGCGAATGGCTGGGATACTTACGACCAAGGGGAGGGCCTCACGGAGTTTGTGGGGACCGTTGGAAGGTCGGGGAGCGTAGGTACCAGACAGCTTGTCCAGCATCCACGAGGAGGGAGCGTTCAGGCGCTTAAGGTGGTGCTTGGGTCCACGAACCACTGTGATTTAAACGAAGAGTAGCGTTTGCAATGAAAGGTAGTGGCGATGCGATAGATTGGTGTGTGTGTTATTGTTGGTCGTTGGTGATGTTGCAAACAGATGGGCAAGTATGGTGAGTTCCATGTTCATTCGATGATAGGTTCTTTGATGATGCGGCTTGGCTGATCATCATCGTATCGTCAATGCTACAGCACCACTGTGATGGGTGTCCTGTGGCATACAAACCCTCCTATCCTACCGAGAACAAAATCCTTTCCGGTCATATCTATCCTTCTGTACTGTTGCTGGACTCCTTGCTGATGACTGCTGGGCGATACCGATGCCGTTCTCAGATCGATGGTGATGAATAAACCGTGTTGACAGGCTACTTACTCTTGAGGAATATGCAATGGGATCTTGATGGATGTCGGTGTCAAGGTGGATTGCGAGGAGACGAACACTTGGGACTGGGCTTTGTCTGTAAACCCTGCTGCTGCTGTTGCTGTTGCTGTTGCTGTTGCTGGCCTGCTGTGCTTGCGAGATTGAGAGTTTCGAAGTCTTCGTGTGGCCTGCTTGCTCTCAAGCTGGCCTTCTGCCGCCCGGAAGTCTCAATTTCCCCCTCTGTGTCAATTTCTCAACTGATCGTGGCTAAAATCTGCAAATTTCTACAGTTCTGATCCGTTCAGCACGTGACGCAACAATTCCTTTTTGTCTGTAACGGAATTCTTTTTCGCAACGTTGTAACAAAGGTACCGATGTAACACCGCTAATTGTGTCGAAATTTGCCGAACCTCACGTCAAAATATGCAACCCAATGTTCCCAGGCGAGCTTCCAAGACTCTGGACCGAACCAGCAGGTTGGCTTGTCAAGTGTCGTTAGTCAGAAGAAGCAACTATTGAGAATGACGATCCAATATGATGATATTGGTTGACGTAAGCAGATACAAAGGGGATCGGGTGGAGGACAGTCTGATCGGTGATCGAGAATTGGGTACAACATAGTCCCGCTCGTTGTCATAGCTCGTCATTAAGTAAGATCTTCCCACATTCGGCAAGTACCACTCATTTGTATATATATCAAGCGGGGAGCTCGAGGCTCCCGCCACATTCTTTCCTTAGTCAATTGAGTATACACGTTTCTGTCTTAAAACAGCAGTAACATCGTGCTCCGACTCTCACCGATCGCCAGTCATCGGGACCCGTGCGATCCACTTTTTCTCAGCAACAAGTCATGTAAGCAGACCTCCCCTTACGAGGTCAGGCAACTGCATCTCGCTCATTGACCACACATCATGCAAGCGAGCTAGACAAGAGCCAAGGATAATTATGCTGTGTTGCCACCGTATGTATGCTGACATTACATGAGACTAAGATGGTATGTGGTATCAATTAGAACGTTCTGATAATGATATGATTAGTTGCAATGCTGAGATGTGGGGTAGGATTGGGAATGTGTCTGTGAAGAGATCTCGTGATTAGACATGACAAGCTGTAATGGCGATGGCAGCGGCTTGGTATTCCGGTAGCTTTCGGCGGCAGGAGTGGAGCCTGGATAGTACGGGCTCGACCTGTAGGAAGGAGCAACGAAAGAACCGCGAAGTGAAGATCGGTGACGTGGCTCAATGATCTGCGATGGCTCTTTGCCGCTTATTGGCATGCTGCCATAGTCGCTTCCAATCGAGCTAGCTGAAGACTGCTGAAGGGAGAGATCGGCACTGAGAGAAGACAAGATCTGCTGAACGATCTTCGAGTTGCGCTCGCCGCGATCAGAGTCAAGGGCAGAGTCCTTGCTGAGAGCGAGCATGACAGCTCGTTCCACCGACTCTTCGAGAGCGGATTTCGGTCGGCTTGGCTTGGACGGTGCATCGACTCTTGCCTCGTGAGAAGCCATCGGGCTCTCTGCGGGCGCAACATGCGAGTCTTGCACCGGGTCGAGGACGCTTCGGGACTCTTGTGGACCTCGACGCTTCTTCATGCTAGCCCAGTCGCGTGCGGCTGCAGCGAGCGTGCTGCCCGAGAAAGAGGCGCGCGGGCTACTTGTCATCAAACGAGGCGAGGCAACGGGAGAGGAGATGACATGGTGTTCGCGGGGGCCTGAAGGAACGGCGAAAGAAGAAGGTGATGGTGGCGGCGGTGGGTGTTCACCTTCACCCTCAAGCGCAGGATCGAAGGCAAAAGCACCCACCCCCTCCAACGCAGCGCTCGACGATTCCGCCTCGAGACTGATCTCAGCAGCTCGAGTGGCTTGCTCGAAGAGCTGAGCATCTGAGAATTGAGCGTCGGCAGTTGGCATTAAAGAATGCGACTCATCGACCACGCTGGGCCTGGCACCAGCGTTACCATGATGATCCACGCCGAACGACCCGGGACGTCGACCAGGGACCAAACCGGATCGGACTAAGGAGCTACGCCTCCTCATATCTTGAAACGATGCAGTCATGGGTGAGATGAGCATCGACTCGGTACCGTTGTCGACCCAAGGGTGGAAGAAGCCACGGAACGAGCCGGAGCTAGGCGTTGAAGGGTAGGCCGTACGAGGTCGAGCCGAAGTCTGCTTGCCAGCCGCTCCCATAACGTCGAACGAGCGCGGTGAAGGGAGCGACTGATCATCGTAGGAGCAGTGCTGCCACGTGTTTGGAATAGGAGGTGGCAGCGCTCTACGACCTTTCCAAGCAGGCGCGGGCATGTTGTGCTCATCGACAAAGCCAACTCGGCCTTGAACTGCATTGGTGCTGAAGCCATTCTGCATCGCCCTCTCGCGATCCTCTTCACTAATCGACAGGTCCGTGTCTATGGTTTCCGGATCCAAAGGTGGCTGAGGCCCTGATACGAACGGTGGCGGAGGCGAACAAGGTCGCAAAAGTGGAACAGTTGATGCCCTGCGTCCGAACAGATCTTCCGCGACGCGACATGAATTCGTCGGAGCTGCTTGCTGCATGCCGCCTTCGATCGAAGGTGTTCTTGAAGCGAGTCGGAAAGGCTCAGGCGAGGGCGCCGGTACCGCTCCCGAAGCACCGCTCGAGCCGGAAGTTGGCGAGGTCGAAGGCGATGCATGCAGAAAGACGGTCTGAAGTGCTTGCTCCGAGGACTGAGCGTCGCTCTCTTTGCCTTTTGCCGTCTTGGCTCGCTTGCGAGCTGGAATCGCGGTCGAGTGTTTTTGGCGTGGTCGCGTCGCCTCGCGTGCTCTCTTGATGGCCTTGGAAGGCTCAGGTCGAACGACGACGCCTTCCTTACCTTGCGCTTTGAGGATGATATCTGCGATCTCTTGGCATTGTTCCTCGCCGTTCTCGAGTTTCTTGACGTTGCGCTGCTTGACTTCAGCTCGGCGCGTGGCGGGTTGATATCGATAGTTGGGGAAGAGCTTCTTGTGACGTTCCTTCTCCTCCTTGGCGATCTCCTCGTAGTAGGCACGATCTTCGGCATTCAGACTCTTCCACATGTGAGCGATGATGCGGCTGATGTTGCGATGATCGTTCTCGACCTCCTTGGGAATAAGCTTTTGTGAGACAGTATGAGATCGGAAGATAATGTAAGCATTGCGGGGACGCTTGATGTGATTTGGAGGGTTTTTTTTGGCATGCGAAACACCAGGACGCTTGGAGGGCGGTAGACGCTTGATCCGTTCGGCCTCTTCAGTATCCTCTTCATCGTTAAAGCTGGAATGCGACAAGCTCAAAGAAGATGCACCGCCTTTTGCCAGTGTGATCTTCTGAAAGAGTGGAGGTGCGTCTCTATCTGGCTGCTTCATCTCAAGACCGTCTTGAGAAAGGGATCGCTTGACCTGAGTATGTTCCTGATGAGATCCGGGACAACTACCAGCAGAGGGTTCTGAAGGATCTGTGGACCAGCCATGAAAAAGATCCACAGTGATGTGATCGCCACAGTCAGAGTCGGTCGGCGCCGCCGCTCTCGCTGCTTCTCGACCGGCTTGCCTGGTCTGGAGGCGTGTCGTTGTCGGAGCCATCGTAAAGTGCGACAAAATACAATGCTTCCTTTGTCGGATGTAGGCCGGGACAGAGTATAAGAAGATAGCTGCCAATCGAAGACAGTAAAAATATGGCGCAGGAGATGGGAAGTGGGGGGACTTGGAACCAGTCATGGTCCGTTCGAGTGCCAAGTTAATATGTGGGAAGCGCTTAGTGCTCAGCAGAGGTGACAAGGCGCTTGCAAGTTGTATGCTGTTGACGCCGGGACGCTCGACCACGGGCAAAGAGACAAATGAAGTGCCGCACTTTCATCAACTCGGGCAACGAGTCCGCCAAGAACAAGGTGGGCTCGACAGACGCTTGCGCTGAAAGCGTTCGGGGTGATGATAGAGCAGGCTACAGAGCATCAATGTGTAAATGAGCATGAGTTCGGAGCAAGAACAATGGGCAGCCATTGATGCAACATCGCGAGGCGCCAAGTAGCTCATGCTGTATCTGGATGCAACATCTCCCAAATTTGCTGGGGTTTGGGCGCTCGAGGGATGCAGCTTAGGAGCTACATTCTTGTGCAAGTACAAAGGACAAAGGACCAGCAATAACATTGTGTTGTTCGGAAGATACATGGATTACATGTCGGCCCGAAGTATACATGCGAGGACAAAAGAACAAAGGGAACTAGAGACTCAAGGAAGACTTTTGGGTTAAGGATCAGGCACAGACTATGGCAGGGGAAGCCTTGTAGGTCGAAGACCAAAGGAAAGTCGACTTGACTTGATCTGCAGGAGTGTTCAAGCCAATCATCGCTAATCCTGGCGAGGCTGCTTGCTGTCTTTGCTGTCTTTGCTGTCTTTGCGCTCTTTGGCACCAAGGCATCAAAGCATCAAAGCCTTAAACGAAATCTACCCCAGAAGCAGGCACCGATCCTCCTTCCGGACGCATTGACCACTGCCCATTTTCAGCTTCATTTCAGCCTACAGCGAATGTTCCAATGCTTTGAGCCTGCGCTTCATCTGCGCAGTGGACTTGCATCTCCCTCGAGGTCAAGCGTTGTTGGTGCCCAGTCGAGCGCTGCGGAGTGTGGAAGGCTTTGTAAAGAGTGACAATGATTTTTGATGATACGGGGCGTGGAACTGTGCACGGAAGCTAGCGCGATGGCAGCCAAGTCAAGCCCGTACCACCGAAGGGGTCGGGAGGGCTATAGATTCAGGAACACTCTGACGGCGCTCCCGGAGCTTCTAGCGGGGCACGTGTGGAACAAGAGATGCTACCGTAAAACTTGAGGGCTTGCAGCATCCAGTCAACGACTGCAGTTCGGGACAAACAAACAATGGCAAGTAAACGCCACCAACTTGCCTCTCTTGCATATGAACTGCTTTTTGCTTCCTATTGTCTTGCAAGGAGGCTGCAGGCGCCAAAAGCGTTGGTAAAAAAACTTGTTCCCCATTTCGCACTGTCAATGTCTCAGTCGTGTATACTATGGAAGCGCGCGAAACGCCCCGCATCGACCTGTTCTTGGTCCTGCCGACATTCGAGCGCCATCTGATTAGAGTGGTAGGGGGTTGGCATCACCTCTTAAGCAATTCCAAAGGAACTCTTTCGGCAGCTGTGGCGCTTGCACACCGCTCCATCGCGCCGGGACTCGGAAAGAATCCTTGTTGCCAAAGGAAGTAAGTCAGAGAGGAATGCCATGCAAGCCAAGGAGTAACGACACCATGCGGTCACACAAATTCCGGGGCCTGCCATTTGAGCGACGGCCCTTTGTTCCTCTCGGCGCTTCAATCCTCGTGGCCTGTTGCCAAGGCAGCCGCCGTCTCTAGAAGCTCTAAATCCCCATAGGATGCCTGAGCCGCTCGCTTTACTGCACTCCATAGAACACCGCCGTGCCACCCCAACGTCGAAGCCGCGGCTTTGTGAAATGCGCAAGGAGCCGACACGGATCACGACGTGGTGTCCAAGACCTACTTGACCATAGATACCGAATTGTTAACTGTATCTGGTCTACAGATCACAGACTGCAGTTGGTCGCCTTGACTGGCTTGCTGGAAGGGCTCGAGTCGTTAGCAGGCCTGCTTGCTGCAAATGGCGCTGAAACTGTCTAAACACATTGCTGGTCCCTCATTGGACGCTCGAAGCTGTTTCAGGCGAGTCTATCCCCATTTAAGCGACGTGCTCAGGTCGGATCAAGATCTGAAAAGAATCTACAATGGCTGTTGAACAAACTTGGGGAAGCAGAGCGCAGAAACCGAGTCAAACATCTTCAAACATTACAACAAAAGGCTTGATAATGGACAGCATTCGCTATCTTGCTATTTTCCCCAGAGGAAAGGGACCGGATTCGGTCTCTGACCGAAAGCGAGGGTAGTTCGGTATGCAAGTATCCCATGAATGGTGAGTGATGCTGCATGCACGCAACAATGGAGCGCGCAATAGGCTGCCCTGAATGCTTCTCATAATTGCACGCTTCTCCATCTTTCCCAGAGAAGCAGTGTTGCGCTGTTGTGTCTCCAATCCCGACATCCGAACAATCCACCCGACCATGCAGATATGCCTTTTGCTACAGCCACAGCGGCAACAATGGCGTGCAATTCAAAGCCAGACATGCATTGTTCTGACCTCCTGTTTGTCTCATGTTGAATGCAGTCTAATTAGTCGGATACACGCAATAGACAATCGCTCTTTTTTTGTTTTGTTGATGGGTTGGTCTGCGTGCATATGGTGAGGCGACTATGGATCTCAGACTTCGAGACTCATTCTTTTGTGTTGGGCAATTACTGCACCATCCCCAACCGACTGGTCTCAACCGAGACACAGTGTGTCGACTGGCGAGCTCCAAACACGGCGGTGGCGGTTGAGCGAAAAAGCTACATTTAGAACTCAAGTAGTATTGGGGAAGATCTGCGATCTGCTATTGTCTCTACGTGCCATCTCCCACGCTGACTCGACAAAGTGCGGCTATGTCTGTGTCTACTGACCATGCCGTGCATGATCGCTCGCATGCAATGCTACCAGAGTCCATGGGATTTCAAATTGGGCTCGATGCGAATCGCTGTCGGCCGAAACAGCGTTATCCCTGGGAAGCTAGGTGTCCTACTTATCTCTGAGCATCCGACATCTGCACGTCGTCTTGACTATCAACTACGGTCTGGCTAGCGACTGCACCGTGTGTTGATCTGTTCTCGGTCGTGCTGTGCATTGCTGTTGCGTCTGAAGCGCTTTTTGACTTTGCTGTCCCTGTTGCTTCGTCCTTGTTGTTACTTGCTGCAGCACGCTCGGCGACAGGAGGGCAAGCGTTGATTTCCTTGGTCATCTTGACCATATCCTGTCTTCCGCTCGCATACATCAGCAATTGATCCGCGTATCGTTGCATCTCTTCAAGCGGGATGGTGAGGCGGAAATCGTTGAGGAGCAAGAATTGCAGCTCGAGCTGGTTCAGTTCATGCGGCGGTAGACCACCCACTTTGGCGTAACGGCTGTTAGTATAAAAGACATCGCTGAAGAACTTGCTCGCCACCGTCACTCCGGCGATCATTAAACGATGCACATTGTAGCTATCAATGGCAAAGCCGCGGATACCAGGATGGGTGTACGGCTGTGCTTCCCTCGTAGACATGGATGATGCGCTGCCGTCGGACTGCCTTGCTGAAGCATCGATGCCCAAATCGGATTGACCTGTAGCACGTTCGACGGCACGAGGAAGGCCGGCTGCCTCGCCTGCGACCTCACCGTCACCGTTGGCACCAAACTTGGCGCCTGTTCCCATCCTGCTCATGCGATCAAAGTATACGAGCAGGCTCAAAAATACCTCATTGGTGGCGGGGCAGTATTTGAGGATTCGTAGCAAGTACGACTCGATGCTGATGCTTGGTACGTTGCGAGCATGGAAGCACAAGGTGCTCGAGGGAGTCGCAAGCGCTCCCAAAGCTGCCGTGGTCACCGATGGGCGTCGAGCGTCGCTGAACGAGAGATGCGAGCCGGGAGGAGCTGCACAGTTGTGCATGGACAACGCATCAACTGCTTGGCCACCGTCTGCAGGTGTAGCTGGTGTTGGGCGATCTCGACTGCGCGCAGCTCTCTTGCTTCGGGACAAGTCGTCCTTGCTGCCGTCCGGTTGAAACTCGTCGTTAGCCGTGGCGATCTCGTGCAGCAATGTTGCAAGGATTTTGAGCAGCTCCTGGGACGCAAAGGTGGCAAGATTCATCTTGGGCAGCGGTGGCGGCTTGCTTCTGTTTGCCCTATCGTTACGCTCGGTCAAGGAGCTGGAGGAGACCTGAGGAGACGCTAGAGCAGAGGCTCGTGTGCCGGAGATGGATGCCGGACCCGCTGAAGTAGCATGACCTTCCTCTGTCCGCGTCCGTGGCGAGGGCATTGCTGACGTAGATTCCTGTGTGCTATACTGTGGCATCGCATCAGAGCCATGCCACTGACTGCTGAAACCCGTAGAACGATCTTCGGGTCTGACGATTCCTGTCTGGCTAGAAGCGCCCGCAGCAGGCCATCCTCCAGTTGACTGATGCGATCCTGCCTTGTGCGTCGTTGAAGGACTCGTCGACGTGTGTGTCGTTGGATGCATGCAGGTGCTCTGTCGGGGAGATCTAGAGCTGTGGGAGAAAGAATGCGAGCTGGCGTTATTATTGTACTGTGCGGAGGTATACGACGGATCGAGGTTGCCGGAAGCACGGGACCCACCAGGGCTGGTGCGGCGAGTTTTGGGTGCGGGACCACGACTGTTGTCCGGGCTTTCAGCGGACTGAAAGTTTCTTGAGCTGTATGAAGGGTAGTCGGAAATGATGTTGCTCGACGGCCCAGCATGACGAGAGTCGGCTGTGCCGTAGGCGGTGCTCGAAGGCGGCTCCATCGCGGTCAAGTACGCAGAACTGTTTCGTTGTGCACTCTGCGATGCGGATGCGGATGAGATTGGCTGATAAGAGCTAGTAAATGGCTCGTACAATCGACCGTCTACGTGGGTATGAATAGCACTCGAAGGTGTATTGCCGGAAAGCAAAATAGAGTGGGAGGGTCGCTTGGTCAAGGCGGACCCTTGTGTGTGCTCGGGTGCTCGATCGTAGGCGCTCGCGGGACTGGTGGAGCTGGATGAAGGGTCGGACAAGGTGGGGCGGGCTCGAAAGGAAGCTTGTGACGATGAGGAGGTATAGCAAGAGCTCACGGAGGAGGACTGCGGTGGTGAGGCAGCAGAAGGGTGATCTGGGCTGTTTGAGAGCATGGTTTCAGGCTGGAAGAGGATGCGGAACAGCCACTGCGGAGATCACAGCGAGCGGGTCTAAAGAGCGGAATCAAAGGTATTCAAGGTGAGCGAAAGTCGACGCCGTCAGATCCGTACTAGACCCAAGACAAATCGGACCGCTTCCCCAGTCAAGCTGCAATATGGATGCTGAGAAGTGAAGAGGAGCTTGAGCCAGTCGGTCTCGATGTGCTGAATTACTATCACTGCAGCGGAGTGCAAACGATGATCTACCACAGCTGCCGATTCCTTGTTGTTGCACAAGAGGCCGAGCAAGGGCCGCGAGTGGTCGAATTAAGGTGCAATTGGCCGAATCGAGGATTGCGTGTGCGAAGAAGCCGCTTCGAAGCAGACGAAAGGAAGAAGCGTGAAGGCGGTCACTGCGGGCAGTATTGCGGGTCGTACGTCCGTGTACTTTGGAAGTCGTCCTATTGGTCGCGTTGAGCGTCGTGACGAGAATATGATTTGCACGTTTGCACGGTCGACAAGGATAGTGATGGTCGACTGGCAAGTCTGCGTCGGTAAAAAGTTAAGAAAGAGAGAGGTGGAGAAGGAAGGTGTTAGTGATGATGATGACGACGACGAGCACAACCACGTTGAAAGTGTCAGACGTTAAAGACAGTGGAGTTGCTTGAAAAGGGTGAAACGAGCAGCCCAAAGCTCAAACAGACTGAGCTGAGCTTGTGCGGTGCTCTGCTGTGCTCTGCTGTGCTGTTGATGTTTTTCTATTTCTATTTCTATTTCTATTTCTATTTCTATTTCTATTTCTATTTCTATTTCTATTTCTATTTCTATTTCTATTTCTATTTCTATTTCTATTTCTATTTCTTCTTCTTTTTTTGGGTCAATCAATTGTTCTGCTGTGGAGCCAAAATTGAGCTCAGCCCAAATCAGCCTTCTGTCAATTTGAAAAAGAAAGGAAAATGAAAAAGAAAGAAAAAAGAGGTGCGTCCGTGTTACATGTGCATTTTGAGGCGAGAACGTGCTCACTCGAGCTTTTCAGGAAATCAGCCATTGGACGCACGTGACACACACACTACACCATATCACACCATACCACACCACACTCAGAGACGCACAAGGGAAAGCAGGCGAGTCAGCTTTCCATTCTATACAACTGCAGCCTGAGTATAATCGTCAAACCAGGACCCTGTCTTTGATTTCTTCGTGCTGCAAAATCAAGGGAAGCAATGACTTGGATGCTTGCAGATGAGTCTGTGCACTTGCAGTCTCTGAAATCGCATTCTGCGGATAACTTATCACATAGAGCGATGCAGTAGGTCGAAGTCTTTGCGCTCAAGTCAAAGCCGCACGCTTGGAGATCCAGAAGGTCGGGCGCCTGCAATTGCAGATGCAATACCCTCGGAGATGGGCGAGGAAGCGATCGCGGTAATGTCGCGTCACTATCAGATGCTTTGAAGGGCTCGCAGATCAGACTTGGATGACAAGTTCACTAGGACGGCAATGCAAACGGCAATAATGATGTTTATGATTGATCTGAATCTAATAGTACAGTGCATGTCTGCAATGCTTCTCTGACAGTTGAGGATGAATTGCGTGCGTGCAAGAAACGAATTTGATGCTGAGATATCTACGATGAGGGAACAAACCAGAAGCGAGAGAGAGAGAAAAGAAGTATCCAGAGAAAGAGCGAATGGTCACAAGAAAACTAATGCCTGAGATCTGCCATTGGTTGATCAGTATCGATTGGGCGCGTTGTAGCCTCCAGATCCATTGTAGGCGGCAGGATCGACCCAGCCAGTATTGTTTGAGTGTCCGTATGGCTGCGGCGGTGGGAGCATATGACTGCGGCTGTCCGTAGTTCTGCATCCGAGGCGCCGAGTAGCCAGCGCCAGGCTGCGAATTGTGCTCGCTGCTTTGCGGTGTTGCCACTGGTTTGGGCACGTTGTATGCCGTCTTGTTCCTACCTGACCTTCGCAATTGTCCCGAAGAGCCTGCACTCTGAGTGCGAGCTGATCATCGCCCCGAACAGCAGCATCGACGTACGATACCCCACAGAATGAACAGAACAATGATGCCAATGACGATGGTCACTGGGATCGAGATCCTGAGGTTGTCCGTGTACCAGTTTCGGAAGGTGCTCTGCCACGAGCCCGACTTGCACTCGCCGTTCTCGCAGCGTCCACCATAGCCACAGCTGGTGCCGTCGATGAAGGGCTGCTGCAGGATGAGACACTGGTTGCGCGAGTTGGGGCTCTGGCACGTCAACTGACACGAATTGGCGTTCGAAGCAGCGCAAGCGGAACGGAAGGTGATCTGACCCGTGGAAGCCTGCTGGCACTGAAGGTCGCGAGAGGTGCAGTGGCCGTTAGCGCAAGACAGTCCGTCGCCACAAGAGCTTCCATCAGCATTAGTCTGATCAGCGGGACATTCGGCGGAAGTACCGGTACAGTATTCTTCCGTGTCACATCGCGTATCGACCGAGGGACGGCACATCTGGGATGATGGTGCAAATTTGCACGAGTTGGAACAACAAGCGCTGGTTGCTGGATCACACTGAGCGCCTTGTGCCAGCCTGCATTGAGGTGTGCAACACTGCGAACCATTAGGTCCAGCGTCGCACTCCTCGCCCGGTTCCAAGATGCCGTTTCCGCACTGCTCGGTGCTCAGCGTACTTCGCTGTCCAGGGTTCTGGATGCAAGACGTGTCCAAGCCCCGTCCGAGTAAAGTGCAGACATTACCGATCGAGCACTGACTGAAGTTCTGGGTGTTGGCTCGCGACGATGGGTTCATGATATACTGAGCGTTGGCGTTGCACGTTGTTCCTGATAGTGGACAGCATGGCGCACCACCATTCTGGACGGCAAAGTTCGAGTTACTCGTACAGCCGTTGGTGCAATCGTGAATGGCGCCAAAGTTGTGCCCCATCTCGTGTGCCATGACCTGCCATTGCCGCGTAGCGATCGAGCTGACACCTGTTCCACTGACGGTCTGGCCGCTGCTGCTCGATGCGGATGTCATGCAAACGGTACCGAGCCAGGCGACACCAATCTCGCTACCAGAATTGCACGCCGTCATGAGATGCCAGAGTCCGATGCCATTGCCAGGCTGCTGAGACCTCCACTGGGAGAAGTCGCTGAGGCGTTGGTCGATGCTGACAGTGCCACAACCTAAATTCCATGGTGCATCCTGCGTAGGCGAAGAGGGACAGTTGCCCGAGCGAACATCGAGCTCGACCACGCCGATCGAGACGTTGAATGTGGATCTGTACACGTTCGAGACCGAGTTCATGTTGCTCAAGATCTCCCTGCGTGCGTCGTCCTGGTTGCCGATACGCTGTGTATAAGCGCAGTCCGAGGCAATACCTGCATAGACGACTCGGGCACTCCTTGGGCATCCAATGGTCGAGCCGATGACGTCTTCGTAGCTGTTGGTTTCGTTGCCACCGTTGCCAATGTCATTACCAGTTGCCTGCCTCCTCCGGAATGTGGGCTCGAGGTAGTCATCCAGGTCTTCGTGGTAGACAAAGTCGTCCGAAGATGCCTGTGGCGACTCGATGACTTGGTCTTGGACCGATCGTGTGAAAAGGTCGTTCCAGCCCGAGAAGAGATCACGGCGAGCGAGTCGAGCTGGCGTTGGAAGCTTGAAGAACGAGTAGACGGAACGACTCATTTCGTCGTTGTGGTCCTGGCTGAGTACAAGTCGGTTGTGTGTGTTGTAGTCAAGGAGATCCGATGAGCATCCCAAAGCTACGGTGACGTTGGAGCGCGAGCTCGACTGCTCATCTCTGGACTCGAGAGCGACGTCCGAGTCTCGATGTACGATCATTGAGCCAATCTGCTGTGATCGTGGCTCGATCCAGGGGTCGTTCAGCTGTCGCTTGGCAAGGTAGCTCTGCGGTGTTGCAAGATGATGAACGTTGCCAAACCAGTCGAAGCTACCTTCAAAGGTCGGTGCTCCGGTAACGGAACCATCATCATGTAGCAGGATAGCGGCTCGACCGACAACGCCAAGATCACGGTCCTGGTAGATATCACGAGCGATGCCGGCTCGATCTTCATCTAATCGTCGAAGAGAGTGTGAAGGGTGAACGACAACGCCGTGATAGGCACGTACATCACCCGGATAGAGCTTGCCGATACTTGTGACAAAACTTTCGCCTGTGGTCTTGTTGTAGCCATAGTACTTGACCGTGGTGCCATCAGGATGCAAGAGGTCTTCGTTGGGCTGGAGATGCAAGTGAAAGTCTTGTTCGAAAGCGCGGAAGCTAAGTCGTAGAGGTGGCTGTGTCGCTGGCTGATTGTTGGAGCGTTTGCGTGCAGATGACCTTGTCGGTGTCAAGGTATCGAGCTTGACATCGGTCGTCCTTGCTATGCGTCGAAGAGGTCCACTTTGACGACTTCGAGCTGCGATTGGCGTTGCTGTCAAGAGTAGAGCTAGCAGCAGTGCTGCGAGGCATCGATGTGCGACTACGATCCGCATTATGTGGGATGTGAAGTTGATGGTAGAAAGAGGTGAAAAGACCGAAACGGCAATTGAAAGTGGTCTACTTGAACAAATCGAAGCGGAGCACAGCCTTGAGGGTAGCGTTAGCGGTGCGGGCTGGGGACAGCAGGAACCGGATCGGTGGCTAGACGACTCTGTACCTTCCTTTACGTCTACTGTATGTACGATCGCTCGACCGCCTTTGGCAGACCAACCTGAGTTAGGACGGCCAGGGCAGACGCAAGGCAGCGACGATGATCTGTACTGAGCTTAGTGAAGGCAAATTGATTGATTGTGAATCTACCGCCATCCAAGCGATTGCGGGGGAAATTCGGCGTTGCCTGTTCATAAAAAGAAAAAGAAAAAGAAAAAGAAAAAGGAAAAGGAAAAGGAAAAGGAAAAGGAAAAGGAAAAGAAAAAGAGACTTTAACAGCCATGCTCGATTCAAGTTAGAGTAGGTACAGCCTTGTACCTGAGAGTTCGACACAGCAATCACGACACAGCAATCACGACACAGCAATAATCAACACGGTAATTATCTCTGCTTTGCGCAATAGGGGCAAGACTATTCGAGGGTTATGGCCGAGCTGTCCGGTAGTGTTGTTTTGTTTGGATTTTCTTTCCGCTCGCACAGCCAGGCGACAAAGTGGATCGCACGGGTCCCGATGACTGGCGATCGGTGAGAGTCGGAGCACAATGTTACTGCTGTTTTAAGACAGAAACGTGTATACTCAATTGACTAAGGAAAGAATGTAGCGGGAGCCTCGAGCTCCCCGCTTGATATATATACAAATGAGTGATACTTGCCGAATGTGGGAAGATCTTACTTAATGACGAGCTATGACAACGAGCGGGACTATGTTGTACCCGATTCTCGATCTCCGATCAGACTGTCTTCCACCCGATCCCCTTTGTATCTGCTTACGTCAACCAATATCATCATATTGGATCGTCATTCTCAATACATTGTGGTCTCTCATCGTAAGCTTGACTTTGATCCCAGAGCTCTCTTTTGCCAAGGCCCGCGCGAACCCCTTCTGCACCGCCACTGGTCAGCAGCGCCTTTGCCTTTGTTTTGTGTTGCCTTCGGTCCCCACTTTGGGCCTTCTCAAACCGCTACATACATACACCTTCTCTCCGCGCCCCAACGGAGCATCAAGATCGTCCAAATCCAAGAGACGATGCTTTCTTGATTGCACGATGATCTTGTCGTCCGTCCTGAGCGGATGTATCAGGTTCAGATCGCGGATGCGGAACGTGGAGAGAGACACAGACACACGGTGAGAAGTCATGTAGAGCTTGCTGAGCATAGATATCGATCCGACAACGTGACAGCCAGGACGACGTTCAAACCTTCGACCTCACCAGCCGAGCTGACCGAACATCCACCAATCAAAGTGACATATCCCAAGTGACATATTCCAAGTGACATATCCCAAGTGTCGCGTTCCGTATTGCGATCTTCCTCGTGTATGTTACTGACTGCCAGCCTGAGAGTGAGAGATCCGGAGTCATGATGACGACAATTGCAGAGCGACAACACATATGAGGAGAGGTCAAGATCCGACGAGCGCACCTCAGCCGGCGGCAGGCTGCTTCACCACCGACTCCTCAGATGTTTATGCCGCCCTCGCCAGGTTGCCACAGGTCCCGGCTTTGGACGGAAGCCGATGGTGCCGAGGGCCAGTTTCCGGCTCTAGTTTTGCCAGCATGACAAGAAGAGATTGGACAGCATCGTTCACCATGTTTGTGTCCCCAACTTAGATGGGGCAACAGCGCCAATGAGACAGCATGTTGCCGGATCGGCTGGACAGGCGGTCGCCAACCACCTGAAGTCAATCTTAGAAGCTCCGCAAATTGGCGGAATACCTGTTTGCCTCTGTTCAAAAGCGGATATCGTTCAGAGGTCGATGCTCAAGCGAAGCTAACTTATTCGAAGCAGTGAAATCAAGACTCAAGCTGCCATGGCACTCGTTCAATGGAAGGTTGCGGTCAGCCAGAGTCCTCAATCCACAGCTCCGCAGACAGTATCAGGAGGCCAATGATCACGCTAGACACATCGTTCAAAGGATCGAGTGTATAGCTCATGTTAACCGATGAGACGCTCGACTGACGTTGGCTTGCCGACCATCTAAGCAGCTATGTCTAGCAGCTCTGTCTCACGGCAGAGCGCTTGTGTTTGGTTCCGTGTTGGAGCGGACGACGTTGAGAGAAGAAGGGCCACGCGAAGCCGGTCGTTGTGAGCAACTTCATGTTGATCGACAGCATGAAGTGACACTCGTTGGACACCAGATCGTCGGAGCCTATCTTGCTCAGCAGCTCCGTCTAGGAGCGGACATGGCGAAACAGCATGTCGATCCCAACAACGTTCAAGGGTCAACGATAAAGCGCAACGAGTATCATGGTCCATGCTTGACGTGAGAGTCTTGACCGGACCAACAGCGAGCCAATGCATATCAAGGCCTCTCTCAGATCTGAACTCAACAGCAATGGTCCCGATCCTGGTTTGATCCTTCACGCACGGAATCTTAAGCAGATCATCGGCTACAACCGTGGGCGGAAACAGCTCACCAGGATGTTGGAATCAAGTCTTGCGAGGAGTCATCGTCACTCAAGAGATCCTATCGCTCAAAGAAGGCAAAAGAACACGGTCACAAAAGCGAGGGCAGGTAGACAGATTTGGGAAAAGAGATACAGGGTGTAAAAAGGTCGAATTACCACGGACAGCTGGGCGTCAGAGACTGCCGCAACAAGAGAGGCATATCGGAAATGCTAGAAGTACAAGAGACAACACCAGAAACGAGACAATAGATGGGGAGATAGAGTGTGATTGGGTGTTCGCAGAGACTGTTGTTTAAGCACCGAAACCGTAGAGGGTTCGGCCTTGGCGCTTAAGAGCGTAGACAACGTCGAGCGAGGTGACGGTCTTGCGCTTGGCATGCTCAGTGTAAGTGACCGAGTCGCGGATAACCGACTCAAGGAAGAGCTTGAGGACACCACGGGTCTCGTCGTAGATAAGCCCAGAGATACGCTTAACACCACCACGACGCGCGAGACGTCGGATAGCGGGCTTGGTGATACCCTGGATGTTGTCTCGCAAGATCTGAAAGAGTTGAAAGAAAAATACAGGGAACAAAAGATAGAGTGGGGCGATCGTCAGCAAGCTGTATCGTTGGAGTCGAGTGCAGAACCAGAGTCGAGAACGCTATCGCGGACTCCCCAAGTGGCTTTGTGTGTATTTGGAAACTTACCTTGCGGTGACGCTTAGCACCACCCTTGCCGAGACCCTTGCCGCCTTTTCCTCGTCCGGACATATTGATTGATGTGTTGGTTGGTTGGTGGTGGTGGGAAAAGAGTGTTGTGTGGAGAGGCTCTTGAAGAGATGAGATGGATGAGGAGAGAAAAAGGGAAATTACGCCAGCCGAGTGTGCAGTATTTGTATCAAAGTCGGGTTCGATGCGGGATCGGCAAAGTCTCGCGGAGGGGTTTGGTTAGGGCGTCTTGTTGCTGCTGTTGGGCATTGGGCTTGAGCGTGCGGCTTCGGTGACGCTCTCGCTGAGTTGGCTGAGCTATCTTTGACAAGGTCCAAGGCACGCGCGCGGAGGCATGCAGCCAACTCTGCCACTCGACCCTTGACGAAAATGAACGAGTATTGTGCCTCTCGCCTGTCTCGGGTGTATTACTGATTCTCTAGGTCTAAATTGCGATATGCAAAAACCATGGGCTGCCGTAGCCAAGCCAGAAAAGGTTGCGGTGATTCGCAACTTGAAAAAACGGTCAAATTAACAAAGTCTAACACGACCCATCACCACCAAAAATGTTGGTGCATCGTATAAACAACGCGATTGAACGCGATATTGAACGCGATATTGAACGCGATATGGAACGCGATTGAACGCGATAGACCTCGATGGATGATCCTCAGAAACCCCGTGCAAGGTAGAAACTCGGTGATGGTGATCTTTAGACGAGGTTCCCGGGATCGTTCCTCTTGCATGCACCCGCGGTTCCTCCTATCTCTTGCTCATGGAACACGAATCTGAATGTCCTTACAGCCGAAAGACTCATGAGATGCTGTGGATACAACTCTCATTTCGTCAACAAGTTTCAAGAGTCAAGCCTACGTGATCGTGTGACAGTTTAGAGCGTAACAGGCACGGACGAGTGTAGGAGTTGTTGATGTTGTTATCGGTCTAGCTGTGGTCGTCGACAGTGAAAGATTCCGTGGAATCGCTCATAACCACGTTGCAGATGGAGCTTCGACGGTCGCACACACAACAAGATCAGATCAGACCGTGATTTCGGCGAGGCCAATCTATTTTATCATTATTATTCGTAAATCAAGCAAACCAGGCTTGCACGCGAAGAGATCCTAGGACGAAGTGCACATCAGTTGGATTCATGCGACTTTCCAAATTCGCGTCACGGCGATTTTTGGCCGCGCGACCCGAACAGAAGCGACTTACTCAGTCGTTGAATCGCCAAGGTTGTTGATCTGAAGCCTAAGCGCCCGTGGAATTGACTTTACTGGCACACAACTGGGACAAAATTCAACGTTGCTGAGTAGTGATGCAGTGACCGTTGATTCGGCGTGTCGTGCCTTGGCTATTGCGCAGCGCTATCCGCTCCACTTGTCGGCTGCCGAGCTGCAGGTTTCTTTGACAGCTTCTCTCCAGCTCAGCAGAGACAGACGGAAGCAACACAGCACAGCGCAGCAGCGACACTCTGCGCCGCCCATCCACTCGACCCTCCATTCAAATATAAGGATCCACCTTGCCGATCCATCTCTCAGACTTTTTTTTTTTCCCCCTCATCCAACATTCTATCTCCACACTTGTACACTCGTACTCGAACATCTCTCTATCTTCACAATGGCTCGTACCAAGCAGACCGCCCGAAAGTCCACCGGTGGCAAGGTAAGTAATCTCCTCCACCACCAACCCCCCTCTCTCTCCAGATAGCATCCAACGGAGAGACAGTCTCTAACCGCTTCGTATCTTCTAACTACTGCATCGCATTCGCTCGACATCAACAGGCCCCCCGTAAGCAGCTCGCTACCAAGGCTGCCCGCAAGTCCGCCCCCTCCGCCGGTGGTGTTAAGAAGCCTCACCGTTATCGCCCCGGTACCGTTGCTCTCCGTGAGATTCGTCGTTACCAGAAGTCGACTGAGCTCCTCATCCGAAAGCTCCCCTTCCAGCGTCTCGTTCGTGAGATCGCTCAGGACTTTAAGACCGACCTCCGCTTCCAGTCAAGCGCCGTCATGGCCCTCCAGGAGTCCGCCGAGGCTTACCTCGTCTCTCTCTTCGAGGACACCAACTTGGCTGCTATCCACGCCAAGCGTGTCACCATCCAGCCCAAGGACATTGCCCTTGCCCGCCGACTCCGCGGTGAGCGCACCTAAACGCGTCGCGCTCTCTCATTTCCCTCCTTATCATCTTCTCATCTCATTTTTTTTTTTTTTTTGATCGCCGATATGCGCTTTCATGTTGCTGGTAGCTTAGCCCTGGTTCATCCCCCCCCCCCTTTTTCTTGTCGTGGTATTTTTTCTTCCTTTCACCCTTGTACTTCTAGCTTTCTCGTAATTGGTTCCGAATAGTCTCAATGCTATCTGGTCCAGCCATACATCATCAGTGCGGTCTGTCCGTTTTGATTTAAATGAGCACATTTGCCTTGGTTCGAATTACAGCAAAAGTCGGCGAGCTGTTGGCTCTCGAACGATAAGTGTTGGTTGGTTGTATGCGTCATTTCAGGGACGTGTCGAACTAAGCTTCGCGTTGGCGCCGCTGCAATCTGACAAGTCTGGAAAAGAGGAATCGGGATCTTATTGAGAGGGTACTCCCGATTTTGCGAGAATGGATCGGCCCGCGCGGGGACTGTCAAACCGGCTTTCACGCATCCGGTCGCTCAGCGAAATGAGTAGTTTCCAGAAAAAGGCGGATTCGCTCGATTCACAAGAAACAGGCTGCAGAGGGCTTCGTGGCTTTGAAACTGAGCCAGGCAACTGAAGCCTGTGCACCGGCACTTTTACAGCATACAGCCGTTGATCCCCTGCCCGTGTGCGCGCGAGAGAGACTGAGACAGAGAGAGAGAGTGTGTGTGTGTGTGTGTGTGTTTTGCTGGCTTGCCGGATCGAGGCTAGTTGGACCGGACATAGCTGTTCAACTCTGGCGCCGGCTCAGTTGACTGCTATTTGCCTTCCCCAGACTGCAAAGTAGCCGAATCGACGTAGTTGAAGGCTCACACGCACGCTAGCTATCCTTCTTAAACAGGCGGCTTTCAACCACAACTTTCTTCTTCCTGAACCACCATTCGCATCTATCTACCCCGCATCGCACAACTCAGCTTGCGCCCTCTTCCCACACACCAACACAAGACAACAGGAACCCTCCCTCCCTCATCTCACATTCACTCATACTTCAAAATGTCCGTCGTTGAGCAGCGCCACGGAAAGAAGAACATCCTCGCCGAGCACGACGACGATGGTAAGTACAGCCGTATGCTACATCGCAACTGCATCCCTGGCAGTGCTTGAGCACTAGAGAGGAACAAGTTGTCGCCGTAGCTGTGGCAACCTCATGGCCATAAGAAGATGGCCGCGAACGATTGCTGATCCGCATGCTTTTTGCTCCTTGTGTTTGTCACACCTCACAGTCGTCATTGTCTCGGCTCTCCGAACTCCCATCACCAAGGGCAAGAAGGGTGGCCTCTCGCAGTGCGCCCCCGAGGAGATGCTCGGCTGGACTCTTAAGGGTGTTCTTGCCCAGTCCAAGATCGACCCCAAGCTCATCGAGGATGTTGCCGTCGGTACCGTCCTCGCTCCCGGTGGTGGCTCCACCCAGGCCCGTATGGGTGCTCTCTGGGCCGGTATCCCCAACACTGCCGGTTGCAACAGCTTGAACCGACAGTGCTCTTCCGGTCTCGCTGCCGTCAACCAGATTGCCAACCAGATCGCTCTTGGCCAGATCGACATCGGTATCGGTTCCGGAGTCGAGTCGATGACCCTCAACTATGGTGCCGGTATCATGCCCTCCAAGATGTCCGATGCCGTCATGGAGAACGAGGAGGCTGCCGACTGCCTCATGCCCATGGGTATCACCTCTGAGAACGTCGCCAAGAAGTACAACATCAACCGTCAGAAGCAGGACACCTTCGCCGCCGACTCGTTCGCCAAGGCCGCTGCCGCACAGAAGGCTGGCAAGTTCAAGAGCGAGATCGTCACCGTCAAGTACGTTGACGACGATGGCAACGAGCGCACCGTCGACTTGGACGATGGTATCCGTGAGGGCGTTACCGTCGAGTCGCTCTCCAAGCTTAAGCCCGCCTTCGCCAAGGACGGTTTCACGCACGCCGGTAACGCATCGCAGGTCAGTGACGGTGCCGCCTCGGTCCTCCTTGCCCGCCGCAGCGCTGCCAAGAAGCACGGTCTCCCCATCATCGGCAAGTTTGTTACTTGTGCCGTGGTTGGTGTTCCCCCCAACATCATGGGTGTCGGCCCCGCTTACGCCATCCCTCGCCTCTTCGAGCTCACCGGTCTCTCCAAGGATGACATTGACATCTTTGAGATCAACGAGGCTTTCGCTTCGCAGGCTCTCTTCTCAGTCGAGCACCTCGGCCTTGACAAGAACAAGGTCAACCCTGTCGGTGGTGCCATTGCCATGGGCCACCCTCTCGGTGCCACTGGTGCCCGACAGATCGCCACTGGTCTTGCCGAGGCTAAGCGCCAGGGCGGTAAGAAGCTCATCGTCACCTCGATGTGCGTCGGTACGGGTATGGGTTGCGCCTCTCTCATCGTTTCCGCTTGATCTGTTCTCTAAAATGAAGAAAGTGATCAAGCGCCCGGAAGACGTGTGCCTACAACGTGTCCCTGTAAATTAGATCCCTATCGACTCAATGCTATCCTATGAGCTCGAGCATACCTGTGTTGCTCCAGATTGAATGTGCGCATATCAGAAGACTGTAGCCATTGAGTCTGGATGTACAGCGCAACCCATTCCAAGCATTGATGAATGTGAGGGGACCCAAAGAGGTCTCACGGTTGAAGAGTGCAAATGCGCGCAAGGTTGATGAGAGGCGTGACAGGCTGCCTTGAAATTTTAGCAGAACGCGCCGATCAAACTGAACGCGAAGCATTTTCGAGAAGCGCAACATGAGAAACCTTTGATCCTTCCTGCCGTCACTCTCACCAGCCTCTAGCAACCACGCCACCTCTTCTCAGCTGCAAGTAGAGCTGGAATTCGCCTAGCTCAACCTCAACAAGAGCCTGCTCACAGTTTCGACTGCCTTTCAAGCACAGCTTTAAACAGCAGCCTGAGAAGCACGCATTCAGTCAAGACAGCGCAGCAGCAACGATTAAGGTGTAGAGATGGACGAGGATCCGGATTTTGACTACGAGATGGACCCACAGGCTCCATATGCATCGATGCAGGGAAGTGCTGAGGAAGTCATGGATGACGTGCGCAGCGAAGGCATGCCCATGTCAGATGCTGGCATGCAGTCCAAACCTATCGACAAAGCAAGCTACGACGTTGACTTTCACGACTCCGCCAATACTCAACATGCAAGCTCAGATGTCCAATTCAGCACTGAAGCACCGGAGTCAGAATCCTCAGGCTACATTGTAGACGGACAGATTGCCGAGACTAGCCACGGCCCATCTGAAGATCACGTCTACGAATCGGGCCCAACGATCACTGTTGGAGAAGAAGTCAAAGCGCCCGAAGAAGCATTCCCGACTGGCACGACAGCCGTCCAAACACATCAGGAAAGCAGCACAATCATCACAGCAGGCGTAACGGATGAGAACGGCGAACGAAACGATGCTGCAGATCAATGGCAAGGCAACTCGACCGAGAACGATGGAGAGTACGTTGGAGGAGGAGAGGAAGAAGAAGAACAAGATGAGCTGAATCAGGGTGTTGGGGGCGCCTCAGCACATGACGGAACAGCGTCAGCTGCCATCGTGAAAGTGAAAGTAGAAGAGGAAGAGGAGGCTGACCAACTCGAAGGTGAGGGAGAGCAAGAGCAGCAGATAAGCGGTGCAGAAGCTCATACAACGCAAACAATCAACGGAGGAAACACAGAAGAATACTATGATCCCGATGATCATGAGATTTTCACCGTTTGCGTCACCTTCAACGGTCAAGATTTTGTCATGTGGTCCTCGACAGACATTCCCGCATATGTTGCTCTGTCAACGAAACCTCAAGAGGCAGAGACCGACGACAAAGTGGACGAGCTGATGCAGATAGAAGCGCCTGCCCTCGACGTTCCACAAAGCGTGCTCGGGCAGCCACTCGATAGCCTCTTTGCTGGCCTGAGAGAACGCAAAGCTCTGGGCGAGTTTCTGGAAGAGACTCACGAGCTGCATCTCAACTTCCCAGATCTTGATCTCGACATCGCCGAGGACAACCTCTACTGTCGAGAGATCACATTGGGTGACCTCTTGCAACTCCATCACGGGCTTGGCCTTGAGACGAGCTTACATGTGCAGGTATCGGAACGTCCGAGATTCATCACCAAGTACAACGAGCTCGCTCAACATGTGGCGGGGATCATTGGCAATCAGCTGCAGCACAGTAGCGATGAGGAAGACGAGATAGCAAATGCTGGTCTGCAAGTAGGGGATTACAATGGCGTTGCGGGCGACGAAGAATCTGTTGCTCTGCAGAATGGTCGCAAACCAAATCCTCCTCAACAAGTCAGCGTGGCCGAGGTGCAGGCAAATAAAGGCCACGGTGCCCGAAATTCGAGCGAGGCAACCCGGGCAAACGTGCTGAGCACGACGGAAGCTACTGTCGTACTCAGCGAGCCCAAGGCGAATGCCCTGCCTGAAGGTGCATCGCTAGCGCACGCTGCAGATGGCAACCTCGAGGTCGCGTCTGAGGCTGGTGGAGGGTCCAAACCGACAGCATCGCAGACGGAAGAGCACAGCCTTCACGCTCAAGTCGGCGAAGGAGACATTGTTCACGAAGAGCAAGACGAATTAGAAGGGGACACGGCAGGGACGGTAGCGGAACAACACGATGCAGATGGTCCTAGACAAGGGGAAGGACAAGATGGGGCACCCGAGGATGCATGCGGATCAGAACAGCACGCAGGAGCGGCAGAAGAGGAGGTAATCGACCTTGCGGCAGAAGACGACGAGGAGGAGGTAATCGACCTTGCGGCAGAAGACGACGAGGAGGATGAGTATGATGAAGATGAGGTAGAAGGTGAACAGTACGAAGACGAAGTGGAAGGAGAGGAGTATCAAGAGGAGGCGGAAGGCGAGGAATACGACGAAGAAGCAGAGGCCGAAAAGTATGAGGATTATGGGGATCAGGCCGGCGAGATCGGCGAAGAAGCTGAGCGGACATTCTACACTACCGTGAACGAAGGCTCGGGCGCAGAGGAGGATGAATTGGAAGAGCCAGAAGAGGCAACAGTCGAGGAAGACAATGGCGCAGCCCTGCTACACAATGCGCATCCAGCAGAAGCGAGAGAATTGACAAACACAAACGGAGGCGATGCTAACAATGAACAAGCATGGGAAGGTACGTTGAGCACGCCTCGGACGGCCGTCTCACCGAAGGCTCCTACTGACAAGTCCATCATTATAACCAACTCTCAACATCTTTGTTCCATCACAGAAGGAGCGGAGGAGCAAATTGTCGAATACATAGAAGGAGACGAGGACAACATCAATGCTGCGTCCTCCTCGCTACCCACCTCAGAAACATACGACATGGCTGCGCAACGCAAACGCAGCTTCCTCGACGAGGACGACACGGCCGAATATGAAGAAGATGATCGCGAAGCAGAGAGCAAACGTGTCAAGATGATCTGATACGGTGTTGCTAGTGTAGCATTCAGGCTGCCGACAGGATGCTTTGATCGTCAAGCACCCCAAAGCACCTCTACTCCCTTTGTTGTCTCAAAGCCTCCGTATGCATCTGCATACTATCGACCTCTTTGGCTTCGGTTTGCAAGGGTAGTTTTTGCTCCAAGCTTCAATCTTTGCCCGACACACCTTGCTGCGATTCCATCATCCCTTCACCACATCAAGAGGAGCAGGCTGAGACAACACGCTTTTGTGTTTCAGCTCTGGTCTCTATACCCAACACAATTTCCAAAAGCAGCGAGAAACAGCAATCGTGCTGACGAATCGTGCCTCAACAAGCCATCGCATTCAAGGTGAGTAATACAGACGGACGCAAGCAATGTACTAACCTTTGAGCCCCCGACAGGGCAACGACGTATCGAGGTAAATGAAAGGCAGTCGGGCGTTGTTGTTGCGTCAGATTGATTCGCATCGAGAGCCCTTTTGCAGCAAAGTGGCTGCTCGAATCATCTTCACACACCCTCACCACTATGATCATGTAGTTCTCTTGACACTCTGCGACGTTGCATGTCCTGTGTGCAGAGTTAGTGCAATTCGAACTGATGCAAGTAGGTCTGGGTGTGAATCGGCGATCAGAACGATCGGCTTGAGATCACTGTCATACCGATACGTGCGAGAGACGCTCGACTTACTCCAGATCTTGTCTATTTGCGCAAGACGATGGTGTCGAAGCCAGATTCCATTACGCAGGGACTGACTGCAAAAGGCTACCCGGCAATTTGGTTTGCTCTTCAAGGGAAGGGAGAAGGAGAAAGACCACGGACATTTTGGAGAACGGGAATCACGTGACATAGGTCAGGTGATGTGATCCGTGGTCAGAGATTTTGCCAAGTCATCGCGCAGCAGCAGAATGCTCTCTCTCCAATCACCACCATTCTCGCAGCTGCTCGCTTAGCAGAATCTCGCCGACTCTTCAAGTGTTTTTCCCACCCTGTATTCCCCCACCTTGTCTTCCCGCTCTCTTGCGCTCATCCGGGCCCCCCTTACGGCGGTCCGGGAGCCTCTCGAGCCTGTGAGCACTCTCACGCTCATCCAGCAATCTTAACCCCCCCCCCCCTTTATGCTCTCCTACTGTCTTTGCTATGGTATGAATTGAAGGTTCGGATTCGAGATTTTGGGAAATTGCTGACGAGGCTGAGACGCGGCAAAGGAGGAGAAGGAGAAAGTGGATTGCTGTTGAAAGCGTCAGGAGCCGTTGAAAAGTGAGACCGCTCTTGCGGTCGACAGAAAGAGGTCGATCAAGAGGATATCATCTGACTCGGATGAAAAACGACCTGGCTGGAATTGGAGCGGAAAGTCAAGGCCGAAAAGCAAACAACACAAGCAGAAAGCTGGAACTTGCTCCCTGCTCTACTTTGCCGATGCTCAGACGAGGCTTTGAGATGAAATCGGTGTCAGCAACGGTGCCTCAAGGAACGGCAATGAGCAGAGACATTGCTATCATGGTGCGGCTTGACGTGATTGAAAGCTCCCGAACATGACCATTCGTTTTGGCGCGCACATAGCATGTAGAGAGCTCTTTGGTGCTTGTGTGGGTCGAGGGCAGGAGCAAGAATTGGAATACGTCGATGGTTTCAGCCTCCACAAATAGACCAGGAATCCGACTGTGCGGACTGTGAGGGTTGATGCTTGACTGAAAGACGGGGAAAAGAACACATGAGTACGGTCAGCAGGTGGTGTGATTGGTGATGTAAGGATAGGATGCTGCTTTCTGGCTGAGTTTGAAGAAGCTTTGGACAGATTCGGGACGTTCCGGGAAGGTTTCGAAGACGACGATGATGATCATAATCATGATGGTGCCGAAGCTGAAGCTGGTAAATACGGTCCAGATCGTTCGAGCCAAGCGAAGAGCTGTGTTTCTGCCGAGTCATGATCTGCCGATGGAGCGATTGCGCCGGTCACTGCTACCGTGACTTTGGGTCTTAGCATTGCAAATTTAGCTCGGATCATGCGGTTTCTAGTCAGGGCATGGACAATAGTAGGTGATGACTACAGCAGGAGCTTTGTTTTTTGTTTTTTTCTTTCGGCCCTCGGCAAGCTCGTCAGACAATCTGATTAGCAAGGCACGACAAGATTGAGACATGAGGCAGTTCCTGTGACACAGAAGGCGGCCGACTGTGACTCCTTGAGGAAGACGTCGCCATCAGTGGGCAAAAAAAAAAAAAAAAAAACGTTGGGCAAAAGTGCGCGCGCGCGCGCCAGAGACAGGAGGGTCGAGGGTGCGAGTGTCAATCAAGCAGTCCGATTACTGAAGTGACTGGGCAGAGCAAGAGGGAGAACCACTTTTGGGATGAGCCGATAGACACCAACAGCATAAGATCAGATCTGATAGTCACGACAAATTGAGCCAATGAGAGAAAAGCTTGTGTCAAGTGAGCAAAAGACAGGTTGGGCTGCTCATGCATGCGCTGCAGTGCGTCAGCTGCTGTTGGAGGATTGGGTCGGTGAACAAAAAGAAGCAGCAGAGTCGATGGCACCATTCGTGCTTTTCTTCGTCGCTGGAAGTTGTTGCAGAGCATGGGCTGATAGCTAACTTTTCGAAACAACTGACGAGATTCGAAATCATGCACAGATGCCTTTTCGAAAAAGCGATACCAAGTCCAATCTTTGCTTTCTTCAAAGGGCACATCATAGGAAGAAAGAAAAATAAGGGAAAAACAAAGAGGGAAAAAAAAAAAAACAAAAAAAAAAAAAACAAAAATCCATTTTACCATTCAACAACGGTTGACAAGAATGCTCGGCACAGCCCCGAACTCGACTCTGTTTTCCAACGACTTCTTCAACAAACTCCCTCGAGTCACTGTAACTGGCTTGACTTGAATGATCTGACACAGATGCGGAAAAGACGGAGAAGATCGGTGTCAGAAGGTATTGGTGGCGAGAGGAAACAGTCGAGTTAAAGGCCGATATTTGAGTCAGAAGCGGCAGAGATTGGTGCAACCCGAACGAACCCGAACCTGATTACGAGCAGGGCTTGGAAAGACACGAGGTTGTAAGGCAGGCTGGTAGGTAGTAAGACGAGGCAAAGCTGTAGAGAAATAGGAGGAGAGAGACAAGAACGTTCGAGACCTCTTTGAGTGCGGCAAAGGCGAAAAAAAGAGGCTCGCATCGACGAAGCGAAGGTTGCGGAGCTTGCAAGCGAGTCCGTTGAGCATTTATGCGTATCGGCGCTGTGTCACTGCAATTCATCCAAACTGTGATCAACGGTCGATTCACGACGCAGAGCTTCAGATATTGGCCTGGGGGCGCGCCTGAGCCGCAGCCGAGGGAAGGTGATACAGGTGATCCGCCGTCAAAAAATAAAATACAATAAAAACCAAAAACTAAAAACCAAAAACAAATTGGAGTAAAAGTGGAAGGATTAAAGTCGTGAAAGGCACTTGGTCAGTGGTATCGTTGAAAAGCTCCTTTTTCTAAATTGATTTTGAGCGAGCAGAGACATATATCTGAACCAGACTACGTCGTTGTTTGCTGTTTCGGGCATGTGCTGCTGTAACTGAGTAGAAAGCCGTCCTCACCCTCTCTTTGCTCAGCTCTCCTGCGGCTGAGCAGCCAGGATGTCGGCCGAGGTGAGAGCATGCTTGCTTTCTGCTGCTGCTGCTGCTGCTTGGTGGTGATGATGGTAAACTGCGCTGTCCAGGGATATGACCGAAAGTGCCGATGTGACGTGCTCTTGGCGTAGCAAGCAAGCAATCTGGTCAGTAGGACGAGTTAGTTTAGCTTTCCCCGCCGCCCCTATAACAACCCAGCGTGCGGCTAAGGAAAGCTGTGATTGGATGTGACAAGCATTGCTAGCAAGGAACGCTCCAGATAGGCATGTGTGATTGCGGCCTGCATTCTCTCACTAGTCTCGAGGATAACCAGCAACCGTGTTGAACGCCGTTGTGCGCCGATATCTAGTTGACCGGCAGAATGTGCTCGACCTGCAAACTTGCACGTCAACCGATCCGGATCAAGCCGCCTTTGCTCATATTCCTTTGCACCTCTTGGTTGCTCACTACAACAATGCATCCGATGAACAACGCAAGCCTAAGCACTGCATGGAAGCAAGCTGCAAGCAAAAGCTTGCCCAAAGGGAAGAGCTTTATGGATTACGACCTCACCAGTTAGACCCTCTCCAACTTCAGCAGCATCCGAGGCATTTGGATCTGCACGGGTCTATGGAACACAATCAAGCTCTTCCAAGGTCCGTTCTAACAGGATTCTGGCAGCGGCATAAAAATCAAGGTCCGGTAACACTGCCTGAGTAGAATCACACATTTGCCGCTGTGTCGTTATTTCTCCATTGTCTGGACACACACCGTGAACGGGCTAGTCGATTGGACCATTAAGCGGCAATGGGTGACATAATATACCCTCTCCTAGTCACTGCAGATATCAACGGAACGGACAGGAAATAGAAGGAACAAGTCGCAATGGCTGACAGGATGCTGGTCATTTTGGTATCACCTTGGTGAGTTGAACTGCAACTCGCTTTATCAACGGCATAAAACCTGGATCTCGGTCTTATTCTCTCTCTCTTTCTCTGTTAGCATCACAGGAAGAGGCCAATGTGTCAAGTCTGTGAGTGCACTCGAGGAGACAGGGTTGACGCTGATGCCTCTGGGTCTCACCCATTTCCATTTAAAATAAGTTTTAATTTTACTCTTTTTTTCTTTTTCTTTTTTTTTTCTTTTTTCTTTTTTCTTTTTTTCTTTTTTCTTTTTTCTTTTTTCTTTTTTCTTTTTTCTTTTTTCTTTTTTTTCTTTTTTCTTTTTTTTTTTCTTTTTCTTTTTTTTTTTTTTTTTTTTTTTTTCCACAAAGGGCGCGATGGACACTTTCACTGTGTGACAGCCATCTCTGTCCAATGTATGCGCGCTATTTGACTGCGCCTTTCTCTCTGTGTGTTGTGTGTCTATGCATGCTCACCTCGGCAATGCTCTTCTTAGTCTCTCGCTCTCTCTTGTGCTCTCTTCTGTGCCGTTGATTCGTCTCGCTTGTCTTATGATCGTTTGTTCTCAACAGTCTCACTCGGTTTATTTTGGCGTATCACCTTCTCCTTCTTTGTGTTGCCTCTTCTTGTTGGTCGATTTGCATCGTATGCGTTGTCTGCATCGTCGCTTGGCCAGCCGCTCATGAACGACACAGTGAGGGCACGCCATACAAAACAAAGCTCTTCTAGTCTATATGCTTGCTCTTCTCGCTGGCCCCATCAAAGCCGCGTTGTCTCCGCAGGTCTGCCAAGTCCAACAGACCGGTCTGACTTGGGATGCCCAAACAGCACATCCAACTCGCTTCATGCCAACAGCGCGCATCAATTTCTATCTACCCGAACGTCCTCTAGATCTTCTCGCCGACTCTGTGTCTCATCCTGTGATGCTTGCATTCATGGACTGCCTCGCTTGTTTCCACTCCGCTCACCCCTGCCCCCGTCGGCCAGCCGAGGTTTGCTACATTTCCGGCCGTCATTGTCATGCTTGCTCCTCCCCTCCTGCTTTCCCTCAAATAGTCGGGAGGCGTTCCCGAACGGGCCCCATCTTCCGCTCCTACCTCCTTCTTTCATACATAACTGTACCATATCAGGAATCCCCCTCCCACAACCCCTTTTCCGCCGTTCTTATATACCAGCCATTGCTCTTCTCACTTCCACACCCCCAACTAGTACACGTCTCCATACCTCCGCCATACGTCTGACCGGCTCGGACTTATCCCACTAGCTTCATCAATCCCACCCGCAACGACCTCACCCAGCGCTTAGACCTCTTCTCTTGCTCAACCGACGGTTGCGCCCAGCTTAGCCCTTGACGTTGCTTAGCTTCTTTTGACCAGCACATTGCACGGTTCGCCTCCGTGCGTCGACTCGTTGCATCCCGCTTCTGTGACACGCTTTCGGTAGAGGTCCGGGCGCCATTGTCGTCTCCTTTTCCGCCGATAAAGACCACCTGATCAGTCACTGTGGCGCTCGCTCAGGTCGCGTCTGTGCCTTCACCTCTGTACACGGCTAACCTTTCCGTTCGTAAGACTTGCACACGGCCACCCCGCAATCGCCTACGCCCTCGCATCGAGCTGATCTGCGATCAGTCTTCTTTCTAGCTCGCCTAGCTACTTTATCTGGAACCCCTCTCTTCGGCCATTGATTGTTTGCACTCGCCGATCCATCCTCCTGCTTTGTTTGCAAGCTCACTCGCAGCGGTGCAGATCCATCACTCCGCTTCCTCTCCGCCAGCTGCCTTCTGAAAGAGGCTAAGCCAGCTACTCTTTCCACCGCCCTTGTCGAGTCGCTCAGACGTCTTGACATCTGCACCCCTGAAGCAACCGAGGTTGCTAGTCTTCTTACTCTCTTTGCCCGAATGCTTTATTCTCATCAAGCACCCGCCGGCACAAATTTCGCTCAAGCGCGGCAACGACGAGGCAGCCGGCTCTCTGCAGCTTGACCTTTCCGTTCAATCTAGCTCCCATCAATCGCTCTTCTGGCCCTCATCAGGTATTAACGACGCCGGAGCTCCACAAACCTCGTTCAGGACCATAACCTCCTCCTTCGACTCAGACTCCACACCCAAGACTGTTTCCCAACTCTTCCTCGACCACCTCCAGGATCAGTCGTGCGACGACATCCTTCAACTCGGTCTCTCGTCGCTGGAACCCCCTCTTCCCCCACTCCCAGGCTCGCCTTCGCCAACTACTGGCAGCAGCTTGGACAACAACACCTTCAACATCTCCAATTCTGGCAGCGAGTCTTCCCCTACGATGAGCGCAAGCAGCAACTACAGTTTGGAAACGCCTTCTCTCCAGCAAGTCTCGGTGCTCTCTGCACCCTTCAACACATCCTCGCCCATCCTCGCTAGTGTTGGCAGTGTCAAGGGCAACAGCGGCATGACTTCGCCTTTGCAGCACGGACAGAGCTGGAACCAACATGGCTCCGAGGATAGGAAGCCCGAGTTGGAAAGTCCCGAGGCAACCAACTCCACCTTCCAAGCACCGTATCCTCATAAGAACGCACACCCTCAAGCAAACCATGCTCATCACAGCCAGCTCAATGATGACGAATACCAAGGCCATGCCTCTCATTCTGGTATGTCACAATACTTGCAACGTGCATCCATCTCGGGACCTGTGCTTGACTCTGCATCCTATGTAGAGCGCTACGAGAATGCAGTTGCCGGGCCAGCACCACCGCGCTTGCACGGTCTGGCAGCCTGGGAGAACGCATCAGGCTCAGCAAGACCGCATACCGCTGACGGCCTATTTGGCCAATTCGGTCTCGGTGGTCCTGGCGCAGCTTCACATGGAGGTTCGTCGGAGAACTCGATAGTGGGCAACTCGATCGGATCTAGTTGGCGACCTTACACTCCCGGTGGACACGCGGCCAGCATGGATCCTTACCATCAGTACCGACGCATGTCGATGCCTGACCCATCAGCGTCGGCCAATGCATCGAGCAAGGTCTTCTCTTACATGGCACCAGGCGACGACGGCGGCATGATGTCTTGCTCAGGTGTAGGCATGTCTTCTCATGGCTACGGCGGACATTACTTTGGCGGCGGATACGGGACAGGCGCAAGCAAGAAGCGACCTCGTCGACGTTACGACGAGATTGAGCGACTCTACCCTTGCAACTGGCCTGGATGCACCAAGAGCTACGGCACCTTGAACCACCTCAACGCACACGTCGCCATGCAGAAGCACGGTCCTAAACGATCTCCAAGCGAGTTCAAGGACATGCGCAAAGCCTGGCGCAAGCAGAAGGAAGCGGAGGACCAGCGCAGGCAGGCCCGACAGGCCAGCTTGACTGAGCAAGTGCTTCGACCAGCATTCGGCAGTTCCGCGTATGGTGACATGTCTTCTGGTCACAGCGAACTCATCGGCGGCGCTTCCGGATCGGCTTCGGCTCTTCCGCTTGCTCCTCCTCCCTCCCGGGGTGGCTTTGGCAACCAGCACACAGGTGGCAGTCTGCCGGCACTGAGTCCGATGCCAGGACTGAGTCCGATGCCTGGACCGATGGCCCATCTCAGTCGCTACAGCATGTCATCCGTTTCGGCAGTTCCGAACGCTGTTCAGCTGGTCTATCATTTCAGTGGCGCCCCTGCTGAGTCGGGTCTCCAGGCAAGCGCTCCCGCGGCGTCGTCAGTTGGTCAACATCACCACGATCACAGCAGTCACAATGCCGCTCCCCTCCAATACTCTGGAGGTGCGGGTGACAACAGACTGCCCTACGGAACTGCCTCGAACAGCAGCAACAGTGCGCACCATCCTAACCTTGGCGCTTACCTCTCGGCTCACCGTGGCAGCGTCTAAGTGCTCTCAACCCTGTTGCCTGTCATTCATCTTATTTTTCCTCTAGAATTCACAATCTGCTGCTTCGCCTTTGGCTCTCTCGTCTTGTTAATCGTTCACACTCGCTTCATGCGGACCCACTCGCGATCCTTTCCTTCTTCTTCTTCTTCTTCAATCCGGTTTGGAACCCTTTTGGACACCCTTTTTCAGCTAGTGCTCTCATCGTATACTATCAGAATCTCGATGCTTTGCTTAATATATGCCTTATTGTCGCTCTTTCATGCATGCGTTCATCTGTTACTTTCATCCCATCCAGTTCTTCAGCTCGCTACAATTGAGACATGATGAGACACAACTTTCGCAACAAGGACCTCAACATCAGATGAATGCATTACAAATCACTTCTGAAAAGCTTTTGCAGACAGGATTTTCAACTCTCTACTTCAACTGCCCCTTGCTCTCCCTCTCGAGCACCTCCTTGAAAGCGGCCGTCAGATCAGCTTTCAAATCCTCAAAATCTTCAAGACCAACCGAGACCCTGATAATCCTTGCGTCCTCAGTCGGGTCCGACTTGATTCTGTGCTCGAGCAAGCTCTCCACTCCGCCCAGCGAAGTAGCTGGAGTAAAGTAGCTCGTAAGGTGTGGAATGTAAGTGGCATACTCAGCCTTGGTAGTTCGGAAGGCAAAAGTTGGAGCGTGACCACCAGGCATTTGACTTGAAGGGTCGAAAGTGGGATCTTCAGGAGTAGCGCCTTTTGTGACAACCTCGTCGAGGTCAGTTCGCGGTTGCAGGGAGGAGTGGTAGGTTCGAGCGATGACTTTGGCTGCTGCGAAAGGTGCCTCTTCTCCAGCAATGCGATCCGAGAGGGAAGCGGAAGTAAGAGAGTGAAGCCAAGCAGCGAGTTGAGTTGCCGTTTGCGATTGTTTCTGCACTCGAACGGTGAGTGTGCGTAGTGATCGGAGAAGGAGATAGGCTTCCATACTGCCAAGGTTGGCACCAAAGTAGGTACGGTCAGCCCAGAGACTGTCCCATTCTTTCTTGTCTTTGACGGCGAGGATACCGCAGAGAAGATCGGAGTGTCCGCCGAAATACTTAGTTCCAGAATGCATGACCATGTCTGCTCCCTGAACGAAGGGGTCTTGCAGGGGAGGTGGAGCGAAGGTCGAATCGACTACGACGTGGGCGTTGGGGATTGCTTTGGCTTTGCCGACGTATTTTGCCAGGTCTCTTGCCTCTCCTGAGGGGTTGAGTGGGGTTTCGACCCATACGAGCAAGCCTCCTCGCTTGACAGCTCCTTCCGAGCCCACTTCACCCGCAGCAGCTGGAGCACCTCCCATCGCCTTCTCATAATCATCATCGAGATCGATCATCTTCACATTGCGTCCCCGGCAGTAGAGCTGGATTGAAACGTGCACGCCATGATATCCGCGCTTGATCGCGATCACCGAAGGCGCATAGTGCGTCACAGCTGCATGTGCAGCAGAGAGTCCAGAGCTATACGTCAACGCATGAGCCTTCATGATCTGCGACAGCACCTTTTCACAACGAATGTTGGTCGATTGCGAGTAACGAGAGTAGATGTGGAAACCAGGGTCTTGCATGTCGAACTCCGCCTCGCCTTTGCCGAAGTCTTCGAGGAGTTTGGCATGGGCTGAGTTCGGATGAGGTGACCTGAAAGTAGTGGAGAGGGAGATGGAGGGAGCCACAGCATAGTTGGCGTCGTTGGTGTGGTCTGGGTGGTCGGCATGCAGGGCTGCCGTTGCTAGGCCTGGCTTGGGCAAGCCAGCAGGAATAATGTCGTTAGCAGCCATGATGTTGGTGGCAGTGATGACGAGCTTGAGTGCTACGTCGAAGTGTGGTATCGGTGGTGGTAGGAAGAAGAAAGGAGTGTTGGTGTTGAACAAGATTTCGGCCAAAGACCGGTGGGGGCCCACTTGAAGGCGTTTGAGAAGTGTAGGCGGCTATGTATCTCGCACGTCATCTTTTTGCCGTGCCGTGTGCTGCTTCCTTGATTTTTTTTCCCCCTTTCAAAGCTCCGAGCCGAGTCACGTTGGGTGCCCGCTTAATTTCGCGGCCTTCTTCCTTTCATGTGAGCTTGTTTTTTTTTTTTTTTAATGCATCACGTGATTAATCAAATGGCGTGCGCGTCTGGGCTGGACTCAAGACAATCGAAGAAATTTTTTGCTCCCTTTGTGAAGAGCGAGGGAGCTCTCCGCTCCTCTCTTCACCACCATCACCATCTCCACCAAAGCCAGGCACACAGTTAGCAGCCTGGCTTGACGTTTTAAAATTACCCTCCCTGTACACCCTCCCTTGCCGCTCGTTTCTGCGCTCGACCGGCCCCTGTTACGGCGGGCCGGGAGCCTCCTTGTCGAGCTTTGAGGACCTCACGGGTCTTTTGCCGCAATCCATCTTAGTTTCGTTTTTGCTCGTTTCCCTTTTCTTTCGTGCGGTTGTGTTCAGACGGGACTCAAGATGATGTTCTTGGTGATGGTATGTACAGTGCTGTACTTTCTCTTTTTGGGTGCCTGACTAGTGTATGTTAACTCAGCTCAGGCTCCCTTTCTTTGTAGATCTTTGCGTCGCCGGAGCTTGATCAAAAACTGTAGACTTGGCGAGACAGGATGGGTAGATTGGAAGCCATCGATGAGCCAATCGGATGTAAATACGGTTTTACGGCTCAATAACCGGCATTGAGGCTGGTCACCAATTCCGAGCGAGGCGTTTCAGCGATGTGTTTCAATGCGGGAGACGATAGGATCCATGTGGGATGACAATGCTGATGCATTCTGCATTTGAGCTGCTCCTGTGATTGGTTTTGCAATAGGTAAGGACACAACTAGTCGCTGAGAGCGATAAGAGACTGACTCCACTGAATGACTCTCGGGTGAGCCATGACTTTCTCCGGCTTGAACCCGAGAACCTGCAAGCCCTCGATCGATGTAGCACGCGACAAGGCCACGTACGCCTGGCCCTTCTCGAACACGCGGTTGAGGTTGATCTTGCAGCAAGGTAGAGTCTGACCTTGTGACTTGTGGATGGACATGGCCCATGCAAGAATGAGCGGTACCTGAGTTCTGGATGCTTGCACTTCTCCATCCGGCAACTCGGTCTTCCATGTCTCTGGCCTAGCGAGATAGTCTCGCGTTCCGCCATTAGGAAGGTGGAAGCGTACCAGAGGCCACTTGCGGGTCGAGACGCGAACGGCTTTGTCGCGTTCCTCCTTCTGCATCTCGGCCATCTCCTGATTACCGATTGCTTTGTCATACTCGGTGTCGTCCATGAATTCGACCACCTTGCCCACGGAGCCGTTGACGAGCGACTCGTCGACGTTCTTGATCAGCATCACCTGCGCACCCTTCTTAAGATGCAAGACAGGCAGAGCAATTGAGTTCTGCAACACTCTCTCGCGTGCCTCACCCATTAGTGTACCGCCGTCCTGTGCTTGGTAGCTCTGACTCTCGCTCTGGAGTGCCGAGAGACGACCCATGTTGGCACGATCCACCTCGTTGCGCATTGGAAAGAGCTCGGTGGGAACAATGTCATCATCGTACTTGGGCGTTCTTTCCAGCTTCCTGAAAGCCTCGATGGTCTTCTGCGAGAGTCTTCCAAAGCGCATCTCGTTGAGCATGCTGACAAAGGATTCGTCCTTCTGACGGAAGACCTGGGTCAGGTTGACTTTGTGCTGCACCACCTTGTGCCAGCTCTGAGCGTCGAAGGCGAAGGTTACACTTCCGCCAGGGTTGACAGGGGGCAGCTGGAAGAAATCGCCCGTGATGACCACCTGAATGCCACCGAATGGCTTGTCTGGCTTCTTGCGGATAAGTCTAGCTACCTCTTCGAGCTTATCAAAGAGCGCCGGGTCGACCATAGACACCTCATCGATGATCAGTACCTGAGTACGCGCCCACCTTGCGGCTGCCTTGCGGTTCTTGCGAATCTTGCTGACGAGCTGTGCGGTCGGTTCCTTGCCGAGTCCAATACCAGCGAAGCTGTGAATGGTGAGACCGCCAATGTTGCAGGCGGCAATGCCGGTGGAGGCGGTGACAGCCACCGAGTCGGGACGTTTGGCATGTTTTCGGCGCAGTTCTTTGATGATCTCTCTGAGAAGCACTGATTTGCCTGTACCGGCGGATCCAGTGAAGAAGACATTCTTGCCTTCTTCGACGACCATGTGCAAAACTTTTCGCTGCTCTTGCGAGAGGAAGATCTTGTTGACACGCTTCTTTCCATCGGCTTCGCTGGATGCGACGGCGGAAGGAGACGCTCTGCCACTGTTGGATTCGCCTTTCTTCGAGACAAGCGAGCTGGCACGGAATGCGTCGGGATCGTTGCGTCTCTCATTCCGCAGCTGAGAGGCGGTCTTCATCCACGGCATCGACGGTGCGGAGGATGTACGGAAGGAAGAACTGGAGGCTCCACTCCCGCTGGATCCTGTTCTCTGCTGAATCAGTCCGTTCGACGCTGCGATTGGACCGTTTCGGGCCTGGTTCCGATCGTAGGAGAACTGAGTTGCAAGATCGTTACTTCGAGAAGGATGTGAAGATGTGCGGTGAGAGATGCTCGCTTCTGGGCGTCCAAAAGATGAGTGGGTGGATGCCGATGCACTACTACTGCTGTAGCTCGAGTTTCGAGCCACGGTTGATGCGGATACGAATCCATTCGAAGGCTGAGCTGGTCGCATCGCTGCTGGTGTATGGTATGAGGCTGTGTCCGCCTTGACCTTCTTCTCTGGCGGTGCGGAAACTGCATTCTCCTTGTCCGAGTCAGCACTAGGCAGGGTCAGCTTTGCTGACTTTGCGGGTGGTGAAGGCGAGTCGGACCATTCGTAAAAGACCTCTTGACTCGACTTTAGTGCGTCTATGCTTGAGCCCTGCGGCGCTGATGAGCCGAGGTCGTGCTGGTTGCCCGACCACTCACGTTTGAGGTTGCCGAGGGCGGAGCGCACCTGCGGACGGTCGCTTGAGCTCGAGACGTTATTACGCACGAACATTACTAAGTTCGCTATCGTTCTATCCGCTAGCAGCAGCGTACGGATCGAATGAGGCAAGTGATGGTGGTGGTTGGGAGCGGAGAGCTGAAGAGCATGCGGAATCAGTTGAAGCAAAGGTTCGAGCTTCCTAAGGCTAAGTGTTGGTGTGAAACTTTAGCCCAGCGAAATTGTGATTTTGTGATTTCTCAGCTGCAGCTCACACCAACAGCTGCTCGACGCGACAAGCGCGTTTGTGTTGCTCACTCAGTCTTTCCACTGCCATCTTTCACTTGGTCTAATCGTCGGTACACATCGGCTGTGCTAGAAACCTCGACTGCTGGCACAACGGGCAGACACGCAAAGTTTCCCCGGTGGGTTTGTTTGAGGCAGAGGCATCAGCAAACACGCTCAAAATAACACGGATGATTTTCGGTGGGCCTTTTTTTTTTTTTTTTCTTTCTTTTTTTCGCCGCATTTTCCAGGTCATTTCTCTCGAATTCGCAACAACAAAACTCAAACACAGTTCAGCATCCAGTTTCAAGAAAATCACGATTGAATTTCCGTGAAGAGAGAAGAATGACTGGACATTACATAAGCAAGAGGACACAAAAAAGAGAGAGAACGGCGGACGTCTCAAGGCGGAAGTGTAGGGCCAAGGACATCCTCGAGATCCCGAGGTGCAAGCACCTGAACGGTGATCTCCCGCAAGGAAAAAGTGTATGACAAAATAATCCTCGCCGGAGCGAGGAGAAATAGATGTCAATCTATTTAGAACAGATACTACACATGATCTAAGCCCTGTATGGTTTGAGAAGCGCAGTAGAAGGAGAGAGAGAGAAAGAGAGAGATGCGGATACAGTCAGAAAGCGGTGAATCGACAGCGCCGAGTAAGCATTGCAGGCCTGGAGGCTCTGCGAGCGTTAGGGGCATACTTACAATAGGCCAGAAGAGTGGTTTGCAAACAGCGGGGATGCGGGTCAGGGTCTGGAATATATACTCTCCCAGACAGGAAATTGCAACGGTTGCAAACGCAGTCTCCTGGAAGAGCAGCCCTCAAAGCGATGCGCATACCTTCCTGGATGAGTGGAACGAGCGCGAATGTGTTTTTGTTTTGTCATTTTCGAGTTTGAAGGGCCGCTGCGAAATAGGTGTGCTGAGCCCGAGATCCGGGGACGTGATTTCAAACAGACACACGCAACGCGAAGCTGTGATTTGATTGATTTCATCGTTCACAACGATGAAATCACAGCTGAGCTGGAGAATATAGCCTGAAAAGTTCAATTGCATACTACAACACAGCACAGCACAGCCCAAGAAAAGTGAAAGCCACACATACAGTGCCGATGGAAGCCGTTTCAAGCAAGCAGCATCCATACATCACCAAGTTTGCCAAGCCGACTTTGCAAATTCTTTGACCAAGAGGTCTATTCTGGTTCACATCCTTGCTTGCAACTAATCCATCACCACCACCACCACCACCACCACCACCATTCTTTCGGCGCCCGGTCCACCAATCCTGATCGAGCTTTTCATTGAAGTAACACACGAATTAGTTCACCAGGAACGACACATACGTGCAGTACAACTAAGCCGGATTACCACGAAGCTCTATCCCCTTTCGTAGTGACACCTTCAAACATGGCTGACGCTGCATCAACATCAAACCCGGCACCCGCCGCTCCCAGCGAGCCCGCCACCGCTCGCGACATCTCCCGGGATGGCGCCAAGATCGCAGATATGGAATACTACGACCTCCTCGGCGTTCGCGGTGATGCCTCCGATCTCGAATTGAAGAAGGCATATCGAAAAGCCGCTATCAAAAACCACCCAGACAAGGGCGGTGACGAAGAGACTTTCAAGATGATTGGCGAAGCTTACCGTGTCCTCAGCGACAACCACCTCCGTGCAGACTATGACAAGTACGGCAAGAAGAAGCCCACAGACGAAGTCGGACTCAAGGAGGCCACAGACATGTTCGGCAGTCTATTCGGAGGCGAGCGCTTCGTCGACTTGATCGGAGAGATCAGCCTCATCAAGGACTTCGGCAAGGCATCCGAGATCATGATGACCGAAGAGGAGAAGGAGGAGCTCGAAGCACAGATGAAGGCAGAGCACAAGAAGGCTAACCCTACCGCTGAAGGTCCTGCCGCTGTTGATGCCACCAAGACTGACTTGCCCTCGGAAGCTACAACGGCCGGAGATGCCGCTGCTCAGAAGGCAGCCGAAGCCGGTGCAACAACAGAAGAGATCGCCGAAGCCAAGAGGAAAGAGGACGCAAAGCAGAAGCAGAAGCTCACTCCTGAACAGAAGGCCAAGTTGGAAGAGTTCGAGAAAGAAAAGGAGGAGAACGAGCGCAAGCGAGTCGAAGACCTCGCACAGAAGCTCAAGGATCGCATCCGACCGTTCGTCGAGGCTCGTAAGCCAGGAGACAAGGACGATTCGGAGACTCAGATCTTCGAGCGCAAGACAAAGGAGGAGGCTGAAGATCTTAAGCTCGAGTCCTTCGGTGTCGAGTTGCTTCACGCCATCGGTAACATCTACGTCATGAAGGCAACTACATGGATTAAGACCAAAAAGCACAGTTTACTTGGCTTCGGTGGTTTCATGAGCCGCATGAAGGAGCGCGGAGCCGTTGTCAAGGAGACTTGGGGTATGCTGGGCTCCGCACTCAACGTCAAGGCATCCATGGACGAGCTGGCACGTCGACAGGAGAAGGGCGAGATCCGCGAAGATGAGCTTCGCGCCCTCGAACAGGACATGAGCGGCAAGATGCTCCTCGCCACTTGGAGAGGTACCCGCTTTGAGATCTCTGGCATTCTTCGACAGGTCTGCGACAAGGTCCTCAACGAGAAGGGCGTCAGCGACAAGGTTCTCTTTAACCGTGCCCAGGCCATCATGTTTATCGGTATGATTTACAAGTCGGTGCAGCCCGATGAAGGTGACGATGGGCGAAGAGAGCTCGAACGCCTGGTTGCGGAAGCCGCAGGGAAGAACAAGAAGAAGGGCAAGAAGGACAAGAAGGTCAACGGTGCCTCTGCTCCCACTGGCGCGGCTGCTTCCGCATCGACCTAAGCAAACATTGACTCGACTCAGACCCATCCCATCCGAGCCTCAATAGTCCGCCGCTGCTTCCATCGAATAATGGCTGCCTTTCGCTCCTGCTTCGTTCCTGCTTCGCTCGTTTCTGACGTATCTCAATACCAGCCTTTTCACTGATACCTGGCCAGTGCTTCAACAATAGCCTGTGCCCCATCCTGCACGCTCTCTCAGCTATATGTCTTCTTGTGTCGCATCTCATATATCAATATAGAAGTCCAAGGATCCGCGATTGCGTCGTGATTAGAGTGAGCATAGTCTAAACATGAGCGTGCTGCGTTTGAAAAGGTTGATTCAGATGTTGACCATGCTGTCGCCCGAGTCAGTACGAGCTTCTTCCACGCCAAGCATAGCAAGGATGGCACGGCCGAGCTTGAGACCATCGTGAGGCTTCTTAGCGTTCTCGAGAGAACGCTCACGGAGTTCCCCAGTGACAATGCCCATCTCGGTTCGCACCTTGATGATGTTTTCGACGATCTCGCGGTCAAACTCGGGGTGACCTTGGAAGGTGAGCATGTGCAACGATCGCAACGGATGAGGCCCCGATGAGGCAGTTTCTGAGTCCTCGATGTCGAAGGCCATGTAAGCTGATGTCTGAGCAGTAGATGCAAGAGGTGGTGCTTCGGTTGGGTATTTGAGGATGAGGGATTGGATGGGCGAGATTTCGGTGGATGCAAGGTTCTCAAAGCTCTCACCGCCAAAGTCGGGTGGAATGTCGACGACATGATCCTTGTGCACTTGTTGAATGGCCATCTGATTGTCATCTGTTGGCTCGTCATAGCCAAGAAGCTCTCTGCCCTGTTCGGTGAGCTTGCAAGAATGGGTTCCCAATTCCCAGCCTTTAGGGTTGGCCTCGACTACACCATCGAAAGCGCGAGCAAGGATCTGGTGACCGTAGCAGATGCCGATCAGTCGCACTAGCGGGTGGTTCTCCGCTGTCGAGCGAAGGAAAGTTGCCAGCTTCTTAGTCCATTCCAAGTCGAGATATGCCGAAGAAGCACTGCCTGTGATCATTACAGCATCCCACAATCCGTCTCCGAGCTGACCTTCGTCAGGATACTCCATCTTGTTGACCACATCGTAGCAGCGCAGGTGAAGCTCGACATGCGGCTGCCACGGATGTCTCTTGATTGTGTTGAGCGACTCCCGCAGGAAACGTGGGTAGAGCTTGGTGTAGTCGCCTCGAACTGCAACAACGGGAGGAGGCGGTGTGTCGGCCACTAAGATAGCAATGGAGACATTCTTTTTCTTCTTCTGCTGCTGGCTCATGGCGGTGGTGAGGGAGCGGAGGAACGAATACGATTAGAGATAGTATATGATGAAGGATCTGGCGTAAGCCGGTGATGATGGAGAGATTGATGGATGCGAGATCTGCAATTCTTCTTATCTTTCAACGCTGGTTGAATTTGCGTAGCCGAGAATAATAATCTGGCTTATCACTGCAACCGACGCTGCGGATCTCATGTTAGACTGTGTCCAAAAGCTACTGAAAGAAACAATCCAGTGTGATGATATGGAGTGACGTAAGCAGTTACAAGAGGGATCGGGTGAAGGACGATTTGATCGGAGATTGAGGATCGGGTACAACCGACACCACTCGTTGTCAGACCTCGTCATTAAGTAGGATGTACCCGGTTCCCCCGGTCAGACGGTTGATGTCCGCATTGCTTCGAGCAGTCCTGGCCCATCATCGCACAATCCAATAGCTCTCGCAGTATGGGCACATACTTGCAGCCTCGAGCATGAGCGTCTGCCAGGGGCTCTGATCTGGCTTGCCTGGGACCAACGACTTGGCCCAGCATCCCGTGCAAGCGCGAACTTGGCGATCCGAGATAGTGGCCAGACTGACCGAGCAGCGTGCTGTGGTATTAGAGGAAAATGCGCAAAGAAGACAAAGTTAGTGAGCAGGAACAGATAGCGATCACAACCAAGATACACCGCGAACCAACAAAACCGGACCGATGACGATGAACATCGAACGCCAACCGTCATGTCTACCGGTCGCTGGCTCATGCGGAAAGACGGGAGAGTACTCACGCCAGACGTGGCCACTTTGACATTTGGCCCAACCGAAAGCTTGTTCTTGATTATCCCACGATAGGGTCAGCTGCGTACTACAAGCAGCACAGGTCTCACCAGTGAGAACGGAAGCATCTTGTGCTGGCACTGGGCTGCTTTGTGCTGACTTCAAAGCCGAAGCTGCTGCGGTGCATTCGTCACGGAGGCGAGGATCAGCGTCTGGAAGCATGCTTCCAGCCGTCAGTAGTCGCAGCAGCAGCTTTTGATCTTGATCTGATGCTTGCTCCTTTGATATCCTCTGTGCGAGATTTCGCAGCCATCTCTGTAGCCAGTCACTCAGAATATCGACTTTGTGCTGCTTCGAAAAGGATATCAGTGGTGATGCGGAATCAGAGGGCATCTCCAATCGGGACGCAAGCAGGTAGAGCAAGCACGCCTGTTTGTGTTGCAGCTCTTTCCTCTCTCCTATGGCGTCGCCGTTTGGACCAGTGGACAAATTGAGCAGAGACTGCCAACTCTGCTCTGCCGCGGATATGAGTTGATTTCGAAAGGCGTCCGGTTGCTCGCTGGTGTACAGCAGCGAAAGAAGAGTACGCACGACGAGATAGGGAGGGGCGCCATTCTCTGAAGCGACACATCTCAGCGCGTCATGGAGCACTGCGGCGGGATCTGCATCGCCATGCCGGAGTATCTCCATCTGGTAGCCGATCGTTTCCGAGACATTGTAGCCGAGAAAAGCGACACGCTCGTTAGTGAGAGCTGCACCGACAAGCGAGGCCGACGGTAGTTTGAGGTTCGACTCAACTTCGTAGCCTAGGAAGGCTTGATGCAGATCATGCTTGCGTTGCATGGTCTCGGTCAAGGGCGGATATCCTGAGAGAGGTAAAGGGTATACTGGATGCAAGAGCTGAGGTAAACTTGGCATTTCAGCGGCGCTGAGTAGAGGTATCTCGTACTCGCGCAGATCCTGTAGCACAATTCTGGCTCTGTCGTCAGCGTTGCAAGCACGGCTGATGGAAATTGCGGGCGAATAGGGATCGTAGTTGCTGCTTGGATGGGTGTCCAAGGTGTAGGTCACCGTCTGTTCTGTTTTGATGTCGTAGACGTGGACTCTGCCTATGGTTGAATAAATGAAGTGATGATTGAAGCAGTGCCATGCGGAGATCATGCAGTGATGCGAGAGTAGGGGCGCTCGTGAGGAGAGCTGAATGCGAGGTTGGTCATCGAAAACGTAAACGTCGCAGAGCTTGATACCACCCGAATCTCGGAAGGCGAGTCTGACGTTGGAGTTTGGTTCAAGCGCTGCAGCCTGCGTTGTCAGCATGAGCTGTTCGATGCCTGTCTCGCTCACCTGAGCTGCGGAAAGGAAGGTGCATTGCCCTGTCAGTGGATGGCATTGCCACACAGCAATGTGACCGGAATGGGTGCCAGCTAGGATGTAAGCTGTCCAAGCTGGTAAGCTTGATCGGCCTGACAGCAGCGGATCGCCAAACTGTGAGGGCCTATCGAGATAGCAGAAGGAGGCGCAAAGCACTTCTGTGGCCATCTGCTTCTTTCGAAGCAGTGAGCGATGCGGAGTAAAGACGGGCTTGTCATGGTCGTCGATCAGCATGTGTTGAGGGGAGGGACCAGGATCTGAGGTAGTTAGGTGGGCAACGGGGCTGAGATCGAGGGCGTGCAGGAGCTTCCACTCACCGGTCCAAGCGTTGCTGGGTGCGCCAAGGATGAAGAGATCGAGCTCTGAGGTGGTAGCAAGGATGAGACAGCTTCCGTTGGGGCCCATCCCAGGCTTCGACCAGCTAGCGGAAGACCATTGCAGGTTCAAGAAGCGTGCATCGACTGCGGAGTGGTCGGCTTCGAGCATAGTCCTACGACGAATGCTGGGCTCATTCTCGAGAAATGTCTTGATGTTGATGTGGTAGAGAGAGTGCGGAAAGCGACCGTCCCAGTCGGGGTGACATTCGATGTCTTGCATGCGGCTTTGAGCCGCCAGAGTTGGATGCAGACCGCCTAGCGGCGATAAGATGACGAGGACATCTTCCGTCGCCACCAGTGCTTGACCAAGCTCCGAGCACTGCAGGTTTCCAAGCAGAGACGAGCCTGACGAGAGGGGGATGGAACAGGCGCGGATCCGTTTGCGATCTTGAAGCGGATGCCGCGCACGACCGTTGCGGGCTACTGTCGGCGTTGATGCCATTGTAGTATAGCATCAGTACGCCATGGACTTGGTGCTGCACTGTGAAGGATGGTTACCGAGCATGCTGAGCAGGTGATCTCAAAGCTGCTGCCGAACAGATCAAGGATGCAGGATAAGATGGAAGAAAGATCTTGGATGTTGGTCTGGCAAAATTTGGCAAAGACACCCAACTCGACTTTAATATCTGGCTGGCAGCTGGCACTCGCTTCAAGGACCACCGACGCTGCCAACCTCCTCGTTAGACATCCATCTCGCCGGGCGCAAAACATGGCTTAGAGCTCTGTGCAGTCCTGCTTCTGTCGCCCTTGCGATCTGATCTTCAGTGCAACTCACAGCGGCCCAAACTCCGTCCAGCTCAAGTACATCCATCGCTCGGCTCTTGCGTGTTCTAGTCGACACACCGACTGCAGGATGGCCGACCCTCTTGCTGCGCTCTCATCAGCTCCTCCGACACCAAAATGGCATCAGCAGTTGCCCATCCGCACACCAAGCCATGTCAAAAGAGCAGACTCATCCCTGAGCGGACGGTGGAACTCGCTCTTCAGAGGAGGCGTCTCGCTATCTATAGAATCGCTTCGAGCCCGTGCCATAGAAGGCAAGATATCGCAAGACCAAAATGCATCACTTCGCTGGATACAGTGGAAGCTCTTTCTGACCCAACACATCTCTAGCATCCCTTCGTCATGGTCTGCTCTCTTGGGGCGGGAGAGGGACACCTACAATGAACTGCGATGTCGATTGCTTCGAGCTCCAGATGGCAATTATCCGCCCCAACTGGGCTTCGACGGCACACATACGACTCTGGACTCTGTAGCAACCCTTTCCTCCTCCTCTTCAATAATCAGTCCATACAGTGATTCGAGGCGACATACTTCCTCCCTGGTCAATGATCTTTCGGTCAACAACCCGCTCAGCCTAGACGAATCCAATCCTTGGAAGACGTACTACTCGGCTCTCGAGACTCGGAGGATTATCTTACAAGATGTAGAAAGGTCATTTCCTGACCTTGATGTATTCCGTCAAACGAGCGTTCAGCAGGCTCTGACCAATATCCTCTTTCTCTGGGCCCTCCAGAATGAGGACGTCGGCTACCGACAGGGCATGCACGAGCTCGCAGCTCTCCTCTGGAAAGTTCGAAGCGACGGCGCTCTTGACGCACGACACCTTGCCTCCCGCTCCCAACCAAATGCTTCGACCCAGTCATGCCAAGATACTCCATTTCAGCATGCTCTCGCCGACGTCTTTGTCGAGCACGACGTGTATGCGCTCTTCTGCGTCCTCATGCAGAGCGCAAAATGCTGGTATGCTTGGCGCGACAGTCCCAGTACAACGACTGCTTCTCAACCTTCCCCAGCCGCCTCTCCCTCCTCTGCTGCGAGAAAGCGGTCGACTGCACAAGAGTCTGCCGAACAGCCACGCCGACCCCTTCCGATCGTCGCCAAGTGCGAATACATTCTCGATCTCTTGCGACACATCGATCCAGCCTTGGCACAGCATCTCGAAACTCTCGGCATCGAACCGCAGATCTTTTGTCTTCGTTGGATACGCATGATCTTCACCCGCGAATTTGCCTTGGACGACGCTATCGCTATCTGGGACGGTCTCTTTGCTTCGGCCGGCTCTCTCGAGCTCATCGACTACATTTGCATCGCCATGCTTCTCCGCATTCGCAACCAGCTTCTTGCCGCTGATCACACTTCAGCCTTGCAGAGTCTACTACGATATCCTGCAGAGGCTCAGGTACAGCCGAGTCTTTTGGTCAAGCAAGCCATGTACATGAGAGATCATGGCCGTCAACCTAGCACTGGTGTCACAGTCGTCATGCAGAACAGAGATCTTCTAGGGATTGCCGTGCGATCCGTTGACGGATCATCCCAAGAAGCGTCGACGGCGCAGCACGCTCCTGCTTCACCGACGCAACGCTACGGAGCACAAAAATTTGCCACTGTCGGAAGGGTTCCTTCTGCAGCTGGAGGAAGGCCTTCACCCTGGGGACGCCTTCAGGGAGAGACGAATGCAGGAAATGGCCATGTAGCGACGCATCTACCCAGACCTGACGCGAGACGCTGGCAAGGGCCTGCCTCGGCTGGAGACCCTCTGGGCGCTGCGGCTGCTGATTCTGATCCGAACGCACCTCGAGCCTTCGGCATCAATCCGTCCGCATATCTGCCTGAGGGCGTCAGCGACTTTGCAAAGAGCTGGTACGAACGTGCTGAGCTGCCACAAACCTTGAACAGCGCACTTGCCAATGTCTCGAGAACTGTTGCTGCAGCAGCTGCTGGTGCCTACGGTACCAACAAACCCGAGACGTCCGGCTTCCCCTCTGGCTTCGATCAAGCCTTCTCAGCGCAGACTGGGCCTCGCAGCAGTGGCACAGCCTCCACCGTTGGTCATGCAGCATCAGGCAGAACCAGACCAAAGCTGCCGATCGCCAACGAGGCGGAAGGTCTCGATCCTGTGCAGCCAGCACAACCAGTCTCAATCCCAAGATCGAGCGCAGAGCTTGCTGACCAACTTGCAAAGCTGACAACTGCCAACAGGGCCATCGGCTCTGCGCTATCAGCTTGCATTGGCGTGCTCGAGCAGAACTGGCTAGATCGAAATACGGGCAGCGACTCAAAGCGGGACGATTTGGAGCAGCGCGACCTTAATACGCTCATGAGCTTTACTGCACTTAAGCACATTCGTGATGTTCTTGACGGAAGAGCGAACGAGTTCGATCCTGCCACCTTGCCGGCGTCCATTGCGAAGAAGCCGAGCTCGACGGTCAATCCAACAAAAACCAAGGAAGAAAGCGTTGGCCAGAGGAACACCCAGCAGGGAGGGGACATTGCGCAACACGCTGCGACCAAGGGAGATTCATCGTCAATACAGTCCGTGCAGAAGGAAGCAGCCGCGCCAAAGCCTTCCTCCCTGCCGATGTCGCTGCCCGAGTATGCACGATACGGCCGGCAAATGATTCTTCCGGACTTTGGCCTTCCAGGACAACTTCGACTCCGGAATGCTAAGGTGCTTGTGGTCGGTGCAGGCGGTCTTGGCTGTCCCGCTGTTCAATACCTTGCAGCAGCTGGTGTCGGTCAGATCTCCATTCTGGATCACGACGTGGTTGAGCCCTCCAATCTCGCTCGACAGATTCTGCATAGCGATGGGACAGTTGGTATGTCAAAGGCCGTTTCGGCGGCTAAAGCGGCAAAGCAGATTAATCCGTACATCACAGCCGTCCCGCTGGCAGAAGCACTCAGCTCCACCAATGCTCGTCAAATGATGCGGGGCCATGACCTTGTACTTGACTGCACCGACAACCCACTCACTAGGTACCTCATCTCTGACGCTGCCGTACTTGAAGGTGTCGAAGTCGTCTCTGGCGCTGCACAAGGATACGACGGTCAGCTTGTCGTGTTGCACAAGCGAATCAAGCCGGAGTTTGCTGGTCCGAAAGTGTCTGCAGCAGCAGCATCCAATCAGATTGTCCGCGGACCATGCTATCGTTGTCTGTTCCCGATGGCGCCTCGTCCAGATGAAGTCACTAATTGCGAGGATGGCGGCGTGCTTGGCGGCATTACAGGTCTAGTGGGCACGATGCAGGCCCTGGAAGCGGTCAAGATCCTTGCTGGCATCGGCGAAGACACACCACCATTTCTGACGCTAGTATCTCCGCTCACATCTACACCGTTCCGATGCGTCAAGATCCGACCTCGTCGTATCTCTACCTGTCGCTCCTGCGGAGATCCGGCACAAGTCACCGAGCCGATGATCGCCAATCTCGAGACAGAAGACTATGTCTCTTTCTGCGGCCTCAACGCTCCTCCAGTTACCGATGGAACTCTTCGCAGAACAAGGGTGTCCTTCATGGACCCCAAAGCGTTGGTCGTGGATGTGCGACCTACTGTCGAATACGGGATCACGAAGTTGGACGGCTCGCTCAATCTGCCTATTCAGTCGCTGCTCAAGGACCCCGAGGATGCGTGGAAGAAGATACACCAAGCTCAGCAAGGATCGTCGGCTTCTTCAGTGCTGGTGGTCTGCAAGAAGGGCAACGACTCTCAATTGGCGGTGCAGGCCTTGTTGAAGCATCAGGATGAGAAGGCAGAGCAGGAACGAAAACAAGCGAAAGAGGAGAAGGCAAACGCTCCAGTTCTTCCGAAAGCGCCCGCACATCCATTGGACGACATCGCCTCCAAACAGGAAGCGGCAGCAGCTACTGATGCGACAGCCAACAGAAAGCAAAGCGTCACTGCCTTGCAGATCAGTGACCTGGCTGGCGGTCTCAGAGCTTACGCCAAGGAGAAAGATCCCAACTTCCCAGTCTACTAGAACACACAAAGACGGACAATAGAGTAATAGGATGAGATTGCGCTTTGCTTTGCAATACAGGCAGCGATACTGATAAGATGACAACAACTGCATGCGAGAACGATAATTCAACAGCGATTCGGCTGCGTTGTTTGATGTTACAATAGGTTAGATGGCTGAAGGCGCGAGACCGGCATTCTGTGCGGCTGACACTGCCTCTTTGTTTGCATCTGAGTTGGGTAGTGTCGTGGTTTCAGCGCTTTTGTCGCCACCGTGAAGGTCGTTAATCGGCGGCTGGACCCCGCTGTTGTTGGAGCGAGGTGTGCCTGGCGCAAGACCGAGACCTGAGATACCATGCATGAGACGCTGAGGTGTCCCGCCGCTTAGCTGAGCTCGACGTGCTCCTCCGTTCGGTGAAGCACCGGCATTGATGCCACCAAGGCTGTGACCTAGGTCCGGGCTAGTAGGATAAGGCAGTCCGGCTGCGAATCCGAGAGCTGGCGATCCAGTCGGCTTGGGACTCAGACCCAATATTGGGCTTGACACTCCGACCGCCGGCTGCTGTTGCTGTGCTGGCCCTTGCGAGGCAGCTCCACGACCCTGCATCTCATAGAAGTTGAAGTCCTGCAACAAGCTCGTCTTGGCACTATACTCTGCCATAGTCCTCAGCACTTCACGCCCTGCTTCTGGCGTCAACTCCTGCGTATCTCTTGACTGTGTCACTGGCTTGCATTCCGGCGTATTCGTCAGCCTGATGTGTCGGAGCTGGTTGTTTGGCAAATCCTTGACGTAGATCCATCTCACCTTGAACGTCCCCTTCCACTTTCCGTCTTGGGCCCAGACATTGCTCGAGGTAGCGTAATCCAGCGGTGTCAGCATCTGAGCCATTCCGCAAAAGTGGCCCGAGGCATTGACGGAGTAGAAGAGATAGATGGGCCCGTTGTGTGCGCTCTCTCGGAACGCCTTGTCGAGTCGTTGGTTGCCCTTATCCGTTGATGCCCAGATCTCATACTTGAGTGACTTGTGGACATCATCCTCGGTGTACGATTTGATGACAAAGAAGCGTGCGTCGGGTGGAGCAAGGTCGAAAGTGCCCGGCGCTGGGTTGTAGCCCTTCTGCATGGCTAGCGAGGCCGGATCGACAGGCGTCGGTGGTGCTGCACTGCTAGCTTCTGCGTCCTGCCCTGCGCCCGGGAAAGGCTGTCCAGTTGGAGGACGAGGGCTTGGAGATTGGTTGTGCATCGGTGGTCGATACTGCTGCTGTTGATGCTGCATCGGGAAGAGAGGGCCTCGCGATGGAAGATTGCCCATCGCTCCCATGGGTGGGGAAGAGGTGGGGAAGGCAGCGCCCCGCAGCTGCTGACCGATAGACTGCATGGGCCCATTGAGGTCGATAGGCTGCATGCCGAAGAAGTGAGGATCTTGCATTCCCGCTGCATTGTTACGGGCGCCAAGTTGAGCCTGCAAGATGGTGTTGCGCTGCTGTTCCTGCGCCAAAGCCATGCTGAGCGCCATCACATTCGGATCGATAGCCATGCCTGGGTATGGCGCTGCTGCGGACTGCTGCGACCATAGCTGCGAGTCGAAAGCGGGGCCGCCTGTTTGACTGCTTCCGTCGTTGAAGCGACCAGTGACATGGTCCTTTTCCACCCAGCTGCCTGCTGGTGCGGCGGTGAACGGTCCGAATCGTTGGGACTGATCGTCATCGAAATTTGAAGCACTGAAGGCAGAAGGATCGTTGGACTGATGCCGATAATGAGCGTGTCCGATGGGCGGAACGAAGGCGGCGGCTGAGATGGGACCAGATACTGCATTCGTTCGCTGCCCTCGCTGCAAAGCATCTCGATTGGTCACGAGCTGAGGTAGCTTTCTGGCACCTGCAGGTCGGCTGTCGGTGCTGCTCTGGGAGGATAAGCTAGGATGTATGGAGTAGCTGGTTGGTGTCACAGATGTCTCGGTGTCGTCTCCGTCCAGCGCAGAAGAGCCAGAGATATCGAGGTTGGAGAGGTTCTTGCTGATATCCGCTAGAGCGGATGAAGAGACGTCATTGACAGATAGCATCCTAGCTGGGCTGTTGTCAAGATTCTGCGATGGGAAGGAGCCGGCAAAGCGAGAAGGCGAGCCAATGGGATCCTGCGTCGGCTGATTCCATGGTGCTTTGGAGAAGCTAGTCGGCATGACTGGGCTGCTAGCTGTTGACAAGCTTGTCGTGTGACGAATCGGGCTGAAAGGAGCATCGGGTCGCGACGCAGAGGAGGAGGTGGCGGGATTGGCGACATCGCCTGCATAGCGGCTGAGCAGATCAGTTGAACGAGCGGCCAGGCGGCTGGCGGCCGAGCGACCCGAGTGATGATTGAGCGACTGGCGACGGCGAACGAAGCTGGGCGAAGCTGCCAAGGCCTGGGCATCAGGGAGCGTCGTCTGGTCAAACAGATCTACGGCGCTGGAACTGCCATCAGGATTGTGCGAGCTGGTGAAGAGATCCGTTCTTGTGATGGGTGATGTGGGATGGGAGGATTCGGCTGCTGGACCAAGCTGACCTTGTGAGAACAAGGAGGAGGACCAAGGGTGGTCAGGTCGCGTGCTCATGCTGATCTGAGCAGCGATCGAGTCTTGCTGGTGCTCTTCGCTGAGCGCATTGCTGGAATGGATGAGCTTCTCCCAATCGTGCTCGTCCAGATCCGAGCCTCCAGTGATGGCCGAAAGGCTGTTGAACAGACTCGATCGACCCTGAGTGGCGCTGTGCGGCAAGTTGGAAGTGAGTTTGGGAGGATGCCGACTTGGCAGTGACAGGTTGCGAGAGACGCTGGACTTGGAGTAGAGGGCCTGCAGAGGCGTGAGCGAGGAGACGAACTCTCGGGCGCTGTCGGATGGTGCTGATGGTGATGGGGGGTTATTGGACGATATCAGTGATGCTTCCTGTCGATGTGTGTGATTGTGCCCGCTGGCTGAGGCGTACTGCGTATGTGATGATGCTATGCTGTCGACGATCGGTGGGTTGGTGGGGCAGTCCTCGGGCTGCTCGAAGTGCTTCTCTAGCCTTGGTTTTCCATGGTGACGGGCTCCATGGATGGTATGATTGCGGCGGACGCCGGCACCTGAAGATGGCGCAGGAGGTGGGCTCCGTAGACCTCCAGATACAGTGCCCCATCGATTTGTCGCAGTATAAGCCGAGTCTGCATCATTTGGCGGCGTCGTATGGCCGCCATGGCGAGGCGGGGTGGCAGACATGGTATCGAGCGGAAGAGAGTCGCGGATAATCTTGTGCAGACTAGGTGAGGCGAATCAGCAGCTGTTGGTCGAATCGACAATCTGATCGAGACGAGCGAGCATAACGTGAGCTGTGAAAATTGTGCTTCCCTCGGGAAAGCAAGGTGCAAGGAGCAGTCGAGGATTGTTGAGTCCGGAGAAGGCGGGTGCGATGCGCTGCAATACGGACCGTCGAATTGCAATGAAATGAAACAAGATCGGTGGGGATGGCAAGTGTCCAAGTCGGACTGAGCAAAGGGACTGTATGAGAAGAGCCGATGGCAAGGAAAAGACAAGTGATGGAGGGGAAGAACGTTGGATTTGCAGCGATATGTTCATGGAGACAAGGTGGGGCAGGCTCCAGTGACGAATTGAATGACCGCCTGAGAAGGACTCGACTCGGCTTGACCAATGCTGACATAATCCCCCTTGTCGGCTCCTCGGCTTGGTCAAGAAGGGTATGTTTCCCTGCAGTTGAGACCCGACGACGGATCGCGTCAAAGGGTGGAGGCAAAAACGGCAAAAAACGGCAAAAACGGCAAAAACAGCAAAAACAGCAAAAACAGCAAAAACAGCAAAAACAGCAAAAACCGACCAGGAATTCTTGACCTTGTGAGATCGACACACATCGTCAATATGCCTCGTCAGTATCAGCTGGACACTCGCAGGTACTAGACCTTCAACGACAAGTCTCGCTTGCCAACCCCCTCTGCTGGCTCGCTTCGTTGCCATACAGACACCCTCGGACGACTTGTCAGGCATTTTTGCAGATTGTATTAAAAATAATAGTAATCTGATCGAGATCACTTGCTTCATAGCGGTTGAGACAAAAACTGCGAGGGATAAGGAAGAAGAAGAAGAAGAACAAGATGCGATGAATAAAGTGTCGAATCGGAAGCATCGACCCAATCATGCAGCGATCGGGGTAGCCACGGCGTTTTCACCTCCTTTGGCATTGTAAGTCTGCAACGGCACAGACTGGCCTTGCATACGGAAATCGGCGCCAAGCTTGCCGCCAGGGTGATTAAAGGCAAACATATCCCTTGCAAGCCCCTTTGCTCGTGTCACTGAGAAAGCAAGAGCGTCTCCCATCGCCAAAGCGACTGTTGTACTGCTGGAAGGAGCAGGAACGTCGTCCCATGCTTCGTCGGTGCTTGGGTTTGGCAAGTTTGTTCTCCTAGCGGTTCGCTGCTTATCACAGCTGTCACACTGATCGTCTTCCAAGTCCGAGTGAGGATCATCCTTGCCTGTAGCACAATCGATCCATGCGTCCGATGCCTTGACGAGTGCGCTTTCTCGCTTGCCGGCCAGTGCGATGATCGGACACCTGCGTGCGTTGAGGTGAGGTACCAGAGAAAGGATTTCTGGCGAAGACCCGGAATGCGAGAGGGCGATGACAACATCACGATGAGGTGTCAGCATTCCAAGGTCGCCGTGGAGCGCTTCGGTGGGGTGGAGGAACATGGAAGGTGTGCCGAGAGAAAGCAAGGTTGCGGAGAGCTTCTTGGCAATGATGCCGCTCTTGCCAACACCAGTGAGGACCACCTTGCCACCTCGCTCACCCGTGGTAGCTCGCATGACAAGTCGAACAGCTTGACGGAAACCGTGTTGCTGCACAGAATGCTTGGAGAGACGCTTTGCAGCCATTGCCAGCGCTCGAGCTTCTCGTTGGACAATTTGCGTGCCAAAAGCGAGAGCAGAATCGAGCTCCTCCTCGACCCGGCGGTTCTGAGCCTGTATCGCTGCTGCCTCGCTGTCCTCTGTACTTGTTTCTGGCTCCTCGTTGGCTTGACTGGCTGCGTCTTTGTTTGCCTTGCGGCTTGCTTTTGCATTGGCGAGCGACAACTTGTCTGCCTCGGAGGAAAGGTCGCTGACCGATGTACAGGCAGATGTGGAAGGGGAGTTGCGCTGCGAGGTAGCTACCGAGCTCAAGGCTGGATTGAGCATTTCGGAAGCTGATGGGCTAGCTCCAGCGCTTGACGAACCGCCGAGCGGAGAGTTGGAGCCAAAGTACTCGATCTTGCTGTGCATCATTCTTGAGAGTTTCGTTCGGGTCGGAATGGCGAGCTTGGATGACCGGCTGCAAAAGATGTTACCGACCCCTCTAAAGAGCGGCACTCGGATGCTTTTCTGCCTGAGAGGCTGTAAAAGAGGCCGGCTTAGCTTCGACCAAGTCACAGATTTCGATGAATTTCAAGTTGGCTCGGACTTGCGTGCTGCAAAGATGGCAACGACTCTTCTACCTCGAGCTTGAACTGGAGTAGCTCGAGCAGGTGGGCGATGAGAGCGGAAGTTGGTGTGGTAGGAGCTGTTCGACGTTCGGTATGAGGGTGGTACAACGAGGTTGCGTATTTGCGAGTGTGCGAGACGAGGAGGAGCGGTGGCTGAGTGAGTTCTTGAGGTAGTGGGATGGAAGAGAGATTGTGGAAACGGATGGAGAAGCATATATCGAGATCAGAATGTCTGCTTAGCTTCTCAATTGAACGTCGATACGAGCCAAGTCAACAACGTTTTCACATGAGTTTAGCTTGCTCTTGTCCTATTTGTTCCTAGCTCTTACGATACCGTCTCCTTCGCTAGAGCAAACGGCATATGGAGAATTTCTCGTGAAGCGGGCGGAAACTCGGCAAACAAATTTCCAAGGCAACGGCTTCTTCTTGAAGCAGCTTCTCTCCCACTTGAGCGCTGTCAAACAGGCAGTGTAGATACCGAGAGAACAGGCGCGCCAAGGCGACTCTACTTAGAAACGCATGCTGCCCTAAATAGAAGCAAGACCCTGAATTCTCACCTAATCTGCTTTCAGCGAGGGAAATGAACTCATTTGCTCGACTGCAGAGCCGAGCCTAAGTTCGACGCACTATCTTCCGCTCCTCCTAACCGTGCCTTGGATGAGCCGGACATAAGGCGTCGATCTCCATGTCCTTTCCTCCACTTAGCAGGATCGTCACGTGCCGCAAATTACTCTAAGCTCGCCGCAATAAGCACCTGAGGCTGATCTCTATCGAAATAGTAAAGAAGATTTGTCCCGATAGTCGACGATCCGTTAGAGTCGGAGCACGATCTCACTGCTGTTTAAGAGAGAAACACATATACTCAATGGACTAAGTGAATGTGGTGAGAACCTAGTGTTCTCAGCTTGATATATACAGCACATGCATAAACTGTCCCATAATTTTACATGTCACCATACATCACTCTAATGCTCAATAGCTATAAGTTGTATTGCCACACTGTCTCATATCATCTGAAAGCCCTGCTTCTTCTCTCCAAGACTGTGTAATTGATATTGACATTGACTAAAAAAATTGTGCTATGAAGAAGAGCTGATTTTTTTGATTTTTTTTTTTTTTTTTTTTTTAATTGTGGGACAGTTTATGGAGCATGCTCCCAAATAGCAACACCACTCCATTCCTGACCTTGTGGGCTTTTGACTACAATGAAACTTGCAATGTAACTTGGTGGGCACCTTCATACACATTGAAAGTAGTGATGTGGAAAGTTTCAGCTCAATCAGATGACTGTGAGCAATTTGGCAGCACTTCCAGTCTGACACCATCATATTGTCATGGGAATGGATGCGCAGAGGCCAGAAGATCCGTCAAATTCATATGAAGGGAGTGCAGGGATCAAGGGATCAGGTGGATTGTGGGATTTGAGATGGACTTCACTGAGATCGGTAGTAGTGCCAGTCCTATGACAGATCTCACTGAGATCAGCAAAAGGAAGGATAGTACTATGATGACAAGATTGGCATGAGAGATGATGGTACTATGGATCACACTGAGATCGGTGATAGAAGAAAGGGTATGGTGGATCCTGCCAGGATCAGTAGTAGGAAAGATCCTATCATGGATTCTGCGGAGATCAGTGGTAAGGATGATAGTGTGGTGAAGCTTCACATGCAAGTAGTGGGACCAAGTGCTGCCAAGAGGGGACCTAGCTCAGGAGCATGCAGCTGGTTACCACTCAGGGGCACACAAGATAGGAATAAAGGGGGTCCATCGCTGGTCCCAGGGAGGAGAGCAGTGTAAGAGAAACTGGCGAGGAAGACATAAAGAGGAGAAGCAGTGTCAATGGAGTCAGCACAGCTCAGGAAAGACAGATGGACAGCACAATGAGGAGGAGGAGCCTCATTGGAGACTCCTGTGAGGTACTCAATGCAGAAGGTACTCTCTGGAGAGAGAGCAGAAGCAGTGATGCAGGCAACACTGCGAAGAGGTATAAAAGCCACACCTTCTTGTCACTAATGGTCAAGTGGATTCTCATCCACTCTACTCACCATACAACTAGTCAATACTTTAGAAACATAAGTACTTATTAGTTTTCAAGTCAGCATAAGTTGCAATCAATAGATTGCTTCTCATCGAAGCACATGTGTTGTATCACCATTTCCTGACATCCGAAGGCAGTTCTTAGCAAACCAGCAGTCTGGATCTCGATAGAACCGAAGGCAGTCGTCCACTGCGGTCCGGGGATCACCTCAAGCATAGTCGATGCACTGGACACTTGTGTTGACACCACCAATCCATATTCACACCAGACCTTTGGTGTCATCAGCGAGTTCACATAAGTTATTGATCGTGCCGAGCTACCTCTGGATGGAGTGTCTGACAGTGGTCTGTCAAAATCTGCAATAGCATCATCACAACTACAGATTCGAGCGAGAAAAGTAATAGAGAAGGCTCTACTGCATATCTCGTGAAGAATTGCAATACCACAAGTGCTGTTGCATAACTCGACAGAATCGGTAATAGTATTGATACAACTACCGATCTCAGGTTTCAGGTGCGCGACCTCTGACACATATCTATACCATCATGCCAAAAACCACCCCAGAGAGGTGCCAATTGGCACTCTTTCACATCCAAAATGGTGAATCTATCTGTTCAGTTGCAGAACAACTTGGTATGAGCAAGTCTACAGTGAATTGCATCAGCAAAAGCACCTCTGCTGATGTTCCAAAGTCAAAGGGCAGCCAGCTGAGAAAACTCCAGCCTCATCATGTTTGCTTCCTGGATCACTATTTTGAGCTCAATTCAATGTCCACAGTCAGGAAAGCATGTCATGCACTGCAGGAGATGTTTCAAATCAAAGCATGCCCAACCACAGTAAGAAAAGCACTTCATTACTGTCATTACAAAGCACAAAGGTTAGTGAAAAAACTGAAGCTACTCAAGAGACATTGCAAAGCCTGTTTCAAATTTGCTAATGAGCACAAGGACATGACTGTTGAGGATTGGAAGAATGTGGTATGGTCCAATGAGACAAAGATCAACTTCTTTGGACCAGATGGTAAGCAGTTCTGTTGGATTAAGAATTCTGGCTTCAACAGCAAGCTTGTCAGGCCAATGGTCAAGTTTGGCAGTGGCTCCATCATGATCTGGGGCTGTATGATGTGGGAAGGGGTGGGAGGTATGTGCTTGGTGCTGGGTTCAATGAATTCAGACTAATACATTGATATCTTGAATGACAAGCTTGTGAAAACAATCTCAGATTTGCAGCTTCAGCATGCATACACTGACATCACATTTCAGCAAGACAATGACCTGAAACACATGTCGAAGAAGACAATAACATGGTTGGAAAGTAATAGCATTAAGGTTATGCAATGGCTGGCACAGTCACTGGACTTAAACCCAATTGAACACCTCTGGCACCATCTCAAAATGCAACTTTCACAGTATAGTACAATTGCAAAGTCCAGGGATGAACTGCTCAAGAGATGTGAAGCTGAATGGAAAGTGATCACTCCAGAGACATGTAGGATGCTAATAGAGAGCATGCCAGACCACATCAAGGTGGTTCTGAAGGCCAAAGGAGGGATTACAAAGTACTAAGGTGTTGTTGAGGAGCACTCCATAAACTGTCCCACAATTTAAAAAAAATTGGCTCTTCTTCATAGCACAATTTTTTTAGTCAATGTCAATATCAATTACACAGTCTTGGAGAGAAGAAGCAGCACTTTCAGATGATATCAGACAGTGTGGCAATACAACTTATAGCTATTGAGCATTAGAGTGATGTATGGTGACATGTAAAATCTTGGGACAGTTTACATGCATGCTGTATACTCAATTGACAAAGTGAACATGGTGAGAACCTAGTGTTCTCAGCTTCATATATATACATCTATGAGGTACATGCCGAATGTGGGAGTGTCCTTCTTCATGATCTAGCTTGACAACGAGTGGGACTGTGTTGTACCCAATCTCTGGACAGTTCGGTTCTGCCCTGATCCCCGATTGGGTTTATGTCAGCATATATCGTCATATTGGATTGCTTCCTTCGGCAAACTCTTGTTGGAGTCCATCGGGAGATCTCCTGTTAGATCTTTGCCGATACTCGGTCGGAGGCCGTCTGAAAGCGCAATGCTACCAGTTGAAGATGCGTCGGCATCTCAAGCAAGATGCACATGTCACAGCTGAGACACCGAGGTACAGGAGGCTTACTTAAGCAAGAAGCACAATGAGGTACATGATTGTTGTCATGGTGACAGCCCAGTGGTACCCAGTATCATAGCAACACAGGAGTATGAATGAAGTGACTGTCATGGGCCTGGATGCTCAAGAAGCAGGAGGGTCACTGGTTCATATGGAAGGAGCACAGGTATTGAAGATCTAGTTGATACCAGTAGAGAGCATGGTCATAGTGCAGTCTCCATGGAGACCATGGACTCCTATGGACTCACATGCAAAGGAGGACACGAGCCACATGCGAGGAGGGCCAGGCACAGCCATGAGGAGGACCAAGCTCAAGGAGCAGGCACAGCCACGAAGAGGACCAAGCTCAGATGGTTACCACTCAGGGGCTCGAGAGACAAGAGTCAAAGGAACTGTCACTGGTCAAAGGAGAAGGAGCAGTGTATAGGACACTAGCAGGCAGGTCCTGAGGAAGAGGAGCAGTGTCGAAGGAGTCGACACCAGGTCATGAGGAGGAGGAGCAGTGTGTCATGGGTGTCAGGGGTCTCGCGCCCGAAACCCAGGTCGGTCTGTCGAGATACTCGGTGACTATCAAACTGTGTGACAGCTATTGTCTCGGTATCGGTGACTATCAAGTTGCGCAGTGACAGCAGGTGGCGTTCGTTGTATATACTATCGTAGGTTTCGGCTGACCTCTGTGGACACTCCGTTCAGGGGTAGCTCGGCACGATCAATATCAATGTGTAGGTTATGTTGACACCAAGGTCTGGTGTGAGTGTTGATGATGATGAGGTTGATGGTTTGGTGATAAGGTTGATGAATGTTGATGATAATGATGTTGATGGTGTTGGTGATGAGGTTGGTGGCGTCAACACGAGTGTCCAGTGTGTTGACTGATGCTTGAGGTGATCCCCGGACCGCAGTGGACTACTGCCTTCAGTTCTATCTATATCCGGACCGCTAACCTGCTATGGGCACCTTCGGACGTCAGGTAGTGGTGATACAACACATGCACTATGATGAGGAGCAACCTTGATAGATTGCTGCTATGCTGACTGAAACTAATATATACTTATGCTGAAGTGATAACTAGTTATGGTGAGTAGAGTGGATGAGGATCCACTCGACCTATGATGATGAGAAAGCATGGTTATATACCTCTTCTCAGCATCGCCAGCGATGCTGCTCCTGCTCTCTCTCCAGAGAGTACCTTCTTCATCGAGTACTGCTCAGGGGCCTCTCCTGCTTGGCACCCCTGTGCCTCTTGAGCTGTGTCGACTCCTTCGACACTGCTCCTCCTCCTCATGACCTGGTGTCAACTCCTTCGACACTGCTCCTCCTCCTCATGACCTGGTGTCGACTCCTTTGACACTGCTCCTTCTCCTTTGATCAGTGACAGTTCCTTTGGCTCTTATCTCTCGAGCCCCTGAGTGGTAACCATCTGCATGCTCCTTGAGCTTGGTCCTCTTCGTGGCTGTGCCTGCTCCTTGAGCTTGGTCCTCCTCGTGGCTGTGCTTGGCCCTCCTTTGCATGTGAGTCTGTAGGAGTCCATGGTCTCCATGGAGACTGCACTATGACCATGCTCTCTACTGGTCTCGACTAGATCTTTGATACCTGTGCTCCTTCCATATGAACCCGTGACCCCCTTGCTTCTTGAGCATCCAGGCCCATGACAATGGGCCTGGGTGCGCAGAGCGAGGATAGACCGAAGTTCATATGAAGGTAGCGCAGGAATCGTGGAATCGGGTAGAACGTAAGAGTTGCAGCAGAGGTCACCGAGATCGGCAGTAGAATCAGTTCTATGGCAGATCACAGCGAAATCGGCACGAGCATCATCGATATCACGAATCCCACTGGAATCTACGACAAGCGAGACCTTGTGGCAGATTCCGCAGAGATCGGTAGCAAGGTTGTCCATACGACGATTCACATGCAAGAGGGACCAAGCTCAAGTGATATGCAGATGGTTACCACTCAGGGGCCCACAAGACAGGAGTAAAAGAGAACTGTCGCTGGTCAGAGGAAGGAGAGCTGTGTAAAGGACACCAGCAAAAGGGACATGAAGAGGAGGAGCAGTGTTGATGAAGTTGACACAGCTCAGGTAAGACAGGAGGGACAAGGTCTGATATGGAGGAGGTGCCTCCTTGGAGACACCTGTACAATACTTGACGAAGAGGGTACTCTCTGGAGAGAGAGAGCAGGAGCAGTGTCGCTGGCGATGCTGCGAAGAGATATATAGGCATACCTTCTTGTCATGAATGGTCAAGTGGACCCATCCACTCTACACTCATCAACCGTACTAGTATTACTTCAAGCAATAAGTATCATTAGTACACAGTCAGCATAGAAGTAATCAACAGATTGCTCCTCAATGAAGCGCGTGTGTTGTATCACTGTTTCCTGGCATCCGAAGGCAGTTTGTAGCAACCAGCGGTCCGGATAACAATAGAACTGAAGGCAGACGTCCACTGCGGCCCAGGGATCACTTCAAGTGTTAGCTGACACACTGGACACTCATGTTGGTGTCATCAACCCATACTCACACCAGACCATTGGTGTCAACATCAAGCTCATTAGAGTTGTATTGTAGTCTGATTGTGCCGAGCTACCTCTGGACGGAGTGTCCACAGCAGTTAGTCGAAATCTGTCACAACAATAATACAACTACAGATTCTAGCGAGAAAGGTGACAGAGAAGGCTCTGTCGCATATTTCACTAAGAAATGAAATACCATTAGCGCTGTCACATAATTCGACAGAATCGGTGATAGTACTGATACTACTACTGTTCTCAGGTTTCAGGCGCGCGACCGCTGACACCATCCAATCCATTTGAGGGGTGATCGCTGTCGCAGCAGTACAGGATTGGGAAATAGACTCTATTGATGTAAAGCAAGTGTACCTGAACTCCACTATACACCATGATGTATACCTAAAGCCCCCAGCAGGAATCAAAATACCACCTGGAAAAGTGTTGAAGGTAGTGAAAGGACTGTATGGTCTGAAACAATTGGGCTGAGAATGGAACATTGAGTTAGACTCACATCTCCAGACAATCAGATTTCATTGCATGCCAAGTGCACCATGCCTATACTCAAGAGGGACAGGCAACAAGATCACAATCATTACAGCATATGTGGACAACATGCTGATAACATCACCCAGTCATGATGAAGTAGACTGCACTAAGCAAGAGATCATGGACAAATGGGAGATGCAAGACAATGGAAGGATCAAAGAATTTCTGGGTATCAAGATCACACATGATAGAAGATGGAGGAGGATATCTCTGGGCCTAATGGCATACATCAAGGAAATGGTGAACAAATGGTTAAGAGGAGCAAATGAGAAATCTTGGGTACCCATGCTGAGCATAGTGAACATCACCAGAGGCAAGAGATGTGAACCTCAGCAAGCAAAGAGGTATCAAGAGTTGGTCAGCCAACTATTATGGGTCTCCAACACAGCCCAACCAGATATTGCCTTTGCTGTTGGCATATTGTTGCGATATATGTCGATCCTGATTGACAGTGCATGGAAGGCAGCCATTCATGTGGTAAAGTACCTGAACCAGATGAACAAATATCAGTTGCACTTAGGAGGGGAGACAAATGAGCACTTGGATACACTGGTAACAATGTATACTGATGCAAACTGGGCATCTGACCCCACAAATGGATGAAGGAGCACCTCAGGGTTGATAACATATGTGTATGGATGTCCAGTGAGTTGGAAGTCTCACATTCAAAAATGTGTGGCATTGTCAGCAGTCAAAGCAGAGTTCGTTGCTGCTTCTGAAGCAGTGCAAGAAGCCTTGTTCTTCTCATATTTGCTCTGGGACTTGGAGATCATGGATGTTCAGCCCATACTATACACAGATAGCCAGGGGTGCATACAGGTGAGTAAAGATCCAGCCAAACATTGGAAGTTAAAGCACATTGACACATGGTATCATTTCATCCATGATCACATGCAAGAGGGCAATGTGGCAATCAAATATGTCAGAACAGCAAACAATGTTGCAGATGTCTTGACAAAACCTTTACAGGGTCTCAACACCTCATGATTGGCTAGGATGATAGGGCTGGAGATCCTGCCAAAGGGGGGAGTTGAAGATGCATTGGCATCTCAAGCAAGATGCACATGTCATGGCTGAGACACCAAGGTACAGGAGGCTTACTTAAGCAAGAAGCACAATGAGGTACATGATTGTTGTCATGGTGACAGCCCAGTGGTACCCAGTATCATAGCAACACAGGAGTATGAATGAAGTGACATGTCCTGTCTTGGATAGGACTAGAGTGGTGAATGGAGTATATATATGTGTTTGTCATTTAGGTTCACACTATGAAAACTAAGCATTACATAGAACATACAGCTGTGGTAAAGGGAGTCTGATCATGACCCTGATAACGCCGTATATTAATTGTTATCTTCAATTCTACCACATCAACGGCGGCTTTTATAGCTAGCTGTCAGGCACTGCTTTAGCCGCAACAGCGCGCAAGCTCTTAGCTCATGCTTCGACTCTGAACTTGTCTGTCACCCTGCATGCCAGACCTCCGCGGCTTCGTCAAGAACGGTTTGCTTCCCTCCAACTCCGGCCATGGTGTAAGGCAATCCAATGTCTGTTCCTCCTCAGCGACCGGATGCAACTCTGATGGACTGCAATCCCAAAATTCTCGGTCACAGTAACGAGCTGCCGTTGAGTCTCTTGAACATTGAAATGATGATGACAGCCCTTCGAGCCCTCATCTCGGCGCGAGTTCAGGCAGAAGAAATGACGCCTCGCCCTGCAGCGGCAATGCAATGCGATGCGATGCGACGCTGAATCTACACTTTCTACCGACCCAGACTGGCCTTTCGGCTTGGTTGTCGTGAGTAAGCCTGGCTACCGCCTAGTTGAGAACGGAGAGAGAGCGAGCTTCTTTCGTGAAACACTGTAATGGTGTGCCTGTGGTGTCGAAAGCTTCTCTGATCTTTCTTCTTCAGATGTTTTCGCCAACCGAATCTTATGACCGCTTTCTGCTCGCTTAGCTGGCATCTATAGGGTAATGCACTCCACTCTGACGTAGCAACTGCCGTCCTACAGAGGCGCCTGACTACTACCTTGCAGAACCAAGCTCTCTGTTCCGCCTGTGTCATCTTCCTATCCCTACAAGAGGCGACCAGTACTCTTGCCTCCTCGCTATCATCATCGCTCCAATTGATACTCCAACTGGTACGACATCCTGCTCGACAGAAGCTCGCGCTCCACGCCACCCATTCTTCTCAGTATGTCGCAAAATACAGCACAGAGTCCGCATGCTGGCGGTCACGCACCGAGGCGTTTCCACACTCCCAAGCACGGCTGGCTTCATGAGGTGGAGAAGCGTCTCGTTGGACAGACCCCAAAAGGCGCACCGCCAGCAAGGCCTAGACAATCCGAGTCGCATCGTTCTAGACCCAACTCAGGCGGACTAGATCGCGAGGTGGAGGCCATCTTTCACAGAACAGCTCGATATGGCGGTGACGACCCAAGAGATCCACAAGACCAGGCATACGAGACCAACGCTCCACCCGACGAAACAGCAGAGAGCCAAACTTCGACTCGTGTGCCTTCCTCACCAACTCAACCTGGCGCATACAAGTCCAAGTCAAAGGGTCAACAAAGTTCTAGTCGCAATGATGACAATGATGACAATGCTGACAGTGATGACAGTGATGACAATAATGACAATGACGCCAACTCGGACCAAGGCCGTCCAAGAGGCAACCCCGATGAGGCTGAAGATCCGAACCAGGTCGGCTGGGATGGTCCTGACGATCCTGAGAACCCGCAGAACTGGTCGCAGAAGAAGAAATGGGCATTCACCTTGCTATGCTCCTTGCTTACTGTCAACGTCACTTTCGCATCTTCCGCTCCATCTTCGGCCATCCAACAAATCGCCCAGGAGTTTCAGATCGGCACGGTTACCGCCACACTGATTACGTCCTTGTTTCTGGCAGGTTACTGCCTCGGCCCCATCATCTGGTCGACAACTTCGGAACTCGTGGGTCGAAAGGTGATCTTCAGCATTTCGATGCTGATGTACACCCTCTTCATCCTTGGACAAGCCTTGGCAAAGAACCCAGAGACCTTATTTATTACTCGATTCATCAGCGGTGTCTGTGCAGCTGCACCGCTCACCAACGCTGGTGGTGTGATTGCCGACATGTGGGACCCCGTCGGGCGAGGCTACGCCATGAGTCTCTTCTCTTGCGCCGTCTTCATCGGTCCTGTCATGGGTCCCATCGTCGGAGGCTTCATCACCCAGTCCTACCTGGCATGGCGATGGGTCTTTTGGATCATGATGATCTTTGCCGGTCTTTGCTGGGTCATCACTGTGCTCTTCCTTCCCGAGACTTTCACACCCATCCTTTTAGTTCGAAAAGCTAAGCGACTCCGCAAGCTGGATCCCCAAGGCAACAAGGACCTCTACGCACCTCACGAGAGGAGCGACTGGTCGCTGGGTGGCATCGCTCACCGCACGCTATTACGACCCTTTCAGATCTTGGCACAGGAGCCCATCTTGGTCCTCATCACCATCTATGTTTCCATCGTCTATGGAATCCTGTACGGACTTTTCGAGGCGGTGCCAGTCATCTTTGAGATGAAGCGAGGCTTCAACTTGGGAGAGTCTGGTCTCATTTTCATCGCAGTCGGTCTTGGAACGACAATTGGTGGAATGATTAACGTGCTTGTACAGCTTCGATACCGACAACTCACGCCGTTCTGGCGCGGCATGCCTCCTCCCGAGGAGAGACTCATCGGATCCATGATTGCTGGCCCTTTCCTCGTTCTGGGTGCCTTCTGGCTGGGATGGACTGGCGAGTACGTAGCTGTGCCCTGGTACGTGCCTGCTCTTTCGCTCGTCCCTATCGGCATGAGCTTCACGCTCGTTTTCATTTCCCTTCTCAGCTACATCGTAGACTGTTATACCGTCTATGCCGCATCGGCCTTGGCCGCCAACACCATCCTTCGATCGGCAGTAGGAGCTGCATTTCCTCTTTTTACAAGACAGGCTTTCAATGGCTTGGGAACCAACTGGGCTGCTTCGTTGCTAGGCTTCGTTGCTTTAGTTCTTACACCATTCCCATACATCTTCTACGTTTATGGCAGCAAAATCCGCCGTTTGAGCAAGTTCGCGCCAGCGTTTGATCTCAAAATTCGCCAAGAATTGGAAAAAGAGGGCAAGCTGCCTGAGAACAGTCTCGACAACACCAGCCCTCTAGATCGCAACGGTCTTGCAGCTTCCAAGAAGGCGGCAGCGTCCAAGGGAGATGCGGAGAAGGGCCAAAATTCTGACTAACGCTGTTACTTGCAACGCCGACTTCTCGCCCTCGCTAAATATAACATTGTGCGTGTGCTCAAGGATGCCAAACAAGTCGCGGGAAACGAAAGGAAGGCTACTAGCTTCTCACTCAGGCTACTCAAAAGTGGGGCCCAGGAAGGAGTCGAAAGCAAAGTAGTGATATTGAAACCAACGACACAAAGATGAAAGTGATCTGATCTGTATCGAATGCAGTGTGAACTGGTTTGATGCTTGCGCGCGCAAGTTACTGATTTGCGCACTGAACTCCAGTCTGGCCTCCTTCCTCGTCATCATCATCCATGCCGGGATGCTGAGCGGCGCCGTTGGGTCTGACGTTGCGGGCTTCCCGCTCATCAAGGTCGTCCATCTGCACATCCTCGACGTCGATCTCCTTCTTGGTCTTGGGAAGCCCTCTTCGTGGTGGGAGCGCCTTCTCGAGGAGTGGGATGCAGTCAATGTCGATGGTCTCGGGGAAGGCGACGGAAAGGTTGACGTAAAGGTCACCCATCTCGTGGTGTCGGTAGCTGGGCATACCCTGTCCGCGGAGGACTTTGACATCGCCGGGCTTGATCACCTCACCGGCAGGAATATCGACAGAGAGAGCGTGTTCGTCAAGGTGCTCGATAAGGATCTTACCACCACCAAGCGCGGTGAGCAGGTCGACTTCGACGTCGATAAAGAGATCGTTCTTTTTGCGCTTGAAGCGGGGATGAGGCTTCTCGTCGATGACAATGACAACGTCGCCTGGAATGGTGTTGGGTGCCTGGTCGGCCTCTTCCTTGAATGTGATCTGCGAGCCATCATCCATACCTTTGTCGATGCGGACTTCGAGGACCTTGCGCTCATGGTTGATCTTCTTGCCGTTGCACTCCTTGCAGCGATCCTTGGCGTTGATGATCTCACCCTGACCCTGACATTCGGGACAGGTCTGCTGCATCTGCTGAACCATGGGACCGAGTTGACGAAGGACGACCTTGATACCCTGACCATTGCATCCGCCACATGTCTTGACGGCACCTTCCTTTCCTCCACGGCCATCACACTTCTTGCAGAGAACTTGCTTCTGAAGAGCAAGCTTGGTGAGCTTGCCGACGTAGAGCTCCTCGAGCGAGACCTTGACACGGTGGACGAGATCCTTGCCCTTGCGCGGGCCGCGTGGTCGTCCGCCTCCACCGCCGAAGAAGCCGCCACCTCCGCCACCGAAGAGCTGGGAGAAGAGATCCTGGGGGTCCATGCCGCCGCCCATTCCTCCACCTTCGAGACCCTGCTCGCCGAAACGGTCATAGAGATCGCGCTTGTCTGCGTCGGAGAGAACTTCGTATGCCGCGGTGATGGCCTTGAACTTTTCGGGATCACCACCCTTGTCTGGGTGCTCCTTCAATGCCTTCTTGCGGTAAGCCCTAGAAGATGCGAAAAGAGAAGTATGGCGAAAATGAAGAGGCGTCAGCAATGACATGTACGGAAACAAGAGGTGCGGAAAGCGGCAGCATTGGTCGATCGAATTCTACTCACTTCTTGAGCTCCGCCTCGGAAGCGGTGTGTGGGACCTCGAGGAGGTCGTAAAACTTTGTCTCCTTGACCATTGTTGATGCCGAATGAATGAGGTTGTCCTAAAGACAATCGTAGGTATAATCGAGCTGTTATGCGATAGCGGGCGAGATATATGGAGTGGCTGCGACAGGACCTGCGATACTCGTTCTGATGCGACCTTGAGGAGGAGAAGGGAGTGTAACTTGTGAGACCTGCAACGACGATTCGTAATTAGCTGGACAGATGTGGTAGCGCCTTAATTCGGAGCGGTTATGCGGTGGGATGTGAGAGTGGTGGTGTGGTACGACAAGGAGCAGATGTTCGAGGTCTGATGGATGATGTTGAGACAGAAGATGATGGGAAGTAGTTGAGCGAGTGTAGAATTAGCTGGGCAACTCTGAACAAAAAGGCGACACTCAAACGCTTCGGCTCTTGGGGGGAAAAAAAAAAAAAAAAATCAAAAAAATCAAAAAAAAAAAATCAAAAAAAATCCACACAGCGGGAGCAGCACTTGTTCAAGCACATTCGAGATTGCAGCCGACAGCCGCACTTTTTGAAAAGTTGACGAAATTCACACATTTTAGAAATCCAATAAAAATCCAATAAAAAAAAAAAAAATCAAAAAAAAAATCCAAAAACTTCCGAAGAGCAATGACGACGCAGAGACGGACATACGGTAAGCACAAACCTCTGCTTGCGGCCCAAATTCGGAAAGATGGCTGATGATAGATTCTAGTGACATCTCGAAGCAAAGCTGAAAGCCTTGGTGGAGTTCTTCTGTAGTTCTTCTGTAGTTCTTCTGTCTGAGCTGAGCTCGGGTATTGAATTTTTCTTTTTTAACGCCAAAATTGTTCCAAAGCCTTCCATGGCTTCAGAACCTGTCTGGCGCGTTTCTGCCTGTTTCGTTCAATCTCAAATCTTGCAAATTCTTTCCGCTCATCTCCCGATTGCAGATTACAAGCTAGAAGGGATGTGCGAAAGACGAGAGCTAACAATTCCACCGATCCGAGCTGCCACGTCTTGCTTCGCTCGGAGCCTGTTGCGTTGATCTTTGGTGCTAAGAGTCGCCGTTCGACTTACCTCGATCCTGATTGTCATCTAGCACACAGCTGATTCGGCCTCGATCTGCTTCACACGACTCGACAGAGTAGCCTTACCCTGGCGCAAGCACCGGTTCCAGCTACGCACAAGCTCATTCTCTGGGGCTCTCCCACGCCTGCCTTCATTTGGGACACGTAGACAACATCTGCAAGCGGTACCTCCTTCAACAACTTGGCACCTCCTTCAACAACTCGGCATCTACAAAGGCTCCAAACGGTTTGAGTTTTCGAGTGGTGACATTCTGGCTTGACCTTTCACACTTGCTCTCACGTTTCAAGGTATCGACAACAAGCATGTCTGGGGATAGAGATCTGTTCATCGCCTATGGCGTGCTCATGGCCGGCGCTGTAGCACCCATCTACTTTGGCTCCTTCTCCTCGCTCAGGACACCCAAGACTACTCGCGACCTTGTCAAAGCAGCCAAGAAGAAGCGCAAGTCAAACGGCGACTCGGACGACTCAGAAACCGACTCGGACTCAGATTCAGAGTCTGATGATGACGATGTTCTGGACAGAGTGACTTCGTCGGACGCCATGTGGTTTCCCATCATGGGTTCAGCTGTCCTCTTTGGCCTGTTTGTGATCTTCAAGTATCTCAACAAGAAGTATGTCAACCTTTTGCTCAGCTTCTACTTTGGCTTTGTGGGCTGCCTAGCGCTCAGTCAAGTGCTCGTCTCGCTTTCTCGTGGTATCGTGGGTCGTGAGCTCTGGAAGAAGCTGCCCAACTTCCGCCTGCAGCTCGACCAGCGCGGACAAGGACGTCTTTTCAAGCTCTCGTTCACAACCGTCGATGTTGGCCTAGTCGCTCTCTCGACCTTGCTCGTCGGCGTCTACCTGGTCACCAAGAACTGGATGATCAGCAATCTCCTCGCTCTTTCGCTCTCGCTCAACGCGATCGCCCTGATGTCGCTCGACTCGTTTCGAACAGGTGCCATCATGCTTGGAGGATTGTTTGTCTACGACATCTTTTGGGTATTCGCAACGCCCGTCATGGTCTCCGTGGCTCGCAACTTTGACGCCCCCATCAAGATTGTGTGGCCCAAGAACATTCTCGAGGCCATTTGGGCACTTAAGGCTGGTCAAGCTTTGCCAAAGCTTCAGTTCACAATGTTAGGCCTTGGTGACATTGTGATCCCAGGGATCTTTGTCGCACTGGCTCTGCGATATGATCAGCTTGTTGCCAGCGAGAAGAAGCCGTCAATCAGCTTCACCAAGGGGTACAGGCGCTTTACCAAGCCTTACTTCCAGGCTACGCTCGCTGCCTACGTGGGCGGCCTTGCGACGACGATGGGTGTAATGCACTTTTTCAAAGCTGCTCAGCCTGCGCTGTTGTACCTCAGCCCGGCTTGCACTGGTGCTGTCATGTTGACTGCTGCACTCCGTGGCGAGTTCAAGCAGGTATGGAACTGGACCGATGGGGAGCAGGAGGAGAAAGAGGCGCAAGAGAAGAAGGAGCAGAAGAAGCAAGACAAGAAAGATGAGAAGAAGGACTGGAAGACATCTGCCACTAGACGGTCCAACCGTCGCAAGTCGACCAAAAAGGAGTGAGCTGTCAATCCCTGTCTCGACTTGGCTCACTTTATCATACCTGCAACATCATACCTGCAACATAGATCAGCACCTTTGCATACGCCATATTCTCTGCAAGAGATGCCAAGATCATCATACGGTCTGTGAAACGGAGGATGGGAGCGAGAGTGAGCAGTTCTGACTGACGTTGAGATCGAGAGTTACTGCCTAAACGCCTGTCGACGCATTTCCGTGTTCAATTGGAGTTGCTCTTGTCTGGCCGAGTTGCTGTGACTGTAAAATGATTCAGAGCGCGCAGCGAGGGAAAGGAGGCTTAGCATCAGTTGAAGATGCGTCGGCATCTCAAGTAAGATGCACATATTACGGCCGAGACATTGAGACACGGGAGGCTCACGTAAGCGAGAAGTACAATGAGGTACGTAATTGTTGTCATGGTGACAGCACAGTGGCACCCGGTATCATAGCAACACAGGAGTACAAATGAAGAGACACATCCTGCCTCGAATAGGACCAGAGCAGTGAATGGAGTATATATATGTGTTTGTCATTCAGTCTCACATCATGAAAACTAAGCATTACATAGAACATACGGCTGTGGTAAAGGGAGTCTGATCGTGACCCCGATAACGCCGTATATTAATTGTTATCTTCATTTGCATCATACCGCCTTTGCTCCTTTTTACAACACTCTCACTGGCCACAGCCACCTTTTCTTTTTTTTTTTTTTTTTTTTTTTTTTTTATATTCTTTTCCTTTTTTTGCATTTTCTTTTCTTTTCTTTTCTTTTCTTTTCTGCCTCGGCTTTGCGAATGCTTAGTCACTCGCACGTGACTCTGGATGTTGTATCGATGTACATACAGGTACAGTACAGTAATGAAACAAAGGACGGCAAGAACCGGTCAGCTTGTATCGACACTTGCTGTGCTCTTCCTTGTTCTCCTACGTCCATCCGCTCCGACCTTCCGTGGGCCCGCTCGACGCCAGATAGGATTCCTTGTTGTCGTCCGTCTCCCCTACCATTAGCTTGGCCAGCGCATCATCCTGACCATACACTGGCTCATCTCCTATCGCCCTGGCATCGTAGCATCTTGCCCGCACGACTCGACAGCGCAATACATCCCCAGCACTAACATCCCCAGCACCTTATATCGCCTCAGTCTACTTCCAGGCGGCATCGGAATCAGCTGAAATCGTTCGAGACCACCTTTGTCCTTCAGAAGTATCACGTCCGGATATGCGATGACCCTCGTTAAAGGCTCACCACAGTCTGACGCCTGGAACCTTTTTACGACTCATCAGGTTGCCTAGAGGGCAGTGCGGATACGTCCTCGATACTTGGCTGAACTCCCATCGCTCCCTGATCGCCCTCCCGCTGCGACGCAGCCGTCATGTCGTCCGCCGGTGGAGCTTACTCTCCAGGCGTTGGCTCGGGTACGTCTGGCAGCGGTTGTTCAGGCTCATGCTTCGACACGAATCAGCTCAAGTATCAATATCTACAAGGCTACTTCAACGCCCACATGCTCCCACCTCCATCCTATCGCTACGTCTACCTCCTATGGTTCCTCACCATCGCCGTCTGCCTCGTTCTTGGCTCCTTCCACATGCTCGGTGTCGGCGACAGATCCTACATTGGTGCCAAATGGAAGCGATGGGCTACCAAGAACCGTGTCTACAAGCTCGGAAAGCGTGTCGACATTCACGGCAACCCCATCGACAAGGACAGCAAAGGCTTCATTCGCGCCTATGCGCCACTCAAGCCTCGCAAGATTGTCACCTTTCCCAGCTTTGGCCGAGTCGTGTTGCTCTTCTTCATGCTCGCTGTACCTATCGTCTTGACCTTTGTCGGTGCTGATTTCATCGGTCCCAACCTCGGCCTCTTTGACTTTTCTCAAAGCTGGCCATCGCAAACCACCAACACAGTTGGCATGTCTCGTCGTGCTTTGCAGCTTTTCCCCAGGCGAGTTTTGTGGGGTCAAGGCTCATATCCCTCGGTCACCACCTATCCTCCTACTCGCACTTTACCTTACCGCACATGGTGGACAACAGGCGATCGCACCGGAGACATCACTATGGGCCTCGTACCCATCGTCCTCATCATGGCCCTCAAACAAGTTCCATTTGCTCTTCTTTCAACACGCTTCTTTGGCGGATATGGTTTCGACCGCCTCTCTTTTCTTCACAAATGGGGAGGTAGGATCATCTGGCTCTTTGCTACCGCTCACCTCGTGACCTGGTGCATCCAGCTCAACAAGGACACCCGTATCGGCGAGCCGGTCTGGTCCTTTGTCTTTATGTGGACCAAGTTCCGCTGGGGTTGGGTCTCCTATGCCTTCCTCACTGCCATGATAGTCCTCTCAATAGCTCCAATCCGCAATCGCTTCTATGAATCCTTCTACATCGCACACCTCGTCACCGTGGCAGGCTTCATCATCACCGCCATGCTCCACCACCCTCCACTAGCGCAGTGGATGTACATTCCTTTGGCCTGGTGGATCGCAGAGCGTCTCACGAGAGCACTCAAGGTAGCATGGATCAACGGTCTTGGATTTGCAGGCCGTAAGCCGCAGTTTGCATTGGCGCCAAAGCCTCCCATGCCTCATTTTTCACAATCGGCAACCTCGTCCCACCACCCTGGTCCTCACCGTTTCCAGCAGCGACATCCACCTCCATCTCACCATCATCCGCGTAACAACTACCACAGCCATGGCTACAGCAATCACTACCCACAGAATCCTTACGCCACACGCCCTCCCACCGCCAACGATGGCTCAACTCGCGGTACAAGGACTGTTACCAGCTCCTCCTCATCTCACAAACCTGCGCTTCAATCACGTCTTAGCTCCGAGTACGAACACACTTTAGTCGGCTCGATGCCAGACAGCGACAGTCGCAAAGTTTACAGCCCGCCTTTCAACCCAGGTCCAGATGACCCCTTGATGACGGCTGGAGCGCATCCGTTGGAAGTGCCTGAGGAACAAAGTTTGGATACCAAGGAGAGTACACTTGAAAGGAGAGCTACACGTGTCAGTGCTCGATATGACCCCGTCAACGACCTGATACAGGACTACATCCCATCCCAACACACCAATGTTGATGTCTATCCGCCACCGCCGCTTGAGCCATTGCCGCCTCTTCCAATCCAGTTTGCCAACCAAAGCAATGGTGATGTCAAGTATTCGCTGCAGGACCCTTCCGAGTCGACACGGTCTCCACCACATACCGGCCAGCTGCATCCGCCATATCGATCCGGCAGGCTACAGAGCGATTCATCAGCTATGTCAGCAAGGCCCTCCACCATGTTCAGCGTCGTTTCGAGTGCTTTTCCACGTCAGCTCAAGCCACGGCCTGCCATGTCGGCCGATGTCGCAGCTGTGATCCGACCTGGCTTTGCTTTCGTTCAGCTTTTGCCTGGCAAGACACTGCGTCTCACACTGCGAACACCCAACAAAATGTCTTGGAAACCCGGTCAGTGGGTCTATCTCAACATTCCCAGCGTACGCTTCTGGGAGTCGCATCCTTTCACCATTGCATCTGCCCATGACGCCGATTTCCCAGTCGCGACAGAATTTGTCGACACCGATGCAGAGAAGGGACTGACCCACGCACAGAAGGCCAAGGGCGAAGAGCGCACCATGGTCTTGCTGGTAAGATGCCGGCACGGCTTCACTCGCCACCTCTGCAACTTTGTGGCCAAGAAGCGACAGATGCAGATCCAAGCTGCTGCCGACGCTCAGCATGGCTCAGGTATGTATGGAATGCCCGGCACCATGGCGGTGCCGGCTCTCGGTAAAGACACTACCGGTGTGCATCTCCGTGCCATCGTTGATGGCCCGTACGGCTCAGCGGATCGAACGCACTGGGACATTCACTCGACGGTGGTCATCATCTGCGGTGGCTCAGGCGTCAGCTTCGGCATGTCTGTGCTCGAGCACCTCTGCGCATGCATGGTAGGCGCGATCAAGTTTGGCAAAAACGGCAAGGGTGGCAAGAACTTTTTGACAAAGCGAGTTCGTTTCGTCTGGATCATGCGCGAGTTCTCACATCTACAGTGGGTCGCTGCTGCGCTCAGAAGATGCATCGAGATGGTGCCGCCCGAGCATTTGCAGGTAGATCTGTACGTGACGCATTTCAACCACCGGTCGGCACTTCCTGGTGGCCCTAGGAATGGGTTCAGTGGAGGACCAAGTCAAGACTATGGACCTCACAAGTCAGGATTCAGCGAAGGTGCCAGCTACGACAGCCGGCCGGGTTGGGATCAGGGAACATTCACGAGCTCGGATGCCACCTACTCGCGCGCTGCCCGTTTCACTGAGGGGCCTGAGCAGGAAGAGTACGACATCACAGCATACGATCTCACCCACTTCGACGGCGAAGATCAAAGCGCGCCGACAGCTTTGGAAGAGGAGATGAACAAGCGCATCCGCTCTGAAGGCAAACTGCGACGTGCAAAGACGCGACGCAACACGGTCAAACGTAAGGGAGGGCGAGGAGGCAAGCCAGTCAACGCCGACTTGGATCACGATGAACAGGTGGTCGAAGCCCAGCGAGCCATGTATGAAGAGCGTCACGGCCTCAGACCACAGCAGCCCTACGACCCGGAGCGTCGTCCTTCCGACGGACCTCCATTTGCCAGTACAGTCGCAACCCCACGCGGTCCAGAAGCTCTCGGTCCTTCGCGTGCGCGCTACGCTGCCGAGCATGATCTTGGCGATGCTAGGGGCAGACTGCACGGCGGCGATGGATTCGAGGAAGCGGCCTGGACGGCAGAGCACAGAGCTCGACCCGATCGCCCGGCAATGGCAGGCGACAGAGATCGAAACCCGTACTCTCCACCACATTCAGCAAGCCAGCTGTTGCCCTATGGCAACACCGAGTCAAGTCTCGGACCTCTGGCTGCGTACGTATCGCCCAGCCCGTCGCGCCCTGGATCGTCACACAACGAACTCGCTCCACTTCCGCCCTTTGGCGCCGCGTCTGGAGCTACCACGCCTCACCTGACACCATCCCCTCTGGCGACTCCGTATGGCGGCGGCGAGTACGACCGTGGCAGCGTTCGGTACAGCTCCTCTCGCTCCAACTTGCTGCACCCTGACGATCCTGAAGCTATGCGTCGCCCCATGACACCGCGAAGTGGTGGCGCTGGCTCATCCACTCTCAACCTTATGAACACGGCCGTGCCATCCGCTTCTTCGCCAAAGTCACCGCTCGAGGATGCACCCATCGACCTGGACGCAGAGGAGGACCTCGATCTGCGTGTCCTAGCCGAACTCGCCCAGCCGGGCCACCCTAAGCTTGACCGCATCATTCGACAGGAAGTCGAGTCGAGCCAAGGTCGAACGCTTGTGGCTGGCTGTGGTCCCAAATCGCTCGACATCGTGCTCAGGAGCATTGTCAGCAAGCAGATCGATCCCAAGAAGGTACGCAGTGGTGATACCAGAGGCGTTGTCAATGTCGTCAGCGAGTGTTTCGAATGGGGTGGATAGACTCGATTTCTCGCTTTGGTTTTGTATTCCTAGGACACACGTTGACACTTTATCTTTGGACAATACACATGGCTGCTTACAGCAAGCCATTTGCAAGGGAATGAGAGGCGATCTTTGATGGAAAGCTGGTGTTTGTCAATGTTTCACATAACAAAATCGGTGAAAGTGCGGAGAAGCGTGTTGAGTGTCGAACCGAAGAAGAGCGCGATGATGGTGCTGGTGAAGATGATGTTGGTGTAGACGAAAGAGAAGTCTGGGGTAGCCAACTCGACAAGACGTGGCAAGGTATAGATGCGCGATTGGGATTTGGAAATTGCTCTTGCTTTAGCTTTTGCATTTCGCAACGCTGCTGCTGCTGGTGGTGGTGGTGGTGGTGGTGGTGGTGGTGGTGCTTGCTCTGTCTCTCGTTGTTTGATCTGTGCTTCGCCAGCGATGTAGTTCTTGATCGCATCGAGCCATGAGTTGGTCCTTGGTGGATTGACAACGATGCGTTTGGACGAACCAGAAGCTTGCCTATGCTGTGCAAGGAGGATCGCTTCTCTTGGATCCACTGGCGCCAGAGGGAAGACGATGGCAGAATTGAGATCGAAGCCTCTGTGTGCATCTGGTGGATGCTGCGAATAAGGGACGAATTGCTTCCTTAACTCCATCCTCAGCACCACTTTACTCTGAGCTGGCATGCGGATCACGCCTTCCAGAACGAATGGCTTCCTTTCTCCTCTCTTGCCTGTGGCGGGCTGGTACGTGAGCTCCTCGATGGGAGACTCCAAATCAGCGACTGAACGTAGAAGCTCGGCATCCTCTGTCGTGTTGGAGGTGGATTCAAGGAACTGCGTCTCATGCTTGAGGGTGTGGAGATATGGTCTGACAAAGTAGCCGAGCGTCTCGTACCACAGTACTCGCTGAGCGAGGCGTGGATTGGAGTTGGTCAAGACGACCTGGAGAGTCGCCCTCTGCTGGCCAGCCCCGACAAGTGCGCGCTCGACACCCACTACTTGGCCTGTCTCACTACTGAGTGGCGTAGAAGCGGGATAAGCAAAGCGCGTTTCGTTTGGCCATCGCATACTGATGTCCACTGCTTTCCCTGGACGGGAAGAGAGGTCATAGAGATACTCTCCATCTTCGTTCTCCAAATAGTGTGCCCATCGCTGCTTGAGCCTTTCGTCGTACTCCTGCTGCTCCTGCTCAGTTTCGTATGCAAGTAGGCCGGCGGATGCAAGCTCGTCGGTGACCTCATCCTCCTCTCCTAGGACAGGGAGGTATGCCGCCTTTCCCTTGGCTCCGCCACAGTCCTTGGCACCCGGCACAAAGCAAGCTGGAAACGACGGCAAGGGCTCCACCACATACCCTGTTCCGGAGGGCTTGAGGACTCTGATCACCGATTCATCAGATAAGGGGCAAGTCGACTCGAGCTTGCGACCGAACAACGAGGAAAGAGACCAGTCGCGGACGCTGATGTCCCTCGTCACTGCAGGCGAGAAGACCGCAGTGAATGTCAAAGCGACTTTCCAGCCCTGCTGTGTGCTATCATTCTGAATATTTGTGGTCGTAGGTGCGGGAGGTTGGCGCTCAACATGCACAGCGAGGCCATGAAAGTCAGCACTGAAGAGTGATAGCGGATTGAGTAGCGTGGCGAGACCAGCGGCACCTTTGCAAGGAAGTAGTTTGAGGAAAGGTGTGAGGTTCTCGGTGCACACGTTTTCGGTCGGGACCAGGGCATGTATGGTCTGGGAGGTCTTGTTGCTAGCTGCAGCATTCTGAGAGGAGTAGGCGTAGTGAGGCTGAACTGTCTGTCGCTCGTCGATGGCGTCTAAGGAGGCACAGAACAGGCCGGCAAGCGCGCTTGTCAGACCTTTCCAGCCTTTCCGCACCTCTTCGTCCTTGACTCCCTCGTCGAAAATCGCCCATAACTCTGCACCGGGCCCTACACTCTCCTCACCCACCTTGACCCGCTTCTCTCCGCCCCTCGACGATCCCGGCTGCTGAGACTGAAGGTCATAGCTGTTCCTGTTCTTGAGGGTTGTGACGGGTGAGCCCCACGAGCTGTATCTCCACCTCCCCGAGTTCAATGAGAGGTGGACTTCGGAAACACCAAAGTTCTGTATCGGCTGCAGCAATGTGCGAGGAAGTAGTCGGAAGTTGGAAGGTGATGAAGAAGCTGAGCAGAGCGCGAAGGTGAAAGATGAAAGTATGCGGCCGTCAGGCAAAGGTTTGAGTAGGAGCGTCTCGGTGAGCGATTCTGCTGGGTTGAAGGGAGAAGAAGACGATGAAGGATCGGAAATGACAGTGCCGTCCCGACAGGATGCAGCAGCGACGACGGCGGCAGGTGCTGCGGCGAGGATCAACACCGAAAGGAGCGAGAGGGTGCGGAGGAGAGCGCGCTTCTTGTTGCGACCGTTCCGGGAGACGCTCGTCGGAGGGCGAGTGGCACCAGCTGCAGAGCCTTGTGTTGCTGATAGTCCAACCATCATCGCCAGCACTAATGATCTGCACTCTTGCTGTCGATGAGCGGAGGTATACGAGAGTGTGATGGTAGAGGTCAAAGAGCAGGAAGAAGAACGCTGAAACAAAGATGGCACTGTGCGTTCCGCAGAACAACACTTTTCAGAAAAAGCCTTCACTCTGTTCGGAGAATTAAGATCTAACATATTGGGGGGAAAAGCTTCACTTTGTTCGGAAAATTAGGGTCTAACAGGTCAGAAAACATCGAACTTTTTTGAGTCGGTTTCGTTGGAAAAGTGCGGGTTCAGGGTCTTCTTCTCCGAAACGTGTCCTATGGAACCTTCTCATATCACACACGACACTCGGCCCTCGCTCTTCCTCTCCTACTCACTTCCACCATCCTATCTTTCGATCTCAGACGCAATCATGGGCAACGGAGCAAAGTAAGTTGCAACATCGACACTTGAACAATCTGCATCGCTACATTCAATTCTGACTCCCTCGTTGGGTCCACCCTCTCGGCTTCTTCGATTTGATTGTACTACAGGGCACAGCAGAAGCGCGAGCGCAACGCCAAGGCGGCAGGCGGCGAAGCCAAGTCGCAGAAGAAGGTCAACGAAGCAGCCAAGAACGTCATGTGTATGACTTGCCGTCAAACCTTCCTTCTCACCGTCCGCGAGCCCGCCTTGCAACAGCACGCCTCGGATCGTCACAACAAGGTGTGTATCCGTTACATTCCTTCGACTGGAAGCTAGAGATCCTGGAAGGAAAGACGATTGCTAACGTTGTTACTTTGCTGGTCCATGATGCGGAACAGACTCTGGCGGAATGCTTCCCTACTTTCGGCAAGTAAGGGCGAAAATCAGTCCAACCTCGGCCGCATACTTGTACTTTTCATTGCATGCTTGCTCCGCTCCTAGGGGCAATAATACCCCTACTTTTGCCACTTTGACGACTTTGCTCTCGCCCGGACTCTTCAAACACACTTCTTCCTAACACTCTGTAACGCGACTTGTTGAGCAGCAGCATCACCCAAGGCCACACACTCAGACGCTCAGCAACTCTGACATGGAAAAGAAAGTGTCCATTGTTGACGGAGAAGATGTTTTTACAAGCTCAACACATGAGAATATGACCCTCAGGCGATAGCGGCGGGCACTTCGGTATCGCCCAACTTGGCTCCACCACTCTTGACAGCAGGAGAACCAGGCGTGGAGTTGGCATCAATGAGAGGCAGCAAGTCTACTACCCTGGTTCGAGGTGAAACCAGCGACATAGCGCCGATTGCTTTCACCGCACCATCTGCTTCCGCATCGACGTCTCCGTTCTCTGGACCCAGTCCGCGCGCTCGACCCCTCTGACCGACAATGTAGTTGTTTGCGGATCTGTTCTCGACACTGCTCCTTGTTTCCAACTCGACCGACTCCTCGCGTCTGGTGTGTCCGTTGGGACTCCCGAGCCCGTTGGGGCTGCCAACTCCACCCATGCCTGGTGCACCAATCTTGCCGGCAAGGTCGCGGAAGCCGAGGTTTCCAAACGCACTGCGACCCTGCGATTGTGAGTCAAACTGAACGCTGTGCGACTTGCCATCATCAGCAAGCACGGCTGCCTGGACTGCTTTAACGTCTTCGATCGTGGGAAGATCCAATGCCTGCGCCGGAGCCGGTGGGGGTCGTGCAGTGCGACGGCGTGGCGACATGGGTTCCTGAGCCAAGATGGGTGACTGATTGAGGATCGGCAACCCCCAGCCTTCTTCTCGCTGCTTCTGCTTGCGCAACGAGGCTTTAGTCTCTGGTAGCGGGGGTGAGAGCATGCCCGACACGCGACGTGTGCTATTGGTCGGCTTACTGTTAACATCGACACTGTCGTTGCCATCTGCACTTGTGTTAGCTGCCGAGTCGATGGTCATGCTAGTGCTCTCGCTCGGGACACTGGCGTCAGTGGCAGCAATGAGCACCTCGGAGCTGGCGTCGGCAGCAAGCGACGAATCGGCGAGGGGATGCGCAGGGCCGTCCACAGAGACTTGGCCTGTCAACTCCTTGCCTACCATTGCGTTGAGTGGGCGACTCGAACCGCTCCCTTCTGCATCGATAGCCTCGCCGTTGCCATCGAGAGCCTGCAATGTTGGGGGCATACCTGTTTCGTCGCCAAAGACAGAAAGGCGTTGCGCTTGTCTGTCGACCATCATCTGAGGCTGCGGCTGGTTAGGATTGCCCACAGGTTTGCCTGGAGCCAAGCCAACCGACTCCCAGAGACGCACGGATCGATCGGCCCAAGCCTCCAAGACAGGCCAACCCTTGTGCTCGCCCGTGAGACGGAAGGCAGCAGCTCCTTCGCCTGCGCGGTTGGCACTACCCTGACTGGCGCCAGCGCCTCCACCACTAAAGTAGCTTTCGTATCCAATCATGTCCTCCTCATCATCGCTGCCAGCAGTGGGCTCCTCGAGAGTCCAGAATTGACCAGCTTCAAGCTCGTCGGCGAAGGTCTGGAGGAAGCGACCCCATCCGCCGGCACCGTCAGCCTTCCAAGATACGACCTTGGTATCAAAGTCTCTGCCAAAGATGATGACCTGTCCAGGCGATCCTCCGCCTGCTGGGTGCGGGCTGAGATCGATTCCAATGTAGTTGCCTGCGTGATCGGTGATGAGGGGAATCCAGCCGCGACAGGAGTACTCTGCTCGAATCCACTTGTGCGGGCAACTTGCCATAAGATTTCGAACCTGCGGGTTGGCAGCGGTCTCGGGATCCTCATCGACGGAACGCCAGAACTTCCACTCTTGGGCGATCTGGTCGAGGCTGAGGAGAGCAGCACCAAAGAAGAGACCATCCTGGCAAGATTGATTGGACTCGAGCTCCTGTCCGTCGTAGGTGAGATAGGACTCGCGCACGCAGGTAGGAAGAGCATAGCCAATGGTCATTTCGAGCTCGTCGAGCGCCTCTTCGGTGCAAGGCCAGTTGAGCGTGTCGGATATCTCTGGATAATTCTTTCTGCACCATTTGCGGATGCGGTTCCAAGTATGACGGATGGGAGGATAGGCGCTGGTGGGAAGGGAGCCTCCTGCAGAGACATGAACGGCACGAGCTGCTGTGCCAGGAACGAGGGTGGAGGTGGATGCGGTCGGATACATGTTGCTGAACTCGGCTACGGAGCTGGTGGATAGAGGGTTGGAATGCTCATGTGCGTAAGGAGAGGAAGCACGGGCGATACCGGCAGCAGGTGGATACTGGTTGTCGACAGGTGATGTGACACCATTGTTGGTGTAGGCGGGCGAGGCTGGGATGTTGTTACGGCTGCTGTAAGGCATTGCCCAGGCATTGGCATCGAGCGGCTGAGGAGGACGACGACGGGATGAGGAGGAGAGACGAGAGCCGAAAGTGGTGGCTGGACGTGTTGGGGATAATGTGTTCTGATCGGCATTGCCTGCGAAGAAGGAAGAGATTTGGGAGAAGAAGGAAGTTGCTGACATGGCGGGAGTGGGTCGTTGCTGGTGATGTTTTTGTGTGAACGAGGATGGTTTGGAGAGAGTAAGTAGGGTATGTTAGATGCGTTGCGGAGGAGTGGAAGAGCATTACTTACCTGTGCAATCATAAGGGGAAGCTATACCGCTACGTGAAAGGAGTGGGGGCAATGCACAGTGGTGAGCGTGTTGAAGCGAGTGTCAGGACCAAAGTGGTTGGTCTCCTTGGTTCCACTATGCCACTGTTGCCAACTCCAAGATCGGGGAAGGGCGAACAAGCGGGCGAGACCGGACAACGGCGCCTTGGGTAGAGTCGATGAGATCCTCGTTGTGCCAGTCGGCGAGTGATCGAGAGGGCGGTGTAGAGAAAGGGCGCTGGATGCAGAGTATTGAAGAAGTTTTGGATTCGAGCGAGTTTGAGGACTGCGTGAGGAAGCAAGTGAGGGTGTTAATGACGAACAGCAAGCGATGGCAGCGTGGAAACAGCAAGAGAAATCCAGCTCGAACAAGGTCAAAACGCAGGCGAAGCGAGGACACGAGAGAGAGAGAGAAAAGAGCAGCAACCAAACACGCACAGACACACACAGACACACACAGACACACACACAGACACACAACGGCATACAGTCAGTCAAAATTGCGCGCTAGCTGGCCAGCCTTCACATCGTCACTCTTGCGACGGTGAGTATGTGATGATAAAAGTTGAAGTCGTTTGGGTCCCGATACTGGGGATCGGGGATAGTCTAAGTACGATGTCACTACCTTATTGCAGCAGAAACATATACTCGATTGACTAGTGAACCTAGTGCTCTCCGTGAAGTATATATACATGTGACTGGCACTTGCCTAGTGTGGGATTACTACTATCTCATGATCTGTCATGACAACGAGCGGGACAGTGTTGCACCCGATCTCTCCTTAGATTGACTTGAGGGGGTATCAAAGTTTTTGTGTTTTTAAAAACCCGGGTTTTTTCAAGAGCACATTTTTCAAAAAAACGCAAAAGCTTACATAAGCTCTGCAAAGGGAAAAAAAAAAAACCGCACTTTCAAAAACGCAGCTCAGGAGGCACATTTGTGAAAATGCGGTTTTTTTATCACTCCACATCTTCTCTCCTTTCCTCAATCTCGTCACACTTTTGCTCACTCCCTCTTCCTTGTGCTCATTCAACATGACCTCCTCCACTGATGATTCTGGTGACATCTCTGCAGAGTTGTTATGCCAGTCCACTACACCTACAAGCTCTGCAACTCAGACCAAAAGTGTGCCTGTGCTGTCTCAATCTGGTTCTACAAGTGCTCCTGACATCCACACTTCCTGTCCAACTCGAGCCTCTAGATCTGCCACAGGCAAGAAGAACTTGACATGGTTGGGTGCCAATGTTCTTCACCTTGTCACGATCCTCTACAACAATGACTCCTACCAGTGCACTCTGCTGCCATCTCGAGAATCGGCTGAGAGCAATCCAGCCCTCAAACTTTGCAAACATCCCATTTTTTGGGATATCTCCAAGATGATTTTCCCAGGTGCATCTGTCGATCCCAATCACATCAAGTCCAAGCTGAGGTGGCTGCTAGAGACATACTACAGGGAGAAGAAGAAGCTTTCACCCACTGGAGCTGGTACACTGCTGGAGGACATGGATGCATCCAACCTGGTAAGTTTTGGTGATCTTCATTGCTTGCAATAGTATGCTTGGATGCTGATTCATACTTTCAATTTTAAACAGTCCTACGTATCTCGCATTGCCCTGTCAACAAAGTATGCTTGGTTTGAAAGGATGCACAAGATGATGAATGGCTGATTCAATGCTGATCCTGCAGCACTTATCACAACTCCCAGTCTCAACTTCACCAGCGATGATGAGCCTGACATGCCTTCAAATGGCTCAGCTGACATACCCATGGATATTTGTGGCAGCGAGCTGTATGATCACAGCACTCACGGCTGTGGTTTGCCTCCTATTCTTGACTTGATCGAACCCACCAACCCCCCAGCTGCTGTTGCATCCACTTCTGGTGCATCCTTTGCTGGCACTGGTGATGATGACATCTTTAACACACCTTCATCTCCACCTTTGCAGGCTCGACCACCTTCCTCCACTGCTGGCGGTTTGGATGTCTCTGATTCCACCTCTTCTCAATCTTCAGCCCAGCTCTCTCCCAGCACCAAGCACAAGTGAGGTGCCCTTGATCACAAGCGCAACACACTTGCTGAAGCTTTCTATCATTCTTCCATTGATACCCTTCAGATCCACCTGCAGCTTGAACAGGAACACACCAGATGTGAGAAAATACTGGAGGCTGAGTGTACCAAGTGTGAGGAGATGTGCCTGCATCACGAGAGGGAGGAGAAAGAGTGTGATGAACATGTTTGCATGTGTGATCGTGAAATGGTGATGGAGATGGTGTGCCTCCTTGCTTCTCAGGCCAGCGTCAAACAGGATGCTCATCAGAACACCAGCAACAACAACAACATGGACTCTTCATTCAATCTTCCTGTCTTGTAGCATTACATGTACTATCATCCAGTCTCAATGCAAAGTCATTTCTGAGTGTTTTTCTGTAGAGTGCAAGTATGAGGTGAATAAAAATGATGTGCAGCACAGTCACATAATGAGCTCAAAAGCATTTAAACAAAAAATTTCACTCTCACACCTCTTCCATTACTACCACCACTCCACTCTGCAACCTTTTGGCATTGCTCTTGCTGCCATCCCCCCTCTCCATGCTCCCTCTCCAACTCCCTTCCTCTTTCCAGCCATGGTGCACTACAGTGACAAGCAAGTAATTCTCAATGACATTGTCCACACTCTTGAGCTCTCTATACCTGCGGAGGTCATCCAAAACACTGACAGAGTGCAGCACTCTGTCAGGGGTCTCGCGCCTGAAACCCAGGTCGGTCCGTCGAGATACTCGGTGACTATCAAACTGTGTGACAGCTATTGTCTCGGTATCGGTGACTATCAAGTTGTGCAGTGACAGCAGGTGGCGTTCGTTGTATATACTATCGTAGGTTTCGGCTGACCTCTGTGGACACTCCGTTCAGGGGTAGCTCGGCACGATCGATATCAATGTTATGATGACACCAAGGTCTGGTGTGAGTGTTGATGATGATGAGGTTGATGGTGTTGGTGATGGGATTGGTGATGTCGATGATAATGAGGTTGATGGTGTTGGTGATAAGGTTGGTGGCGTCAACACGAGTGTCCAGTGTGTTGACTTGATGCTTGAAGTGATCCCCGGACCGCAGTGGACTACTGCCTTCGGTTCTATCTATATCCGGACCGCTAACCTGCTATGGGCGCCTTCAGACGTCAGGTAGTGGTGATACAACACACACACTACGATGAGGAGCAACCTTGATAGATTGCTGCTATGCTGACTGTAACTAATGAGTACTTGTGTTTCTAAAGTATTGACTAGTTGTATGGTGAGTAGAGTGGATGGGGATCCACTCGACCTATTGATGAGAAAGCATGGTTATATACCTCTTCTCAGCATCGCCAGCGATGCTGCTCCTGCTCTCTCTCCAGAGAGTACCTTCTTCATCGAGTACTGCTCAGGGGCCTCTCCTGCTTGGTACCCCTGTGCCTCTTGAGCTGTGTCGATTCCTTCGACACTGCTCCTCCTCCTCATGACCTGGTGTCGACTCCTTTGACACTGCTCCTCCTCCTTTGATCAGTGACAGTTCCTTTGGCTCTTGTCTCTCGAGCCCCTGAGTGATAACCATCTGCATGCTCCTTGAGCTTGGTCCTCCTCGTGGCTGTGCTTGGCCCTCCTTTGCATGTGAGTCCATAGGAGTCCATGGTCTCCATGGAGACTGCACTATGACCATGCTCTCTACTGGTGTCGACTAGGTCTTCGATACCTGTGCTCCTTCCATATGAACCCATGACCCTCCTGCTTCTTGAGCATCCAGGCCCATGACACACTCCTGCAGCACTGACATTGACAACTTGGACGATGATGGCGACCCAATTCCACTCTCACAACACCTTGTCTGCTTGTACACTTTCATATGCAAGCAAAGGTACACAATCACATGTTGCACTCCTCTTGGCCACACTGATAAGCTTATCCACCTTCTCAACAGGTACAAATCAAGCAATCATAGGATGTATTGTGGACTTGTTCGTATGTTGCCTGAAGCATTCAACAATCTTGCCATCCAACTCCAGCAAACAGAGGCTTTCCGGTGGAACTACAGCAGCTCAGGTGTGATGTCTCTCAACAAAGTGCAAGAGATTCTTTCAGTGGCTCTGTACAGACTTGGCCATTCTGGAAATGGAGGTGGTGAATGTGATGCTGCTTTGCAATGTGGTTGCGGTGTTGGGAGCATTGTTGGATACACCAATTGCACAGTTGCTGGCCTCCTCGAGCTAAACAACAAGGTCATGCAGTTTGCTTCAGAGGGAGAGAGACAACATGCTTCTGCCTGGGTGTGCAATACAACTGGGGTTGAAGAGTGGGGTAAGGGCTGGCTTGTGGTGGATGGCACACACATCCCTCTTGCCTGGAAGCCAGGAGTGCTCAGTCGAGAGCACTTCTGCTACAAAGGCTTCCACAGCATCAATGTAGTGCTGGTGATCCTGCCACACTCACTGCAGATTGTCAAATCAGTTGTTGGACAGCCTGGCAGTGTTCAGGATTCGAAGGTTTGGGCCTCAGGCAGCAACATCCTGAAGAAGCCTTGCCTGTACCTTGATGAAGGTGAGTTCATCTGGGTTGATGGTGGATATGGCCATTCTGCCTTCACAGTTGGACCATTCTCTCACATTGCTGCTGACAAGAGTCAAGACCTTCGACACTTCAACTACATGCTCTCTCAAGTCCGAGTATGAGTTGAACATGCCATTGCATACCTGAAGAACTGCTTCCAGTGCCTTACAGGCTATCATGGTAACATCTACCATTTCAAGGACCACATCACTGCTGCCAAGACAATCCAAGCCTGCATTGTTGCCCACACCTTTGCAAGTCAATATGACTGTCCTGCTGATATTGCTGACCTGCTGTTGCCCTCTTTCTCTGAGGATGAGGTGAGTGAGGTTGTTCAAAGCCTCCAACTTGATGCCAGTGATACACAAGAGCTCAGGAGGACAAGATGCACAAATCAGCAGGAATATGAACTGGATCTTGCCACTGCAACACAAGGAATGTCACAGTATGCAGTGTCAAGACTTCGAAGTTCTGCTGCACATGATCTTCGAGAGGGTTTGTTCCAGGCACTGTTCAGATCCACTGGGCACAATGAGGAAGACACTACTGCATTGTCTTGATGTCATGAGAGGACTACTGTGGACTACATTGCCATGACTCAAAGTGCATCAGCTCAGAGACAGGAGCAAGTCTTGACACAACCATTCTCGATATGACAGGCACTCTCTCTTCTTCTGTTCAATACAATTCTTCTCACCACCATATGAAACATTACATTGAGTGCATTGTGTGAAGAGGAAAGCAAGATATAAGCAAGCAATGGGTAATAGTGACGAGAGTGACAAGTAACATGACCACTGTTAGGTTACACATTTTATCGGCTGTATGATTTCATTGTGTTTTTGGAAACCCGCTTTTCCTTGGGGGGGGTTCAAATTCCCTCCAAAAACGCGCTCTCGAAAAAACCCGCGTTTTTAAAATCGCAAAAACTTTGATACCCCCTTTGGCTTAATCTTCCATTGGATCGGTAATTCAAGCGAATCGGCCCTATCTGATCTTCGATCAGATCGGCCCCGCGTCATTCTTCACCGCCTCGTTGGATTGTCATTTTCAGCATGTGAGTGTGTCAGTGTGACTTGAGGACGTGCGCCAACTGGAAAAAAGAAAAAGAAAAAAAAAAAAAAAGGAAAAACAGGCGAAAAATAGACCAGAAAATAGCCAAATATATATATATATATAAAAGGCACTCGACACGATGTTTGAACTTTGTTCGATCAATGCAATTGCAACATGGTATCATACTTGTAGCCAAACCAGTCCAGCTTAGGCCTGCTGAGCCCCTTTTGCAAGGGATGTGACGCTGTTGGACTACAAGGTTCTTTGGTAGATTGAGGTTCAGCACCTTCTGCAGTTGTCCAGTCTCAACTGCAAATCGATTGTTTCATCACTTGCCTCTCATTCGAAACTCTCTGATTGCGCCCTTCTCCTCTTCACTCTGGCTTGTTCGAGCGACACATACTTGTATGCCTCCACTGCACTCGCCACTAACTCTCAAATGCAGTCTACGAATGCCAGTCAAGATGAAATCCTAAACAGCCGCTGCTTTTGTGTGATGGTGTTACACCTGGATAACACTCTCGTACGAATAGTGACTCTCTCGTGCGAATACTAGTCGCACAAGAATGCTCGACCAATATCTTCTCGCGCAAATACACGTCGCACAGGAAAGTTCGAAACTATCTGCAAATCTTGTTCATACTTCCTTGTCGGTACGGAAGCAAGTACTTAAACTGGCTTCCATCTAGATCTCCTCTTCCTGCAATCCATCTACTTTCACCGTTACAACGCGCATATAGCCTGCGCATGTAACAGATGGTCTGAGTTACAACGTTACAATGACATCACCAAAGGATTTGCTTCAAGACCAACATGGCCTCCATCTTCCAAGCTCCACTGATGTGCACTCTCTCACTCCAAGGTTGGAATTAATCATGTGATCAAACTTCGGATGCCAGCTTAACCTCGAGCGTAGGCCTTGAGTGATTCCAGAGAACCATTCCAAACGTCCTGGTCCCCACTCAAATCAACGCTATCCGCGTATTGCCAGAAGCTATAGTAGCTGAAACCAGTCGGCATCTTTGGGCAAGACAGGACATAGTTAGCTATCCACAGCAAATAGTCGGCGGCAAAAGCACTAGAAGCAACACACTCATTCCACCAGCCCGAACTAGTGTAAATTGTGGGCCATCTACCAGTTGCAGAGTAGTATGTAGAACCAAAATCTTGCAGCCAAGAGATCAACTGGCTCTTTGAAAGGCCATAGCAAGTGGGCTGGCCGCTGACGGACTCCAAGTCCACTACGCCTGGCAACGTTCTACCATCATTAGACCAGCCTCCTCCATTGGCAAGGAAGAACTTAGCTTGAGCGGAACCAGAGGAGGAGTTGGGACGCGCAAAGTGGTAGGCCCCGCGGATCAAACCGGCGCTGGTAGCACCGTTGTACTGAGACGAGAATGTGCAAGACTTGAAAGTGGTACGCTCGGTTGCTTTAATGTAGACAAACTTGCATCCCTTTGAGGCCTCGGTGTTGAAGTTGACGTTAGGCTGGTACGCGCTCACGTCTTGACCTCTAACGCCGGACACTCGTTTGTCGATGGGAGAGGCATCAATCAAGGTAGCAAGGCTAGCCACGGCGGCAAGGATGGTAGTAGTTGCCAACTTGATCTGGTTTGTGCCAGCAGTGGTTAGGGAGCATGATTGTGTGTAGTTGTACTGCTCGAGATTGGGCAAGGGTACTGGTTCAATCAACTGTCGGTTAAAGACACTGTTCACGCTGTAGAAAGAGTCAGGCACACGAAAAGTCTCTTCTCATGAGAGCTTCCCTACTGCAGCATTGTTCCAAAAGGCTTGGTATCGCTGTCTTGATACTTCTTCGAGTCTCAGAAGGTCGGGAGAGGGAATTCGCTTAGAAGGAACACCGGGCAGCCGAGGAGCAAGCTCGTCGCTATCCGACCATCACTCAACCAAAAGCAAGCTCCTTTCTGTTGTTCTGCTTTCGGTAGCCTGAAAAATGGAGAGGTCGTCAACACGAGATACAATCGAGAGCTAAGCCTGTTCTAACAAGATTTGCACAATACTATGTCCACGTTCAGACTGCAATGCGAGGAGGTTTGAGGCAGAATCGACATCGATGTGGCACAACGTGATCGTGCATACCAAAGTCAAGTCCGATCTGACCATTGGCGTTTGTGACAGCTTGCAGCTGCGACTCTTCGAGGTGGACTACTTGCAACGTGCATCTCGCTTAGACCATTGAGCAATCAACAGCCACGCTCACACCATTGAAATGCAAGACTTTCTCATTATGAGCTATCCTTGCCCAGGCAGGTCCCATTCTGGCAGTGGACAGTGGACGAGGAACGGCGTGGGGACCGTAGACGTAAGTATGGAACAAGCCATTCTGAAGGTCGACAAGCTGCTGGGATCGGCGTTTCACCAGCTTCTCAGTCTTGTATATACCACCTTTTCACCTCACAGAGGTTCTACCAGCAACTGAGCTGTCCAATTCCGCCGGGCCAGCCAACGCGGCCGACGAATCCCTGCTCCCGCTTCCACACGGAAGGTCAACATCCGCTCGCTTGGCAACATAGTCTGTCACTCTTCTTCCTCCGCCACGTTACTCCCATCGACTCCCCTGTTCAGTACATACAGTGTGACAATCTTGATCTGTGCTCGCTTGCTTGCTTGGTTTGCAGCTGTGAGAAATGTGTCAAAAGCGAGTTACAACACCGGCTGAACCTAAAAATCGTTGAAAAGTGAAGACGTTTGAGTCCCGATAACTGGCGATCGGGGAGAGTCGAAGTACGATGTCACGGCTGGTTTAGACAGAAACATATATACTCAATTGACTAAGTGAACATGGTGAGAACCTAGTGTTCTCGAGTTAAATATATATACATCTCTGAGGCTGATACCGAGTGTGGATGCTATCTACTTAATGATGATACCTGACAACGAGCGGGACCTTTTGAGGTTGCCTCCGATCCCTGTCGTGATCGTCTCTCCCTAATCTCCGATCAGATCTGCTGTGCCCGATCTCTCTCGCATCGTCTTATGTCTGCTTACATCACCATGTTGGATTGTCTACTTTCAACAAAATTTGCTTTTTTAAGCTCGATTTCGTGTCCGAGTCCCGAACCGACCTCCTCTTCGCACGAACCATCCTTCCGAAGCACGTCCTCCACGTTGCTCGCATAAGAGCCTTCCTCAACGATCACTCTGACAGCGTATAGTCAACTCAGCAACTGGCTTTTCTGCCCTCCTCTGTCCACAATGAGGCACGGATCAGCGATACGGAGGGCGTTTGCCCTTGTCCTCGCCTCGGTCCTCCTCTTGCTCGTGCTCGTTGGTCAGACCAACGCCTACTATGCGGACGATGACTTTGATGACGACGATGCCGCCGAGGCAACCTTGATAAAGCCACCGGAGGCTGTACAGGCACAAGCTCAGGCCGATGCATCGCTACTGTGGGGAAGCTATCGCCCACAGATCTACTTTGGGTTGCGGCCACGCCTTGCTGACTCGCTCCTCACCGGCTTGGCGTGGTTCGGCCTGCAAGATTACTCCGGCTTTCAGCACATTCGCCATCAATGCAGCGATCAAGATGGCATGAAAGGTTTCACATGGAAGTACCACGACGGTCGTGAGTTCGGTATTCAAGAGATCAACGACAATGTCAACAACTACCGTCTCGAGACTAGCTTTCTCAAGGTCGACACCTCGAACAAAAATGGAGGCAGCTGGGGCGCACGCATCTCCGGCACTGTCATGGATCCATCAAAGCCGGCTTCGCTGACCACCTTCTGGTACACCGCCATCGAGAGCCTAGGTAGTGCGCTTGGACTGCAGACCAACTTCGAAGAAGGTAGCGGCATTCCAAGGGACGAGCCCGTCCACTTAGCAGGTTCTGTTACTGGTCTCGGTAACTTTGTTCTGCGAATCGTAGAGCCCGATGCTCAACATGGCAACTCCAACACCAACGGCAATCAATTCGTCACCAACCCAACTGCTGGCGCTGATGCGAAAGCCTACGCCGATACTGTAGGAAAAACTCATGTCTTTGGCAAACACATTCCTGTCGAGTCAGTGTGGAAAGCTAAGGATGTCATCCAGAAGGATCTCATGCTTCAACTGCAGCAAGCAGCACAGACATACGGTCAAGGTAGCATGCCTGTTCCTGCCCTCACCACGCGTCTCTCGGACCAGGTGGCAGCCGAATCCACACTCTTTGCAGTTCAGAAGTCCTTCACTGGCAACTTTACATTCGACGTCTTCTACGACAGTGCTACGACACCCAAGGGTGAGCTTCTCTCCTCAGCTGCTCTCACTCAAGCACTGAAAGCGTCCAAGCAAGCCTACGATCAGCGCTTCGACCGAGCCCTTCGTCTTGCGTCTAAAAACTTCACTTTAGAGCAAGTCGAGTTTGCTCGCGATCTTACCTCGTCCATCACTGGTGGTATCGGCTTCTATTACGGCTCAGCTATCGTCGACCGGTCTTTCCGGCACGAGTATGACGCCGAGTCCGGTTCGGGCGTCTACGATCCCGAAGTACACGGGCAGGCGGATCCACAGCTTACTGAGCCAGAGCAATTGTTCACAGCTACACCATGTCGAAACATCTTCCCTCGCGGCTTCTACTGGGATGAGGGCTTCCACCTTGCTCACATTGGAGCTTGGGACAATGATCTCAGTCTTGACATACTTGGCAGCTGGATCAGGCTCATTGACGACGATGGCTGGGTAGCTCGCGAGCAGATTCTCGGTGACGAGGCAAGATCTCGTGTGCCAGACGGCTTCCAGACGCAGTATCCACAGTACGGCAACCCTCCGACATTGATCCTGGCGGTCAGCGCATACGTCGATCGTCTTGTAGCACGCAACGAGAAGCTCGGTCTCACTGCTGCACCTTTCGCTCAACAGCAAGTCTTGACCGACTTGGATGGTCTCGATGAGGCACCCATTTACGAGAAGATGTTGGCCTCTGCCGCGCTTGGACAGTCTTTCTTGCACGAGATCTACCCCAAGTTGCGTCGCCACTACAGGTGGTTCCGTCGTACTCAGCGAGGCGAGATTCGCGAGTGGGATCGTGATGCTACATCAAAGACAGAGGGCTACAGATGGCGAGGCAGGACCAAGGACCATGTGCTAGCAAGTGGACTGGACGACTACCCACGCGCACCAATCCCGCATACGGGCGAGCTGCATGTGGATCTCCATTCGTGGATGGGCTCGTTCGCCGATACCATGTGCAAGATTGCACGCGTGCTCGGCAAGGAGGAGGACGTCGAAGAGTACGAGAGGCACTACGCAGACATTGTCGCCAACTTGGAGGATCTTCACTGGAGCGAAGAAAAGAAGATGTACTGCGATGCCAGCGTCGACGAACAGGATCAGTCTTACCACGTTTGCCACGCGGGTTACGTTTCCCTTTTCCCCTTCATGTTGGAGCTGCTTCCTCCCGACTCGGCGCACCTTGGCCACGTGTTGAATCTGCTCTCGGATCCAGAGCAGCTCTGGTCTCCATATGGCATTCGAAGTCTCAGTCGCAAAAATGAGTTCTTTGGTCAAGGCGAAAACTACTGGCGTGGTCCTGTTTGGGTTCATATGAGCTATCTCAGCTTGAGAGCGCTCAGAAACAAGTACGCAACCACATCAGGCCCACACCAGAAACAAGCACAGGAGATCTATGACAATTTGAGGAAAAACGTCGTGGACAACACATTCAAAGAGTACAACAAGACAGGCTATGTGTTCGAGCAATACAACCCAACAGATGGTCATGGACAGCGAGGCTATCCGTTCACTGGCTGGTCAAGTACGGTAGCTCTCATGATGGCTGAGATCTTCCCTTGATTCACATTGAATCGCCAGCAAGCATGTTCGAATCAGAAGCATTTTCCTGGTTCAGTCGACATGTGCGAGGCTAGTTAGATAGTGTGATTGGCACAATGATACAAGTACAAGTAAAGATTTTGGTATATGAGAGACGGGAAGCGCGGATGATGGAGAGGCGGATGATGGAGAGGCGGATGATGGAGAGGCAGATGATGGAGAGGCGGATGATGGAGAGGCGGATGATGGAGAGGCAGATGATGGAGAGGCGGATGATGGAGAGGCGGATGATGGAGAGAGGGATGATGGAGAGAGGTCAAAAGACTTCGACCTCGACAGCATATCCGCACTGTGTACACCTCTGAACTGCTTTACCTCTCTCTTCCGCTTCCTGCCACTGATGAAGGTGCTCTTCATCCTTCCTTCTCTGCCAAACGTTGTCTCTCGTTCGCTTTCTGAGATCCACCAAGCCCTGCTGGAACTTTTTACCTCTCTTCCTGGCTTTCTCTTCTTCTCTTCTCTCAAACTCGGCATCCAAGCCAGCTTCTGAGCCCCACTTGCCTGGACCGAAAGCAAACTCTTCCACCTGTTTTCTACAAAAGAGCATCATGTTACTATATGTCGCCTTGTGCGGGTTCGCCTTCAGTAGATGCGGCAGAAGCTCTTCATCCTTCAGCTCTGCATCCGTCAGCAAGTAGTCTTCCTTGACTTCCGTCTTGGTCAACAGCGAATAAATTTCGGGCTTCTCGCGTTCGCATTTGCGACAGACGCAGATACCAAAGACCCGCTTGAAGGGGTGGTCGATGATCTCGGGACTACCGCAGCTCTCGCATGTCGGTCGAGTTTGAAGATCGAGAGAGATACCTGGTTGAGCATAGTCCCGCATACGCTGCTTTTCTCTCTCTTTTTCCTTTCGAAGATCGTCCAACGTCTTCCGTGAAGCGGCGGGATCTTGGTCATCGATCAAGAAACCACCTTTACTGTTGTGAAGTTTGGAAAGGTCAAACTCGATATAGTCTCCCAATGACTTGTCTCGCTGGAGTGGGATCTCTGCCTCGTCGACTTTGCGTGTGCGAGCCACATTGCTTTTGCTGCCAACGACTTTGAGCTGTGCCGGGTCGAGCTGTGCGTTTCGACTGGTCGCGGGGACTGAGCCAAGGTTGGCATTAGGGCCAATGGATGGTACATTCGAGTCGAGCATAGGCTGCCGGGATTGCTGCGAGGCTGAAGAGGATGCTGTAGCAGAGGCACCAGTGCTATTGTTGACGATGGTGCGAGGCTTTCGTGCTCTTGCTTCAAGTCGAAGCCTTGCTCTGGCCCGGAAACGGTTCTCCTGTATGGCCCACGCCCGGTCGGCTGGGTCCATGTTATCGGCCATCATGGCAGCTGACGAGCTTGAAGCTATGGCTGCCATACCCTTCCGTCCTCAGATCATGAGGACAATTGTGGCAGGAAGACGAATGATGCAGTGAATGACGAGGAGGATGGTTGTGAAGAAGCTCGATCAGAATTCGCGGTGTTCTTCCTTGCAAGTGGAGGCTGAGTCGCCGCTCATGAGAGCGATCCCCGACAAGAACAATGTTAGATTTTTGAAACGAACAGCTAGGGAGGAAATCTCTCTCTCTCTCTCTGGTTTCGTAGGTTCGTTCGCGCACGCACTCCCACTCCCACTCCCACTCGACTCCCTTCGTGGCGATCGGAGAGCGCCAACGCAAAGCGAGAAAGGTTGGAGAGTCAAGACTGTCAAAGCTAAGGAGGATAAAGTGAGAGCTTTGACATGTCTATGACAACGTGTGGTAGAAAGACTGATTGTAGGGCTTCAGAGTCGCCACGTCAAGGCTCATCTGTCGAATGCATTCATAAGCGCAGCTGCTGCTGACCGTTTGCAATCGCGCTTTGACGTGGCCCGAGTGCCGTTTTACAACGAGACCTGATTGGCAGAAAGGCGATAGGCGATAGAAAGCACCAAGCTCCAAGCACCAAGCACCAAGCTCCAAGCAGAAAAGGATCAGTTAAAGTTTTCGTGTGATTGATGATGATAATGGTGAGAGGGGGAGAGAGAGAGCGAGGAGAGAGAAGGAGTCTATATATATAAAAGAAGAGCGGCAGAGAGCCGCATCGACTGCGGAGCATAACAAAGCATTTGTCTTGAGTAGGTTGTGACACATGTGGTCCGTGCTCAGATGCTCAAGCCTTTTACTCGGCCGTAAGCACTACCTTCACCGTCTCTACGCTTTGTGTAGCTTTTATCTACTTCAACTGGATCAGCGTCAGCCTCTCTCGGAAAGAGCAACCTTTCCAGCTTCACGACCATCTTCTATCGCTTGGTACATTCATCGATATAACCCCCCGACACTATTGCCTTTGGTTCACGTTCGTGGCTGCTTGACGGTGGTAACGCTTTCTGGAAAGCTTCATCTTGACCGTCCTGCATTCGACGAGGATCGCAGCAAACGACTCTCACTACATTCAAGGAGCCCAACACAACACACTTGTTCTCTTGGAAGGACGAGAGCTAGCCAGCCTTCGACACACAGCATGAGCAGCTCACCACCAATCTCGGACGACAAGCCTGCCTCTTCTGTCGAAGCGTCGTCCACGATCGTTGCTTCTCCTTCTACGGCAGACCAGGATACTAATGCTTCAGCATCTTCATTGCAGTCGCCTTCGACAACACCGCACAAGAAGGGCCATGCGCCTAAGCCTAGTATCGGCATCGCTGCTTCGCTGTTCGGGTCTGGAGGTGACGATGACCCCTTCTCGAGCATTACCGCTTCCAGCACCACGCCTTCACTTTCGCAGCTAGATGAGACGGCGGCAGAAGAGCCAGACCTCTTCCGCTCCTCTGCAGCAGCTGATACACATAGCAACAATGGCACATCCACCGAAACAGCTTCTGCTGACCCTCTCACTTCGATCTTCGGCCTGGAACCAGTCTCATCGCAACCTGCCTCGACAAACGCCAAAGCAGTCAAAGCAGCCATTCAGCCTACCGCCACTACTGGCGAGAGCCTGACAGTGCCATATGGCGACGGAAAGGCGAGCGGTCCCTCCTCAGGCCCAGCCTCTCCCGGTGGTCTCTTTGCCGACACGGGCTATCAAGATGATTGGCTTGCATCAGCAGATGATCAGAGCCAGTCGACTACAGCTGCGCCTACGAATGGAGATGGGCCAGCGACGCAGGAAGCTGTCCCTTTTCGAGCTTCCGATGGCGGTCAACGCTCCTTGTCTTGGCTCTATCAGGAGGATACAAAGCCTTCTATCGCTCCAGAGCCACAATACGACGCTTACGGTCGTCCCATTGCCAGCGAGATCGTGGCATATCAACAGGAGCAATACCATCAGCAGCAGGAGTACGGCTACGATCAACAACAGCAAGGTTATGGCTACGATCAACAGCACCAAGGATACGATTATCAGCAGCAGGGCTATGACTCATCGCAGCAAACATACGACTACCAGCAACAGGGCTATGATCAGAACCGTTACGCGCAGCAAGGCTACGACCAAGGAGCATATGGTCTGCAAACTTCTGCTCAGCAGGACTACACTCATCAGGGCTACGACAATCAACAAGACTACGCTCAGCCCGATTCAGCTCAACAAGCGTACGATCCTTCCAGCTACGATCGGCAGTCGTATTCCAACTACGCTCCTGCCGACCCCTATGCTCCTGCCTCGTCTGCCTACGTCAACGATGCTGCTACACAGAGCTACGACCCGAGTGCATATGCTTCTGATCCCAACTACCAAGCAGACGCACAATACGGTTCAGCCGGCGCACAGTACGGCACCACCGAGGACCCTTCGTCCAGCTACGCACGTTATGCTCAAAACTCAGGCTACAGTTACGATGCCCCGCCGCCTGCTCTTCCTGCGTTTGATGCTCAGTTAGATCAAACTCAGGGCTCGCAAGATCCCTATGCATCCTACTCAGCATACGGCAGTCAAGACCACGCACCCGACCTCACGGCCGAGCACCAACATCAACCGCAATCGCAGAACACTGATCCTTCCGCGCAGCAGCAAGATCCTGCATACGATCCTAATGCTCCTCAGCAACAACAGCAACAGCAGCAACAGCAGCAGCAGCAGCAGTGGACCGATGAGAGCTACGTATACGGCTCTCAGCCATCACAATCACAAACGTCCGGATACGATAGCTACGGTGCAGCCAGCGATCCTAGCGGTCAGGCATCCGCACGTGCTGCTAGCCCATGCGATCCACCTGGAGCCGCTCCTCCCTCGTCTACGAGCGCTTCCTCCAACAACGTATACGCTCTTTCTCCAACGAACTCATCACAGAGCGCTGCCTTGCCGCCACCTCCCAAAGGTCCGCCCAAGGGACCTCCCAGGGGGCCCTCTCGCGGCACTTCGCGCACTGCCTCTCGCAACGCTCACAGTGCTACCGGCTCGTCTTCGTCTCCGGCTTTTGACTCTTCGACACCGCCAAGGTGTCACTCCGCTGCCGTCTCACTAGAGCAGGAAAGTCAGGATGTGCCTTCGCCTGCCTGGCCGAATCAAGCCGAGACTCCTCAAAAGCGGTCAGAATACCAGACCGGCGCCACTGACACGCCGCCTACCACGTACAAGCGTCCTGCTTCTTCGTGGGTCGACTCGCTCGAGCAAGCCGCTGCTACGCCTCCTGCTTCCAATGGTGATGACGGTCCGCTTCCCACCCTCACTGTCACTGACGAGTTTGACAACAATGGCTACGATGGCAAAGTTGGTGAGGATGCATACGGCCAAGAGGCTCGTCACGGTGCTGTTAATGATGCTGCCAACGCTTTCGATCGTCTCAATCTCGATTCCAACCAGCATGTCAACGCGGGCGCGGGTACTGGCTACGACTACGAAGGCGGCTACGCTGATGAGGATGGCTTCACACGCGATGCAGACGATGCTACTCCCAAAACTCAGCCTCATTCAAACACTCCTGCACAGAACGGCTCTGGCTGGAACGAATACAGCGAGGAGGGCGAACAGACGACTTCGACTGCCACAACCTACGACCCTTATGCTTCTTACAGCTTGCAGCAGCCGCAAACCGGCTCAGACGAGCCAAAACAGACCGAAGACTCTTACAGTGCTCATGCGTATGGCTCAGAGCAGGATGCGAATGGCTATGGCTATGCTCCTCGCTCTGATCTAAACGGAGCTGCCGACGATGGTCAACACGCTTATACGCCGAGCGCGAAGGGCGAGGAAGACGCTGAGGCTAGGACGCCCTTGGCCTCTCATGGCGAGCAAGGCAGCTGGCTCGGTTCCAGTTCGTCAGCCTACGGAAACGACGCAGCACCCGACCCGTACAGCCCAGCAGCTGTCGGCAACAATGTCTACGCGCCACCCTCAAACGCCACTGCTGATCCTTACTCAAGCTACAATCCGTATGGTCCCGCTTCTGCCAACGACCAAGCTTCTGATCCGTATGCTGCCGACGACACCCATGGCCGGGCGTCCCAAAGCCTTGCTCCCAGCACGGACGACACAAATGCAAGATACGGACAGGCTTCAGAACAACGCGATGAGGCTGATGTTTTCGATCATGGCAACCGTGTTGGTTCGCCTCAGCAGTACGGCCTCAACAGCCCATACGGTATGCCACCGTCGCCTTATGCGCCACCCGATCAGTACGCTTCTCGCACTGCTGGTGCTGGCGAAGGCCCTCACAGCGCCGCCAACGACTCACCGTCGCAGGCGGCTTCGGAGGCGTCGGCCGACATGCTTCAGACAATGCGCAATGCCACTATCCCAGTTGCCAGCTTCGGCATTGGTGGCAAGCTCGTCAGCTACTTCCCTATCTCCCGCGGCTCTTCTGGTGCTGACGGCACAGACGCAGCGGGCAGCTCAGGAAATGTCTACGGATCGTACTCGTACAATGCTTCTAGCTACCCGACCAGAGTCAACATCCAGGCGCTCTCGTCGCACGTCCCATCGTCCGCCTACGCATCTGCTTTCGATCCGTTCACCTTCCCTGGTCCTGTCTTTGAAGGTGCCGCTGGCACCAACGCACTCTCCCGAGCTACAGGTGCAGCCTCGGCGAACAAGAGCAAGAAGGCAGCGCTCATCAAGCATCTTGACGAGCGCGTACAGGAGCTTTCTGCTGGTCTAGGCTATCTCCGACGACGCCCATCCTTCTCCGCCCTAGCTGCAGGCTCCCAGCAAGGCGCTCCGGAACAGGGCAGTGAGCTTGACGCACGTCGAACCGAAGACAAAGTATTGCTGCTGCGTCTGCTCAAGTTTCTTGTCGAGAACGACGGCCAGACAAGCTCGACCGCGTTTGAGCAGGGTGTCCGATCGTTGATCGTTGGTCCTGATGCTCAAGAATCTACTGCGGCCGGTGGATTTGCTATGTCCGTCAGCTCGACTGCACAAAGCGACCAAGCAGAGGGTACCGTCATCACCTCGCACGAGCTGCGTAGCGACTTCTTGCAAAAGGTGCAAACCATGCTGCTGCGAGGTGAGCGCCGCCAGGCTGTCGAATACGCTGTGGCCCAAAAGATGTGGGCTCATGCCATGACGATTGCCAGCTGTGTCGATAAGGAATGCTGGAAGGAGGTCGTCAGTGAGTTTATCGAGCAGGAAGTCGTTGCCGCTGAGGCTTCCCTGAGCAGTCAAGGTCAGGGCGATCTCCAAGGCCTCAAGGTTGCTTACAACGTCTTCTCGGGTCAAGACCCCGTGTCGATCTTTGATCTCTTCCGGACCAAGACACAGCTCGGACAGGTTGGCGGCTTGCAGCCGGCTCCTACTGAGGCAACGACTGTTTCGACAGCGCTGCCTAGCTGGAAGGAGTCTGCGGCAATCGTTGCAAGTAACCGTAGCCCAAGCGACTCTGCAGCTCTGACAGCCATCGGTGATGGCCTGTGTACACGTGGCTTGCTTGAAGCTGCACACTTCTGCTACCTGCTTTCGCCTTCGACCTCGCCTATCGGTGGTGCAGACACGACCGGCGTTCGCTTCACCTTGCTTGGTCTCGCCAATCCTAAGGGCTCGACCACGTTCCTGCAGGACCTGGACGGCATTCTCATGACCGAGGTGCTTGAGTTCGCCCAAGGGCTCGTGCCAGCCGCCAAGGGTCAAGAAGCTTTTGCAGGCATCCCGCATTTGCAAGCCTACAAGCTCGTCCACGCACAGCAGCTGGCCGACCTCGGCGAGACAGCCAAAGCGCAGCGATATTGCGAAGCCATTGCACAGTGTCTCAAGCAGATCAAGCACTCGCCATACTTGCACTCGACGCTGCTGTCCCAGTCAAAGCAACTCTCGGACCGACTTGTGGGCGCACCACACGCAGGACCTGGCGGCAACTGGGTGACGCGCAAGATGCAGCGTCCCACGCTCGATGGTGTTTGGGGCGCTCTCGAAGGCCGCTTTACCAAGTTCATCGCTGGTGAGGAAGGAGGCATCGAGGCAGACTTGCCCAACAAGAACAGCAAGGGCTCGGTCTCTTCGAGTGTTGGTCCCTTCTCGCACTATAGCGCCATCACACCAGATGCAGCTTCGGGAGGCATGACAAGGCAACAGTCGTACAGCGAGCTGCGTACGGGATCACCGAGCGTTCCAACCTCCCGCTCTGGCTCTGCTATGGACTTCCGCAATGTTACAAAGCCGGCTGCATCGCCGAAGCATCGCGCGTCCTCAGCACTGTCGATGCGACCGCTCGCCTCGGGCCCATATGAAAATTGGCTGCCGCAAAGAGGGTCGACCAACGGCAACGGCCACGAAGCAGTCAGCAACTACGAGCGCGATAGTGTGCGCTCTAGCTCGGAGGCGCCAGCGAACGCTTACGGCTACGGTGCCAGCCTGCAGGGCGGTCCAGGTCAAGGCTACGGTGTTGGACACGACACGCAGACGTCCGAGTTCTCGACGGCATCCTCGACCTACGGTGGACAGGCTGAGACGAGTTTTACCTCTGACACTGCACCATGGCACGGCAATGCTAGCGGTCAAAGTGGACGTGATGCTGAGAGCTCTGGTCGTCCAAGCACGGATGCCAACGGACCCCGTGCTGGCTCCGAAGCTGGCTATGGCGGATATGGAGACTACGGAGGCTATGGCGGCTATGGCGGCTATGGCGGATACGGCTCATATGGTGAGCACGGACAGGGAGACGAGGCTGGCGGCGAGGAGCAAGGCGACACGAGCGGCTATTCGGCTACTGGTCAAGCTCCGTTCTACGGCTACGATCCTCACGGAGCCCAGAAGCCGCAGTTCGTCAGCAATGTCGCTCCTGAAGGTGCTCTTGAGATTGGAGAGGAAGGCGGCTTCGTGTCGCCATTCGATGCGCTCTCGTCGAACAGCCGCACGCCTCAGCCCTCATCTCAAGGCAACCAATACGCGTCTTCGTACGGGCGGAACGACGCAGAGGATGACATGGATGAGGAAGACGACGATCTTGGATTGGGAAATGCGAGCAGCCGTCGCAAGGCGAGCAACGCCGGTGGCCCGGGTGCAGGGAGCTCGGAAGCGGGTGATGCATCACGCCGTGACAGCACGACCAGCTCTGCTGCTGGTCCGAGCAGACAGAGCGATGCAGGCAGCAAGAAGGACGATGCGGGAAGCAGCGGCGGGGGCAACGATGATGACAAGAAGCCGGAGCTCAAGCCATCTGCATCTTGGTTTGGCCGTCTGTGGGGTCGCAGCTCTTCGACCGACAGTGCTGGGCAGCAAGCCAAGGCTAAAGCTAAGAAGGCGCATCTTGGTGAAGAAACGAGCTTTGTCTATGACAAGGAGCTCAAGCGATGGGTCAACAAGAAAGCCGGCGACAGCGGTAGTGTGGCTAGTACGCCTCCGCCCCCACCACCTCCCGCAAGAGCCCAGTCTGCCAGCCCAGCATCGGTTGACCGTAGCGCTGGAGCATCGAGTGCGCCGCCGATGCGAGGCCCGCCCATGGCCGGCTTCACAATGGGTCGAGCCACACTTCCTATCAGTGAGGGAAGCTCTGGACTGGCACCTAACCGAGGACCTCCCGGTCTGAGGGGTTTGACGAGGGCAAGGAGCAACCTGGCAGATCACTCTATGCCGCCTGCTGCTCAGCCTCCAATGAGTGGCAGAGCATCGGGTACATCGACGCCTGCAGGTGTGGGATCGCCGCCCCCTCCTGGAGGCTCTAGGACGGGTACAGTCAAGAAGAGGCCCATCAAGAGTCGATACGTTGTGGTCGACTAAAGCGACACCAGCAGTGTTCAACACTGTGCACATTATATGATAGCTCGATAGGAATTCCAATGCCTTTGTGATAGGAGATCGTCTGCGATTGAGGTCAAGACAATTTGACAGCTCTAAAGCGAAGGTGTGGATCGGGTGATACGACTAGATCGGTCAGATGTTAGCAGCCAAAATCGGGGTCCTATATTTCTCCACACGGCACTGTCCAGAGCGGAGCAACACGGCCGAAAAAAGAGCAGGCAGGATCGCAGTCTGGGGAATGAACTGTATGCACGCCTGCAGTCACCAAAAATCGGATTGTGCTGTGTGTTGCCGATCCGACACAGCACAGTGCGATAAAGGACAGATAGGTTGTCGAAGCCTTGTGACCATCACCACCATCATCATCACCGCATCAAGCAGCGCATTATTCTGGCGGACGCCCGCTGATATCCACGCTCCGTACTTGCATACACGGCCAAGCTGCGAAGTGCAACCTTGGCTATTGTGACACTATCTCCACGACCGGTTCTGTTCGTCAACATTCTTATCTACACCTCTGCACGAAGAACTTCCGACTGGACATCTGTAGCACCACAACATAGTCGCAATCCACGATGGAGGCCGTACAAAAAACGCTCGAGCAGCTAGCAAAGCGCGCACCCGGTCTGCACCCCAGCTCGACCTCCGCCAAAGCAGCTGCTGTCACACCCACCGTCCACGACTCGATCGACCAGCTGATCACACGCATTGAAGCGGCCAAAGCCGCCATCTCTTCGACTTCCGATGCCGCCTCATCATCATCTCAGCTCAGTCCAGGGGTCGTCCTTGCCGAGCTCAAAGCTTCAGTCGAGAGCACCCAAAAGACCATCCTTGATCGACAAAAGGAATTCCACGCTGCTCTTTCCAAATCCACAAAGGCACTCGACAAGAAGTTTCCGATCCCCATCGATGGCATCGCTGATCCATCACTGTTCTCTTCACCGGAAGCACAGACTGCACTGGAGCGAGTTATTCTGAATCACCTGCAGAGGCATGGAGACTGGTCGACAAGCTACAAGTTTGCAGCTGAAGCAGGGCTCGATCTATCACCAGAAAGCGAGGCCCTGTATGCAGAGCTGCACAATGTAGTAGCTGCGATGGGTCGAGGAGATCTACGACCAGCTATTGCATGGGCACAAGTGCAAAGGTCATGGTTGGAGGCAAGAAAGAGCCCACTCGAGTTCGCGCTGCACAGGAGTCAATTCATACGCATTGCTGCTGGTGCGATCTTACCGGGTGGCCCGGAGGATGCTGCTACTGCTAATCGAGATCCAGATGGCGAGAATGTCGAGATAATGAGCGCATCCATCGATCAGCTTGCACCCGTTTCTACCGTCACAGCAGCTGCAACAAGTACCGATCCCGCTGGCATGCCTCTGCCACGAACCAATGTCGAACGAGCTCTCGCTTACGGTCGAGAACACTTCAAGCCTTTCCGCAGCACATATCTTGGCGAGATCCAACGTCTTTTTACGCTGCTTGCCTTCTTGCCCGCCTTTCTCCCTGCTCCTGCCTACGGTCCGGAAGGCCTCGACTCGGTTCCTGTCGAACACCTCATTCCAACAGTCCCGCTCGTCTATCGTCCACTACTAGATGCAAATCTGGTCCATGCACCGCTGCTGGAGCCACTGTTCAAGCTCGAGTTCTGCGCGCGCAACCGCATCGCGAAGGACGCACCTCTTGCCATCGGTGTGGAAGTTGGAGCTGGTGGAGCGCTCAACAAGATCATCAAGGTCAAAGCGGTAATGAAAGAGAGGGGCAACGAGTGGAGCCAGGCCGATGAGCTGCCAGTAAGTACAGAACGTCGGAGCTTACAGTCAGAGAAGAGACATGGTACTGACCTGACAAGCCTTGTATTGTATTGAACAACAGATCGAGATCCCACTCCCGACCAAGCTCCGTTTCCACTCGATATTTGCTTGTCCTGTATCCAAGGAGCAGGGAACGGAAGAGAATCCGCCGATGATGTTGGCCTGTGGACACGTGCTGTGTCTGGAGACGCTCAATCGTCTTGCCAAAGGGAAAGGGTATGTATCAAGCGATTCGAAGCTCTGATGCAACCGCGCATGATGCTGAAGACGACCAACACTGACTCACTTAACTTTGCTTTTGCTTAAACAGGCGATTTAAGTGTCCTTACTGTCCCACCGAAAGCTACCTCAATCAGGCGATCAGAGTCTACTTCTGAAGACAAAGAACAACGCCAGCCCTCATTCCCGACCTCATTTGCTACAACTTCGTCATCACGCAACTTCCCTCTTGTCGAATCTCCTCTACTTTGTCTCGTGTATTTGTAACTATCTGTCCTTGCTCTTCCTATCTTTCTCGGTCGCACTTCGCATACAGTTTCGTTCAATCCAACCCTTACCTCACTTCCGTCTGACTGCTCAGCTTGCAAGCTCCGTTGAAGGGCGGAACCCGCTTGAGAAAGGTCCAAAAAGAAGGGGAAGAAAAAGAGAACTGCAGCACCTAGGATTCCCGCGTGGTCCCCCACCGCAGTACTGACTAGGCGATACCTTGCTTAACTTCGCAGATCGGACGGGATGCGGTGCTTTCAAGGTTCTATGGCCGCAGATACAAGCATATCAAACTCGATGCATTATGACTCAAGAACTCTGGTTCAAGTGTGTATCAAGAGGTTTGAGTCAATCGAGTTGGACCCTGGGGGGCGTACGAGCGAGAGTTGAAGATATGTCGGTATTTTAAAAAGGATGCATGGGTTACAAGCAAGGCACCGAAACACTGAATGCCTGCATAAGCAAAAAAACACAATGAAGGGTTGTCATAGCAATGGCTCAGGGGTACCTCATAATGTAGCAACATATGGCTATGAAAGGAGTGACACATTCTGTCTCAGATATGACCAGAGTGGCAATAGGATATATATATGCACTTGTCATTTAGGTTTGCACTATGAAAACATAAGCATTACAAGAAGCATATGACTGTGGTAAGGGAGCCTGATCATGGCCCCAATAATGGCATATACTAATTTTTATCTTCAATTGATTAAGAGTCTGAGGAAGCTATCACTGAGCTAACCAAAACTCATCAACAACCATGGTAGAAGACACCAAAACCCAGGTCAGTGCCAGCACAAAGACCAAAGGAAGCAGAAAAGGCAAGGCCACCCAGGTATGGGCTGACAATGATGCCACAAACAAGAATGAGCCAGAGGTCATCGACAATGAAGCCAACAAAGACACCAATTCCAACTCTGATTTCAACAATGGCAACAAGTGATATAACTTTCACACCCTAGCAAAGCTTCTTGAACCTGTGCTGAAGCTTATGTCATGAAGCTACTACAGCTGGAGCACCCATGTGAAGTCTTTCCTCTGATCCATGCCCCATGCAATGAAACACCTTGAGGGAACATATGACAAGAAGCATCCAAAATGGAGCCACTCTCTTGATGATGCTTTGACCAATGCTCTCTGTGGGACAATTGACACTACTGGAGAACACAATGTCAATTACCTTGTTCTAGATGTAATCAAAGAGTATCTCACTTTCCATCAAGTGTGGAGAAAGATTGAAAATGGTCTAATGAACAAAGCCACCAAGATATCTCATAGACTTGCACTTATCTTGCAGCTTGGTGACATAAAGATGTTCCACTCTGATGCAAGGAAGCTAATTCAAGAGATCTGGACCATCCAAACTGAAAGCAGTCTTCTCGGGAAGCTGTTTGCCAATGATACATTGTTCTTGGCATTGCAGAAATGCACAATCCAGCATCTGGTGTACAAAGAGATGGTCACCACCATTCACCAGATCGACTTCAACACCCTTGCAACTGCATTGAGCATTCACCAGACAGCCATTGAAAGCATCCCCATGCAAAAGATTGACCCGCAACAGGCCAGCACCTGGACTGTTGGTAATGATGATCAAGATGACCAGGCCAAGGAATCTGAGACTGGCAACAGTGATGCAAACCTGAAGAGCACAAGCAGACCATGACGACTCCAATGCTGGATCTGTAAATGACCAGGACATGGTATCAGTCAGTGTGATGCCTTGGTCACCATCCCCAAAGATTCCCCACTTGCCAAACCTAAATAGGAGGTGTGGTGCTCCACCATTCATATGTTGAAGTGGCAAGAACCTCTGAATGCAAAAGAAGCAGCACATTGGATACTGGACTCAGGTGCAAGCTATCATATGGTAAACTCTTATGATATGCTCATCCACCCAAGAACCTGCTGAAAGCATGTGATCACCACCAGAAATGAGGTTCTGGAGGCAACAGTCATAGGAGATGCTAGCTTATTAACAGATTATGGGGATATTCCCTTACAAAATGTATTGTATGTCAAGCATCTCAATGTCAACCTCTTGTCAACAAATTCATTGACAGATGATGGAGCACAAGTGATATTGGATAATACCAGCAGATTAATCTATTTGACAAACAGCATGACACTCAAGGTTGCAAAGAATCATGAGTGAGGACTTTTAGAGTTCTGAGGCAATACATGGCAAGAGAGTGTGATGACCACATCAACACCATTGTTTGAAGGTGTCAATGAGGAGTTCGAGCATATTGAGAATGAGCCAAAAATTTCAAAACAACAATTATGGCATGAATGACTAGGACACCCAGGCTGAGACAAGTCAAAGGCAATCATAAGCAAACTGAAGGATAAACACATTGTGGATTTGGACCTGGATACTGCTCTGAAATGTGAGCAGTGCATACAATCCAAAAGTACAGTTGCTTGGATGGGGCAGGGTAGTGGCAAAAGAGCCACAGGGCCCCTAGACCTTATACACATCAACCTGATAATAGACTCATCCCACGTGACAGAGTATACATGCACACTGGTGCTGGTCAACAATCATAGCAAGTACATGCATGCACAGCCTTTGTTACAGAAGAGCCATGTGTTTGTGCAACTCAGAAGGATTGTTTCCTTCCTGGAGACACAGATGGACCAGAAGTTAAAAGTGATCTGATCTGATCAAGGGACCAAATGGAAGAGCAATGATGCATTAGAATGGTTGCTAGAGAAAGGTATTGAGTGGCAAACCACCATGGGGTACAATAGCAAACAAAATGGGTGAGTGGAGTGAATGAACAGGAGTCTAGGTGAAAGGATGCAGATGCTCCTAACTCAAAGGAGACTGCTGAAGAGATTTTGGCCATATGTGATCCAAGCAGTGGCATTCAAAATAAACCTCACTCCAAGCATCAACAATGAGTTTCCTTATGAAGCAATGTTTGGGAAGTCACTGGAGTGACTCATAAGCCTCCTATGAGTGTTTGGATGCTTGGCATGGGTGAATGTACCCAAGGTCAAGTGAGACAACAAGAAGCTGGATCAGCAAGCCATTGCATCCATTTTCTTAGGGTATAGCTTGGAGCAAAAGGGTTGGTTATTTTACAGCCCAGAATACAGCCCAACAATCTTTTGGAGTAACTCAGCAAAGTTCATGGAATCGAAGTGTTGGTCAGACAGAACAGAGTGGTGACCAGTCAGTACACAGACACCACCAATGATAGCAGCCAAAGAAGACATTGAGAACCTTGGATATATGGATGAGAACTTATTTGATGAAGTGGACAGGGAACCATTAATGGAGTACATCAACATGGATTCAAGCTCAGAAGACAAACAAAGTGAAGGCATAGTGAAAGAGGCTGAGCATAAACTAGTCACCAAGACCCAGATTGATGATGAACTTTTTGGACTCATGGCAACATGTCTGGAACAGAGTAAAAATCTGGACCCAACAGTCAGTGAAGCATTAGGTGGAGAGGATAGGAAACATTGGGAAGAGGCCATGTGAAAGGAACTGGATGGTTTGGAGGCTATGGGCACATGGGAGATCACTGATCTACCAAAAGGAGCAAACACCATTGACACATGTTGGGTACTCAAGATCAAGACTGATGCAAACCTTGTACCAACAAAGTTCAAGGCCAGACTCATAGCACAGGGCTTCATGCAATGCAAAGGTATTGACTATACAGAGGTCTTTGCACTGGTAGCACCCATCCAATCCATTTGAGGGGTGCTTGCTATTGTGGCAATTCGAAACTGGGAGATGGACTCAATTGATGTGAAACAAGCATACCTAAACTTGATGATACATCATGATGTATACTTAAAACCACTGATCAGAATCAAAGTACCACCTGGAAAGGCACTGAAAGTAGTGAAGGGGCTGTACAGTTTAAAGCAATCAGGCTGTGAGTGGAACATTGAGCTAGATTCACATCTCTGAATGATTGGTTTTCACTGCATGCCAAGTGCGCCATGTCTGTACTCAAGAGGAATGGGTGATAGGATTACAATCATCACAGTGTATGTAGACAATATGCTGATAGCATTGCCCAGTTGCAATGAGGTGGATTGCACTAAGCAGGAAATCATGAGCAAGTGGGAAACACAGGACAATGGTGAAATCAAGGAGTTCCTAGGAATAAAGATCACACATGACAGAAGACAGAGGAGGATATCCTTAGATTTAACAGCATATGTCAAAGCAATGGTGAACAAGTGGTTAGAAGGAGCAAACAACAAATTGTGGGTACCCATGCCAAGTGTGGCAAACATTGCTGGAGGAAAGAAATGCAACCCCAAACAGGTGAAGAAGTATCAAGAGTTAGTTGGTCAATTACTATGGGTTTCAAACACCACTCAACCAGACATCACCTTTGCTGTAGGTACATTGGCACAATATATGTCAAGCCCAATCAACAGTGCATGGAAGGCTGCCACTCATATGGTAAAGTACTTAAATCAGATGAGCAGGTACCAGCTGCATTTAGGAGGAGGATCAAGCAAACACATGGACAAACCCATAATGACATATACCAATGTGAACTGGGCATTGGACCCAACAAATGGATGGAGGAGCACATCTGGATCCATAACCTACATATATGGATGCCCAGTTAGTTGGAAGTCTCACATCCAGAAATGTGTAGCATTATCAGCAGTAGAAGCAGAGTTTGTTGCTGCTTCCAAAGCAGTATGAGAAGCACTGTTCTTCTCATATCTGCTCCAGGATTTGGAAATCATGGATGTCTGGCCAGTGTTATACATGGACAGTCAGGGGTGCATTCAGGTAAGTAAAGACCCAGCCAAGCATTGGAAGTTGAAGCACATTGACACTTGGTACCATTTTGTTCATGACCACATGCAAGAAGGTGATGTGGAGATCAAATTCATCAGAATGGCAGACAATGTTGCAGATATCTTAACAAAACCTTTACAAGGCCTCAATATCTCATGGTTAGCTAGGATGATAGGATTGGAGATCCCATTGAGAGGGGGTGTTGAAGATACATCAGTATTTTAAAAAGGATGCATGGGTTACAAGTGAGGCACTGAAACACTGAATGCCTGCATAAGCAAAAAACACAATGAAGGGTTGTCATAGCAATGGCTCAGGGGCACCTCGTAATGTAGCAACATATGGGTATGAAAGGAGTGACACATTCTGTCTCAGATATGACCAGAGTGGCAATAGGATATATATATGCACTTGTCATTTAGGTTTGCACTATGAAAACATAAGCATTACAAGAAGCATACGACTGTGGTAAGGGAGCCTGATTGTGGCCCCAATAACAGCATATACTAATTGTTATCTTCAATTGCGAGACAACGCGTTATGCAGGGTCAAGAATCCGCCCTCCTTGTCCTATCCTTCTTGCTTCACTCCTGACCTTATCCTCCGCTACGAGGCTGAGGATCACTTCAAGATGGCCACAACGACCAACGAAACCTCCAAGCACGGCACACGAGTGTACACAGACTACGATGTCTCCTCACCACCACATCTCCCAGGTCCAGACTTTGTGCGCTTCATCCTGATCTCCGACTCTCATTCCCAAACAACACTCATCCCTGACGGAGACGTCCTGCTCCATGCTGGAGACCTAACAACTCTCGGGCAACCCTGCGACCTCTCCTCTCAAGTCGAATGGCTGAAGTCTCTACCGCATAAACAGAAGATCTTCGTCTGCGGAAACCACGATTTCTCCGCATGCACATCGAAGAACTTCTACGAAACAAGGGGCAGAGAGCTCAACGCAAAGTACAAGGTGAAAGATGCTAAAGATGATGTTGAGCAGGTGAAGAGGGTTCTGAGCCAGGAGAGCCTGGGAGAGCGGTTGAAGTATTTGGAGGATGATGCATTCGAGTTTAGTGTGGATAGAGAGGAGACTAGGCACCATTTGTGGAAGGTTTGGGGGAGTCCGGTGAGTCCATGATGAGACACAGAAGAGAGATTGCTCAAGTACTAATAACTTGATTGTGTTGCTTCGTGATAACAGTGGTCACCAGAGTTCGAAGATTGGGCTTGGAACTATGCTCGTGGGGAAGAAGCCAAGCGTGAGTATCCACAAAGCCATTCCTACCCTCCCGGGTGACCCTGCTCAGCTGACCCCTCTTGAACATCTTTGCCATCGATCGAGCTGTACAGAGGTCCATTCGGCGATTCCAAGCGACGTCGACCTACTCATAACCCATACACCACCTCACAAACTCGGCAGACTTGATGCTATCCACGATGGCACGCCCGTTGGCTGCGAAGAGCTTACTCGAAGACTCACCGCACCCGCCTCCTCACCCGATGCTCTGCAACCACTGCTACATGTTTTTGGCCATATACACGAAGCTCGTGGTGTGCATCTCTTGAAGCATGGAGAGGATGAGGGAGCGAAAGAGACGGTGCTGGTCAACGCTGCGTTGGTGGAATACGATCAGGACAAATGGAACAAGCACCGCATATGTAAGTCTAGGTGGAACTAGTGAAAGGAAGGAAGACTACGTGCTGACAACGCTTTGCCTTGATGGAACAGTCACATACGATGTCGTTTGCAAGTAAGTACTTTAGCGCTTAAAGGACAACAGAAGACAAAGAAGAGATGCTGACCTACCCTGTTTCACGGAACCGATTGTGCTGACCTTCGCTCTCTAACGGACCTGAATATGCTGGACTCCGCTCTCGAACGGAACCCTCATTGCGTTGAAATAGACCTGTGATTGTGGACTTGTGCGTTCCTGCTCCACCGTCGCTGTGTATTGTGAAGGACTGGCCTCTGATAAGCTCCAGGGATGCGGAGGTTTAGAGCACAGACTATCGGTCCAATTTCGGCGAAGCTGGCAGTACAGTACTGTACGAGCTGCTCAAGGAGGTGCCCAATTCGATTTGGAACGATCACATGCACCCTGCGCTGCCCTCGATCTCGGCGGCTGGAGTGTCCAATCCACCAGCCGCAGCCACAGCAGCACCAGCACCAGCAACAGCAACGGATGACGATGATGGCGCGGCTCAATGCAAAAGACAGCGTATGGATCTGGATTGACAAGTCTCGTTGACGAGTATCGGTCTGGTTGCCACTAGCCTGCTCTCGCTACTCTTGCACAGTATCACACCCCTTCACATCATAGTAAGAGCACATACAATGCATTCACGCCTTTGCAAGGTTGGATCGTGTATCGTATTTCATCTACCACACCAGAATATGTCAATATCTTCCTCGTTAGTCGTCCAAGTAGAAACGTGAGAGGGGTTTATGACTTGTCCTGTAAGGCAATCTCTTCTGTGTTCGCCTGGGGTTTGGACTCGCTCAACAGGGCTGGCTGTGGAATGGGCTGAGTGAAATGGGTTCTCAACTGATCATGTGCCAGCCTGTGCACTTCTCTCCCTACCGCCTTTGCGACACTCGCCAACGGACCGCCGAGGTTGAGTTTCCAAACGACATAGACACCTGCAATGAGGACCAACAAGAAGGTAAAGTAAACGGGACTGCTGATGACGGCGATAAACTCGTTCCAACCCAAAAGGGCCATGAGACCGAACATCCAAACAGGAATCTGGGCGACGCTAAGAACGGTGGATCGCTTGGCTTCGACGTAGAGTGCGTCTGCTTCTTTGCGGAAGCGGGCGCTGATTTCGGCTTTGCGAGCCTCGGAAAGGACAGTGAGCGTTGAAGGGAAATCAAAGTCTTCTTTCTCGCCCAGAGAGACAGACGCTGGGTGGCAGTCCGAGGTGCAGGCAAGGTCGATGGAGGCAAAGTCGATGGAGAGTGAGGCGTCTTGAGGGCTGATCTTGGAGTAGAGTGGGATAAGCGATAGGGTTTCATCTCGAGCTTTGCGGAAGGCGGAATCGATGTCGTCTTCTGGCTTCCAAACTCTGGGCACACCAGCTTGATCATAGCGGAATCGATCTTCGAAGTTGTTCCTCAACTTGGCTGCAATCACTGAATCCGCCGTTTCTTCGTCCACCTTGGCTTTGAGACTAAGCCAAGTCTTCCTTCTTAAGGCCGCCAAGGCATGTTGGTTCTCCTCTTCGGTGCAGTTGAAACTCTTTGCTTTCCTCAAATACGTCGCCTCCGCCTGCTCGAGCGTGGTGCGGAAGGCGGTGAGAACTCTATCCCACATATCCGGCTCCGGCTTGTTGAGAGCCATTTGGACAGGTTCAGCCATGTTTTTCTTGAATGTCCGCTCGATTTGAGCGACCATCTTCTTGGTCTCCTCGACGCGCATCGTATCGCTGATCGATTGGATTTCGCTGTCCAGCTGCGCAAGCTCGTCATCAATAGTCCAATCGGTATCCGCGAGGAGAAGGGCTTGTGCAGCAGCGGAGAACTGGCTAAAAGCGGAGGATTTCTCGCTGGAAACCACCTTGCCGAAATCGTAGTCGGTCTCGTTCCGCATTCGTTCCAAGACGTTCTTTTTGAAGGATTGCAGCATGTGGCGATGAAGGTTCTTGAGCTGACCGAGGAAGAAGGGCGAAAGGCAACTATTGAGCTTGTCGAGCAAATCAAGACGCTTCCTCTTGTACACATCTTGGTGATACCTGCCTGCGTCGCGATCGAACTCTCTGAGCGCAGTGGAACGATGGAGTGCCATATCAGGACCCAAGGTCTCCAAGATCGAGCCTCGTTCGATGCGTTTTCGGAAATGCTTGATGCTGGCTGCAAAGGTGCCAAAGGCGGCGTTTGCAATCTCGTCGCATCGGAACTGGGCGAGCAACTCTTGCTGTGTGGGCAAATCGAGGTCCTTGTTGGTCATGACTTGTTCCCAGATGGACTCGAGATAGTGGGGCAAACCGTCGGCGGGGATTCGCTTGTGGTATTCCGTCTTAAAGACAAAGTTGGGGTCGTTTGGGTCGACGAAGCGGTGGCGCAGCAGACCGACGGCTTTGTCGAATTCGGCAGGTTGCAAGATCTTGTGCGGTAGGGTGGTGAACATAAAGTCGAAAAAGTCGGAGATTTGCGAGTTGCCAAGGCCGTCAGGTTTGGAAAGCGAGAGCCAGATCTTGGTCAAATCGGCCATGACGGTCGCCGAAAGATTCTGCAAGGGTGTAACGCCGATATGATCACGAATGACAAAGAGTAACAAAGCCTTATCTTTGGCTCCTGGGGTTTTGGCTTTACTCGCTTGGAAGAGGGCAAGGTTGACCTCGAAAACAGTCTTGAGCAAAGCCATGTTGGCACCTTGATAGAGACCGACTTGATGCTCCCACAGGTTCACAATAAGCACCTCAGCAGAGGCCATGGAGAAGAGAGCAGATTTGCGTTCGAAATCTTGATCTTCGCCACGTTCACGACCATCTGTACCTTCGACGTCCATGACGAGGAGGTTGATTTTATGAGCTTTGCACATCCAAATTCCCTTTGTGGTCTGCTGGCGGGCGGATTGAGACATGACGTCAAAGTTGGTTCCGAAGAGTTTGTTGAGCAGGGTGGATTTACCGGTGGATTGCGAACCGAGGACGGCACAGAGATCGTAACCAAAACCTGCATCTGCGAGACCCCAGTTTTGAAGACTGGGAGCGAATTGGGAGGAGTTGAACTTTTGCTCTTGGTCGATGAGTTGCATTCGGCCGCCAGTGTCGGCAGCTTTGGAAGCAGAAGAGCTTGTGAGGGCGCTGGCTGCATGGGCTGGGGCTGAGGCTGCTGAAGGCGCTGATGGACTGGCAGCGGCAGTGGAGGGGGTGACATTGGAGGGGGTGACATTGGAAGCAGCACCATTGGCAGTTGAGGTGGTCGCAGTGATGGGTTCCTCTTTGAGTGCATGTGACTGAGCGCTGAACTCGTTCTCGTGCTGAGCAATGAGCTGCTTTGCGTTATCCGCGTTGATCTCCATGGTGAAGAGTCACTACAGTTCCGACGATGTTGTGCCGAGTGGGTTGCCAGGGTGGTTCCAGGGAAATGATGCGTAATCGCAAAGCTTGTCCGGATGTGGTCCTTGATGAAACGATCCGAACGACGACGGATCGGATCGGATGAATGGATGGACGAGGTAAGGAGGAGGAGGTAAGGAGGATGACCTGGGGGCCTGTCGAAACGTTAAGGACGTTGAGGGGGGAAGAGCAATGATCAAAAAGCTCGGGACTCGGAACGCGGAACTGGGAACAGGGAACACGGAACACGGAACACGGAACAAGCATTTTCACAACGCTGTGACTTTTTTTCCTGTTCTCTAGAAGAAATTTTGAGAGAGAGAGGAAAAGCAGGGGAATTGCAACTCGCTGTCGTGGAGGTTTGCTTGATTGCTCTCCATCATCTCTTCACCACCATCATCTACTCTATACCTGTCATCACCTGCAACCATGAACTCAATAACAGACTACGACGCTCCCCTCACCTCCGAAACCACCGCCTCCGGCGGCGCGGTGGAACAAACAGTACCCATCACCCTCACCACCTCCCTCGACCAATACGCCATCCCATCAGGCCCGTACATGGTCCCTGTCTCATGGCGTCGTACACACCTATCTACACTCGTCAACAAGCTTGTTGCCTCCTCCTCCACAGACTCTGCTGCAACCACAGTACCATTTGACTTCATCATCGACTCTTCACTCCTCCGCACAAGTTTGGGAGAATACCTTGATACTCAAGGCCTCACTTCCGAATCAACGCTATCAATCGAATATGTCCGCTCGACACTTCCTCCCACCCGCCTCGCTGCGTTTGAGCACGATGATTGGGTAGCTTCTGTCGATTGCGGCCATGCTGGTGGGGTGGGGTCGGTGTACATGACTTCAGCATACGATGGAAGTGTGAGGTTGTTCTCACCGAGTAATGCTGCGGAGGCAGAGCATACCTTTTCGACGCTGAACAAGTCTACAGTTCAGGCGGGCAAGAATGGAAGTTTGACTAGTGCGAAATGGACTGCAAAAGCAGATGCGATTGTGACGGGTGGCATGGACGGTAGGGTTCAGCTTTGGAATGTAGCTCAGGGGGAGGATGGAGAATGGACGAGCTCAAGAAAGTGGGTCGGAGAAGCACACAATGCTCCGATCAGCGCGGTGGACACTGCACAAGGCCCATCTGGAGCAAGTGTATTGAGTGTCGGCTGGGATGGAATGGTTGCGCTGTGGGACGACATTCCTTCTTCTTCCACTTCCGATACCGTCGTCGAGTCTGAATCCGAAGACAATTCAGAGGACGAAGGTGCTTCTAAGCGCCGGAAAACCACCAATGGTAAAAGCTCGAAAAGCTCGAAGACCACGCCGAGCAAAGCTGGCACCCAATCACCAACTACAATCCTATGGCACGCCCAACCAACGTCCCACTCCATAACCGGCGCTAAAAACGTCTTCACCCCCTCCTCTCGCATTACTTCTGTCTTGTTTGAACGCTCCTTCTCTTCTTGCTCCCGTTCCTCCAAAGACGCCAACCGAGCATGGACTTGCGGCTTCAACGGTCAACTAAAAGGCTGGGACCTTTCATCCGGTGGTTTCGTCCACACCTCCCTCTCCCTTCCCACTTCTACCTCTTCCGAAATTCGTCCTATCATCTCACTCACCCATCTAGCGCCTTCCACCTTGGTCGCAGGAAGCATGGATAGAGGAATCCACATTTTCGACTCCCGACCTTCCACCTCGGGCGTACAAACCCTAGGTATTGCCATCAACAACGCCCATAAAGGGCCCGTAGACGTGGTTTCTGCCCACCCAACAGACTCGCATCTCTTTGCTAGTGGGAGCGGGATGGAGGGTACTGTGAAGGTTTGGGACTCGAGAAGTTCTAAGAAGGCTCTATTCAGTCTAGCAGTTGGTGAGCAGGGAGGAAAGAAAGGAGAGAAGGGTGTGTTGGGGCTTGACTGGTCTAATGATGGACAGGAGCTGGTTGCGGGAGGTAAGGATAAGCGGATTACCGTTTACAGAGGGTCGAATATCGGGGGTTCTGCCGAGAAGTAGGCTTTACCACAATGTTGTTCGTTCTCTTTGTCGCTTTTGCAATCGCACTTGGTACGATTGAAACGGTTCTACAAATCGACTGAGTTGACATTGACACCAGAGATAACATTGACACGAGAACAAGAATAATGATGAGACCGAGACTGAAGAAGAGAAAAAAAACTAACAAGAATGCTGCAAGGATGCGATACAAAGCCAAAACCAACCTCTTGGACCTAAGCGTGAGGCCTACCAAGCATTCACCTTACTCAACCTGCCCTTTTCCATAATACACTTGCCCTCTTTATACTTCTGGCTAATTTCAAAGGCCTTCCAATAGTACCAACCCAAAGTTTGTGTACAACCTTTACAACTGAGATCGCAAACGGTATGCATACCTGTGAGGAGGTGACGATTTTCTTTATTGCCGAGGGCGGTGTTGATTGAAGAGGAAAAGAGGTATGCTTTTCCGTCGCGACCTGAGAAGGATTTGCTGATCAGTTCATCCTATCATCGCATCGAGCGGAGTTGGGAGTGTGAAAGGGCAGAAGAGGGAGGGAGGAAGATGAGCATGAGAGCGCACGAGGACTCAGAGAAGGGAAGGGCCTGGTAGTACGGAACTTACTTGTAAAGCGAGATGCGCACCGCAATCAGCGCATACATAACGCGGGGTCGAAGAAGGGAGGTATTGCAGTATCGGTGGTGGAGTTGATGGTGCATTGGAGTCGGAGGAACAAGTCGAGCCTTCTGAGGAGGAGGAGGAAGAGGAAGCCATAATTGCTGCTGACCTTCTCACTCCTTTAACGTCTGCTTCTTCTCGGTTTCAATCGCTTTCTTCCGAACCTTCTTCTTGCGTCTTCGTCTCTTGCACTTCTTCTTTTCCTTCGGCGGCGGAGTAAGGATGTGTTGTAGTAGCAAGAAAGCTACCTTCAACCGATTCCCATACAATCCTCCCCGACCAAGTTGTGTCGTGGTATAGCCTACTGAATGCTCTCCTTTTCGAGCTATGCCACTTGATCTTCCCCTCGAGAGGCTCTGTAGGTAGAGGTGTGAATACGGCGGTTGATTGTTGAAAGTGGATCTGCAGAAGCTGCTCGGAAGGCGCAAGAGACAACCAATGCTCGATGGTGAGTTTGACTTTGTAGTAATCGCTGACGGTCGTCGCTTCCATCAATGGTGACCCATGTTCAACGACAGAGATTGGTTGTGAGAATCAGACAAGCGACTTCGACGTAGGAGGAGGGCAGGATGATGGATAAGGTCCTTGTTGTGGGAGAGAGCTGAGTTTGAAGCATTGGTTTGGAGACTGAAACTGTACCTTGAAATCTTGGCTGGATCGTGCGCAGAGAGAAAGTGCAGTTGTACCCTGCATGTTCGCTAACCCTTTTCCGCTCGTCCTCCGCACCGCAATCTCCGCACTAAAGTCAGACACACTCACACTCACACTCACACTCACACTCACACTCACACTCACACTCACACTCACTTTCTATCATCGCACAATCGAGAACTTTCTACAGCACTTTTTTTATGATTGCAAAGAGGTCAAGCTTTGGTTTACAGGCGACTGACCAGCTATACAAGCAGCTTCATCGACCACAGCTGCTAGGGGAGAATGTGGCGCTGAGCAAGCTTCAGCTCTTGAGGAGGAGGATGGGTCGAGTTTGGTCGGGTCGAAGGTCTCTAGTAGTGCTGGGACAGGTTTGCGTTTGAGAGACCTGCCTCGCATTCCTGGACTACCTCCTGCTTGTGAAGATGGTGTTGATGTTCCGGTTTGTGGGCTGGCTTCGCTTCCCGGAGTTGGCTTTGATTCTGTTGCCGGTGTGACGATTTCTGTGCCCGCCAACATAGGCGTTGCGGGATGAGTCAATTCGGTGATATGGGATGGCGCCGAAGACACTTCTGTTCCTGCTTCAGCCGCTTCGTCTTGCTCTCCTGCCGCTGCACCATGCTCTCCTGCCGCTGCACCATGCTCTGCTGTTGGGTCGGTGTGACCATCATTCGAGGCTTCACCGAGCGCCGCTATGGGGACAACCTCGCGGACAGAGATTCTAGGTGTGTTGATTCCAGTAGCGGGCGTATCTGTCATCTCTTCGTCTTTCCCGCCACTCAAGGTTTGTCCTTGCTCTGCCCTCCTTTGCCTCTGTCGCTGTTTGTGTAGGATGACAAGGGCGATGAGACCCAAAGCAAGTACGCCGACTGGGACAGTGACGCCAACGGCGATTGCTTTTGTCTTGTTGTTCGAAGAGGAAGGATGATTGGTTTGAGAGTTGACGTTGCCATCCGATAGGGTTGAGTTGCTGTTGTTAACCGCGCTGTTATCATTCCGACTTTCAGTCCGAGACCCATTGTTGAGGTTGCCACCAAAATTGAAATTGGATGGTGTCCGATTTGGTGGTGGAGGAGGCGGACTTTGAGAAGTGGACGAAGGTAGGTTCGAAGATTCTGTAGAATCTTGATTGGAGGAAGCCGAGGTAGCGAGGGAAGTGTTATTGGAATTGTTGCTAATGGAGCTCGAAGGCCCAAAGTCGGGCGAGTTCGAGTTGGAGTCATTGTCGCTGGAGGAGCCTGAATCTGGTGCGGAAGAGGTTAAAGAGGATCCTTCATAGGCACCGTACGCTTGCTCCTTGATAGTGTTTCCGGAGGGAGTGGCAGTGTCGGTGACATGGTCTTCGATATAGTCTTTCGCTGGCTGGCCAACGCAAGCGCCGCCCTTATGCTCTCTGTGAGTTCCCGGCTGACAATCGTCATCCTTGTCCGAAAGTGATCGTCTCAGGCCTGGAGCCTCTTGTTGATCTGTCTTGTCCGAGGTTGAATACGTGGATAGGGTGCCGTTGCGTCTCTGTAGCCTTGGCTGTGCTTCAGGGTCGCAAAACACCGCTTCGGTCCATTTGGGTGTTCGTGGTGCTATGTGATGCTGCTCATGTGTCTCTTGCTGCTGCTGTGATGAAGGAGTGAACCGCAAGCGCAGGTTGCTGGTGGCTCCTTGTACTGACGACGAAACGAGTCGTAGACCGATCAAGAGGCAGAGGAGGAGCTGCGTCGGCACACATCCATGCCCTGTCCATGATCTGAACTTGACCATGCTAGCATCGAGGATTGCGGTAATCGCGATCCTGAGAACGGGAAGGTGAGAGGGGGCGGGAGGGAGGGAGGCAGAACTTAGACCGAGGAGACATGTGACCTGCTCTTATATCATTTGACAGCCGCCGTTTGGTTCCCACCAGAGCGTGGGAAGCTTTCCCTGTTGCACAGCAAGATAGGCTGGCAGAGCCACAGACCTGCGCGGAAGCGGGAGTCCAGCGTTGACTCCATGCGAGGGCCGGACACATGGGCCCACAACGGAGACAAGCAAATCACCAGCTCTGATCGCCTTGGGCAAGATGATTGGATGAAGCACGTACCCTTTTTGTTTGGCGCTCGGACCTGTACTTGGCGTTGGCGAGAAGCGGGAAGTGCAAGCAAAGAGATGAAGTGTGGCTAGCGTGTTGGTGTGGGAAGGGCCAGAAGTGACCGTCACCACGCCTCTCGAATTTTGAGGAGGGTGGGTTGGAGGCAAGGACTGCATATGTATCGAAGAGGTCTGGAACGCACGCGTGCTTGCAGCTTCGAAGGAAAGGTGATCGTCTACGGCGGACCGTGCTTCGGCTGAACAGAGAGTGAAAGAAACGAGCGAGCTCGATGATTGTATCAAGCAGAGTAGAGTAGATACGGAGCTGCAGTCATCGATGTTGGCTGAAGAGGGATAGTTGACTCAATTTGGAATAGGCATCGCCAATGTCTGATGACTTGAAGCGATGCCCGATGGCCTTGAAGGCTCATACTGTAGACCACAGAGGACGGATTGGATGATTGGATGATCGGATGATTGAATGATCGGATGATTGAATGATCGGATAGGCACCTTGAGCTGCTATGAAAGACTCGTGAGAAACTTGACAGAGAAAGAGCTCTGCTAGCTACACAGCTCTCATTTTCCCAAACCTTTTTGTTGGCCTTTTTTCGATGCATTTCCAGTCGACCTTTTCTGCTGGCGTCAAGCAAGGACAAACAATGACAAAGTCACTCTCTGTCCTTGATCCTCACAATGGCAGCTTTGATCGCGAGGCCGGCCACAATGATATAGCATCGTACATCACAACAAAAGGCACACGAGTGTACGTGCACAGCTGGATGACAAGGGCTTGTGGCCCTTGTCTTGGCTGCCGCGATTTGCTGTCACTTAAGCCTTGCTTCTGCGCCCAACTTTCGGCAAGAGCAGAAGAAAAAGCACCTGCGAAGAGCGCAAGATGATCCACTCTACACGTTATCTTCTATCTACTTACCTTACTATTGTTGGAGCAAGTGATGGACTCGAGTGGTAGGACGCGGTAGTATTACATATCGACGGTGAACTGTGTATACAAATAGATGGATGATAAGACGGAGACGAACTAACTAACTCGGGTGCTTTTTATATATCCTAGCTTGGGCCTGATACAGTGACATGTTGGAGCAGAGGAGCAGTCTGAATCACGAAGAGGCAGTGCAAAAAGGGTCTATACAGTGATAGAGTACAGTCTTTTATCTCCTCCTGACCCTCACCTCCTGCCGACCTTATCGTTCGCTGATACGGTCGTCGGAGGGCCGAGGTGTGCGGCTTGATACGATCGTCGGATGGACCGAAAATGTTCAGCCCAATACAAAGACGTCGGCCATGCCGACAAGTACCCTGATGCGAGTCGATACAGACGCACCCCTCCTTCAAGTATACGCTCAGTATCAGTTCCACCGTCTTTCTTCAGTATCATCACCAGTTGCAATCTCAGGCATTGCAACTATTTGACATGTGTGTGTTGTATCGCCGCTTCTAGATGTTGTCGACACCTCAATCGACGCTACGGTACCTGAACCAGTACCATCATACGACTGTCGACGCATCACGAACACTCGTGCTAAGACAGGCATAGTTATACCATACATCCGGTATCCAAGGACTCCGAACATGCCACGCTACCTCTGAACCGAGTCGTCCTGGTCCATACCGCAGCTACGCAGCAAAGCGGAAAACATCTCAGGTGCATTGGTTTGCAAAGTTTGTTGGCCAAACGCTTGAGGGTATACATCTGAATTGCATCTTGCGCTTGAGGCTGGCAACTACAGAAGTCATGTTGAACAGGCCAATATCTGCAATCAGATCTTGCCAATCTTGTTGAGGTTTTGGCTGATTTTGGGACAACCTAGTGCAAATGCCTGCTTGGTTGATATCTGGACAATTGTAATTATGTTTGCAGAGTCTGTGCCAAGCAGTTGAAGCTATACCATGCACCTCCTCGTCTGAGCCACGTTCTAGCTCTTTCGTACTAGTGTGTCATAGATGTAATGCTTAAGATTCATTGTGCACTATTGCTACAGGGTTGTGTATATATATACCTTTGTCCTGTTTATGAGATGGCTTGTTGTTCTCTTTCGAGTCATGCCCACTTTGTAGTATCTCAGCATTTTCCTTTCATATGCTTCTCCTGATTGGTTGCCACTCAATTTAGTATGCATGAAGAGGATCGGTCTGTTGGTTACTCGCTTTTCTCACATATTGGTTATCCCAGTGACTCTTCAACTCCCCCCCTTGCTGGCATGACCAAACCCATTGCTCGAGCTAGGCATGTGATCTCTCCTCCTTTCAATGGCTTTGTGAGAATGTCTGCCAAGTTGTTTGCCATTCTGACATATTTGATCAGAATGTCTCCCTCCTGCACATGTTCCCTGACAAAGTAATAACACATGTCAATGTGTTTAAGCTTCCAGTGTTTGGCTGGGTCCTTACTCACCTGTATACATCCTTGGCTGTCGGTGCAGAGTATTGGTCTGGCATTATTGATACCCAGGTCTCGCAGCAGATATGAAAAGAACAGTGCCTCCCATGCTGCTTCCAATGCAGCAACAAACTCTGCTTCTACAGCTGACAGGGCCATGCATTTTTGCACATGAGATTGCCAACTCACTGGGCTCCCATATAGATATGTGATCGCTCCTGATGTACTCCTCCAACTGTTTGTGGGGTCTGACACCCAATTTGCATTGGTATATGTTGTTACTGTCTCCTTCTCCATATTTGCTCTCTTTCCTAGTTGGAGATGATATTCACTTGTTTGATTTAGGTACTTTAGAGTGTGGGTCACTGCATGCCACACTCCTTCAACCAGAGTTGTCATGTGTTGCACTAAAACTCCTACTGTGAATGAGATATCTGGTCGCACTGTGTTGGATACCCATAAGACCTGTCCTACCAACTCCTGGTATTCTTTGCTTCATGATGGTGAACATCTCTCTCCTCCAGCACTTGCAGTTATGCTTTGCATTGGGATCCAGGATTTCTCAGTCTCCTTCTGTAACCATCTGCTTACCATTGATTTAATATACACTGTTAGGTCAAGAGATATGCTCTTCTGGGTCCTGTTTCTCATGATTTTGATTCCAATAAACTCTTTGATCTTCCCATTATCTTCTGTTCCCCACTTATTCATGATCTCCTTCTTGGTGCGATCCACTTCTTTGCGACTTGGTGAAGCTATCTGTCATGGGCCTGAATGCTCAAGAAGCAGGAGGGTCACTGGTTCATATAGAAGGAGCACAGGTATCGAAGATCTAGTCGATACCATTAGAGAGCATGGTTGTAGTGCAGTCTCCATGGAGACCATGGACTCCTACGGACTCACATGCAAAGGAGGACCGAGCTGTCAGGGGTCTCGCGCCTGAAACCCAGGTCGGTCTGTCGAGATACTCAGTGACTATCAAACTGTGCAACAGCTATTGTCTCGGTATCAGTGACTATCAAGTTGTGCAGTGACAGCAGGTGGCATTCATTGTATATACTATCATAGGTTTCAGCTGACCTCTGTGGACACTCTGTTCAGGGGTAGCTCGGCACGATCAATAGCAAGGTGTAGGTTGTGATGACACCAAGGTCTGGTGCAAGTGTTGATGATGATGAGGTTGATGGTGTTGGTGATGAGATTGGTGATATCGATGATAATGAGGTTGATGGTGTTGGTGATAAGGTTGGTGGCATCAACACGAGTGTCCAGTGTGTTGACTTGATGCTTGAAGTGATCCCCGGACTGCAGTGGACTACTGCCTTTGGTTCTATCTATACTCGGACCACTGACCTGCTATGGGCCGCCTTCAGACATCAGGTAGTGGTGATACAACACATGCACTATGATGAGGAGCAACCTTGATCAATTGCTGCTATGCTGACTGAAACTAATATATACTTATGCTGAAGTGATAACTAGTTATGGTGAGTAGAGTGGATGAGGATCCACTCGACCTATGATGATGAGAAAGCATGGTTATATACCTCTTCACAGCATTGCCAGCAATGCTGCTCCTGCTCTCTCTCCAGAGAGTACCTTCTTCATCAAGTACTGTTCAGGAGGCCTCTCCTGCTTGCTTGGCACCCCTGTGCCTCTTGAGCTGTGTCGACTCCTTTGACACTGCTCCTCCTCCTTGCTATCCTGCTTGTTTGGCACCCTTGTGCCTCCTGAGTGGTGTCAACTCCTTCAACACTGCTCCTCCTCTTTAGGACCTGGTGTCGTCTCCTTTGACTCTTGTCTCTCGAGCCCCTGAGTGGTAACTATCTGCATGCTCCTTGAGCTTGGTCCTCTTTGTGGCTGTGCCTGGCCCTCCTCACATATGGCTCGGTCCTCCTTTGCATGTGAGTCCATAGGAGTCCATGGTCTCCATGGAGACTGCATTACGACCATGCTCTCTAATGGTATCGACTAGATCTTCGATACCTGTGCTCCTTCCATATGAACCAGTGACCCTCCTGCTTCTTGAGCATTCAGGCCCATGACACAGTGTATAGGGAACCGGCAAGCAGGTCCTGAGGAGGAGGAGCAGTGTCGAAGGAGTCGACACCACTCAGGAGGCACAGGGGTGCCAAGCAAGCAGGAGAGGCCTCCTGAACAGTACTTGATGAAGAAGGTACTCTCTGGAGAGAGAGCAGGAGCAGCGTCGCTGGTGATGCTGTGAAGAGGTATATAACCATGCTTTCTCATCATCAAAGGTCAAGTGGAGCCTCATCCACTCTACACACATCATAACTAGTTATCACTTCAGCATAAGTATATATTAGTTTCAGTCAGCATAGCAGCAATTGATCAAGGTTGCTCCTCATCATAGTGCATGTGTTGTATCACCACTACCTGATGTCTGAAGGCGGCCCATAGCAGGTCAGCGGTCCGAGTATAGATAGAACCGAAGGCAGTAGTCCACTGTGGTCTGGGGATCACTTCAAGCATCAAGTCAACACACTGGACACTCGTGTTGATGCCACCAACCTTATCACCAACACCATCAACCTCATTACCATCAACACTCACCAACCTTATCACTGACACCATCAACCTCATCATCATCAACACTCACACCAGACCTTGGTGTCATCATAACCTACATATTGATATTGATCACGCCGAGCTACCCCTGAATGGAGTGTCCACAGAGGTCAGCCAAAACCTATGACAGTATATACAACAAATGCCACCTGCTGTCATCACACAACTTGATAGTCACTGAACAACTAGCTCGTCAAGACCGATACCGAGACAATAGCTGTTGCACAGTTTGATAGTCACCGAGCATCTCGACAGACCGACCTGGGTTTCAGGCCCGAGACCCCTGACAACACACTCTCTGATTAGAAGCAATGGCCTGCAATTGCAACTATTGATAAGACAACTAAGTATACATTACAGTAAGGATATAGTTAGTTAAGAGTGTAGAGTGGATGGGGATCCACTCATCTACTATGGTGAAGTGAGTGTATATATAGGTTGGTACAGCGTCACCTGCAGCACTGCTCTTGCTCCTCCTAGAGGTGTCCAACCCTCTAGCTACTGCCCTACTCTGTATGTGTTCTGCCTTGTCCTCACTCCTGCTCCTCCTGCTCCTTGTGGTTGAGGGCAACCAGTGTGAGTTTATTGCTGACAGGGGTCACTCCCACTTCATCTGAGTGGCAAGGCACATCCTCCTATGTCCTGCCCCTTGTAATTCCTTGCTCTCCTCTGATGACAACACCAACCTTCCTACACTGAGTTCATTGTTGTATAGGGGTCCCTCCCACCTCATCTGAGTGGTGAGCCCTCCCCTCGCATACTCCTCCTTGTGAGTCACCACCAGTTGTCCAATGTGGCCTTGACCATCTCCCTTTTGTGGTGTGTCTTGTGAGATTGGTGGGAGCAGCACCCTCTATTTGGTTTTGTCAAGATCTGTTGTAAGGTCTTGAATCCACCAATCCTGACAAACTCTGTCAGAACCCACTGCTTGCCTAATCCCGCAATTCTTGCGCATGGCCTCTCTCATGTAGGTCCAGTTCTTCTGCACATCTGGTCCTATGATTTACTGCTCACTATGTTTCGATTTGGTTATCCGATTTCCGATTGCTGACAGACAGCTGTTGAAGGTTGCATAAAATAAAGATTAACTTAACTGGCTGAGTATGTTAGTTGAGGGCTGTTGTTGTATTGTTGAGATGATAGTGTGAAGGGAAGGTGGTGGAGCTTTCAGGGAATGCGGTGAGGGCTTTGTGCTATATAACTTCTGCTTTGTGGTCCAATTTGATTGGGGGATCAAAGAGGAATTGTTACCAAAACATGTCCTAAGACACTCATACAGGCCAAATTGCCAAGCAATGCAATAGGGCACACAGCCTGGTGCAAAAAAAAACAACCCCTGCCTAGGGAGAGCGAGAGGCTGCTTCAGGTTTGTGGGAAGAGAAAGGTGGTCGTGCTGGGAGCCTTTGAGCCAGCGAGCCACCTCGCTGACCTGCAATCTATCATGGCTTTTGTATCGGTTTTTGTATTGTCCGACTGTTCCTCATCTGTGCGGTGGTGACAGAGATGAGAGGGAACAAGTCCTGCAGGATAAGTTTGTATTGATGAATATGAAAAAATAAATGAAAAGCGTTCGACCCGGGATTCCGACACTTTGCAAATCGAAATCCAAGTTGGGAAAGAACGCTTGTTGGCCAGAGAGGCGCACCCTTCATAGAAGCCTGCTGCCAGAAGTGGCGCAATGGCTGTTCAGCGAAGCTTGCTGGTATGAGCAGAGAGTGTCAAAGTGAAGCTGAGTTCGGCTTGCTCTGGCCGTGTAGCTTTCCGAAGCCGAGTTCTCTTGCCGGACATCGATTTTCCTCAGATCTGAATACTGTGAAGAAAGTGGCCATCCCGCCTGCAACAATCGAATGCTCACCCTCGGTGCTTGCTGTCCGGATGCTGCTGTCTCCTTGCTTCAGAGCGTTGCTTCAGAGCCTTGCTAGCTGTTCACTTACTCTGAGAGAGCGATCAAAGGCTTCCTTACTTGCCTGACACAACAACTGCCGGCCCCTCCGTTGTTTGTCGGAAGAGCCGAAAGTGAACGGCAAGAAAGCCAGTCAAGTTGATTCTTGATGGTTGTCGAGGCGTGAGAGCAGTGTGTGTGGTTTTTTTTTGGTTTTTTTTTTTTTTTTTTTTTTTTTTTTTGAGAGGGGCGCCATAAGACGGCAAGTGTGCCACTCTGGCCCTTGCTCAGCTTCAAGCTTCGCCTCGGTTCGCCTCACTTCGCCTGTGTGTGTGCCCTTTTCATAGTCCCTGTCGTCACACATTCATTTCGAGTTTAGAGCTTCCGCCGCTCTGCGTGCGTGCGTGCGAGATAGTGCTTGGCAACCGCAGCTTCAATGCTCACGCTCATTTGACTGACTTGGACAGACCCTTTTCGCTGTCTCTGCCTTTACTCAACAACACCCTTTCTTTTGTTCTCGTCTCCCTCCTCATCCCTCTCCGCTTCCATCATCTTTACTTCATTTCGCATCCCCTCCTCGTCATCGTCTTCACACCCCCCCCCCCCCCCCCCCCCCCCCGACCTCCGTACGAATATACGGCTTTCACATCTGAATCTTCGGCGGCATCATCAACGTTACCCATCGCATCAAGCAAGCCGAACGCATCATCAAGCCCGTTCGAATCCCCTTATCATCGCAAGGATCCGGCTGCGCTGTGCATCTTTGCATTTGGTCGAGGATCCCTTCCACTGCCGGTTGACCATCGTTCTCGCTGTTCGTTAGCCTATAGACTCATAGCGAGCTCGTACAAGCAACCGTCACTCTTCATTTCAGTCGATACCACGCTCCCACCAAAAGCTTGTCAGCGACTTCACATCCTATCTCGCACACCAGACACGAGCTGCTCCGGCTAGCAACTCTTGCGCTTATTGCCAACCTCTTTGTTGCCACCCACGGATCATCAACCGCATTGTGCTCTCTTGCTTGCTGCATTCTTCCCAGCGTCGACGTCATCAACATCCAATCACAGCTCCGTCTTTCAAAGCATGGCATCTATTGTCCGCTCTTGATCCCCACCTCGTCCTAGCCTCCTCTTACTTGTATCAACATCTGCATCTATCCGCTCTCGCTTCTACATCCACAAGCGAACAGTTTCCGGAGTCCTCTTGCTCGATCTCTCCACGTCGAATACACCCCTTGCCGCCCGCATCCGTATATTCTTGATTGCTCGCAACACACGCAGCTGCAGTCGAGCCACCCCTAGACATTTTCGATTTCAGCTATCGACATCTCCTCCACGTCACATAGCCATCATGGCCACAACATTGAATGCCCAGTCGGCTTTGCCGAATCAGGGCACCTTCATGACCCGCCAGACTTCCTCCCCTCTCCCGGATCTCTCCTCGCTTCCAAGCGACTTCTTAGATCACCTTCTCCTCATCACACAGACTCTGGTCAACTCTAGACCACCGCCTGCCGTGATGCGTGCCATGTCCAGCGATCCAACACGAAGCGCAAATGGTGCACCTTTCGAGAAACACGGCCACGAGCTCGCAGATGATGTCGCTTCCATTGACTTGAACCATCCCAAAAAACACACCGACGGCCTTGTCTGCTTGCCTTTGCCCCAGTTCAACTCTCCCCAGTGCGACGAGCGGACCAAGACCATCGAGGCCAATCTCTCAAAGCTCGCAGAGAGGCTATGGCGTGCCGAAGACCACCTCGAAGTCGTAGCTCGTAGTCAAGAGCTCGTTCGCACTCCAGGCGCACAGGAGGATCCTTCCGACCCATTACAACACAACGATAACCTCTTCTTTGGCAAGCCTTTCCCTTACCCGCTCTCCCATGCACAGCCTCAAAGCTCCTCATATCCTCTCAGCTACCCACTCGGCATGAGTCTCAACGGTCCTGTACTACTCGGCGGTCAACCATCACGCAACGACGACCCCATCGCTTCCTTCGAAAAGTACAACGACGAGAGCGGCCTCTCTGCTCAAGAAGAGCTGCGTCTGCTCAAAGCTCAGGTTCAGGATATTGCTCGCGTCTGTAAAGCCGTCGCTTTCGGAGATCTCACTCAGCACATTACCGTCCCCGTTCAAGGTCACGTCATGGTCGAACTCAAGGATATCATCAACCAGATGGTCGATCGTCTTTCGCATTTCGCCGCCGAAGTTACCCGTGTCTCGCTCGAAGTAGGAACTCAAGGCAAGCTCGGTGGTCAAGCCGAAGTACACGGCGTCGAAGGCACATGGAAAGAACTCAAGGATGTCGTCAACCGTCTTGCTGCCAACCTCACCAACCAGGTTCGAGGTGTCGCCCTCGTCACCAAGGCTGTCGCTCGTGGAGATCTCTCCCAAAAGATCGAAGTCGAAGCCGACGGAGAGATTCTCGAGCTCAAGGTCACGATCAATGTCATGGTGGACCAACTTCGTCACTTTTCCACCGAAGTCACTCGTGTTTCGCGTGAGGTAGGCAGCAAAGGTCAGCTCGGAGGTCAAGCCAACGTACCGGGCGTTCAAGGTGTTTGGAAGGAGCTTACCGATAATGTCAACCGCATGTGCTCCAACCTCACCGGTCAGGTACGATCCATCGGTATGGTCACTACTGCCGTCGCAAAGGGTGATCTCGCCAAGACTATCGACATTGACGCAGAAGGAGAGATGGCACAGCTTAAAGATACCGTCAACTCGATGGTCGGTCAGCTCCGTATCTTTGCCAGTGAAGTCATCCGCATGTCCATGGAGGTCGGTACCTACGGAAAGCTTGGTGGTCAAGCGCATGTGCCCAACGTCGAAGGTACTTGGAAGGACTTGACAGAGAATGTCAACAAGATGGCCGACAACCTCACATCGCAAGTACGAGAGATTGCACGTGTCACCAAGTGTGTCGCCGAAGGTGTGCTCACCGAGTTCATCAACGTCGATGTCAAGGGTGAGATCCTCGATCTCAAGCTCACCGTCAACAACATGGTTCGTCAACTCAAGACACTCTCCGATGAGATCATTCGTGTCTCGGTCGAGGTAGGCACCGAAGGTCGACTCGGAGGTCAAGCCAAGGTCAACGACGTCAAGGGTCAGTGGCAGGTGCTGACCGAGCGAGTCAACATGATGGCCAGCAACTTGACAACACAGGTGCGATCAATTGCCACTGTCACAACCGCTGTCGCACGCGGTGACCTCAGCAAGACCATCAACGTCGAAGTTCGCGGCGAGTTCCTTGACCTCAAGTTGACGGTGAACAACATGGTGGAATCCTTGCGAACCTTCTCCTTCGAGGTAACACGAGTCGCCAAGGAGGTCGGTACCGAAGGCAAGCTTGGTGGTCGTGCTACTGTGCTTGGTGTCGGCGGTACATGGAAGGATCTCACCGACTCGGTCAACACCATGGCTGCCAACTTGACGCTCCAAGTGCGTGCCATTGCTCACGCCACCACAGCAGTAGCCCGCGGTGACTTGACGCAAAAGGTGACCATCCCCGTGTCCGGAGAGATGCTCGACCTTGTCAACACCATCAACAACATGATTGACCAGCTCAGCTTCTTCGCTTCCGAAGTCACACGTGTTGCTCGTGAGGTGGGTACTGAGGGCAAGCTTGGTGTCCAGGCGCAAAAGAAGGATATCGAGGGCACATGGGGCGAGATCACGGACAATGTCAACATCATGGCCAACAACTTGACCTCGCAAGTGCGTGCCTTTGCCCAAATTACAGCTGCTGCCACCGACGGCGACTTTACACGATTCGTCACCGTTGAGGCATCAGGTGAGATGGACTCGCTCAAGACCAAGATCAACCAGATGGTGTACAGTCTTCGCGACAGTATCCAGAAGAACACCGCAGCAAGGGAAGCCGCCGAGCTGGCCAACAGATCCAAGTCCGAGTTCTTGGCGAATATGTCGCACGAGATTCGAACACCTATGAACGGTATCATTGGTATGACGGCGCTCACATTGGAGACCGAATTGTCGCGCTCGCAGCGTGAAAACCTTGTCACTGTTTCCACGCTGGCTGGCAACTTGCTTGCTATCATCGATGATATTCTCGATATCTCCAAAATCGAAGCTGGTCGCATGAACGTTGAAGAGATTCCCTTCTCGCTGCGTGGTATCGTCTTCAGCGTCCTCAAAACACTCTCGGTGCGAGCGACGCAGAAGAAGCTGAATCTCATGTATGAGGTGGCACCTGACTGCCCTGACCCGCTTATCGGAGACGCACTCCGACTCAAGCAGATCATTACCAACCTGATCGGCAATGCCGTCAAATTCACCGATGCGGGCGGACGTGTCGCGCTCAAATGCAAACTCTCTAAGATGGTCAATAGCAACCAAGCTATGCTCGAGTTCTGTGCATCAGACTCGGGTATCGGTATCAAGCAGGACAAGCTCGATGTCATCTTCGATACTTTCTGCCAAGCTGATGGCTCAACAACGCGCAAGTACGGTGGTACTGGTCTGGGTCTTTCGATCTCGCGACGACTTGTCAACCTTATGGGTGGTGATCTCTGGGTGCGCAGCAACTACGGCAAAGGGTCCGATTTCTTCTTCACTATGGTGGTCAAGTTGGATCAGATCTCACCTGATCAAGTCAAGGAGAAGATCCGACCTTATGCCGGACGCAACATCTTCTACCTCGACACGCTGCACGACGAGACGGGTGTTCAGGCTATGATCGAAGACCTCAGTCTCAAGCCATTCACAGTGCACAGTGTGGAAGAAGCATCGCATCGCAAGCGCGGTATGCCACGTATCGACGCTATCATTGCTGATTCCCTTGCTGTTGTGGAGGATCTGAGAAACGTCGAACACTTGCGATACATCCCTATCAATCTCGTCTCTCCTGCTCAGTTGACCCTCAACCTGACCTACTGCTTAGACCACGGCATAAGCTCCTACATCAACACTCCCACCTCCGTCGCTGATCTCTACTACGCCCTCCTCCCCTCCCTCGAATCTTCCGCCGCCACCCCAACCGAAGGCTCCAACGAAGTCACCTACGACATTCTCCTCGCAGAAGATAACGTCGTCAACCAGAAACTGGCATGCAAGATTCTCACCAACCAAGGTCACAAAGTTGACATTGTCGACAACGGCCATCTTGCTGTCATGGCGGTGAAGAAACGACAGTACGACGTGATCTTGATGGATGTCAGCATGCCAGTTATGGGAGGAATTGAAGCTACAATGGCCATTCGAGAGTTTGAAAAGACTCTCGGAGATGAACAGGTGCCGATCGTGGCATTGACAGCACATGCGATGTTGGGTGATAAGGAGAAGTGTTTGCAGGCTGGAATGTCGGCATATGTCAGCAAACCGATTAGGAGGGTCGAGTTGATAAGTACGTTGCATTCGCTGTTGAGTCAGAAGAAGAGTAGCGATAAGAGAGCCTAAGCTCGCCGGAAGAGGCGCATCTTAGCCCTTCTCACTCGATCACTTCGCGAGGCAGGCGAAGGGGGGTTTTGTATTCTCATCTATGCCACTATACTTAGTTTCCATAATTGCTCCCCCAGAGCCGTGTTAGTGTTTCGGTCCCCGTATATCTTAAAGCAACGCAATCTTTATACATTATCAGATCCACCGCAGTCCGGCATGTGCAAAGACTTGATTGTGGGGTCACTCTTGATCTCGTTCGAGCCGAATTCTCACAAGAAGCACAATGCAGGGGATGGTAGATCAAGGGTTTGATTGCAAGACACAGCATCCAAAAAAAAAAAAAAAAAAAAAAAAAAAAAAAAAAAAAAAAAAAAAAAAGGCGATTCGTTAACGAAAGAAGGGTGAAGGTGATGTCTACGACGACCACTGCAAACTCCACTGGGAGCTCAGATGGCTATGCAATCCGGTAACGTTGAGCAACTGCTTTCCTTGGTCCCAGCTGAACTGGGTGTTGTTGTTTCCTGCGAAAGTCACAGCGTTGGGCTTCTGTTTGACATCCAGCACAACAACGTAACCGAGCTTCTGGCTTGGGTTGAAGTCTCCCTGCAGCTTAACGTCCAGTTTTCCACTCTCTGCCGTCACCGTCAAGGTAGAGTTGGGGGCAGGAGCTGGGGTTGCTCCGTCGTCCAGATAGAAGCATTGCTTCGCTTTTCCGTCGTTATTCAGGTTTACGACTAATCCGTAGGGGCTCTGAGCGGTCTCGTAAACGGTGTATGCGGGTTGAGAGTGAGTAAGAAGCGCGCGTCCCGGTCGAAGATGTACGTTGATCGTGCTGAGAGGAGCTGGCACCGAAACATTCTTGTTGTACTCCACCTCCAGGGACTCGTAGCTGAAGATGTTCCTCCATTTACCCCCTGCGTCAGGGAACAAAGCCTTGACCTCGGTCACATTAGGCTCCAGTACGGGGGACACTAGGAGGTTATCACCAAACATAAACTGATGAGCATAATCCTTGGTCTCCTCAAACACCTCTTCGAATTCGTACCAAATAGCCCTAACCGCCGGTTCACCACTCTCAGCGCTCTTCGCCATATGGCTGTACAGCGTGGGAAGAATCTCGTACCTTTTCCCAATCGCAATCCTACTAGCATTCGCCACACTATCCCACCTAAACGGCTCCTGAGCGATAGCACCGATAGTGTTGTGGTTGCGCATGAACGGCAAGAAAGCACCCAACATCATCCATCTATTGCACAACTCTTCATCCGTATTCCTGTTAAACCCGCAGATGTCGGCACCGATCATGTGGATTCCGAAGATTTGGAACTGTAGTACTCCGTCAATGCTCTGTGCCATGCCCGCTCCTGCTTTGTACGCTTCTTTTGCAGGGAGGATGTTGTATAGCGCATAGTTGTCCCCGAGCCAATGACCGGTGAACTTACCAGCACCAGGGTAAGTTGAACGAGAGATGAGGAACGGTCGTTCATCAGGTCGGATCGAACGAAGTGCGTTGTAGAAATGCTGTTCGGAAAGTGTTCCATCGAGATTGTGTACGTCATAGAAAGAGTTGGAGGAGTTGGAGGAGACGGCAGACATGGAAACGGTTTTCTTGTCAAGGTTGATGTTGAGCGGGGTTTCGGAGATGTGGATTCCATTGTGCATTGCGTAGGGTGGGTTGGTAAGGTAGCGTTGCGAGCTGTTCGAGTATTGGTAGTTGGGGTCGTTGGGTCCATACTTGTCGGCTCCATCGTCCTGCTGTCGCTTAGCCGGGACTACATCCTTTTCTGGCGAGAAGGTGGGGAGGAGAGAACGACGTTGTTGCTGCGAATCATCGTTGTTCTGCACCGGTCCATCACGGTAAGTGTAAGTACCATTGATAATAAGGTTACCAGAGTTGCCCCAAGTCTGGTTGTTGTACCCCTGAGGCCACCCAGCAACGCTAGTCGCAGGCGTATAAGCAGGAGTATCACTCAAGTTCGTCTCCGGACCCGCAGCATTGCCAATAACAAAACTACTGGGCTCATTCATATCCAACCAGATGCCCGAAAAGTCAACCACCTTACTGAAATTCCCAATCGCCTCAGTCCACCACTTTTGCGCATTCTCGGCCTGTTGATCTACAAAACTCGTATATCCTGGCCAAACCTCTCCAATATACTCGCTTCCATTCCTGTTCCTCATGAACACGTTCAGCTCGTCCCCCCTCGTACCCGGATAGTACACATCCGAAGAATTAGTGGGAGCTTTGGGAATAGCCATATCGATAATCGGAATATAATGCTGATGATTCTGCCTCAGCTTGGAAATCATAGCAGCAAATTCGGTGGGCGGGAAACGGTAAGGATCGGTGGTGAAATCGCGGAACTCTTGCATATAGTCGATATCGTTCCACTGCACTTCGAGCGGAATGTTTGCGGCTCGCATCGAGTCAATGATGGCTTGGGTGGAAGAAACGTTAGTGTAGCCCCATCGACAGAGGTGGAAGCCATAAGACCAATAGGGATGGATGACCGGGTTGCCGATAAAGTTTACGTATTGTTGAATGGCGGTGTTGGGACTGTTCTTTCCCTCGTCGCTGGAGGAGTCGCCGGAGAAGAATCGGAAATCAAGAGTTCCGCCGATGGCACGATACTGAATCACTCCCCTTCGCAACAACACATCCATTCCGGCGGTGTTCTGGAGATAAACAGTATGAGTGCTCAACTTGGCATCCTTTCCTTTCCTAGCCTCGGTGTAGACTGGGTGGTAGCCATACTGATTAGAATCAACCGGCGTACCCGCATCCAAGGTAAAGAAGGGTTGCAGAGTTTCGTCCGGATTCCTCCTGAAACTACCCGTAACATACTCTCCTAGCCCATAAACATTGGCGCCTTCAGGCAGGGCGGAGGAGAGCTGGAGGTACTGGTTCTCAAACACCATCTCGTGTTTGGGCATCGCAGTCGAATTCCTCTTTGTATCACTCGAGACATTGTTGATGCCTTGTTCGTAGGTGGGAATGTTTTGCGAGCGAGTATCAAAGATCACTTCGCCGGAGGATTTGCGTTGGATCCAAAAGGCCCAACTGCCATTGCTGGATTGGGTAGCGTTCTCTGCGGTATGATGGAAAACTAGATCGCTTTCCTCTGCAGTGGAACCTTGCTGAATCTCGTCAGGATTATCCGAAGGCCTGTCGTAGATGAGGCGATTGGGAAGCTGATACTGCTGCTTAGCAGTATCGTATATATGAACGTGGAGTTGATGTTTCTTCTCATACACCACACTGAGCGTCAAGTTCGAGATATCGACGCCGTAAGCATGACAGGCATCACCAGCGAGCGAGAGTTGAGCTGTGAATCCATGCTGAGACTTTTGGGGTTCTCCGACTAATTGGTAGCCAGGACATTTGGTGATGTCAAAGGAAGGGGTGATGGTGCGGTTGTTGTTGTCGGCACGGGTCTGGAGTATAGAAGTTTCAAGCTGGTGTTGGTCGATAATGGATGATGAGGGGAGTGCGAAGGTGGATGAGAGGGTTGTGAAGAGGGCTGCGGCAAGGGAAGCCGCTTTGATGGAGCGCATCTTTGCGGGAAGGGGGAGGTCTACTCTCTTGAGGAGGACCTTAGGATGATCGATAGTGAGGAAAGAAGGTAGGAAGGAATGGTTGGGTCCGCGTCCTTATATGGCAGGGCAGGGAAGGGCTCAGTCGGATGACGCTGAACAAAGAATTGCATCGAACGCTGAACTCTGCTTTGCGTGGTGAAGAGAAGATCAAACCGGCAGCGGGGCTCCAGAGCAAAACACAAAGGCGGGGGGGGGGGGGGGGGGGGGGGGGCGAAAAGAGCCGACGGCACTCTGTGTGTGGAGAAAGCAGAGTTGCACCGAAACGAAAGCGAAAGCGAGATGATGCAGAGTTATGTTAGGAATGCAGATCTCCCACGGTTGAGAACGGCGGAAGCAGCGATGACCAAAAATGGAAAGATGATAGCCAAGAAGTTTGCACTTATGCCCCTCCTTCTAAGCGAGTCAGAACCTGCTCTCGAGGGTGGGCAGGTGCACAAGAGAAGAAGTGTGCAACTTGCAATGCTTCGGCGAAATGCTGTTTCGGAAAGATCTCGGAGAGATTGTTGACTGCTTTGGAAGTTGCAGCATGTGTCCATTCGAAGGTGAAACAGTATGGGGACCCCTTTGGCAGCATGAAAAGGCTTCCGCATTGTTCGCTTCGACAACACTGCATGTTTCTGGTGTGAGAGTCTTGGCGTTCTCGATTGCTTGCATTGCTTGCATTGCTTGCATTGATTGCATTGACTTGATTGAACGATCGCGAGAATGCAAACCCCTCGTTTAGGTCGTGTGGGAGAGAGAGTATCGTGTGTCTACGAACAAGACGAGCTCGAATCGAAACATCTCCTAACCGAGCCTTGCTCTCTATGAAGCAAGCGAGACCGAGACCGAGTTCGGAAGCCTTGCTCACAAGAGCTGTCTCTCTATGAGATGTTTGTTGTGAGAGAGCAAGAGGGAAGAGGTCAAGTTTCGGTGGAACTCGTCAAAAGGAGACTATCGTATCGATGATGGCTGTCGACAGATGTCAGAATAAATGCGATGTAACATTGACCTCAGTTTTTCTTTTCTTTCCGCCCGAGAGAGCTTTTGGCAGTGTTGGTTTCAGCTGCACTTTTTGAATTGGCAGCCTATTTGCCGCCTATTTGCAGCCTATTTGCAGCCTATTTGCTGCCCCTTTTGGAAATAAAAAAGGGGCAATTCCAATCAGGGTCCAACTTTGTATCTCTCAATAGAACGAGATGGTTGCCGTTGTATTGATAGTTGGGCCGTGAAGCAGCCGAGTTGTATTCCAGCATGCATTTGTAACTGCCCAAGGCCTCCTATTCCACTCTTCTATTCCACTCTGCTATTCCACTTCTCCTCATCAACACTCCTCTTCGCTCTCTTGCTTCGCTATACAATACACCATCTTTGCATTCTCTCTCTCTCACACACACATCATCTTCATTCAAGCTTCTACACTCCTTCACAAGCAACACGGCTCGCCGAGCAAACGTAGCTGTCATTGCTCGTAGGACACGCCCTACGGAAAAAGGAACACGCCTCACTCCAGGATCGAACCATGGCTGCTGCAACAGCACGACCGCAAGGCGCAAGGCCCATGCCTTCATCTTCTGGCTCTGGTGGCAGTGGCGGCGGCAGCGGCGGCGGCGGTGGTGCTATGCCTTACTATGGAGGTGCTGGTGCTTTTGCTGGTCCCACCAAGGAAGCGGCTTGGTACGAGCATGAAGAGCGTATGCGTCCTTCCTACATTCAACAGCCTCCTCCTCCTCCTCCTCCTCCTCAACCTCTCGCTCAGCCTATGCACTACAACCGGCCCTACACTTCCAGAGGTCAACCTCCCGTCAGCCCATCTGCCTATGCCAACTCCAACGCACACTTCGCTCCTCAACAACCACAACAGCCAGCATACCCCAATCCTCACCACTCCCAGTCACAGGCATATCAACAAGCACCGCCTCAACGCAGCTCTCCCCCCTATCCGCCCCACATGACGCTACAACAACAATCTCCTTACCAGCCTGCCGAGGCGCAGTATACCCCGAAGCTGCCTCCCCCTCCGCAACGATATGCTCAAGCTGCTCCTCCTCAGTCCTCAAGGCCACCTCCCTCTCCCTCGGCCAAGTATGCAAACCCTCACCTTAACAGTGCGCCCTCCCGTTTCGCTCAGAACCCCTCTTATCGCGACTCGGACGACATGCCTCGCTCCGCTGTCAAGGGCAGCGCATTCATGCACAAGGGCTTCTGGGATATCATGTCGCTCGTCAACAATCAGGGTCCTTCGAACAACCGTCTCGCCCCTCCTTCTTCATCAAATGCCGGACGTCCTTCGTCTCCGGGCAAATTCCGCTCCACGCTCAGCAAAGCTTCCGGTGCTCTGCGCAAGAATACCCAGGACAACTTCCAAGCCGGTCCCGAGTACGGCTATGCTCCCAACGGCAACCCATCGCCTCGCGCTCCCGCCTCTCCTACCAAAGAGCCTTCTGCATCGGCTCTTCCAGGTGCTTGGCCTCGCCCCGCTTTTGCTTCTCCTTCCACTCACGCAGCTAATGCTTCCGCTGTGAGCACCGCTCTCAACTTCTTTGCTCCCGCCGTTATGGGTCCTAGAGCACAGAAGAAGCGTATCAGCATCGACATGGTCGGTTCGCCTCAGACTCAGACCTTTGTCCACGCTGCTCATGCTAGCGATGCCGAACAAGCCGAAATCATCCTCAACAGATGGAGTCGTGATGGTGTTGGAAAAGTCGCTGATCCTACTTGGGTTGAGCCCATCAAGGAGGCTCTGCGTCTTCAAGCTGCCAGAAACCAGGCTGAAGCCATTGCTCAGGTACAAGCCGCTATGCATCAAGACAGTTTGATTCACGAGAACCCTCGGCAGTTGCAAATCGTCAATGGTGCTCCGAGCCAGATCTCGATGCTCACCACCACCACCACCACCACCACCACCACCACCACTGCTACTGCCGGTCACAGCACTCTTTCCAACACTACAATCCGTGCCAATGTTGGTCAAGGTGCTCCCTTATCACCTGCACGCGAGTGCAATGCTTTCGCTCGTATCGCAGAAGAGCCTCATTCTGGCATCGATTCGGAGCTCGAAGCTGCTATCCATGCCCAGCTTGCACTTGGTATTTCCTCCTCGACTCCACCTCCTCCTCAGCCCGCATTTGCCAAACCTCCTACTCTCCGCACCAACACAGCTGGAACTTTGCTCGTCAACCCCTCTCCACCCGTTGCACGCGATGGAAATGCTCGAACTCCAGACTACATGATGCACCGTCCGCCCTCACCCAACACCGATGGTACACCAACTGCTGCATTCAACCGCAACAGTCGCAACATTGACGGTCTCCCTTCTGGCGCCCCTCATGCCATCAATGCCATGTTTGAAGCCCCCGCTCCTGCACCAGAGCGACCCAACTCGATGGTCATCTTGGACTCTCTACGCTCAATCGACACTGCAGGTATGACTTGCCTCGCCGACTTCTCTCAGCCTATCGGTGCAGCTGTTCGACCATCCCTCGAGACCGTCGAGAAGAGTGTCGCGGCAAAAATCTACTTCGAGAACCTCTACTATGGAATCCTTAAAAAGCCCAAAGCGCGTGACACACGTCGTGCCGGTCTCGAAGCCGAGCTCGCCTCGCTCCGCATTCCCGAAAGTAACAAGGAGCAAATCCGCGAAGCGTGGATGGCCAACGAAACGCGCTACCTCCGAGACCTACGTGCAAGAGTCAACGTCAACTCGTTCCTCAAGCTCAAAACCATCGGTCATGGTGCATTCGGTGTTGTTGCCTTGTGCAAGGAACGCCAATCGGGTCAACTTTATGCGATGAAACAGCTGAGGAAGGCTGATATGCTACGTAAAGGTCAAGAAGGACACGTCCGCGCCGAAAGAGATCTTATGACGAGTGCCTCTGCTAGTGCGAGTGCAAAGTGGATTGTAAAATTGGTCTATTCGTTCCAGGATGTAGACCATCTTTATTTGATTATGGAGTTTATGGGTGGTGGAGATCTGCTCAACCTTCTCATTGAGAAAGACATCTTTCAGGAGGACTTTGCGAGGTTTTATGTGGCAGAGATGATTCTGGCCATTCATGAAGCTCATTCGTTCGGATATATCCACAGGGATATCAAGCCGGATAATTTCCTTTATACTTCGGATGGTCATATCAAACTCGCCGACTTTGGTCTCTGTCAATCTTTCCACTGGGCTCACGACGGCGCATACTACGATCAGCAACGGAAGAATCTTCTAAAAAAGCACGGCATTGATTTGGACGATTCTCATGCGGCTGCGGGGATGCTGAGGGCGAGGCAGAATACCGGTCGTGGCGGTGCTAGGCCGGCTCAAGCTGGTGCCGGGTTGAGCGATAAGGAGTTGTTAGAGATCATGTCGGATCGTAACCCGGACGGAACACCAATGACGCATGTCCTCACTTGGAGAGAGAAGAACAAGAAGAAAATCGCTTACTCGGTGGTAGGAACGAACAACTATATGGCACCAGAAGTGTTGAGGGGATTGGGTTATGATCAGGCTTGCGATTGGTGGAGTTTGGGTGTCATCGTTTTCGAGATGTTGTACGGCTACCCTCCTTTCGTTTCAAAGTCGAGGCATCTTACGAGGCAGAAGATCTTAAACTGGAAGCAAACACTTAGGTTCCCACCCAAGCCTCGCATCTCGAGGGAAGGGCAGGATTTCATCGCCCGTTTAGTCTGCGAACGCGAGGATCGTCTAGGCAGCACAGCATCCGCTTCGGTCTCCCGCCCCAACTCCTACCTCCAGTCAGCCCGACGATCCGGTTTCACCAACCAAAACACCTGCACTCCCCAAGGCAGCGGCTTGCAAGACGGAGTGGAAGAACTCATGTCTCATCCTTGGTTCCGCGGGATCGACTGGGACAACCTCCACAAAAGCCGACCACCCTTCCGACCAGCCCTTTCGCATCCTGGCGACACAAAACATTTCGAAGACGATATCGAAGATGCTCCCCTCCCCGCTCCCGGTGCTGTTGATAATCCAAATGCGGACCAGCCAAGAGATCCGATGCTAAGGGACAGAGAACAAGGACCGAAGCTGTTGGAGATGAGGAAACAACTCGCCTTTGTTGGGTACACGTTTAAGAGTCCAAAGGCGTTCGATCCGAGAGAACAGCTGGATGAGGATAGGGTAGCTGCTGCGGAGAGAGCTGCTGGCTATAAGGTGGGAGGAGAGAGGCGTAGGAGTAGGGAGCCGACTGAGATGGGAAGTCGGATTAGGAGTATGTCGATGTAACCCCTAAAGCCCCCTTGGCGGTTTAGGGTCGGTTCGTGGACAGCAGGAGGGCAACTGTCCCTTGTTCTTGCTTTCATTTCGCTATACACCTTTTCATTCATGGATCTGTTATTCACTTGTGTTTCGTTGCTAATGCCCTTATCAAGTTCTCATATCATCGCCATTTGCTCGTATGAGGAGGAGACCGCGAATTTGAAATACAGTATCGGGGGAAGTTCAGCTACTTGGCTTCCCGATCTTACTACCCTCGTGCATGTGGGATTGAAAGATACTGTATGTGCGCTTAGATCGACAGTCTTGCTCTCAAGAAAAACCCTTCACACGAAACTCTTGATACAGAAACGTTTGCAGGGAATGGCGGACAGGGAACTTTCGAACACTCCTCCTTCTCTTATACAGGCTCTGTGAAAGTGTGAAAGGCTGGTGGTGACCACACATGCATCCGAACCTTGCTGAATTGGTGTGTTGTTTGGAGATGCGCGCCGTGCACACATCTTGTCTGAGAGAGAAAGGGGGAAGGGGGAAGGGGGAAGGGAATGTCGGGCTTACATTTCCAGCATCCCTCTCCTCCTCGTACTGTTCATCACGGCCGCCAACTCAGTCCTTTAGAATGACAGCAGCTTCGATTCCCGCCCGTCTCGGCGAACGACCCGTCATGGATAGCTCCGTTGTAGCGCAACTCGCGAAGACCGTCTTAACACCACTCTCTGGTCTTCCATTCCTTACTCAACTCTTGATCGGCACCCTCGCCCTGCTATCAGGATGGATGCTGTACAACCTCACGATCTCACCACTCTCCCGTTATTTTGGCCCTCTCTCCGCCCGACTCGGCATTCCCTTCTGGTGTTTCTGGCACACGCTTCAGGGCATCGGCAAAAACATCAGCTTGATGGAGGTCTCAAAGATCATTCCTGAGATCTTGCTCAGGTATGACATCAAGGAGCCGATTGTCGCACCCACAGTGCAGAGGCATGGTGCGACCGCTGGCCTTGGAAAGAGCGCAAAACAGCCGTCGTTCCAGGGAAGAAGCTGCTGGTTCCTTGAAGCACATGTAAGTTTATCACTGAATAAAGAAGTGACACTTAGCGACGCTTATCGGGAGATATCAGTCTAAGTACAGTGTTCAAGCTATTGAGCAAAACACTATACTATATTGACATCAGGGAGAGATTGTGGTGAGAGACTCGAGCTCTCCGCTTGATACATATACAAAGTACTGGCACATCCCACATGTGGGAGCATCATCCTCAATGATGAAGTACGACAACGAGCAGGGCCCCCAGTAGTACCCGATCTCTCACTTGTATCGGCTCTACCTGATCTTCAGTGTCTTGCTGGATCGTTACCTTGAGCAATCACGCCCATTTTTCCTTTCGTCGAGTAGTATTGAGATCAGCATACTGACTCTCAATTGCCCTTGCTGCCTTCTCATCTTGAAAGAATCTTTATGTCGAGCTTGTACCACTCAACACAGTCTAATGCGTCGACTGTGCATCGCTCTGTATGAATATTCACATGAGACCGGCCAGTTGAAATTGCATGGATGAGGAATGTGATGCATTGCATTGAAGACAGTCGACTACAGTCAGCGGTGAATGGGGATGGGCGGTAGTTCTCATCAGCTGTTGAGACGCACGGCAAACGAACAAAATTGGAATGAAGGGATACCAAATGGGGGTGAGGAATATTCGAAGCACAAGTAGCGGACGCAAGGACCCTACGGTCGAATATAATGCAATTCACTGTGAAGCACCTTGCCATCTTTATCTAATACGAAGCCGAGCAACTCATGAGTAAGTGGATCATAAGCTTTGAGGTGCTTTTCCCTGTTGAGATGAGTGCGCAGATCGGAGAGCTCTGCCGCTCTCACATCAAACATCGCGTTGCTCCCTTTTACCTGTTGCCATGTAGGCGTTCTATAACCTAAGAATCGTCGGCTTTTTGGTTTGTCGAACGGACGCCCCTTCATAAGGAACTGAGCGTTCTGACCATAGGTCTCCCCGAACCTCCTCGAGTTCCTGAGATACGTATGAATGTCTTCCACCTCGGGAGTTATGTATTGGATAGAGTCACCAACGCCAAGTTTCATGCCCGCGTACCGGGGCTCATCGGGTGCGTTGTCAGACGGGGGGCCTTGAAGCCAGACCTTCCTGTAGCTTTTCAGAGCATCCTTCACTGTGGTTTCAGGAACAGCTTCTGTATGAAGCACCGGCACGCGCATATAATGAATATGAGTGCCGAATTGCTCATCCAAAGCTTCGCTTGTTAGGGGTTGCCTGTTTGGTTCGAGCTTGAAGTCGGGTGTTGCGTAATATTCAAACTCCTTGATACCAGAAGGTTCTAGAGGAGGAGCTACAGAGCTAGAAGAATCACCATGCTCCATCGGCATTGCATGGCAAAGTAGGGCTGGGAGAAGCAATAGGACGAGTGCTGAGAGCAGCACCATCCATTACTGAAAGGTTTGGCGCATTGCCAGCATTACTCGAGAGGATGAAGTGGCAAGGAGAGGTCGATGAGGGAGAGACCCGAATGAGACAGGGATACAGGGGGTCTTCTTATACCTTCTGAGCCCTCCTTCCAGAAGGACAACATTTTGCTGCAACATGGCAATGTGTGGCGATAGCTCTCTCACGTCTTTGCGTTGTATTGCGCATCTCGGTCAGCCACCTAGCCTTCATTTTCCCTCTTTGTCTGAAATCAAACTTCAGCAATATTGCCTCCTGGTCGGTGGCACCGATTGATCTGGTGCAAGTGGGAACTTGAGTCGGTGCATTCAGACACCGAGACATGAAGGTACAAAAGTGCTGTGGTGCAAAGTGCGAAAGCTATGGACAAAGAGAGTATGCCAGCAAACAATGCTTCAATCCACCAGCACAATGTGGGTGTTTTGCCCTAGGAGATTCAACGTGCAGTTTAAGGCAACATCAGAAAAGCCCACTTCATCGACATTGTTAGGAGTAACTATCCTGACCGTGCATTCGGTTTCGACTCGCAGACACCTTGGGGGTGAAGCTTGCTTTGCTGCTCGACCTCTTTCACCCGTGCATGTCTTTTCATAACAGTCTTTTCATAACAGTCTTTTCATGACAGTCTTTTCACAACAGTCCGAGTCAAGAAGAAATGTAGCATTGATGCATAATGTGGGATCTCTACGCCACGAAGGAAGTGGTCGTCTAGACTTTTGTCGTTCCTGTTTGCCGTTCTTGTTCTTTGCAAAACCTGAATCCGTATACACTTTGCGTAGGACAACCAACAAGCCGCGGCTAAAACGGAGAAGGTCGAACAGAGCTAATTGGCGAAAGTGAGCGATGGCGCTATTTCCAGACGCGAGCCGTGGGATATTTCGAATTTTCCAGCCTCAATTTCCTTTTTTTTTCCCTACGATGTAACATCTTTCGAACCAAAAATACATCTTGTCGACATAGTGATGCTCACCCATCTCCCTCGCTTCCCCTCGCCATTGTCATGCACCGCGGTGTAGCCTTATCTCTCTTGGACAACGGCGGAGTAATCTGCCTTGCAGCTGGATACTTGATCTCATCGACCTCCGCTCACGCTTCTCTTTCTCTCATTCCCACCTCGCACACTCGCGCAACATTCCCCCTCTCCAGCCTCAACCCAGACGATCCCAGCGCGTACAAAGATGCGGTGCTGCTCGCCACTCAGTTCACCGAACTCGACAAACGATTCGTACAGACTCCCAAGGTGGAGCATCAATGTGGTGGAAACGGTGTGGCAGAACTAAACAAGCTAGCAGTGGGAGAAATGATGGAGTGCTTGAGAAGAAGCGAGAGAGAAGTGTTGGTTATAGACCACACGGGAGAGACGGCAAGATTGGCGGTGTCAGTGTTGAGGCAGGCCAGAGTGAAGGCGTTTAGCGTTGTTGGTGGGTGGGAGGCGCTGGTTGGTTGCGCAGTCGAGGTTGTGAAAGCCTAGCCTGTTCTCTTTCGCTGTGTTTTGCTCAGTGTGCTTTGTCTGTGCGTTTGTTCTCGTACTCGCATCTTTTGCTGTATATCACTTCTGGAATCCGATCACCGTGTGTCTTTGTGTGATACTGTGCATTCCCTTTTTTTTCGTGATGATGCTACAGTACAAAGCCCTTACTGTTTTCCTCCGCCGAACAAACTCGGGAACGGGTGATCCTCCGTCGGCTGCAGCCAATTCAACTCATCATACACTGCCCTCTCCTCGTCGCCTTCGATCATATGAAACGTATAAATGAATCTACTTTTATCGCTCAAATTCTTCTCACTCTTATGCAAGACACTTCCATGAATTAAGACCAACGTCCCCGCCTTACACTCTGCTACGACTGCTTCTTGTTCGTTCCATTTGGTTTCTTCTTCGTTGCTTAGTTGGAGGAAGGTTGTTCCTGCGTCTGGATTACCCTGCTCTTTTCTAACGAATCGCTTGTTGACTCCTCGAGCGATTCCGAGTTGTTCGTTGTGCGGATCGATGGGTCGAGAAGTGGCAGAGGCGGGTGGTGGAGGGATGGTTTTCTTGGGAAACCGATGCGAACCGGGCATGAAAGAAAGACACCCGTTGGATAGAGTGCAGTCTTCTAAAGCAAACCAGAAGCCAACCGCACTGGGCGGGTCCGTGTAAAGAAACGTCGAATCGTTATGACTAGGCACAGCACCACCAATACTAGGCTGTTTACAGATAATCATACTCTGTAGCACCTTTGGATCCTTATGCACCCCTAAAATCTTTGCTACATTTTGCATTCCCTCACTCAAGCTAAATTCCTTAAACATTTCATCGTGGATGTGCAGACCATGTCCGCACTTGTTGATGGCTCTCTCTTTGGGGACGAGAAGAGTTTTGGTAGTGGGATCGAGCGCGCCTTGTTCGAAGAAATAGTGGATCTTATCACCAGAGTCGAGGAAATAGCGGTCGCCGACATGGGCTTCTTGGCCTCGAACGTTGTCGGAGGTGGTAAATGCGGTTAGAGGGTGGTTGGAAAGGGGGAAGGTGGAGATGAGGTGTTTGGAGCGGGCGAGGAGTGGGGCGGGCTCGAAGAATGATGGTAGCAAGAGGTAGCCGTCGCGATGGAACTGCAAGATTTGGTCGGGGGTGAGGTTGCCTTTGGAAGACATTGTTGCCATGTGATCAGGGTTGGCGTTGGTGGGAGGTTGTGATGGGGGAATGGATGAGGAGGTGAGGAAAGTGAGGGAGGTGAGAGGGTGGTCTTTGCGGGGGAAGCCAACCTGCGCTTTGGCCGGCTTCTCGGATTGATTTTCGAAGCTGTTCCCGAAGAGCCGAAATTATTCGAGATGTTAGAGCTATGGTTATAACACACCAGCGTGCCAAATTCGATTGACGCCATTTGAAAACACGGTTAGATTGCCGCTCAAGCACGGCCCGATGTAGAATATACAGCCGAAGGGTCCATCGAAGAGGTGCAATCCATATTACCACCATCTCTCTCGTCAGGCCGTTCGTTGCCACTCAGATAGATGTGGACGAGGTAGATAGACACCCGCACCCGCACCCTCACCCTATACACCCTGCGGCGTCATGCGGTCAGCATCGATAGAAGCCGGCACGGCCTCCAGCTCACAAACAACCGCTCAAGACCAGCAACGGCTACTCGACCCGAACTCCAGCAGCCAGCACACCGATGGCGATGATGACTTCACAATACGCGCCGTCCTAGCTGGCTTGCTGATTGGCTGCTTACTCGCATTCACCAACCTCTATCTGGGTCTACAGTCAGGATGGATCAGCATGATGTCCCTCCAAAGCTCGCTTTTAGGGTTTGCACTATTTCGCATCATTCCACGCCATATCGACCTATCTGGTCGACGGTTTGTGCTCATGTCAACACCTTTTACGCGACAAGAGAACGTTTTGGTACAAACAACAGCAGCAGCCGTGGGAGTGATGCCCTTGTCTGCAGGACTGGTGGGTGTGATTCCAGCACTGAACAAGCTGACGTGGGAGAAGGATGGGAGTGGTCCGATTGATTTGGACTTCTTGCAGCTGTTGGGGTGGTGCTTTGCGCTGGCCTACTTTGGAGTCTTCTTTGCAAGTCCACTGCGAGAGCCGATGATCGTGAAGGAGAAACTGACGTTTCCGAGTGGCACAGCGACTGCGCAGTTGATTGGGGTGCTGCATAATAAGCCGCTGATTGGGATAGCCAGCTCGACGGCTGCAAATGGAGTGAATCGTGGTCAGGTTAGGAGATGCAGTCATGCACAATCAGGCGACGTCCAAGGCGAACAAGACACCGAGAGAACGGCCTTGCTCAGCAGTCAAGATCATTCCCAAAGCTACGAGGATGGCGACAACCGCAACGACGAGACTGGCAGCAAGGACGGCATCGACAACTCAAAAGGCTGGAAGGCGCTAGCATGGTCCTTTTCAGGATCGGCAGGCTTCACCATCCTCTCGTACTATATTCCAGTGTTGTACGCCATGCCGCTGTTCGACTTTCTCCCTCCGCACAACCTGGCTTCGATGTGGGGATTCTGGTTTACACCTTCGCTTAATTACATCGGTCAAGGCATCATCATGGGCTTGCCGACCACGGTGAGCATGGCAGCCGGTGCAATCGTGGGATGGGCAGTGCTTAGCCCTCTAGCGTACTACAAGGGATGGGCACAGGGACATCCACTGGACTCGGAGAACGGAAGCAAAGGATGGATTCTGTGGATCAGCTTGGCCATCATGTGTTCGGAGAGTATTGTGGGCCTAGCCGCTTTGGTTGCAAGCAACGGGATTCGCGATCTGCACAGTATGGCAGCTAAGAAGAAGAGGCGGCAGGAGCATGACGATCATGATGACGGAGAACAGCAAGGGAATGAGGGTGAAGAGGCAGACAAGGATCACGAGCCGCCGCATCGACAAACTCCCAAGACGTGGGTGGTCAGCGGTCTAGTCGGATCGACATTGATAGCTGTAATGCTGATCTACATCGCATTCGGACCAGAAGGCATCTCGCCTTGGGCTACGTTGCTGGGCATCATACTCGCATCGCTGTTTGCCATCCTGGGTGTGCGTGCTCTTGGAGAGACCGATCTGAACCCTGTCTCGGGCATCGGCAAGATCTCGCAACTAATCTTTGCTCTGGTTCAACCGGGCAATGTGGTAGCCAACTTGATCGCAGGAGGTATCTCGGAAGCAGGCGCCATGCAGGCAGGAGACTTGATGCAAGACTACAAGACAGGTCACCTGGTGGGTGCATCACCAAGATCGCAATTCAAAGGCCAGCTGATTGGAAGTACACTCGGCATTTGGATCAGCAGCTTTGCATATAAGCTCTACACGAATGCATACGAGATCCCTGGACCGCAATTCCCTGCACCAACGGCGGCCGTGTGGCTCAACTTGGCGAGACTGGTCAACAACGGCCATCTGCCCGACAAAGTCGACATCTTCATGATTGTGTTTGGCGCCATCTTTGCGGTGTCAGGATTGATCAAGACTCTGGCGAGGAGCAAGGCGCTGCGACAGGAGGGTGGCCAGGTCGGGAGAAGCACTGCTGGTAAGGTGGCCAAGTTGGTACCGAGCGGTATTGCATTTGCTGTTGGCATGCTCAACACGCCCAACTTTTCGTTGGCAAGGCTGGCGGGTGGCTTGACTGCGCACTGCTACTACTCAAGGCGGAGTGCATCTGCAGCCAGCTCAGCGGCTTCTTCGTCCAAGACACCTGCCGCTTTGGCAGGGATCGGCATCATCATCGTGGCAAGCGGTTTCGTGTTGGGAGAAGGAGCAGCTAGTATCGTGACATTGTTGCTGAAGCAGAATAGTGCGCAAGCATGGACGTGTGCGGGCTGCAGGGGAGGATGCGCAGGTGGATGTTCATAGAGATGCCTAGAGTGGAAGAGCTATAGGGCCCAGTAGCGGATCGCATCTAACCAATCACATACCTCGTCGAGATGCTATAATCTGTGGAAACCAGGCTACAGATGATGGAGGCAGGAAGGAAAGCTGCTCGACACTGTCGCCTCGAGTATCACTCAGCCGCACTATGACCATGTGTGTTGTGGTTGTGGCTCTGTTTGTTTTCGGCGCGACTCGTCAGAAAAGTGTTGGTCTCTGACGCGTCTGAGCTGCGGATAAAAAAAGGTGTCACGTGAGAACGCGATTCTTTGGTGGCAATCGTGTTAATTTCAAGTGGCGCAAAATCTTGTCGATTGATGTCGACTTGTTTCCGCTCCTCCACCATCCTCTCTTTCCGCATTCTCGAACTCGTGGAGATATAGCTCGGCAGCTGCCGTCACCTCCGTATACGACAACACGGTGAAAAACTTCAATGGAGAGCGCAAACGGGCGCTAAGAGCTACTACCTCCACATGACCTCGACCAGCTGCGCATTGACGGCTCACGGCTGAGGTGGACCTGAAGACAGACCGACCGGTTGCCTGCATGCTCCTTCTCTTGACATCGGTGTGGAAGCAATATGTTTCCGCCCCTTGCATGTTCTGGTCAAACTCCTACGATGCCAAGACCGCTTATGCCGTCCATTACCAACAAGGTGCTCTCAATACCCCAACCGTAATCAAGATTCGAACGCTCTACAAACCCTCGTTGATATCGGCAAGGACTCTGGCGACGCAAAGCCCAACATCACCATCGTCAGCTCAGTTAGGCATTGCCTCCGATTTTCCAGGCATGAGGATTCTGTGCGTGGCTGAAAAGCCATCTATCGCTAAAAGCATCGCTAACATCCTTGCCCACGGCCATACCTCCAACCGCCCTGGAAAGGACAAGTATTGCCGCAACTATGACTTTCAATACCGTATGCCCGACGTACAAGGCATGGTCGATATGACCATGACCTCTGTTCGCGGCCATCTCACCGAAGCCGATTTTGGACCGCAACATAAAGGATGGCGTTCTTGTCAGCCTAGCCATCTCTTCGAAGCGCCCATCATCACTGGCTTAAGCAACGATGCCAAATCCATCGGCCAGAACCTGCGGATGGAAGCAAGAAACGCCGACGCTGTCATGATTTGGACCGATTGTGATCGTGAAGGTGAACACATTGGCAGTGAGATTGTCGAAGAGGTTCGCAAGGTGCGCCGCAACATCCGAGTCATGCGGGCCCGCTTCTCTGCTATTATCGATTCGCAGATCCACGCCGCATGTCAAAACACGGTCGAGCTCGACTGGAGAGCTGCCGATGCTGTTGAGTCTCGCATTCAACTTGATCTCCGCATTGGTGCTGCCTTCACCAGAATGCAGACCATGGCATTGCAGAATCGAATGCCTGCTCTCAGAGATGCGAGCCAAGTGATTAGCTATGGGCCATGCCAGTTCCCAACCCTCGGATTTGTCGTTGATAGATACAACAAGGTCGTTCATTTTGTCGCCGAGGCGTTTTGGTACTTGCAAGTCGACAAGACACGAAGCATGTCCGGCGGCGATCCATCTCCTGATGATCCTCCAGATCAGATCTGCAAAGTGACGTTCAACTGGGATCGTGTCCATCTCTTCGACAAAAAGGCTGTCGAGGTCTTTCGTGATCTCTGCCGAGCTAAGCGAGAAGGCACGGTAGAGAATGTGACCAACAAACAGACCAAGAAATGGAAGCCTTACCCGCTCACGACGGTAGAGCTTCAGAAGTCGGGGTCGCGTTTGCTTCGTCTTGCACCCAAGCGGATCCTTGACATTGCCGAGTCGCTTTACCAAAAGGGTTTCTTGTCGTATCCAAGAACGGAAACGGATCAATACGACAAGGATTTCGACTTCAATACTCTCATCGCTAAGCAGACTGCCGACGGAGCTTGGAGTGGGATAGCGCAGCGACTGCTAGATGGCGCATTCGAACGACCACGGAATGGCAAGAACAACGATAAAGCGCATCCTCCTATCCACCCTACTGCACACGCCGGAGGCTTGTCAGGGGACGACAAGCGAGTTTACGACTATGTCACACGCCGTTTCCTCGCCTCTTGTTGGAGCGACGCCATCGGATCTCAAACCACGGTTGCCATCGATATTGCTGGGGAAAAGTTTCACGCTTCGGGCCTCGTCATCCTGCAACGCAACTATCTCGAGGTCTTCACCTACGACAAATGGGAAGGCAATCTGCTGCCACCCTTTGTCCGAGGGGAAAGGTTGACACCAACACGACTCGAAATGAAGCAAGGCTGCACCTCGCCACCGAAACTGCTTACCGAAGCGGATCTTGTCAATCTCATGGACAAGAACGGCATTGGCACAGACGCAACCATTGCCGAACACATAGCAAAAGTGATCGAGCGCCAATACGTGATGCAGGTCAAGGAAGGCAAAACAAACTACCTTGTACCGTCAACTCTGGGAATTGGGCTAGTGGAAGGGTATAATCAGCTCAATCTGGAAAAGTCGCTCAGCAAACCACTGTTGCGGAGAGAGACAGAGTATAGAATGTCGCTCATCTGTGCTGGGCAAAGGACGAAAACAGAGACGATCCAAGAAAGTTTGGAGGAGTATAGGGAGGTATTTGCGTTGACGAGTCGACAGTTTGGCAGGATAGCGGATACGGTGCTTCAGTATTTGACCAATCCAAATGCCGGGCAGGAGGCGAGGGCTGTGGAACTAATTGAGAGGGATGACGATGGCTTTGCTGGTGATGAGAGCGATGCGGATGACTTTGATGATGGGGGTGGTGGTGGAGGAGATGGTGGAAGGGGACGGGCTGCTCGAGGGAGGGGTGCAAGCAGTACAGCGACTCGCGGTGGAAGAGGCGGCCGTGGTGGTGCAGCAGCAGCAGCAGCAGCAACTACTCGACGTCCTCCTCGGCCAGAAGACGATGATGACGACTTTACCATGTCTGCTCCCGCTCTACGGAGCTTGAACAGCACCAACGGCACTGGAGTCAGAAGATGCATGTGCGGCGAGCCAGCAGTAGAGCGCACCACCAACAAACCCGGCGCTAATCAAGGACGCAAGTTCTTCGTCTGCCCTAAACCGATGGACGATTCTGGCAAGTGCGACTTTTTCGATTGGGCCGATTCCAGCAATGGGCCCGCGCCACCTGCCAGAGTCATCCCAGCAAAACGACCGAGTGCATCAGATAACGACTCAGACAATCGGTCGTCCAACGTGCGCACTTACAACTGCAATTTCAATTCAGGAGGAGTTCGACGATGTGACTGCAACCTGCAAGCGGTTCTCAAGACTGTTTCGAAAGATGGGCCGACCAAGGGCAAGGCTTTCTGGGCATGCAATCGCGAAAGTGCAAGACTCAGGTGCGGATTTTTCGAGTGGGATGATGGCTCTGCTGACACCTCTGATAGCAACGATGGTGCTGGTGGCGGAAGGTATGGAGGTCAGACGAGCCGTGGCAACTCACGCAGCAGTGGTGGAGGAGGCGGGGGAGGCGGAAAAGGGGGAGGAGAATGTTATAGATGCGGTCAAACAGGTCATTGGGCTTCGGACTGCCCCAACCCGCGACAGAACTCGAATTTGAACAGCAACAGCAACAGCAACAGCAACAGCAACAGTAGAACCTCAGCAGCAAAGAGAGGCAGCAGCAGTAGCACTCGCGGAGGCAGGGATAGAGGAGGTAGCAAGGCAGCCGGCAAAGATGATGGTTGCTTTAGATGTGGCAAGAATGGACATTGGTCTAGTGAATGTCCCGGCTGATGGAGCACGCTTTCCATCGGCACTCGGCGAAACTGTTGTATTGTTCTCCTTTTGGAAAGTTTTGAAAGTCGTGGAGGCACTTCCCGAGTGTCGATTGGCAACAAGAGAAAAAGGTGAAGAAATTCGGTTGAAAATTGAAAATTGAAAATTGAAAATTGAAAATTGAAAATTGAAAATTGAAAATTGAAAATTGAAAATTGAAAATTGAAAATTGAAAATTGAAAATTGAAAATTGAAAATTGAAAATTGAAAATTGAAAATTGAAAATTGAAAATTGAAAATTGAAAATTGAAAATCAATTGATGCCAAGTGAAATTGGTTTTGAAGAGGCGCTTCTGTGTGCCACTGCCGCTGATCTTGTTAGTCTCTTTTTATAAACCTCGGCTTTTTCTCACACTGCAATCACGCTGTCGGCAGTAATCTTTGCGCGTGTGTTTCGTTCTGAACCGACGTTGCCCAGCTCTTTCTCTCTTAGCAGTTTGCCCTTTTAGCTTGCCCTCTGCTGTGCTCTGCTGTGCTCTGCTGCGCCTGATTCTCACAGTCAATCCGTTGAATTCTGATCTCGTCGATATTGCCTTTTAGAATTATTGGCTGCTCATCGTCATTTGTCGGCACATTTCATCCGTCTCATCACCATCATCATCATCATCACCACCACCGCCACCGCCACCGCCACCGTCACCATCACTGCCTTTTCCTCTTTCTTTTTTTTTCTTTTTTCTTTTTTCTTTTTTCTTTTTCCAAATCTATCTGCTAGATCGGAGCAGCAGCGACTAGCTGAGCTTTCTTTGACTCATCATCGTCCTGGTATCCAACATTTTGAAACGCTTTGGTGTGATCGGTTACGCTTGGTCGGCTGGTCGGCTGGTCGGCTGGTTGACTGGTTGACTGGTTGGCAGATCCCGCTTCTGCAAGCACAATTGTTGCTTACGCCAACCTGACCTGATCACTCCAAGATCTCACATCCAGCAATATGCAGAACAGTCCCGCTTCATCAGACAATCCTTTCCCTTGCTCATCAACGCCAAACTCGTTTATGGATACATTCGATTTTGCCAATCCCGACTTTTCAACAGCCAACTCTGGCTTGGAGGATCTCAACATCTTTCCTTCCAGCAATCATGCTCCCTCCCTCTCATCCAACCACAACGCACACGCCGACACAGGATCAGCTCCCGTCAGCCATCACCCCAGCCCATCTGCCAACTTTGCTCACATTGCTTCCGACTCGAGTGCCCAATCCCACTCCAAACAGGCCTTCTACTTGAACAACACATCCCACGCCAGCTCGCCTTTGCCCTTCTCGAGGAATCGTTTTGCTGGTAAACAGTCTCCTCCAAGTCCGCAATCTAACGCCCACACGCCTCCTTCTTCCACTCCACCTTCCCACATGAATCACGCACCTCCAATCTTTGGCGCCGATCAGAACCGTCAAACTTTGAATGCTATGCAATCCTCTCATTCTGGACAATCGCGCTTGCAGGGCAACAACGGCAACGGCAACGGCAACAGCAACAGCAACAGCAACAACAACGGCGAGGAGGAAGGCCAAATGCCTCAATTATCGATCAGCGATCTGCAACAGATGCTGATGGAGAGGGAAAAGGCGGAGCGCATCCAGAATATGCAGACTGCTTTGCTCAAACAGCAACTCGATCAGTTGTCCAGGATGCAACAGGCACAACAACAACAACAACAACAACAACAACAACAACAACACCAGTATGCGCAACAACAACAGCAGCAGCAGCAGAATTTGCAACTCAATCCGTTGGGTCAAGATGGTCAACTCTCGTCCGGTCAGCAGCAGAGTCTTCTTATGGCGCTACAGAATGCTTTTGCTGCAGGCAGCAACCCTAGTGCGCGCAACAACGTTCTTCAAGCTGCTCAATTCCAGCAGCAGCAGCAACAACAACAACAACAACAACAACAACAACAACAACAACAACAACAACAACAACAACAACAACAACAACAACAACAACAACAACAACAACAGATGAACAACGGCCAGGGCGACCAATCCAACGTCCTCGCGCAGTACGGGTTGATCACACCCATGGGTTCAGGTCCATTCAACAGCTCTGCTTGTCCTCCAGGTTCAGCCAACTTCATGTCGCCTCTCGCCATCCAGCCCAACTTGCAACCAGCTAGTGTCGGTGTCGAACACAGACCTGGTCACGATTACTTGGGTAGCTACACTCCGCTTGAATCTCCAGCTGTTACTCCTGCTAGTGTCTTTAGCACAGCAAGCACGGCTATCGTCATGTCCGAACTCTTCTCCCCTCTCACTTCGCCCGCATTGAGACCACAACCACCGAGTCTGAACGAAATGATGTTGCCTCCAGCATCCTTGCAGCACCACGCGCAAACTTCGCAAGCGGCAATGCACGGCTCCCCGCCTCTCGCTGCGGTTAACAACAATAACTTTACTCCCACTGCTTCGCCCCTTGCCCTCATCGCCAAAGGCAGTTCCAAGATCAGGAAGAACCGGAGCACAACTGCTGAAGCAAGAGCTAACAAAGTCCGCCCTTCGCCATTGATGAAACCCGTCTCTGGGCCGTTGAAGAAGAAAAAAGAGACTCTTACTTCTCCCGGCACCGCAACGCCTACTGCCAATGGAGGCTATGCGAATGGTGGTAGTGGTAGTGGGCCGAGTTCGAGAAGGGCTTCTATCACAACATCTGGTGCCGGTGCCGAAGGTCGCTCGAGAAACCAATCAGCAGACGTAGCTCAAAGCGAAGGCACTTCTTCCACCCCATCACCGATCGACTTGAGCGGAGAAGGAGCAATGCCCCCTCCCAGTGGACCCACTGCTAAGATTTTGACTCCCGCTTCAATCATGGGTATTCGAAGTAGTCCATCTGGCACCAGTACACGCAACCCCAATCCTGGTGCAAACGGGAAGGGTAAAGCATCCGAATTTCAACCACAACAGCAAGTGGTAATGTCACAACCTCAAACAATGGCTTTACCACCGCAACAACCTCCGATGGGATACCCTTCCATTGCACCTTTCCCAACTCCACAAGCAGGTGGACCAAAAGTCACGTTCAATCTTCCCCCTCAGCAACACATCCAACCTTCGGGGCTGAGTCAATCGGATAGAGATGCTTGGATGACGTACAAGTCAGCTGGAGGGTTAGAGTCGCGCCGGACGAGTCATAAGGCTGCTGAACAAAAGCGTCGCGACTCACTCAAGTTTTGCTTTGACGAGCTTCGAGGTCTTCTCCCCGCGATTACGTTGGATGAAGACGCACCGAATGGCTCTCTACTAGGTCCAGATGGAGCCGAGGAAGACGTTCAAGCAGAAGCGTTTGATTTGGCCGAGGTAGGCGATCCAGGACAGGCCAGAGCGGCAAATAAAGCGATTAGTAAAGTCGCATTGTTAAGGCATAGTAATGAATACTTGATACGCTTGAAGAAGAGGTTGGAGAGGAGAGATAAGGCATTGGAGGTGTGTAGGAGGCAAGTGAGAGGCTTAAGGGACAAGTTGGCGATGCGGGAGAGTGAGGATCCGAGTGTCACGGGTAAGGGTGCGCCACTCGGCTGGACGGATAGGGGCGTTGTCAGCTACCATTATCCTGGTAGTCCCGACGGTCAAGCTGAGGGTGAGCATGAGGAAAGGGAGAAGGTGGAGATGGATCAAACTGCCTAGACAATCAGCCCAACTTGGTGGGCATCAAAGTTAGGCACACATGCTGGAAGAATCGTCAGCGTTGGCACCCAAGCCTGCTCGTCCCATACGGCCCCTTTGCAACTTTCCAGCAACCGAACCTCTCTTATCGTAGCCCACTTTTGCACAACCACACTGATCGAGAGGCAAACCCCATACACACCAGCTCTGTCTGCGTTTCTTTACTTTTGAACTGCAATGCATTTAATCTTTCTGCATCGCTTCTGTCGGAACAAAGGTTACAAAGCCAGTATGGATTCCAATTGCGAGCCTGCTGAACGAGAGACAGGACTGATACTCTCTGCGCGCTCTTGTTTGGATTTCAAGTGGAATACTGCACTTGCATCTTTCCATCTTCGAAGGCGTCGAGGGAAATAAAACCACCCTAACCCTAAGGCTTGGACTTTTGCTAGCAACAACAGCGGATAGCACACGAACTAAATGACCTTTGTTGCATTTGGCGTCAAGGAAGAAGAGAAGCCATTCAGGTTCATGCAAAAATAAAGGTGGTAAAAAAGGTGAAAACAATATATTTCCCGGCCAGGGAATCGAACCCTGATCTGAGCAGCACATTCGAAATCCGGTTGATGCAGCCGGCTCCAGTCGTGAGAGTGCCCTATACTAACCATTGTACTAACTGGGATTTGTTGTATGATTTTGTAATGTAATGCTCAGATTTAGCTGCGATTGATGGTATGGTAGGGTTAGAGTCCCGGAAGCACGTGTGAAGGGTTTGTTGGTTTGTGCACGGCCTTGCGTCTGGTTTTAGTCAGGTCTTGCTCGCGCTTCTTTCTTGACTCGTTCCAACCGCTTGATCAGGCACGTATCACCTCCGAATAGGATTGTTCAAGATGACATCCAAGGTATCTGACGAGGAGCTTAACGAAATCTACCAGTACGCAATCGCGCTCTCCAAAACGGCTGGTCGAGCAATCGTTGATGGTTCTGGCAAGCGCTTTTCCTCGTCTGCTGGATCTGAGTTCAAGAAGAACTCTGCCGATCTTGTCACTGAGACCGATCAAGCTGTCGAGAAGCTGGTCAGAAGATCGATTTCGTCTCGCTTTCCAAGACATACGTTTATCGGGGAAGAATCTTGGGCAGCTGGTGAAGAGGGAAGGATTGAAAAACAAGGAGTCGTTTGGATCGTAGACCCGATTGATGGAACGACTAACTTCGTACACGGTTTCCCATACACCTGTATTAGCATCGGTGTTGTTGTGGATGGAGAAGCGAAAGTAGGGGTGGTATATGCGCCGTTTATGGATACGTTGTATCATGGATGTAAAGGAAAAGGAAGTTTTCTTTCGAGTCCTCATCATCCAGCTCCGAGAAGACTACCATTGGTGGAAAATGCAATCCCTCTAACCGACCTGAATCAGGCACTGGTTGCTTTTGAATGGGGCACCGACCGACGTGAAGCAATCCTTCAACAAAAACTCAACTCTTTCAAGAAAATCACCGGAGACCCAAACGGTGGCGTAGAGGGCGCAAAAATGGTCCGCGGAGTACGCAGCATGGGTTCAGCAGCACTCAACTTCTGCCACGTAGCAAGTGGAAATCTTGACCTCTACTGGGAAATCGGTTGTTGGGCTTGGGACGTCTGCGCAGGAGTCGTTATCGCACAGGAGGCCGGAGGCGCAGTTGTTGGGTCTAAAGCTCATGCGGAGCAGGTGATTCAGGGCGAAAATTTCAACCAGGTAACTCCGGAACTGTTGACAGGCAGAAAGTACGTCGTGGTGAGAAAGATCATGGGTGAGGAGAAGGAGAACAGAGAAGCTCAGAAGAAGATTCTGGCTGATTTCTATGGGTGTGTTGATGAATGGGATCCTTAAACGGCTCGGACAAATGTCAGTCAAGAGACGTTGGTTCGTTTGACAATTGATGCTTGCTTTTCTGTCAACTCGCGATTGTGGACAAGGCTGAGACTGCGAATGAGAGACAGGGGGGAGGCAACACAAACAGAGAGATGAAAAGTTGGATGCAAAGAGAAGCACGTTCTTCCCACAAAGGCTATTGAGATTAAAGCCGAGTGCAACAGTATCCCTTTTCTAGGCGGGGTTGGGTATCAAAGTGTTTCAAATGGGTGTATGACACGAGCATCAATCACTGTATGCTCGTTCAAAGCGATTCAGGCCCTCTGCCCGAGCTTCTCTCTCACCTTCCCCTTCTCCCCCGACGCTGCAGCAGCTGCTAGAATCTGCGCCTCAGAATCGTCCATCCTTGCCTTCAGCGTCTGCCTCGCCTCTATCGCCCTACTCTCCTTCGGCGGCGACGCACCATACACCGGCGTCGCCGCACCACCCGTGATTCTCTGTTGCTCCATCCACCCCTTCTCATCTCTATACGCCTCCAGTGCAGCTACTGCAGCTTCAGCAGCAGCCCAAGCCACTCGAACCGCCTTAACATGCAGATCGTGTCTCCTGACGAACCGCATAGCTCTACTGGTCTCGCGTACTGCCATCTGTGTGCCCTTCTCCGTGAGGCTGTACTTTGCATCAATAGCAGCTAGGATTGAGACTAGCTGTCGTAGGAGCTGGTAGAGTTGGGAGGGGAGGGGAGAGCGTTTGAGAGAGCGAGCGAGTGAAGCGGAAAGAAGGATTAAGCGATCTTCTGCTGTTTCGCCTTTTGTGTGAGGGGGTTGTGATGGGAGGTATCCGTATTGTGCGAGCTGTTGTTGCTGTTCCGGAGTCAAAGGACCTGTAGTAAGGGCCGTGGAGGTGCAAGGTGAGGAGGGAGGTGCGGGCTCGTTGCGTGCAACAGCGCCAAGACTGGAAGCTAGGGCAGAAGCAGCGGTGCTTGCAAAAGCGACTGCAAGTTCCCACTGCTTGTTGTTCTGATTGATGGATCGAGTCCATGCTGTTCGAGGAGTTGCTGCTCCACTTCCTGGTTGAGACAGCGAGGCATCTGCCCGATGTTGTGACTCTGACGGGCTTGGCAGGTCTTCGTCATTGTCCAAATCTATGATCCTGGGATCTTCCATTCCCTCCCCATCGCGCTTCGGAGATGTGCTTGAAGCCTTGCTTGAACCACCACCAACTCCCCTGGGAGCGATCGCCGAAAGATTAGCACTGAGCGCACTCAACGCTCCCGCACCGATATGCAACCCAATGTCCAACACGGATGAGCTGATCTTGCCAGCCAAACTTGACGATCCTCGACTGGAAGCCTTGGCGGCAGCATGAGCCCTCGAAAAGTCGCCAGCATCGACACCAAAGTAAGAGTTATTCGCAGGAACAGCTGTGTGATAGTGATGATGAATCACATTGGCTGTCGTCGGGGATGCAGAATGCTGTTGTTGGAGCTGAAGCTTTTCCCGTTCCAGCTCGAGTTCTCGTTTCATGGCTTCAGCTTTTTCCAACTCGGCTTTGGCGTCGAAGCCAAGCTTAGACATGCCTTCTTCCAAGCGTTGCTTGATGTCTTGCTTCTGCTTGCTGCTAAGTCCAGGAGCTTCTTTGTCCGATATGGCGGAGATGAGGTATCCGAGGGAAGAAATGTAGAGATCGAGCGAGAATCCAAGATGGTCTTGGTCCTCATCCTCATCCTCTTCTTCTGAAGCCAAGCTTGTATCAACATCGATACCGTTCGTTGGGAAGCGTGTGAGCTGACGACTGTCCTCATTGCTACTTGGACTGGAGGAAGGCCAAGCACCCTTCAGAGCTGGTCGTGCTTTGGCAGCTGACGCAATCTTGTTCGCCCGCTTCTCCTCCCACAATCTCTCATCCTCTTCGGCGGCTTGTGCCGCTTCAACAGCCAAGCTGACAGCTTTATCCAGTCGACGACGATCGAGCTTGACAGGACGCTTGACACTGTCAGTGCCGTGGCGAACCATGGTCTTTGACTCGGCTCCAGCTGTAGTTGTGAGAGCCATACCGTCGCGTCGACGGGGACTCTGTCCACTGAGCGAGGAAGAGTCGTCGTTTGATGATGACGAAGAAGCCGAGCTCGAAGGTTGAGAAGTCGGTGCAAAACGAGCAGGGACCCAAGCAGCAGCCAAGCTGCGAATTGAGTTGATAGAACGAGCGCGGAAGCCAGCTTGCCTGTTTGTTATCTTGTCGTCGCTTTCGAGAGCTTCGTTTAGCTTGTCGGTGGCACCGCTGAAAGAAGCCGTCCTGCCGTAAACACTGCCCTGCTCACTTACTTTTTTGCTCGAACCTTGGGCTGTCGATGCTGCAAAAGATCGGGGCAAGGTCTGATAAGACTGTGCAGATCTCGACGTCGATCCTTGTAGCGAGGGTGCATCCGCTTGAATGATTGCTTCCGAAGGCGGAGGTGGAGATGGGGACTGCAGTGGAGCTTGGTATGGTAGCGTCTTTGGTGTCGGAGCAGGCGAGTATCGTACCGAAGTAGCAGGTGTGTATGCCGATGATGAAGTGGTGCTGGCCGATGGCTCTGGACTGTAAACAAGTCTGGCAGCAGCAGCCGGATCCGAGTGCCTTGCGATACTGGCAGCAGAAGAGGTCCTCGAAGCTGATGAGCTCCTAAGGGGACGCTCTGATCCAGTGACGGTAGATATAGTTGGCGAAGTGGGTGAAGGGAATGCAATGAAAGACTGTCTGTGGGAAAGATGGCTGCGTCCAAGACGTCTAGGTTGACCTCGAAAGCGGACCTGCTCACTCAAGCTGCGAGGAGAAGCTCGTGATTGCGTTTCTGTCGATCGAGAGACGCGTGCAGCCGAGGAGGCCGAGTGAAAACGTTGTTTGACAGGGCTATTCGAGTCGTCAGCCCACTCGGTAGGGGCGGGGTGAGAGATGATTAACTCTGCATCTGTGCTCAAGCCTCCTGAGCTTGAGGCAGGAAGGGTGGAAGAGCCTTGGCCATCGTTGTTGGATCCGGTCAAGCCTCGTGCGCTTGCAAGGAAGGAACCGAGCGAGTTGAGGCTGGGTAGGAGCGAGGAGGTGCGTCTATGGTGACCTTTCTTGGCGGGATTGGCTGATGAGGTGGTGGTAGTGGGAGCATCCTCCTGAGCGGTGGTGTTGGTATCGACGGTATCGTTTGTCGCCATATCGGCGTTGGTGGTGGTGTTAGTAGTGGTGGTGGTGGTGGTGGTGGTGGCGAACGACATGTTGAACAGTGCTGAGTCGGATAGGAACGGCGAGAAATGGTAGGGCGCTGCTTGGAAATCGGATGTGCCGCTTGCTGGGCAGTTGAGCAGAGAGTATGATCGATCGGAGGGTCCGAGTGGGACGATAACGAGGCGTAGCGGGACTGCCGTTATTGTTTCGATCGTGGGAAAGGAGGGGCAGTGATAACAGAAGAGTGTCGAGCTGGTTCAATGCAGACACGCCATTCTGCCAACGGAAGTGTGCCGATTGCTGTGTCAGCTTTGTCGGGAAGCTGCCGTTGGATGGCCGTCAGGCTTTCGGACGAAGGAGTGCTGATCGTGTCGACAAAGGAGCCACTTTCCCTAACGGATGCGCAGGTGTAGTGCTTGATGGTATGCTCAAGTTGAGCATACAGAGACACGTTTTGCCTATCCCATGGTCGCCGCTCATAATGCAATATCTTACGCTCGGCTCTATTTCACAAGAAAGGAGGCATCAGCCACAAAAAATAAATAAAAAATGCACAAATCTCAATTTAATTTATCAAAGATGTGTCCAAGCCATCTCGTGGCTTAAAGAGATGTGCAGGAACCCTGCTTCTCTAAAAAAAGAAAATAATAATAATAATAAATAGGAAAATAGGAAAATAGGAAAATAGGAAAATAGGAAAATTGTCTCATAAATACGCTTTCACGTGGACAGCTCTTCGTCGGGCTCTTCCTCGCGTCCCCTTGACGAGAAAGCGAGCAGGCTCGCCATCGACGCTCCCATCACTTCCTTTACCTTCTTATCCAAGGACGCTGCACCATGACCACACTCGCTAGCGTTCATCTCATTATGATACCACGACCTCCATCATATCAGCGTCAAGCGGAATCAGATTGCAAGAAAAAAGAAGAAAAAAAAAAAAAAAAAAAAAAAAAAAAAAAAAAAAAGAAAAAAGAAAAAGAAAAGGTCGGGTATATGATGCAGGTAGTGAATGCTATGTGTGGTCGATGATGATGATGAAGAAGATGATGAAGATGATAATGATAATGATAATAATGATCGATAGTGGAGTAGAAATACGGATGCCCAAGTATGTGTAAGCGCCATGAATCAAGAGTTGGTACTCCAAGTTAGCAATCGCCGCAATAGCGGCTTCGAAGGCGATCGTTCGTCGCCTGCGACCCTGCTGTTGGCCCCCTGGCCCATCGCTCCTCCCAACTCTTGTCGCGTGTTCCAGTCTGGCGTCGCCATCGCGGCATGGTTCAAGGGGCCAGCGTAAGCGTGATGCATGCTTCCATGGCCCAAGGACTCGGCTTCGTTGGTGTGCACCCAACCATCGTCTCCAAGCTGGCTGCCTGCTACTACTTCTCCGCTTCCTTGTCTGTTTCGCGCTCCAGTTGCGCGCTTGCCCATCAGTTTCCTCGAGCTCTGCTTCAAGCGCACTTGCTTCTCTTTCAGCGTTGCCATCAAGCTGTTCTGCTTGCTAGCTCCGTTCTCGCTAGTAAAACATCTCGGTGAGCCGCCAATGTCGTGATTGTCCTGTCGCATCGTTGATGCGAGCGCCGCGGGAGGCGGCATGCGTAGTGGTGTTCCTGCCTGGTCTTGCAAACCTAAAAATGGCATCGAAGCTCCTCGAGTATGACTGATTGGGCTCGAAGGCATACTTCTCACTACCTCTGCCTTGTAAACAGCCGGACCTGGGCTGTTGAGCTGCAAATTGCGCATCCCTTCTAGTGGCCAACTGATATTGAGACCCCCTGCAACTGGTTGGCTAGGGGTGCTCCATTGTCCATGTCCTCTTTCTCTCTTGATAATCTTACTTAAACTACGCGGGCTGCTTGCTGTCGTCTTCCAAGAGGCACTGATGCCAACCTGATGCGATGCTTCCAAGCCCCGAAAGCATTGCCCATTTCCTCTCGCATCCATGAGAGGAGCCGTTCCAGGTCGAGCAAACACCTTGTCTCGCACAGTGGTGCTCGACGTCGACGGGCGTGGTGCTGATATGCGAGTCACGCTGCCTGTATCCGATCCTGGCTGACGGAAACCTCTGAACAATGACGGAGATGTCTGAAGTGTCGCGTTGGCTGTCGAGGGTCGAGGCGCATCACCAAGCGTCGTCATGCGAGCCTTTGGCGATCGACCTTGACTCGGGCTCGGGCTGACTAGCTCGAACCCTTGAGGGACCGGATCGCTAGCTTCGAGACCAGTCACGACACTTGCGTTGGACCTACGCGACTTGGCAGCGAGAAACGACGACTCGGTGGAGCCAGTTTCAAAGTGCACCTTCCGATCGCCACTCGGTGTCTTCTCTAGGCAGCTTCGGCTTGCATTCTCGCACGTATGCTGAGGCGTGCTTACGCCCGAAGGCCCTTGCGAAAGAGGCGGCGTGGTATATCTGGAAGCTTCAAGGTCCGAGCCTGCACTTTGTGGTGAGGCTGTTGCTTCGTTTGCTGCTGCCAGAGTATGTGAACGCCGTGGTGAATCGCGAGAGCCGGTTGAACGCCAAGCGGTGAGGGATCGCCTGTTCGTGTTGCGTGCAGCAGACGGCCTCGCAGCTTCGAGACTGTGCAAGAGTTCATCAGCAGTAGGCCTCAAGTCTTGATGACGGAGTGATGCTTTGAGTGCCAATCTGAGAGCTGACGAGCATCCATCAGCCTGTGCGATCAAAGAGACTGGCTCCAGAGCGATGCGTACGATCAGCAGAGGCAGCAAGCGACACCACTGGTGGAAACGAGGAACGTCGTCCTCGCCCTCAGCTTTCTCATAGAGTGGGTCGAGCATCTCGTCGCGGTGGCGAGAAAAGGAAAAGTCGTATGGCGAGATGGTGCTGCTGCTTGGGCGTTGATGTTCCTCGACAGTCTTGAGCAAAAGTGCCTGGACAGTGCAGGCCCAACTCCAGATATCAGCACGGATGCCCCATCCTCGTCTCAGGTCGCTCAAGCCGATCTGGTACATGGGCCACAGCTCTCGGGACAGGAAAGAGGGGTAGTCGTACTCGTAGTCTTCGAGGACGGATCTGGCTCGACCGGAGGCGTCGACGTATCTCGTAGCTTGGAGTAAAATCTCGGGGGCCATGTAGTAAGGAGAGCCAGTGAGTGAGCCTAGCCCTTCGCACAGTTCAGGTGCTAGCCGAATCGGAGTCCTGCCACGCTCTATGGCTTGGCGGTCGAGGTACTCGACAGCGCTACGATTGTTGCGATCACGGTTGGAGAGGTGAACAAAGCGGCGACTGGCACCCAGATCAATGATCTTGACGACGCCAGTGCGTGGATCAAGCATGAGATTGGATGGCTTTAGGTCGCCATGCGTCACATTGTGTTCGTGCAGAAACTGAGGGAGAGGCAAAGAGAAAGAGAGAGAGAGAGAGAAAGAGGTACAATGGCAAAAGCATCGTGTATATCAGTATTGCGTTGCCCGTGGTTAATTGGGTCACCGCTTCAGGATAGTGTGCGAAAAAGGGGTACTGACTTGCAAGCCCTGAATCACTTCAAAGGCAACTTTCTCGACGCGATCGTGAGACCAGGTGCTCTTTGATTTGGTCCAGCCTTGGGCGGTTCGTTCGGTATCGAGCTCAATGAGCTTTTCAAATACAAGCAGTCTGGTGGGCGGTCCGTCCTCCTCATCGACAGAGCTTTCAAAGGCATCGAGATGAGGGCCCTTGTTGGATCCTGTGGGAGAGAGATTGGCCAAGAGCTTGACGAGGGGAGGATCATCGCAACGGCTCGATGCCTGGAGAGAGTCTTGGAGATAGCGAAAGATGCGACCTTCGCCTCGGACGATGCGGACGTGTGACTTACTGTTGTCCTGCATGTCAAGCTTCCGCGTCTTTTTATCAATTAGGCTAGTCTTTTGAAGCTCGTCAAAAGAGCCCGAGCAGGGGGTGCGACACAACTTGACGGCGACGAGCGAGGGAGGCTTGATCAATGAGCTTGTCGTGGCGATTTCTGTCGTCTTATCCGAGTGGTAGTGCTGGTCGCGGCTCTTTTGCAAACTTGTAGGAGGTGATGACTCGAGAAGGGATGCATGGCGACGAGTATTGGCGGAGCATAAAGAGAGAGCGAGATCCACAGAGGATGGCGGAGTGAATGAAGTGTCGAGTGCGTAGCGATAGACGCATCCAAACCCACCTTTGCCCAGCACAGCAGCATCAGTATCGCCGCTTCGAGCCATGCGGTTGTAGCGGACGAGCCGCTTTGCACCCAAAGCAAATTCGATGGTGGAAGGCGGGCCCGAGGATGCACTTGACGAGGCGTTTGTCTCGACTGCCTCTCCCATTGTTGCTGGCATAGTGATCTGTGGCGACCAAGACGTGTCAACGATGAGCAACGCGAATTCTGATACTGGACAGACGTGATGGCAAGCAAGTAGACCGCTGGACGATAAGAAATGTCTCGTGGTCCTCTTTCAAGATGCTGATGCGATCGAGAAGAAAGAAGGAAGCAAGGAAGCAAGGAAGCAAGGAAGCAAGGAAGAAAGAAAGAAAGGAAGAAAGGGAAAAGCAGACAATGCAGAAAAGCAGTTGTGTTGTCGCTTGATATAGCCAAGAGGGCTGTGTGGATGTTGTGCGGGCCTGGATGGAGCTGTTTGGGCGCGGCCCTCAGATGGTAAGGCTGGTGGTGGGGAATGAGAAAGGGGCAACCGCTTGCAGGATGAGCTGATGAAGTGGTGGGTGAGCTCACGCGGTCGGTGTGTTGTCAGTGGACAAGGAGAAGGGAGGGAGAGGAGAGAGAGACCGATGATTGTTCCTAAGCCTGAGTATATATGAAGGCGGGCAAACACTGAGCTTGGATACAGACACGGATCCCGAGGATGATGTATTACCTGCTTTGGTGAGATAGTAGTGAGCGCCTGTGACTTGCATTGATGTGGGGAGAGGATCGAAGGGCCGGAATGTTTGTAGCCGTTAGTTGGCCATGATCAACGTAGGCGAGGGGTCGGTGCGGACAGACATTGGCTTCTCTGGCCTTGCAGAGGGGCGGTTCGCTTGGTTAGGGTAAGCGGATCTTATCCAGACAGCAAGCGATAAGGCGGGATCTTGGTAGTTACAGGGGGGGGGGGGGGGGGGGGAAGAGGGGGGAGAAAGAATGGGGCGGCGGCGTAGCACATACAGTGCTTGCAAGGCTGGATGGTGGCTCCTACAGCAAAAGTGTAAGGCATAAAACGAGGTGGGAGGTTGAAGGTGGGTGATAGGATGATACACCAAAGCAGCAGCAGCAGCAGCTGCTGCTGTGTGCTGTGTGCTGGGTGATGTTTACAACGACCAAGAGGGGTACGGAGCGCTTTTTTGTATACGTGGCGAGGGGTCCGATGCGGCTTGACAAAAGGATATTCCGCCAAATGAAGAGGCCATTGCAGAGAAGACAGACAGTCAGACCGGACTTGCCTAGGCTGGCGAAATGAAGATAGGCCAGCCCTGAGGTCTGGGTGTAGGACTGACTGTGTGTGTGTGTGTTGGAGTGTGTTGTGGGATAAGTGATGGGCTAGACGATGGCCAACGTGGTTAGTTGCTGAAGCTTTGCGTCGAGAGGAGCGTGCTCACAATGCAAATCAGCGCCGTTCGAGGAAGCGAAGCGGCTAAGGTAGAGCCAGAGGGGGTCCGAGCGTAGCGCAGGAAGCTGGCCTTTTATCGAGGTCCGAGTTGCGGAGATTGGAACGGCAGCATGGCTAAGCGAAGATGAGGAACAAAGATGGCTTCCATGGCAATGGTCGTTGGGATAGAAGGAAAGACAAGCTCGACGGCTATCGAAAGTGGCGAGTGAGAAGAGAAAAGCACAGCACAGTAGAGCACAGCACAGCTTGTCGTTCTCAATGCTGAGCTTCACATGAGCTGTCAGAGGTCTCATCTTGAGCCAGACAGAGGAGAAAAGCAGGAAAGAAGGTGTGGTGCTCGAAGCGCAGACCAAGCAGAAAGCAGAGAGCAGAGAGCAGAGAGCAGAGAGCAGAGAGCAGAAAGCAGAGAGCAGAAAGCAGCTTTGTGACTGTGGAAAAAAGGTTGCGTTCAACTCAAACTGTGATGGCGATAGAATATATCGCCATCTTGTCCCTTTTCGATAGCCTTGGCCCCCGCTATAACCCTGGCAGACCGGCGACAAGCTTGCTCCGATGGTGGCATGAGATGACAACCAGTTAGCGGCCTCTATGCGTTCTCTTTCTTTGCAGAAATCACAAGCCAGCAAAGCCAGCAAAGCCAGCAAAGCCAGCAAAGTGTGTGACTTTTGTGAAAAGCCAGCAGAAGCGAGACCAACAGAATTCACCTTTTGGCAGGCGCAACCCACGCACGCACACACGCACGCACACACGCACGCACGCACGCACGCACGCATGCGAGTCACATGGCCAAAAAGCGAGCGCGTCTGAATTGTGAGCCAAGCTCTAAATTTTCCTTTGGAGCTGATGGCGGCGATTCGTCAGCAGCAAAGGTGTCCAAGACTTATGAAACAACCTTCTTGGCCTGGAATGCACCGCCACCATGTCCGCTCTTGTAACGGTGTGCAAGCACGACAAAGATGGAGCCGTCAAAGATGCCGAGAATGTCATCCTTGCGCATGTAGCCTACAAGGTCCAAGATTTCGATAATGGTCAGGTCAGTCTTGGATTCGTATACATCAATGAGCGTCAAAGTTGACTCTCAAAGTTGACTGGTTGTCATGACACTCACCATCAGCTGGCCAAAGAAGCATGTAACTGCTGCCCCATTCAAACATAAAGGCAAACCATCCAAAGGGGTCCATCAAGTCTCGGCGCTCACGGATCATGGCCATGACATCCGAGAATGAAAGCGCATCTTTTTTGTTTCGAGTCGAATAGTCCTCTAAGATCCTCTCGAACTGCGTCTGTCGGAACTGGCCGCGTCGATCATACGACTCTGAGTCCGAGCCGTGCTTGCATCGATGAATGTTGGCGACATAGATTCGCATGAATGGGTCCGGCAGCCAATTCAGCACCTTGTGGCGGTTCTTCGGCAGCGTGGGATACGAAAACGGCCCGTGGATGATGCCAACGGCTAGCAGCGAGAGAATCAAGCCAAAGCCAAGCGAGAGAAAGGAAAAGTAGGTGTCGGTAGGCCAGATGACACCATCGCAGTCACCGTCGAAAAAGGCAATGTGCTGCCATTGTAATTAATTACACAAAAGTACAAGGGCAATATGGGTTAGCAAGTCAGCAGGCCTCGTAAAGCCTAGATCAGTCATCTTAGTTGCTCACCCTCTGCATCGCAGTGAGACCCTTGGTCTTTTCGAGATAGTCTTGACGGTCACCGTTGGGATCTTTGTAAGTGTTTTGAGGTGTATAGGGCACCTTGTAGCCTGCATCTCCATACGTGAGCTTGGTGTTGTCAAAATAAGAGTCGACATCGACCTGACGACAAGTTTCTTGGTTTCGATTGACCAACATTGTGGCTAGGAGGTGGTGTCTAGAGGTGGTCGCTAGAGGTGGTCGCTTGAGCACAAGTCAAAAAGCGTATCTAAGTAGTGGATGAGGCCTTCTTGTCAGAGAGCTGCTTTTCGGATGACGACAAAAGCAGAGAGGATGATGGTCTAAAGGTGACAAAGTAATGGCGGAAGGGCAGAAGAGGATGTCCCTATAGCTTGTGTTTGGCAGGCGCCGTCCCTCTGGGCACAATCAGGCGAGGACAAGGCTGCTGGTCATCACACACACACACACATCGGCTAGACCGAGACAGGAAGAACGGCAATAGATGAGAGAGCTTCGTTCGCTAAGTCAGCCAGGCTGAGTCTGCTCCCTGGCTCTGTCGATGTCGGCGAAGATCCGAATCTTTTTGACTCGCTGACAAACCGGTATCTTTTGATTCACACGTCATACGCCACACGTCATACGCCACACGTCATACGCCACACCTCCCACGCCACACTTCCCACGCCACACGTTCCATATCTTGAAAGATCACACTCAGAGAGGATGAGCAGTGCTGCTCCTCTAAGGCCTTGTTGAAAGCTGCAAAGGCATGAATGACCAAGTATCAAGAAAATGGCCCTGTGCTTGGTGATCTTTGAGAATGCAGGTGTGAATCATCATCATCTTTGAGACCTTCCATTTGGCGCTAACGTTTTCTGACGTCCCGTCTGAACAATGGCTGTCTTCGGAGCTTTCCGTCCGGTGATGCGCAATGCTCAGGCAAGCCTCTTGATTCGATACAGCGATTCATTTCTGTGACCTCCTTCATGGCAGCTATCATCGCACGCGCGTTCTGAGATATGCGTTAGGATCCGACAATGGGCCCGTCAAGGATGGTGTAAACGTTTCGGATTGCAGCGGTGCTTCAGAGGGAGATGGCCTACTTTCTAGTAAAATCTCCGAGCAACCCCGAATCAAGCCGAAGCCTTCTCGTACTCGCGCGAGAGCTTCTCGAGCTGCTCCTCGTCAATCTTGTCAATCTTGGCCTTCTCAAGATCCAGCTGATCCGTGAGCTGGACAGAGTCACCGAGCAAGGCCTTGCAAATCTCAAGAAGAAGCTCCTTGACACCGTAGCTGCAGTAGCCAAGCCACATAGGAGCACAATCGATGAATCGTCAGTACAAACCCTCTCAATGCGGCAAACCGTCCAGAATTCGAGGTAGCCTAGATACTCACTTGGCCTCCGCTGAAATCTCGCGGTATGGGTGCTCTTTCTTGCGAGGGAACTCGATAGCGTCTGGCTTGAGCTCTCGTCCCTGTTGCACAGTGCCAAAACAGCAATGACTGTCAGCAGCGTTCTGATTCTTCCATTTACGCCAGTCAGACGCTAAAGGAAGCTACCATACCTTGATGTCATCCGCCTTGGTACCAACAACGACGATAGGAAGGGGTTCGCTACCCTTGCGACCGTTAGCCTTGACTACGGCATCGTACCACTCTTCCATAGCCTCGTAGCTGCCTTGGCTGGTAAGGTCGAAAAAGACAACGGCAGCATCAGCAGTGCGGAAGAAACCATCATGTGGCAAACCACCCTTGGCGTGAAGGTTGGTGTCGAAGAGGTTGAGCCTAACCTGACCAGCCGAGGTGTGCAGTTTGACAGGGTATTCGGTAGTCTTGAGGGCCTTGATCTCCTTCTTCTCGCAGACGGCCGACTTGATACGAGTGGCAAAGGTCGTCTTGCCTGAGCCGAACTGACCAGCCAGAACGACCTTGAACTCTTTACCGCTTGCCATAGCCATGATGTTGAATGCCTCCCTACTTTGAATGTATGAGGACAGAATGAAAAGATGCTATTTGCTTATCACAAAGGAGAAGGAGGAAGAGGCCAAGCACGCACAAATAAGGCATCTCCTTGCTGGTCAAGGCGAGCTGAGCTGACGTCAAAAAGCATCCTTCCAGATCGGGAAACACTATGCCTCGATCTTGATTTGCCTCGATCTTGATTTGCCTCGATCTTGATTTGCCTCGATCTTGATTTGCCTCGATCTTGATTTTCCCCGATCTTGATTTGACCCGATCCAGGGTCCAAGTGTGCACATGCTTCGGATGATTCGCCGCTGCTTTCGGCTGGTGGCGTTCTGAGAGCAACCATCTCAATGTGTCCTATCGCGATCAAAGTCAAGAAAAGGCTGCGTTTGTTAGCAAACCTCGCATCCATGCGATGGCCAGGAGAGCCAAGAAGAAGAGAAGAATCTCGTGATGAGGTGACAGCGTTGGTCTCTTGGTGAAACGTTTGCTCTAAACGAGATCGTGCAGGTCGAGTGTGTGTCGAAATATTTCCACTTGCACGGACCCTGGATGCTCCTTTCATCTATGCTTATAAGTCGAACCATCATCGCCACTCGCTTCTGCTACTTGTGCTCATCACCGCTCACCGACCCTTGCCCTTCGTTCTGCAAGCATCTCATCCATTCCTCGACGAGCGAGCCAGCTTTCCAAAGGACGGCGACGCTGCAGTGAGAGCCCGATCGCTCTGCTGTCGGTGCAGCCGATTCGGATTGGTCATCCATCATCCGATACCTGATCAAGATCACAAAGTCACCTGATCAAGATCACATGGTCACCTGATCAAGATCACATGGTCACCTGATCAAGATCACATAGTCACCTGACTCCTGACCATCCAGCGGAAAGGGATCGGCCAACTGGACCAAGCAACTCAGCCTTGGCTTTTTACCATGTCCTTGAATCGTCTCCTGGTCACGCTCGTCCGTCATGGCGAGTCGCAAGACAATCAACACGGCATCTGGGCTGGCTTCAGAGACACGCCACTCACCAGCAATGGTATCAGCCAGGCGAGGGCATTGGGTCAGTCCTTCGCCAACGTTCCTCTCACAGCCATCTACTGCAGCGACTTGAAGCGAGCAGCGATGACCGCAGACGAGATCCTCAAATCCAATCGATCCATTCCACCACCGCCATTGGTCCAGTCCAAGTCGCTACGAGAGATCAACTTTGGTCAGGCTGAAGGTCAGAGCTACGCCAGCGCCGAGTGGATGCAAAGCTCCACTGGCGAAAATGCCCGCAGCTTTCGATTTCCTCAAGGCGAGTCTCTGCAAGAGGTCAACGCTAGGATAGCAAAGGCAGTCCGTCAATTCATCCTCCCACGAGTCGAGGCACTGCGCAAGAAACCACCATCCCAGGTCGCAGCATCGGGCGATGTTGGTCACATTTGTATCGTCGCTCACGGTATCGCCATTGCCGAGCTCTTGCGTGTCTTTATGGCGCTTCACATCCATTCTCCCTCCAGTCCTTGGTCAGATCCTAGAGCCTCCTATCAGCGAGTACGGCTCGAGAATACGGGCTGGTCTCGCCTCGAGCTAGCCGTGCCTTTTCAGGCAGAAGGCGAACATCCCAACGACGCCAGCATCAACCTCAATACCATCCCCTCTCAACCTGCAACAACTACCTCTGGTCCTCTCGGTCCATCTGAAACGCAATCCGGCTACACCGACTTTGGAGAGGTTCAAACAGACCTCGTCCAAGGGCCAACTGACGACGCTTTGGCAGATCAGTACATCTCAATATCGCCCGCCAGGCCCGGTGCTGCTGCTATTCGCTCCACTCCTCTGCAAGCCGAATCCAGCGCCCGTCCTATCTATGTGCGCATTCTCTGCCAGAACCAGACCGACCATCTTCGCGCATTCAACCTACAGCAGTCCTCCACAAGCTCAGCTGCCAAGTCTGTTGCTCATCTGGCGGGTGGCGGAGCATCCAAGACCTCGTCCGGTAACAGCCCTGCTCCAAGCGCCGCTCTACAACATCAGAACAGCTCGGCATCCACCTCGGCAGCGACCGTGGGTCTACCGCCTTCAGCCACTCTAGCCTCCATCGCCTCCAACGCTGCCAGTTCCAATTCTCATCCCAACACCTCCATGACACCCTCGACTCCAGCGCCTAGCTCAACGCTCCACAACAATGGTGCAACAAGGAGCATCACAACCACGCCTGCATCTGCCCGTAGTCTCAGCGCTTACGATTCTCGAATGATGGCTCGTGAGCTCGAGCGAGCCAGCGCCGCCTCCATGCTGGCCGGATCAGAAGCTGCCACGTCGAGTGCAGCTGGTGCTACCTACTATCCCCCTTCGAACTCGACATCCACAATGGCAAGCGAGAGGCAAGGTTCCATAGCTGGCTTCAACAGCTCCGTTGGCAATGGCAGCAACAGCGCTCCCGATCGAAATGCTTTCACCGCCTCTCCCGCGGCTGGAGGCACCCTTGGCTCAGCCCAGGCCTCCAGTTCCCAGTCCGCATCTTCCGCAACGCCAAATCCTTCCTTGTTCGTGGCAGCGTATCCTCCATCAGCATCGACTACCATTCCGAACGCAACTTCTCCCAATCCTGCCGGCGTGAGCTTTCCAGTAGGGCCAGGCACCTCGTCGGATACATGGCAGATGATTTGCATTCGTGTTCTTCCTCTCTTCAACGGCGAGGCGCTTCGTACAAGCATTGAAGAGCTTAACGAGATGGTTAGCCTTCACGTGCGCAAGACCCTCGAACGAAGCCAGGCTCATGCCATCGAGTCACTCACGCTCGATCTCATCTCGCTCACTTCGACTGGAACACTCACGCTCAATTCCAAGCTTCAGGGTCTCGAAGACTCACGCCTCTTGCTTCGTCTCGTAGAAGTTTGGACTTTCTTCCTCGCTCAGGTCCTACCGTATTGCGAGGGCTGCTTCCTCCCTCTCCAAACCGATCCGACACTACGCAGTCTCATCTCCTCTTCAGCCTCATACGCCGGTGGAACAGGCAGCGCTGGAGCCGGAGCCGGCGCCAACAGCTCCAGTACCGGTCTGTTCAGCGGCAACGCCAATCTCACCCAGTCTGGCGTCGCTATGCTTCTTTCCCGGGCTGCCAAAGCCGGCCCTGACTTGCAACGCATCGATGTCCGCAAGATCGTGCTCGTTGTATTCCGAGATCAGGTGCTTATGCCCATCTACGAGCGGCTCTTCTTCCTCTTTGCCCATCTGTCCGAGCTCGATCCTGCTTTCTCAGCTGCAGAAGATACGACTACCACTGGCGGTGGCGGCGGTGGCGGCGGCGATGACGGCATCAAGCAAGTCTCTCTGCGCTTGCTCCAGATGATCAGTGTCCTCGCCAGCATTCTGAGTGATGACGACGCCCAGGAGGCCATGGACAATCTGCTACGTGCGCTTCGATTGGGTTCCAAGAGCGCTTCAGCTGGTCGTAGCCGAGGCGCTGGAGACGGTCCAGGTGCTCGTTTCACATCGCCAACTCAGAAGAACCACAGAAGAGGCTGGATGGCACAAAAGGCTCGCAAACACGGTCCTGCCCTGGGTCTCGATGTGGGCGCTGGCAAAGGGTCTACACCATTCGGGCCAAGCTCGACTCTGGGAAACGTCAGCGGCATGCTACCATCAACACAGTCTGACTCAGACGGCTTTGGCAATATACCACAGCGAGCCTATCTTACGCGACCAGGCCATCTGACAAACTTGAAGGACCCACTAGGTCCCCGCTTTGATGCAGACATGACGGAAGATGAATATCTCACCTCGCTGCGATCGCCGGCCGGTTCACCAGCAATCTCGACACCCGGTAACGCTGATGCTCCTCCGACTCCCATAGTGGACCAAGCGAATTCACCCTCATCGGCCATGCTCGACACAGCAGGCCCCCGATCCGAGGAAGAGCAAGCCGCCATGACGCCGATCGCAGGCCAGAGAGGTGGCCCTCCCTTCAGTTCCAATCCCAATGAGGTTGAACAAGCCGCACCTGCTGCAGCTCTCGCAGCCTAACACGATGTCCTGTCTTCAGTAATATAGAGTCACCACAGCGCCCTACCAGCACACACTACCACACATCGCAATCGTTTTTGCAATGCACTGATCATCGTCGCATTGTACCAAATCGTTTGTGACTGCACTACTGACAGAATGCATTGAATGAGGACGCATCCTCGGTTTGATCTCGGGTATTTGCATCTCGGCGAGATCTCGCAAGGTTCTAGAGCAACACTCGACTGCACGCTGAACGATCGCACCGAGAAGAATCTCGGTTTACGCATTCGTACAGCTTGACCGATGGAAGATGTCAACTTGCGTGTAAGATCATTTATTAGGAGACCAAAAGTCAGCGCGATCATTGATCTCCATTCTGTGAGGTTGCACAAAGACCATTCATTCTCTTTCTGTGAGACCGGAGTGTCATATGTGCTTGCGATACACACAGCTTCAGCACTGTCGCGCTCAAAGCTCTTCTCACATTCCTCAGCCTCTCGCACTATTCTGGCACGCCACACGACGGCTGCGTACCTATATAATCAATGAATTGTTCATAACGGAAAAGAAACACGAGAGAGAAGGATACAAAAGAAGAAGAAAAAAGAGGTATACGGCTACAAAGCTTCTCAGCTGAGACCAGCGGCATCGGTAACCACGCTGAGACGGTGCGGAGTCATGTGCGGGTACTGCCAGAACATTGCGCCTGCATTCCAGCCGTTTTGAACACCAATGTTCAGGCACCCACCCAGCACAGAAGGGCGCATGAAACCATTGGCGGCATCACTCTCGACGGCCGGCTTTCCAATGACAAGTTTTTCAAGTGGTACGCCAGAGGACTTGTGGATCTCAAAAAGGCTGGTTTGTGGGAAATAGTCGCAAGAATCCCAGATGAGCCCATCGCAGGTGGTGTAGCAATTGTCTCCCTGATTGTATGCCTAAGGATCGGAAAAGAAGAGCAAGAGGTGGTATATTTAGTGTCTCAAGTGGAATAATGAGCTTTCATGCTGTCGTTATGCTAAGAATCTTACCTGTAGATTGTACCAATCGATAAGATCGCCCACTTCTTGATGGATTCGAGTGTATCCCTGAGGGTATTGAGCAACAGACCACCAAGGCATCACAGGCGCGTGTGTAATGATGTAGTCCGGGCTTGGAAGCTCTTGACGAAGACTTCGAGTAAGCTTGATGAGCCAATCGGCAGATTTGCCTTGAGCGAAGAGGTCCATCTCCTCGTAGTCAACATCGACGCCGTCGAGACCGTGCTTCTTGACAAAAGCGGCGATGGTCTTACCGAGTTGAACAGGATTCTTGCCCATCGACTGGGGAGTGTCAGTTGCGCCAAAGACCGAGACCATGAGTTTCATGCCGGCACCAGCGTAGCGAGATTTGAACCATTTCTTATCACTATCGCTTTTGGCGGCCCACTTAGCGGCGTTGTCTGCAACACCAAACTTGACCGTCCAGAAGGCGAGGTTGAATACATTGAATCCGGTGATGTTCGAATAAGGGGGTGCGCCGTAAGACTGGGATGCAACGTCTTCGTCTCCGTAGAGGACGAATCGAGGAGCGGCGACACTATCAATGTCGGCCGTGGGGAAACCAGAGTCGAGAAGCTTGACACCCGGTGCGGATTTGATCACTTGGACCGGGTTGTGCGATTGGCCAAACATCCAAGTAAGGGTGGACCAGACACCGTGAGTAACGCGAGCGGGGATGCTATCATCGTAGAATTCGGGAGATGGGCCAGCAAAACCATTGTAGCCGTTGTAAAGACTCTGCTGGTGAGGGATGGCGCAAGCAGCATGGAGGTTGGCAATGGCAGCGGCGACCGCAACGAGGGGGGCGGAAGATGCAACGCGCATTCTGGTACGAATGTGTGCGATGCAGCTGGAGGGGGAACAGGAGTGATTGAGAGGAGGGAGGGGGGGGGGGGGGGGGGGGAAGAATTGAGCAAGCTTGATGAGGAAAGAAAGAAGGGTGGACGTACTTTTGAAGCTTGAGCTCTTATAGAAAGTGATGAGCGTTTGACGACCACCGGAGCGAGCGGTAGTGAAGTTCAGAGACCTCTTAAAGCTAGTGAAAGCATACGCCGCTTGATCACGAGCTGATCCAGACATGTGAAACCCATGAAGGTTGCCATGGCAACAACTCAGGAGCTCTGCAGCAGAGACGGCCCAGGAGCAAGGAGTAGAGACGGCCCAGGAGCAGGAGCATCTGCAGTAGAGACGGCCCAGGAGCAGGAGCTCTGCAGGAGAGACACTCGACTCACCCAAGGGCAGCCCAGTATCCTCGAAGATGGTGTCAAAGGTATATATCCACATGTTTATAGTCTCGTTTCCTTTTGAACACGATAAGCATTATAGTTGCTACACACCTGTTCGAAGGGAGCCTAGCCTCATCGTGGCCCCAACGTAATGGTGGTTTTATCCTGAACAGCCGCGAGGCAACTTAGACGAGGCCTTCGATGAACGAGAAACATTACGCTCGCTTGGAAGAAGAGGTCGGCTGCGTTCCCAGCATCTGGACCGAAGATTGCAAAGACGGCATGAGTTGAACGGCGGAAGACAGCCTGGTTCAACTCCACTGCGCATCTCGACAGGCATAAGTGCGGCATGAGGCTGGGTCAGCGGACGACAAAGGGAACGAGCGCTGCAGATGGCTTCCGGAAGGGTCGACGCATGGACAGACAGGGGAACTGGCGGCTTGAGGCGGCTTGAGGCGGGTAGAAGCTCTTGGCGGTGTAGGAATGCTGTCCTTTGCCGAAAGAATGGCGGGAAAGCGACGCTTGTGTACAATCGCAACGCTGAATCCAAACTTTCCACCGATCGACCGCTTGCAGGACTTTCTCCGAGACTTGGCAACCCAGAACGTTTGCATGTGTCATCCAGGCGATGAGATGTTGAACAACGCTCCGGCAAATGGAGCGCATGAGTTGAGTGCGTGATGCTCGAAGCGATGGAAGTTGAAGAGGCCGGCAACCTTTGCAAAAGCTATTCTCGACAGCAGCTGTAACCGCGCTACAAGAGCAAGGCGACGATTCCTTAGCGAGACAGCGGTCCTGTTGAACAATGCAAGCGAGCGAGCATGATGATCTAGGTCAGTGTGGCACGATGTAGATCTTCGTCTCGATCTTGTTGCGCTGTCGGAGTTTCAAACCGCACCTCTTTCGTCAACGATCTTGTCGAGCTTCTTGGGTAAGCCCAGACGAGACCCCTGTACATCCTTATTGCCGACCTGCCGGTGAGCAGCATATCCCGGTTGTGACGAAATGTGTGTTGCCGATCGAATCAGGTTGCGTGGCAGTCCAGTGGCAATCAAACGGACAACGCGGTCGACACGGCCAGCGACAACTGGGCAGCTATTATGAAAGCACATCGCTCCGTTCGGCTCCTCGTCCCCGATCACGGCCGAATCTTGTTGTGCATGCTCTTCTGCTCTCGTCTCTTGGGTCCACCAATGAGCAAGAGATGTATACTATTGTCTGACAGAGACGAATCGCCGCTCAGAGGTGTTTGAATCGATAGCGATCTTTCGCCTGCCTTTTTCCGCACCTGCCAGATTTGGATTGCCACCGTTTCTTCAATGTCGGCGCCCGATATATTTACACTATCGCTCCAGAGCCAAAGCTAATCAGAAGGTCGACCGGGGAATCTGAGTGACATTCACCTTGTTTAATCCAGCCCAGGTTCCTTGCAACATGCTGCCTGGCAACCAACATCTGGAAAACAGTCTTGTTGCGATCCGAGATGGAGCCGCATTGCCAGTCTGCTTACCTCGTGCTTGCTCACATTCCGCTCGAGACGACAGAAACGTGTCTGCTGTCCTCGCCGCTTTTTTGGCAGACCTCGAAAGTGTCGAACCTCAGGATTCGGCAAGGTCCGTCAGTAGACGGTGCTCCAGCCGGCCAGTCGGTCTTCTCATCGACCAACACATGCAAAGATGGACATCGGAATCAAATGCAATTACCATGACGATGCTGCTGATGTGTGTCCAAGACTTGTCGTCGCATACACGATCAGGATACAGGAAGCTCACTGTGAATGCAACGATCAGGTGTTGGTCAGCAAACGCGTCGAACGATACAGTCGGCTTTCCGAAAGTGTCGAGACAACATACCTTGGTTCAGTGCGTCGAGAAGCAGGGTAGTAAGTGGACCAGGCGAAAGTGTTGCCTGATCTGAAGGAGCCCGGGTTGACGACGTGGCATCCTTCATAGGTGAGCTCGTATCGGTCGTAGGCGTCGGCGAGCACGAGCTGTCAGCGGCCAGCCAGAGCGTGAAGATGTCAGAAGCGAACCATAGTCATGGACGAAGAGCGATGTCAGTGAGCGTGCTGCAACTAAGACAAACGAACGAGTTCAACACTTACAGCAGTCGGCATCGGATACAGACTCAACGCATGATCATGATCCCAAAGCACCGGCCTGATCCTTTGCGCCAATGGAACGAGATGTGCTTGATCCAAGACGGTCGACACCAAAAACTTCTTCAAATCGCGCTCCCCCTTCTCGCGCTCTTCTCTCTCCGGCTCCTGCGATTCATCCTTGATGCGCACCGTGTTGCGGAGGAAACGAGTCAGGGTGTCGTCGCGATAGACAACGATCTGCTGGGAGAAGTACGAGATGCGGCACGGGTTGGATGCAAGATGGATTGTGGCATGCAGCCGTTCGAGCTTGGAGAGGAGTGCCTGCACGACAAGCTGTGGCAGCGGTGGACGAGGGACGAGCGAGGTGGCAAAGGGATCTTGTGGACCGGGAACGAGGATGATGTCGCTTGTACCAACGATGGCGGGGAAGGAGGAGAGCGTCTCGCCGAGTGCAGCAAAGCCGGCTGTTAGCAAGATTGTCAGGAATAGACGGTGTTAGTAGGCCATCAAGCAGCTTCGCAGGCTCCTTCGGAGAGCAGCTTCCTACTTACCCTTGTACATGTCGATCATATCTGCTGACGAGTACTGCTGACTCGCAAAGTTACCGCAGAGTACGAGCGCGAAAGGGATAAAGTCGGCATCGACGTAGCCTTGCAACACGGTAGCAAACGCCGACATGGTCTTTGGATGGTCGAGATGGAGATCGGAGAAGATGACAAAGCAGAGGTCGGAGTGGTTGGCTTCGTGGACCTTGAAAGCAGCTTCTTCTTTGACAGAGATGGCTCCTCGCCACGGCGCTGATGTGCCAGCTCGACTTGGCGCGGATGCTGATGCGAGGACGGGAGGCTGTGGTGGTCCGAGGAAGTCGGTGTGGGCATGGATTAGTCTTGCTTGCGCGCGAGTCTCGCTTGGTGGATGACCGATGGCAAAGACACGGATGCGTTCGTCGACCGTATACTCGCCCTCGACAAGGATGAGACTGCCTTCTGTAAAGATACCTTCACCCGGAATGGCGTCATGGAGGTCGAGTCCGACGGCGCCATCGACATCTTCAAGCTCGTATCTGCCGTCAGAAGAGGTGCTGAGCATGCCAAAGAGCAAGAAGCGATGTCCTTGCCTGCCAAGAAGATTCTTCGTCGAGGTGAGTCTCATGAAGCCGTCTGCGGTGTTGTTGCGCGATGAAGATGAGGAAGATGATGGTGCAGCGGTTGGGATGGCGAGCGGTGGACAGAAGTTTTCGTTTCTCGAGATGACGCTTTTGAGGATGTGGTATCGTTGCCGCGGGAAGGTGGAGCGAGCCGCTGCCGTTGGAAGGACTGTCGATGCTATCGATGCCGGCTCAAAGACTTTGCGAATGGGATCAAAGGCAAGTTTTGGCTGCGTAAATGCTGAGTGAACGCCAAAGTAGCGGTGTGGATCTGGCAGCTCTCCGTCGGTGAGCTCGTGTGGGTGTCGATGCACACCATTGTTAGCTAAAGATGTCGATGCGAGAGCACCTTGAGTTGTATGTGCTGCTGAGTCTGCTACGACGAGTCTGGAGTAGACCTTCTCGAGCGCTGCTGCCGTGACTACATCTGATGGTCCCGTGTCTTGGTCGTTGTCTACATTCTGATTGCCGCCACGAGTTGCTCCTCGAGAAGAGTGCGGATCTATGTCCGACTGCCCATCAACTATGCCCTGCGCGAGCGCATCAATGGCTTCCTCCCATTCAAGTGGCTGATCTAGAAGGCCGTGTTGTGCAAGTGTCGAAGTGATGAAACCGATAGCGGACGAGTGAAGCTGCAGCGAGTGCTTGGTGGTGAAGACCCGTAGGATCGTCCTGCGCAGCTCTGGTGGCGGCACTACCGCAGCCATATCCATAGTTGCGATGTGATGAGTTGCGATTCGACGAGTTGCTGGACAGGGTCAGGTGTGGAAGCAGAAGCAAAGGATGCTTGCAGCTCCAAGTGTCCGAGAGTTAGAAGCAGTGTTGGTCTTTCGCTTGGCCGACATTCTGCAGGGCACGAGACGCGTGTGTCAAGTCAATTTACGCGACTTCAACCTTGTATCGGGCCCCGATGCGTGTCTTGGTAATTACGCAGCATGACGTGTTGGAGGCCGAAAGGGCTAGAGCTCGATATAGACTGTCGAACGACACACATGTAGTAGCCGAAGTTGAGGCCATCATGCTCTGTGCCGTCTGCTGGACGGCAACAGAGCCGATGCGACCATCATGGCTACAGATGTGATTCCAGCATACGAGTTCGGTCTTGCCATCAGAAAGAACCATGGCCTTTTCATGGTGGTCGGACAGTCGATCGTCCCGATTCCAATGCACTACAATCATCTCATCTTCAGAGATATTAGCATCAAGGGAAGCTTGCTTGGCGATCCAAAGACTACGCAAGAGATGTGCGAGCTGGTTGCGAAGCACAAGATCGAGGACAAAAGGATTGCTTATCCACTCGAAGATGTAGAAATGATGCGAGCCGACTAGGCCAAGCCGAATGATCAGGGTAAGATGGTCATCCGTGTCAATGCGGATCTGTGATCATCGTCTTGGCTGCCTGGACGTCAAGCTATGAACGCTGATCTATCATGGCAATTGATGATGTTCTAGCTGGGGATGTGTTGCCGATACTGCCTGCATGCTCTCGAACGTGTTTAGCTGTGATGAGATCGGGACTCGGCCATGAGCTTTGAGCGTTGTCAGTGCCATGCGAAGGTCGGGAAGCATAACCGATGTTTAGCTCTTCCGAGCGTCCTGTCGCGCTTTATATCCACGTCCACACTCTCTTGTAGCTTTTGCTGTGATGGCACTTGAGCTTATCGACATTGGCAAGCTAGCTCGCGCGTTCCTGTTTGCCAAACCAGTGCCTGAAGAAATGGTTAGCGCAGTCGAGCTCCAGCATTGCTTGCGAACAATGCGGCTATACGGACGGAGCAATCTGTGCCGAACGCAAGCTTAATGGTAGCTCGATCGGGCCACAAGTTGCTTTACTGACAGCTGAAGCTCTCGTAGGGAAAAGGGGGTCGCAGTGTATCGAGGTCGATACCGCACTGAAAGGTTGTGAGGCTAGCCGAGATGCTGTGCTAGGTTGTCAAGCGAAGCGATTGCCTCGGTGAACTTTGTCGAAAATGGTTTTGTCGAATCGAGATCGTGTAGCAGGCAGCTTGACCTGCAGCGACAACACAGACACCTCGTTGTTGTGCATGCTGCGCGGACTAAAGCATACGAGCTGGACCCTGGTTGATCCTAGACAGACCCTTGCTTGGCTTGCATGGCTAGTACCTCCATGACTGCCTGGTGTTTGACAACAACAACGTTGATGTAGCCACGTTCCAGTGCGTTGGTGTTGTCCACCGATGCTGGAAAGAGAGGTTCCGCCGGATTTGCAGGGCCGAGTCGAAGCTGCTTGAAGCCTACGTGAGCCTCTCTCGACGCCGAGTTGAGCGCACATCGGGATAGAGATGGATATAAAGGTGGGCATACCAAGTTCGAGGTAGCACTATGGTCCAGCACCGACCCTGTGCAGATTCCAGTTGATCCTGACCCTGAACTGACCATACAATCCGACCCACCTTGCCACTGTTGTCGAAGCTTGGATATGATGCGCCTCTCATGGACTGTCGCTGCTTTGGCTATGCTGGGCCTTGCCAGCGGTGCTCAGGCAGCAACATTGATATGGGATTGCACTCGTGTGCCAAACATCTGCTCGAACGACTGTTACGCGATCCAGTGCGCTGGTAAGCCAACGAGACTCCATCGCGACTCTGCCAACGCTTCGATCAATCGTGCCAACACCGCCTGCCGATCACCCAACCGTTGCGCGGGCAAGCCTGCTGACTCGAATTCTTGCGGTAAGCTTTGTGATTGTCGAGCGACGCGTGATTACTGACTGTTTGCGGATTGCTGACTGTTTGCGGATTGCGTTGGCGTGTGAAGACGAGTATCCTTATGCCTCGTCACAGGAAGGCGGAGCTGGCAGTGTAACTCGATGCGTTCCCAGCACAGAAAACTCTCGCCAGGGAGGAACGCTGAGCAGTTTCTATACCAACAATGGCGTGATCGATCGAGATGCTTACAATGTCGCTTTTGCCTCGACGCGGGGACTGCAATACTGCTCTGGTTCTTGCACCAACACGGGCAACGAGGTCACCAAGCGCAATCTCGCCATCGCAACTCAGCACATTGCCCGTCACTTTCTGACCGATCAGGGTCACCAACTCACCAGTAAGTCGTCACATTCTTTCGGCTCCTCTTCCGACAACGCTCGAGGGCGTGGGAAAGTTCGGATCGCATCTGCCGATTCGCTGACTCACCTCTTCGGACCTGCCGATGTTTCTACAGTGTTCGAACGAGTGGACAGTCCTGGTTCGCTGGACAGTCTGATTGGAACGCACGCTTGGCTCGCCCATGAGGAGCGCAACGTCACTATTGCCAGCGCTCTTGCTTCTGCTCCGTAAACCATCATCTCTCTTTGCCTGCTCTGAGCACTTGTCATCGTCTACTCTTGGTCTTGTCTATACCATCCTTTCACTCCCATCATGCGTAATGCTAACAGGCCGAGGCCATATCGACCCTCACCGACCAAACTTACCAACGCACTGTAGCCACACGCACACACTCGACAAAGAATGATAGAGAAGGGATATGCTGATTCATGATAAAGGCATGATACAAGAGACATGGCTGGCTGCCTGGGTACAGCTGCTACAAACGTGCAAATAACGAACAAGGAGAAAGGAAAAGAATACAAGATGCCCATAACAGATCCTTTTGCGCAAGACAGTTTACCAGGGAGGGAGACCAACACGGGTACCCACGTGGCTACCAGCCACCTTGGAGATCGTAAGGATAGCGTTGAAAACACCACCCATACCCTCACCGGCGATAAAACCAGCAGCGATGGCAAAGGCGAGCAAGTTGAACGACTGAGGGCTCTTCTTCTTCCAGAAAAGCGAGAACGTGGCACCCATGCACATGGCAATCGGGTAGTACACCTGAGGAATGACGAAGCCGAGACCAACAGCGTTCCAGTTGGGCACGTAGACGTGGTACTTGGAAGGGATGATCGTGTACTGGGCGATCACAGTGAACACCGAGATGATGGCGAAGCCGATAGCGGTCAAACCACACGACAAGCTGACCGGAAGCTTGGGCGAGATGACGGCAACGGCGACAGCCTTCCAGGCAACCACAGCGGGAACAGCAAAGGGGCACTCCTTGGCAGTAGCGTCGATGATGCATGGGTAAGCCTTGGTGAAGAGGACAAAGAGACCAGTCGAGACAAAGATCGACCAGAACGATCCGAAAAGCTGGGCCCAGAACTGGTTGCGCGGCTTGGCGCGCAGAAGGTGACCAGTCTTAAGATCACCGACCATGTCGACGGCGTGCGAAGAAGCCGAGGCGGCGATCGAACCAGCGATCAAGTTCTCCAGCAAACCAGCACTTCCCGTCTTGCCCTGGCCACGGAGAGCACCGCCAACGATCAGCTGCGAGGCCTTGGAGAGGGCGCCGGTTGGGTTGGTGTCGGTCGCACCAGAAGCCTGGACACCGACGAACGAGAAGATGAAGGCGAGCATGATAGCAAGCATGACGTTGCCGAAGTTCATGCCGAACTGGAGCGTGCAGACAAGGCAAGTGCAGACGATCGAGATGAAGAGACCACTGGTCCAGGCCCAGAGAGGCACCTGGTCCTGCTTGGCAACGGGGTCAGGGATAGCATCCTCGTACTCGGGAGCCTCCTTGCGAGCGATCTTGCAGTAGAGCTCCATGACACCGGCGCGGACACCACGGTAGATGGTGGGACCGTTCATGGCAACCTCGGCGAACGAGTAGGCAAGCATCATCAGAACACCGGGCCAGAGACCCCAATATCGTGGCGTGGCGGCGTTGAAGGGCTGCTTGCTGGGGTCGAAGCTCATCGACGAGTACGACCATCGCAGAGGCTCAGGAGGGTCAGCGGCGAGACCAGTGTTATAACCTCTAGCCTGTCCTGTAGCAACGATGGCTGGGCCGATCACGGCCCACAAAAGGAAGGAACCGCCAAAGAAAGAGTAAGAAGCGTTCATACCGGAGAGCACACCAGCACCAAGGAAAGCCGGAGTCCACTCGATCATCCAACCCCAGTTGTCAACAACGAGAGCCTTCTTCCAGCCCCACTTGTAGAGCCAGTAGAACACATGCCAGTCCATGAGGATACCCGCCGCGTACTGGTTAACGACGACAAAGATGAAGGCAGCGGCGAAAGAGTAAAGAAGGGCGCGCGACTGCTTCTTGGCTGTGAGCTCTCCTCCGGGAGCGTGGAGCGATCGCACAGTGAAGGCGGTGGCGGTGGGCGAAGGGAAGACGAGTTTCTGCTTGAGAATGTAGAACTTGCGAAGGGGGATGGCAAAGAAGACACCGTAGTAGGCCGAGACAGCCGAGAACATGATCAAACGGCCAAAGTCCTTGAGAGGGTCGTGGAGGAGGTTGAGCTGGTACATGGCGGGAACGGCGTTGACGAACATGCTGGTGAGCGAACCAGCGGCGGTAGCGGCGGTCTGGACAGTGCAGTTCTCACGGGGACCGAAGAAACCACCACCGAGTTTCTCGGGGAGGGCCTTCTGCATGAGCTTGATGATCGAGTAACCAAGAATGGCACCGAAGAGCGAGGCACCGAAAGTGAAACCGGTCTTGAGACCAAGGTAGGCGTTGGAGGCGGCAATGACGCAACCAAGGATGGTACCGACCACAAGGGCACGGATGGTGAGATGCGAGGTCTCCTCGGGGAAGTAGTGAAGAGCGAACTGCTCGCTAGAGTGAAGGTTTTCAGAAACGTAGTCCTCCACACCTGCAGCGGCCTTCTTCTCCGAGTTGTAGTAGCCGGTCACAGGGAGCTGACTGTCGAGAGCCTCCTGCGACGAAACGGGCGATTTCTTCTCGTCATCAGCAGGAGAGTGGGCATCAAGGCCGTGCTGCTCGCGGTAGTGGGGAGGGTGAGTCTTAGAAATCTCGTTGGCCTCGTTGTGCAACTGGCCCCAGGCGGGGGTTGGAGCAGCCATAGTGAATAGAAGGGGTCCTCGGGAGCACAACCGCGAAAGGTGAGCTCGATGTAGTGGCGAGGAAGAGGGACTGCTTGGGGGTGGAGAAGAGGTGATAGGTCGAATGAAGGAGAAGGGGGTATTAATATGATTGACCGGACCAAGTAGTTGAGCAAGGCACATGCAGGGGAAAGGCTCTAAACCCAAAAGGCTAGATCCGAGTCAGCGTTGAGCGATTGGGCAGCAGCAGCGATGCCAAGAGAGGTGGAAGAATCACTAGCGTCGGACGAAATGAGAAGGCGAGGCGCAGAGGCAAGTTGCGGGGGAGACGCGCAGAGATCAAATGGCGGATGCAGGGACGGAGCGGATTTGAGCGAGTATGAGCTGAGAACAAGCTACGGTTGGACAGAGATGGTCTCATGGGCAGCGCCGATGTCGGCGGCGCGGATGCCAAAGCTTTGATGCAACAAGGCGAGCTCGGACAGAGGAGCGAAGAGCGACATGGGTCCTGTGGCAAAAGCCAAAGAACAGGCTTATCAGAGCTCAAAACCGGCTTTGCAAGATCGCGGGGGCATATCACAGGACGTTGGCAGGCAAGCAAGCAAACTAGCAAGAACTGCGATTGGCTCTCGACAACGGAATGAAGCAGAGGAGGAAGCGAGTTCAAAGCGAAGCGGAACAAAACGAAATGAAATGATATGATACGATACGAATTCAGAGATGAAGAGGTGCGAGAGTTGTGGCGTTTCGAATTAATGTGATGGAGTTGCGGTGTTTCGAATTTGCTATGATGGTGTTGTTCTAAGTACAAGCTCAGGTCCGGAGGGGGATGTCATAGGGCCGGATGCACACGAGCAGGGAGTATAAATGTCATATGAGGAGGAGTGCAGAAATCGCAGGATCAGGCGAAATAAGGGTTACAGCAGAGTTCATCAAGATCTGTAGTAGAAAGGCTCTATGACAGATCTTGTCCAAATTGGCATGAACAGGGCTGTATCACAAATCCCACTGGAATCGGTAGTTTCCTGAGCATAGGATAGATCTCACATGGGTGCCAGTTTCACAGGCATCTCAGTAGGATAAGATGTTGAGGACATTGGGGTTGCCACCCTGATGAAGCAGGGGGCCGACTTGATGATGAACTCAGAGCAGGAGGATGGGAGGGATGAAGAAGGGGGGTGGGTTGCCACACAGATGAAGTGGGGGATTGACCCCTATCAATGATGAGACCATGTCCATCCACAGGAAGTGAGGGAAGTGGCACCAACGAGCAGCATCATAAGGTGGCTAGAAAGGATAGGAAGGACAAGGAGGAGGAGCAGGGTTGAAGAGGCCTCCCAGAGCAGGAGCAGTGTTGCAGGCGACATTGCAGGAATGGGTATATAACCTTGCTCCTTGTCATAGCAATTGAGTGGATCCTCATCCACTCTACATCTTACATTACTAGTTATAGCTTCACAGAAAAGTATACTTAGTATTCTGTCAACAGTAGCAATTGCAGAGCATTGCTTCTATTGTAGTGCATGTGTTGTATCACTGCTTCTTGACATCATCTGAAGGCAGTACTATCTGTGGTCTGGATATCGATTGACACCGAAGGTGGTTTCATACTGCAGTCCAGCTCTCTCGATCATTAGAACTGAAGGCAGTTGTCCACTGCAGTCCATCTCGCCCTCCCTCCTGCTCCGAGTTCATTGTCAAGTTGGCCCCCTGCTTCATCAGAGTGGTGAACCCAGTGTCCTCAACATCTTATCCTACTGAGATGCCTGTGAAACTGGCACCCATGTGAGATCTATCCTATGCTCAGGATACTACCATTTCCAGTGGGATTTGTGATACAGCCCTGTTCATGCCAATTTGGACAAGATCTGTCATAGAGCCTTTCTACTACAGATCTTGATGAACTCTGCTGTAACCCTTATTTCGCCTGATCCTGCGATTTCTGCACTCCTCCTCATATGACATTTATACTCCCTGCTCGTGTGCATCCGGCCCCATGACACAGTGTTTATATTGCATGAACAGCTTAATGGAAAAGAACAGACTGCCAAGATTGTTGCCGGCATCCTATGTCAGTGCTATGAGCTTGCCTCCAAGAGTGCTCCTGTGTCACAGGGCCAGCGCAGAGATCATAAGCTGCCGTGCTGTGCAGCTGCCGAAATGAGTTTGGCACACCAGAAGCAGAACTGGTCAAGATCCAGGGGCTCTGACCAATCTCACCAAGAATGGTCAGACAGTGAGCTGGGGGGAAACCTCATTGAGAATGGTCAAGATGGTGGGTACTGGGAAGTTTCACCAAGACTGGCCTGAGATGAAGCAGATCAACCAGCCCCATGATGAGATGAGGGTGCCCCACTGAGATCAAAGGGGCAGCCACTGAAAGCAGGGAATGAGAAACCTTGCCACCAGATGAGGTGGGAGGAGACCCCTGAGCATGATGAAGTCAGCATGGGAGGATTGTCACCTCAGCAAGGGGAGTAAGGATAGGAAGGGCAGGATAGTAGTAGGAGCCAGATAGAACAGGATGGATGGGGAGGCCATACCCTGTAAGGAAGGGGGGCCACAGTGAGGTAGACACCATGGCATGAAGATATATATACACCCCTCTATCATAGTGAATGAGTGGATCTGGCATCCACTCTATTCTTAACTAAACTATACTCTACTGTAACATATACTTAGTTGTTCTGTCACATAGTGCAATTGCAGGCCATTGCTACTAATCTGAGCAGGTGTTTCATATCACCTCTCACTGACATCGTCTGTAGGCAGTAGTTACTGCAGTCCAGATAATCACCTCTCTGAAGGCAGTACTCATACTGCAGTCCAGGCTTCTCTCACCAATTCACTGTTTGCTCATTGACACCTCAAACACTTGTGTTGAGTTGATGGATCATCATCCCAGATATTAAGTGTTCTGCAACAAGCAGATACCAACTGTGCTGCATTACCACTGAACTGAGTGTTCACAGTGGTTAGCTGAAACTCACCAAACAAATAATCCTTCAAGCAGTCTCAGTGAAAGTGGCCAACAGGTGCATACTCAAGCATGCTCACTGAAACTGGTTGAAATCACCCAAACTGGTAGCTTTCGGGTTCCAGGCACACAACTGCTGACATCCTGTTAATCTACTGACTGCATCTGAGGAAACCGAGCTTGTTGCCTTGCGAGCAGCTATGCTCATCAACTGTTGGGTGTGTGGTGAGCTCAGCCACACAGCCAACCATTGCCCAGACAATGTTGCCCATGGCCAATGGAAATGCAACAAAATCAAGACACCTCCCAAGGGCTGTGCCAACATGTGTGTGGTGTTACCACTTGAAGATCCCCAGAAAGAATAGGATAAGGCACTGGCCCTAGCATTCTTCACAGAAATCGAGCTGGCACCAGTTGATATTCCACCCCATTTTGTCCCATTTGTGTTTGATTTGGGAGCATTGTGTGTCATGGTTAACTCCCTTTGCTATGGAAAAGGCTGGAAAGGTGTAGGTGAATCAGTCCACCACTGCCGACAGTGGAAAACTTCCTGCCACCAAGATGGGTGGGACAGTGAGCCTTTTGAGCTACAGCCCCAAGATGTGTTGATGGGAACAAATGACATATTGGGATTGTCTCCTTGTACCTGGCCTTGTGATAAATCTCATTGGCACAAAGTTGGTCACACATGCTCAAGGCAAAGTGACCTTTGAGGATGAGCCTGTCACCATCCAAGACAAACATGGTTGTATGATCTGTGTTCCTACCAGTGAAGATGGCTATCCTGCTGCCACCATGATAATATGGGATGACAGCATGCCCAAACCTGCTGTCTCCCTTGTGTAAGCGGTCGCGCACCTGAAACCAGGTTGGGGGTTTCCAATTGATTTCAGTGAGAACAATCAAGTAAGATCTACTCAGTATGTTTCGACTAAACATAACCAGATGGCTTTGTACTGGTAGGTCTCAGCTGACTGCCTTGAACACTCTGTTCAGGGGTTGTGTGGCATGTCTGTTATTCTCTGGAGGGAGAATAATACACTCTCATTTACAGTACAAGTGTTTGTAGTACTGTTGCTAATGCTCTCTAACATTGTCTGGACCACAATATGCCTATTGCCTACAGAGGATGGGAGTTACTGGACCACAGGTGTTGGACACTGCCTACAATAACTGACTGGACCACAGATGTCGAGCAACACCACCTACAGTAAGGAACTGGACTGCAGGTGTTGAGGAACACCACCTACAGTTGACACCTAACAGTGATACAACACACACATTTGAGGTGTCATTGCAAAGCCGACCGCTGGCACCATAGGCTAGGTCATGCTAGCTATGAGTCTATCATGCACACACATGTGGTAACTCACCCTCATGACATTCCTTCAAGTCTGGCTACCCATTCTGGTGTACTTTGTGATGTCTGTGTCTGAAGTAAAGCTATCACACACAATGTTGCCCACCCTTGACATGTTGAGAAACCACTTGAATTGGTGTTGATGGATGTGATGGGACCACTACATGGCAATGCAAAGTTTGCATATGTCCTCATCATCCACAACACCTTCTCAGGCATGATCTGGGTATGTGGCCTGGCAAACAAAGGAGGGGCCTCCCAGGAGGCAATATGGTGGCTTTTGGAAGCACATGTCAACACACATCAGTGACTGTCACACATAATTCTTGATCATGGACTCAAAGAGGTTCATGTGGACCAAGGCAAACTTTGGTCCACTGCCTTCCAAGACACCTGCTCATCCACAGGGGTGAAGTTCACTGCTTCACCAACTCAGCAGCACATGGATAACACCTTTGCTGAACAAGCAATCCAGACCATTCAGAAGATTGCCCACAGCCTCCTGTACAACTCAGACATGGATGAATGATGGTGGCCTCATGCCACTTCACAGGCTGCTTTCATACACAATCAACTGGCAGGTACCACATGTGGCCACATTACCCCATTCGAACTATACTATGGCAAGTGACCCAATCTGCATAACATACAACGTTTTGGATGTGTTGCCTATGTTGTGCTCAGGGGCAGCACTAGATTGACATGGCTATGAAGCCACCCCATTGTTAGCAAACATCTCTGTCCTTGTGCTCTTCAAGGGTCTATCTTGGCTTCTCCAATGCACCATGTGCCATCAAAGGTCACAAGGTATGGCTTCCTGAGCTCAATCACATAGTTGTTGCCAAGGATGTGCACTTCTCCAAGCTCGAGCAACCAGGGACCACTGCTTCTCCTCCCCACACACCCATGATTGCTGGAAACAGCCAGCTGCTTCAGTCCTACACTTGGCTACCCCAAGGTGATGTCCCCAAAGAACCTGATGCTGACAGCATTACACCATCCTCCTTGATACTGTACTCTTGCCAACATGGCACAGACATGTGTTTGTGCTCCTTCCATATGAACCAGTGACCCTCCTGCTTCTTGAGCATTCAGGCCCATGACACCTGTCAGCGGACAGATACTCACAGGGTGGGAAGACAGTGACTGGGCAAGTTCACACAATTGCAGGAGGTCGACTTCCGGATATGTCTTTGCTATTGACAGACTCATATGCAGTGTAAGCGGTCGCGCGCCTGAAACCAGATTGGGTGTTTCTGATTGATTTTGGTGAGATCAATTGAGTATGAACTACTTGGTATGTTTTGATTGAAAGCAACCAGACAGCTTTGTTCTGGTAGGTTTCGGCTGACTGCCTTGAACACTCTGTTCAGAGGTTGCACAGCACATTTGTTTCCTTCCAGGGGAGAGTGTGTACACTCTCTATACAGCACAAGTGTTCATAGTACTGTTGCTTATGCTCTTGTCATCATCTGGACTGCAATATGCCTATCACCTACAGAAGATGGAAGTTATTGGACCACAGGTGTTTCAACACTGCCTACAATAACTGACTGGATCACAGATGTTGAGCAACACTGCCTACAGTGAAGGACTGAACTGCAGGTGTTTGCAAGGAACACCACCTACAGTGTTGATGTCTGACAGTGATGCTACACACATGTTCAAGATGTCATTGCAAAAGCTCCTTGCTATTGCAATGGTACTAAGTAAAGGTGACTAAAGTAAAGAGTAGAGTGGATGAGGATCCACTCATATGCTATGGTGAAGTAGTAGTATTTATGTGTTTGGAGGGTATCATCCACGGCACTGCTCCTGCTCCTCTTGGAGGAGTGTCCTTGTCCTCCTCCTACTCTTCATGTGCCATTCCTCTTGACATTGCCCATCCTCCTCATGGTACCCATGTTGGTCCTTTCAGCCCATCCCCCTTTCCTCTAATCCATGGCCATTCCTTTGGCCCCTATCTGATGGCTCTCCTTGACCTTGTGACCATCCATATTGTTCCACTCCCATCCCTGCAGTCTACCTTGTGACTGGGTCATGTATTCAAGAGCATGTCCCCCCTGTGGTAACCTGCCACTTGCTCTTGAGCTCAGTCCTTCTCTTGGCTGAGCTCAGACCTACTCCTCTCATGTGAAACCTTTCTTGCCATCCTGACCTCCCCCTTGACCAAAGGGATCTTCCCTACTAAATCTCCCATCATCTCCCTGTAGTCCAGTGGTTCATTCCATGTCAGTGGCCACTTCTTGTGGTGTGATTGGTGAAATCAACTGGATAGTCATATTCTGATTGATTTCAGCAGAATCAACCAGACAGACATGATGCAGTCATTGTCAGGTGAAAACAACTGGAAACCCATGATCTGGTAGGTTTCCCAATTTTGTGCACAAAAGGCTCCTCATATCTCATTTTGGATCTTCCTGCGCAGCCTCTATGACATGCAGCTGGTCCTCGCAACTCCAACCAACAGTGGCAAACAGTTTGGTAGAGGCAGAATACATGGCACTAGCAGCAGCAGCCAGAGAGTTACTGTGGGCTTCAATGTTATTACAGGAACTGGAACAGCCCATCCTAAGGACAGCTGGAATATATGTAAGTGCTGGAACATCTACTATTAATTCCCACAATGGTGAACTTGTCTATGACTGGAACATACTGGTCCTGCACAGTGATTCCTCCAGAGCCCATGCAATAGCAAGTGATCCACAACACTTCAAGAGGACAAAACACATCAATCTTGCTCACTTCTTTTTATGAGATGAGATCACAAGCCAACAACTTATGATTGCTCTGGTCCAGAGCAGTGAGAACTTGGCTGACCTACTCACTAAACCACTTGTGGCACTGATGCTCACACACCTCTGACAAATGTTAGGACTATTAGCATTAGAAGTGCATACTGGATTGAGAGGGGGTACTGAAAGAAACAATCCAGTGTGATGATATGGAGTGACATAAGCAGTCACAAGAGGGATTGGGTGAAGGACAATCTGATTAGAGATTGTCCTTTGGGTACAACCTACTCTCACTTGTTGTCAGGCCTTGTCATTAAGTAGGATGTACCCACATCTGGCAAGTGCCACCCAGTTTGTATATATATCATGCAGGGAGCTTGAGGCTCCCACCACATTCCTTTCCTTAGTCAATTGAGTATACATGTTTCTGTCTTAAAACAGCAGTGACATTGTGCTCCGACTCTCACCGATCGCCAGTCATCGGGACCCGTGCAATCCATTTTTCTTTATCAAGAGGTCATACGTCTGTGATAAGGAGGAGCCTGCTAGTGGCCCAAGACAGCGTATCCTACTTTATAATCTTCAATTGGTGTCCTCCCTTTTGCGGTCTGGCATCAGAGTGGCAAACAGAGCTAAGATTCAAGGTCTCGGGCCTTGTGAAGCCTGTCTCGACTGAATTGACCGGTGGTGCATCGCCAAGCTGTCCTTCCAAGCATATGGCCCTCGCAACTGCCACACGAGCAGAGGCCCAGAAATGCTATCGTTGCTCTCGGCAAGCTCGTGAGGCATGAATTTCCCACCATAATCAGCCAACTCTGACCTTCCCTTTTTATTCTGGATGATAGCTAAGCGAGATGGTTAGATTGCGAGCGCAAGTGCGGGGTACTTGAGCGACACCAGCAGTATCCTGTCATTCCGCTCTTTGTGCCGTCAACGGTCGCCGTTAGAACACTGCATTGGTTCATTCAATAGCTTCCACTCATCGACCGGTAATCTGGACAAGCAGCTCTCATTCTCACCTTCCAGGCTGGCGACATTTGGCGACATTTGGCGACAAAGGCGTTGACACAGCCATAGTGTATCGAGTGGCCGACCGAATCATTCAAAATGGCGCACGCTTCACGATGGCGTCGTTGGCGAGAAAATCACTGATCGTCTTGATGGTATCGCGATGTTCTGGTTGGATCGAAGTCAATCAGTTTATCAGAAGTCGACATGCTTCTTGTCGTTCCTGCATGCTAATCAAGGCTGACCTAAATCCAGACTGATACAGTGACAGAGTCGATCGGACGAGTTAGGAACTAGCACGTACCTGCCCACAATCAGTCAATGATGTGGTGATGATCGCGCTGAATTCGGAGGACTACCTTGGGCACTCGAAGAACATGGGTCTGCTAAGTTATCATCCCGTGACTTGATGCACTTGCAGCTAGCTTGCAGTAATGGTCTAGAGCGGTCTCTAAAAGGTGCGATGCATCTCTCTCCTTTCCCACGACCAACAAAGGGAAACTTTGGCCAAGAAACTTGTTCTTGTCATGCACACCAAAACGAATGAAAATCTCCGGACAGCTTCTACTCGTCTTCTGCCCGCTTTCTCCTTCTTGCCATCCTTGTAGGACAACGGAAAAAACAAAGGGGTGGAAAAGAATGTTGCTGACGGCCTGTCTGAGCAGGTTTTGGAAGCTCCTTAGGGAGCCTTTGATTCTCTCGCATGAATCCTCACTACCTTTTGTTCGTTATCGCCCTTTGATCACTATTGCTTCCCTTTGATCACTCGCCTAAAACAACAGCAAGAGAGAGGTGATCCAATCTTCAGCCTCCAAGCCTCGCCTGTCCAAAAGAGGCAAAAGGACCGACAGACAGTCAGCGCCGAGGTGCAGTCAGGGAGAATAGCAGGCATGGCGTCAAGGGAAGCCTCTGTTCGGCGTTCTGTTTTGCCAGCCAAGTTGAAGGGTAAATTGATGATATTTCCAAGTCAAAGCGCAAATCCGGAGGGGGATGCATCACGTGATTAATCATAATGGCGGGCGCGTCTTTTGTTTTTGCTCGTCTGCTCTTTCTTTCGTGCGGTTGAGTTCAGACGGGCCTCTCCATTTTCGAGAGCTGCAAAATTTGCGCAATCGGATTTCTTGGCAGACTGGGCTTTGTATTCCTCTGTATTCCTCGATAGAATGGCTCTAATTAGCTCGTTGTAATTGGAGCAACAACTTGGCCTGTCGATTACCGCCATGCTCATCCTGAACCAAATCAAGCCTGTTCTCCAGTCAAGCCTGTTCTCCAGTCAAGCCTGTTCTCAAGTCAAGCCTGTAGTACAGTCCCGCTCGCAATGACCTCTATGATTGAGGTCTGGCCGATCCGACAATGGTTTCCCCCGATCTTGATGTGTCCGTGGCAACATCTCCCTCGCTCCATGTCACCTGCTCTTGACTTGCATCATCCAAATGCCACAAGTGCAACACATCTGTTCACAAAAAATGTAATAAGAAAGCAACACCGGTATTGAAAGAAAAAGTAATCCTACAACCATGACAGAGAAAAGAATACAGAAAAGGTATAGCACCAACACCATCATCCTCACCACTTACCACCCGCATGCGCACGGCTGCGTCTAGTAAAAAGCAACAGCGAAATCGCCACTGCCAATCAAATCTGTCCAAAAGCAAGGTACACCCGTGATATCTGTCCTCCTCCAAACTTCCCTGATTACCTTTCTCCCTTCTGCAGGCCCTGCTTCTTCATGCCCTACGATCTGCATAGCAGTTTCGCAAATCTTCCTATCCTCCTCATCCACAGCCACAGAACTGGCTACAAACATGGGGAGGTTGAAGTTACTACACCCGACGCTTCTGCAGTACTGTTCTCCTGCGGTGGTCCATAGCTTCAGCATACCCCTCAGCAGTTGCCTTATGACGGGATGCAGCGCTCCAACGCGATAGATAAATGTGTGGATGAGAATGATGCATGCCGACTTGGTCATCATAGCACAGATGGCTGAGCCAGTTGCAAGGCTGCCTTCGATCTTGCAGTTTTCGATACGACTTTGAATTCGTTTTGCCCTCTCGTGAACCCATCGTGGAACGGGCGAACCAGGTGCACGGCGTGCAGTCAAGGAAAAGTCACCTCCGTCAAAGTCGTACCTCAGCCTCGCAATGTCCGATAGCGCAATGAGCGTTATATCGTGCAGACTGAACGTCAAATCTGCTTGCGTTTCGCCCAGACTAGCATCCACACTGAATCCGTCGCCATCATTCACAAAGCTAGACCGCGCCAACTGGAGATGCGGCCTGGTACCACAGGCAATCGCCGTGCTTACATCTGACCAAACATACGTCCTGAACCCCAACTGTTCATGGCTGACCAACTTCGACAGGTTCACTGGTGGGAAACTGCCCAACAGCGTATCGATCAGGTTCCGCATCCTAGCCGCTTCCTCAAAGTATGACTCCATTCCTTCCTCTGCAAAGGCATAGATGGCGATATTCATTGCTGCCAGTAGCAGCGGATTGGCGTTACGGAGTTCTGCTAGGAAGCCTTTCTCCGTAAAGCTCAGCCCAAGCGCGCGGGTAAACTTGGCACGGTAGTCGGAAACAGCCTGTTCTAGCGACCGCACAGCAAGATGCTTGAGTGTTTGCGCTTGACCCACGAGAAGGTCGTCTAAGGTTGCATGGGTCGAAGACGCACGTTTCAGCCGTTCTGCGTTGGCGGGGGAAAGAGCTGAAATGCCGCTCTGAGACTCAGAGAGGCTGTTTGCAGGGGAAGCAGACCATATAGTATCTGGTGTGGTTGGGAAGGGGAAGCTAAGATTCGCTTCTACGCAGTCTGTTATGCTTGTTCTATCTGCTCGAAGCGTGTTGGCCCACTGATGAATCGCTACTACATCTTTCGGCCAAGTCAACCTGGTACCACCAACATAGCCAGCAGTCAACGCAGCAATCGAGAGCCTCAGGGAAGGATGTCTATCCACTTGCTCCAACAGGTACGGCACCAGCTGCCGGAAGAGTGTCGAGGCTTCGAGTCCACGAACATCGCATCCCTGAGTCCAGCAAGTGATCAAAGTGCTGTAGTATCCGATCAGACTCTCCATCACTAGCCTTGGCTTTGCATTAGCCTGATGCGAGCCATCAGCTTGGCCATGCGGTGCGGGTGAGTGATGTCGAGAAGCGATAGGAGTGGAGAGGCTCGGCATGGGTTGCACTTGAACCAAATCTGCGTCTAGTGCAGCTAGCTGTACTGGATCAGGTTGCATCAGACGATTGGCAACTGCGCTGCAGGAGGCGCAAAGGTGGTGGCCGGAAAAGAGACAGTCGCCGACGATCTCGCAGGGTATCATGGGTGATTGCAGGGGTATCGATGGGACGTTGGAGTTGTGCGGCTGGTGAAGGCTTGATGCGGGATGCTGCTGCTGCTGGCCGGGGCGATGGGAAGGATGCGGAGAAGGCGGCAACATCGACGAAGGATGCACAAAAGAGTCGAACGAGGGCGATGTACTCGAAGCTCCATTCCTGTAACCACCTCTATCGTCCTTATGCTGTTGTTCGTGGCTCACGAGCGGCCAAGCAGCAGAACTGGTGGCCAAGCCTGCAAATTCTGCAAGGCTATTGGCCATATCCAGACTCTCCTGACCGATGGCGCCATGTTTTCGCGCGCCAGTACCCACCGAGGTAAAAGAGGGTTGGCCGAGCGCAGAAGCTTGCATATCCGCATAAGCGTTGGTATTACTGCTATCAGCTTCCGTCTTAAGGCGAGCGCCATTGCTCGACTCTGCATCTGGAGACTTCTTGGCTCGCTTGTTACTACTGTTCCCTTTGGTGGAAGCTGCCGAACCAGGCTGGAAGAGAGCCGGCTGTCTTCGAAAGCCTTCACACTGGTAACCTGCATTACGACATCGCCAGCAACCGCCTGTCTGCTCGCAAAGTGTCTCGTCGCATTTCTTCTTCCGCTTGCGACATGTCAAGCAACCTGAACGTGATCGCTTACCTGCGAGAGGGAGTGGGGGTGCGCTGCTTGAGCTGGATGCTGGTGGTTGTAGTTGGCAAGTGTCACCCTTGCTGGGTATGGATGAGCAAGATGGACGTCGTCGGGATGGCCAAGTGTCGTTACGAGCGGGAGAATGTGCAAGAGGCTTGTAGGATGTTGAGGCGCTTGCTGGCGAGAGAGTTGAGATGGATTGTGCACTCTTAGGGCCGTCAATGGAGGCAGAAGGACTCGTGTCTAAGGGGTACATGGTTGCGCGGGCACCAAGATCGAGCCGTGAGCTCTGAGACGGTCGGGCTGGACGGCGAAGACCGCCATCACCATCACTCAAGACGGGAGAAGAGGGGAGAAGAGGGGAGAAGAGGGGAGAAGAGGGGAGAAGGAAGGTGGATGGTGATCTATCCGTTGTGGATGATGGTAGTGGGAGCGAAAGGCTCAGTCGAGATTGGCATTCAGAATGCCTGCCAATGCGCCAATCGGAAATGCCGCCAAGGCTGACAAACCAACTCGGAGCAAGCGGTGCTGGGAGGATAACAAGGTTTGGTGGTGCAGTGAACAAGGTTGTGGAGACGTACAAAGGCGTGGGAGAGAAAGAGATAAAGTTTGAAATCGACCCCAAAAAACTCGAGCGAAAATGGTAATTGCAAGTCGAAATATGAATTCGGAAGTCACTCCGATCTCGTTAAGAAGAACTCTTTTGCCCGACTCAGCACATCGGTTTGGCCGACAAATGCTGAGTTGTGTCGTCCTGTACCTGTACCTGTACCTGTACCTGTACCTGTGTCGTCCTGTACCAGATTTGACCGGATCCACAGCCGAATGGTTGATACAACGCCAAGCACATGACAACACAGTGACATAGTGCCTGCTAGGATAGCCTCGGCTGTTCTGACACTCACAACTGTCAAGACTGTCAGGAATTATTTATGCTGCACGTGACTTTGGCTTCTTTTTTCAGTTCTAGCGGCTAGCGCGGCTCCATTCTCGAGGTTGGACCCTTGTGTCCTTGAACACGGGCCACATTGCCTCTGCTCTCGCTCTTTCATCATGCTTTTGCTGGCTGCCGAGGATATATACGGCTTCTAGTGCAGTTCAAAGGGCAAATACGCGCGCCGGTGATAACAAAGATCAGTCTGGCCATCGTGAGTACGGCAGGCCCGAGGATGCCTCTTATATAGCACGCAGGCTCAGCTTTCGACTCCCTCCTCTTCCCCACCATCGTCTCATCCTACCATCATCAACTAGGATCTTGGCACAACATGACCATCCCTGAGATACTCTCCATCAAATCACCTTCCGGTAAAACCCTCTGCCTCCCAACCGGACTCTTCATCAACAACCAATTTGTTCCCTCCACCACCGGCGAAACTCTCGAAACCATCAACCCTGCCACCGGTGCTTCTCTCGGTCACGTCTCAGCTGCTTCCCCGGCTGATGTCGATCTCGCCGTCTCCGCCGCCCGCACGGCATTCAACACCACCTGGGGTCGCAACTCTTCCCCGACTCAACGAGCCTCAATCCTCTTTAAACTCGCAGATCTTCTCGAGAAGCACGCTGAAGAACTATCCGAGATCGAATCTCTCGACAACGGCAAGCCGCGATGGATCGCTGAAACCATGGATATCGCCGACACCGCCGGTTGTTTTCGATACTACGGAGGTCTAGCGGATAAGATCGAAGGCAAAACCATCGAACAAAAGGAAGGAGAAAAGTTGGCCTTTACTCGATTGGAACCGTTGGGAGTTTGTGGACAGATCATTCCATGGAACTACCCTATTGGCATGTTGGGTTGGAAAGTGGCCCCTGCACTTGCTGCAGGCAACTCTATTGTCCTTAAACCTGCCGAGCAGACTCCCCTTTCCGCACTCCGAATCGCACAACTTGCTGTTGAAGCTGGTTTGCCAGCTGGTGTTTTCAACGTTGTCAACGGTCTCGGACCTGTAGTGGGAGATGCGATTACAGGTCATATGGACATTGACAAAGTCGCATTCACCGGTTCCACAGCTATCGGCAAGCGTGTCATGGAGCGTGCTGCTCGTTCCAACCTCAAGAAAGTCACTCTCGAACTCGGTGGGAAATCCCCCGTGGTCGTATTCGAAGATGCCGACATCGATCAAGCCGTCAACTGGTCTGCTCTCGGAATCCTCTTCAACCAAGGTCAAGACTGTACCGCTGGATCCCGTCTTTTCGTCCAAGAATCGATCTATGACAAGTTCCTCGCGAAACTAGTCGAAGCCTTCGGCAAACACGCCATTGGAGATCCATTCTGCAACCAAACCTTCCAAGGTCCCCAAATCACCGCTCGTCATCAACAGCGTATCCTCGACTATATCGAATCGGGTAAGTCCGAGGGCGCCAAAGTTGAGATCGGCGGTGCAGCTTGGACCGAAGGCGCTGGTCCATTCTCCAAAGGCTACTTTGTCCAACCGACAATCTTCTCGGGTTGTAAAAAGGGGATGAAGATTGTCGATCAAGAGATCTTTGGTCCCGTATTGGCAGTGGCCAAGTTTAAAGATGAGCAAGAGGCGCTCGAGTTGGCCAACGATACCAGCTACGGCTTGGGTGCCGGGGTGTTTAGTCAGAACGCAAGCAGATGTATGAGAGTGAGTGGTGCGATTCAGGCGGGGACTGTGTGGGTGAATAACTACGTGGTGGTCAGTAATGCGGTTCCGTTTGGTGGGTATAAGAGTAGTGGTATTGGAAGGGAGTTGGGAGTGGATGCGATCAAGGAGTATACCCAGGTGAAGAGTGTACATTGGAACTTTGGTGAGACGCTCGATTGGCCGCTTACGGGGTAGGCAAATTCTCTCCTCTTGTAGTTTCGTTCAGATGATGATGATTCAATGAATGAATTGATATCGTGGAGTATGGATCCTATTGCATAGTCGGTGAGCAAGGAGTCAAGGGTTACAGTCTGGACCAATCGATCATCCCCTCCTCTCCATATCGTTGTTTCAACCATTCGTTGGCTTTCTTAAAGTGTCCATTACCCAAAAATCCTCTGTGTGCCGAAAGTGGCGAAGGATGAGGAGACTTGAGTATGAGGACATTCGCATTCTTCTCTGTCACTCCTGCTTCCGCTAGTGTTTTTGCAGCTGGAGCACCCCAGATTAGGAACACTACTCCTTTGTTCTGCGTCCCTTGCCCTTCCCCTTGCCCTTCCCCTTGCCCTTCCCCTCCCTGCTCTTTCTTCTCTTTCTTTTTCTTTTTCTCCTCCCCACTGCTGCTGTTTGTTTTGTCCTGTAGAGTAGCAAACATACTCGCGATCTTGGACTCCTTCACCGCACGCCTATTCGCTTCCTTGGCAGCACCACTATCAGCGGCATCATCAGCAATCATCTTGAGCACTCTCTTGGTCAACACTTCCCATCCTTTCCCATGATGACTCCCCGCCTGACCAGCACTCACTGTCAAGCAAGCATTCAGCAAGAGCACTCCCTGTTTCGCCCATCCATCCAAACATCCATGATTCGGCGCCTTAAAACCGGGATACTCGGCTGCTAACTCTTTATATATATTCTTCAACGACGGAGGAGTAGGCACACCCTTGGCAACGCTGAACGAAAGTCCGCAAGCTTGGTTAGGGCCGTGGTAAGGGTCTTGTCCCACAACCACTACCCGGACGTGGGAAGGCGAGGGAACGAGACGAGACCAGTTGTAAATGAGATGACTGGGTGGGTACGTGGTTTTAGGGTTTTGGGTGGAGAGGAAGGATTTGAGGGTGGTGAAGTATGGTTTCGAGAATTCGGGCAGAAGGAGTGTGTACCATTTGGATGACATTGTGGTTCGTTCCAAGTGGACAGGGTCAGTGGAGGGGTCTGAGTGGGGTTGGTAGGAGGAGGGTTGGGAGCATGTAGAGCTGGGATTGGAGGGGAAGAGGGTGGATTGTTTTAGAATGGTTGTTGCTTTGGGAGCTAGAGAGGCGGGTGTTGCTGCGGAAGAGGATGCAGCGACAGATTCAGGTTGAGATGAGCCGAGGTTGGAAGCTGCCAACTCGACCTCTTCTGCTGCTGCGAGTAGGGCTTGGTCGTCGACCGAGTCCAACTCATCCTCCCGTTGGGCGACATCTTTCTTCTGTCGCTTTACAGCTCCGTCTTGTGCTGGATCGGGGATCTGCTTGGCGAGCGTGTTCGCATCTCGTTTGGCCATCGTTGATCCTTGTGTCCCTTCAGTCCTGGTCCAGGTTGGCGCAAGTTGTGCTCTGATCGAAAAGGTGCTGGTTGATTCCAAGGTTTTGCGACCTGGTGCGCACAGCAAGCGCACGATTCGGGAGATTTGGATTATGGTGGTTGGCAAAGAGTCTCGGCCCTTGCACTTCTTTATCCTTGCCGCCCTTGTCCTGATGATGGAGAGAAGAAAGAAAGAAAGAACTGCTGAAAATGACGATCCAACGAGGCGGTGAAGAATGACGCGGAGCTGATCTGATCGAAGATCAGATAGGGCCGATTTGCTTGAATTACTGATCCAATGGAAGATTAAGCCAAGTCAATCTAAGGAGAGATCGGGTGCAACACTGTCCCACTCATTGTCATGACAGATCATGAGATAGTAGTAATCCCACACTAGGCAAGTGCCACTCACATGTATATATACTTCACAGAGAGCACTAGGCTCTCACCATGTTCACTAGTCAATTGAGTATATTTGTTTCTGTCTATAAACTAGCAGTGACATTGTACTTAGACTATCCCCAATCACCAGTATCGGGACCCAAATGACTTCAACTTTCATCAGGTTATGAGCCCAAAAAGCTGATATACTATCATCACACTATCAGTAACATCAACAAGAGGTTTTGCCACTGATATGTCAGATCTGAACTATTTGAACTATGAAGACTTCATTGAAGCTGTACAGAATCTTCTGCCACAATTGCTGAAGATCCTCCAAAACCGGTTCAATCAGGAAATCACAAATGCTACCTATGGCACTCCTACCACCCCAAAAGACAGCCTACTACTGAGGTTTGCCATGGAAGAAGGTACCAGGGAGCAAATCATCTCACCTCTATCCATCCTGATCAAGTGTACCAGTAACCTCTATCAAGCAATGCACAGCCTTGGTCCATTCGCTAGTGTAATCGAACTTGGTAGAGGGATGTGAGCTAGAGTGATTCTCTTCCTAGCCAATGAAGGTTGGGATGCCAATCATATACTTGACCTCAAAATCGAAGGTGCAGTCAAGGTCATCCAAAATGCCAAGTGATTTGATCACCCAGTTAAGAGTGAAGCACCAATGTTAGCTAGAGGTGACACTCCCACTCTAGGCTTAGATGTGATCAACCATCACCTCGCTGGCCATGAAGCTATGCCGGGACCTACACCAGAGCTCAGCGCACTCACGAACCATCACCTCAAGGTACTTACAGGCCTCAATGACAGAATGAAGTGGGATGAAAGAGACCTTCTCGACCCAAGGGCAGTCTCCATGCACGTTTGGCAATGCAAAATATTCACCTTGCTGTCAGTTGTTCCTTTCGCACAAAACGTTCTCAACTGAAAAGTGGTGACCTTTGAAGATGCTGATTCTATGCTTAGCTCAATCATCATGCATAGCTTTTCAAACAAGTTGCACACAGAGTATTTTGCTGAGCATGGTGATCAACCAATACTGATTGCCATAAATCTATTTGAATGGGTGCTAAACAAGTGTAAGGCATACTCCACCACTAAGGAGTACGAGCTCCGCAGGATCACCTATGGGTTATGCTGGGACCAGAATGGAAGTCATGCCTATGATTTCCTAACCAAATGGGAGGTGTCATGGGCCTGAATGCTCAAGAAGCAGGAGGGTCACTGGTTCATATGGAAGGAGCACAGGTATCAGAGATCTAGTCAATACCAGTAGAGAGCATGGTCGTAGTGCAGTCTCCATGGAGACCATGGACTCCTACAGACTCACATGCAAAGAAGGACCAGGTCCATATGCAAGGAGGGCCAGGCACAGCCACGAAGAGGACCAAGCTCAAGGAGCAGGCACAGCCATGAAGAGGACCGAGCTCAAAGAAGCATACAGATGGTTACCACTCAGGGGCTCGAGATACAAGAGTCGAAGGAACTGTCACCAGTCAAAGGAGAAGGAGCAGTGTATAGGAAACCGGCAAGCAGGTCCTGAGGAGGAGGAGCAGTGTCGAAGGAGTCGACACAGCTCAGGAGGCATAGGGGTGCCAAGCAAGCAGGGTAGCAAGGAGGAGGAGCAGTGTCAAAGGAGTCAACACAGTTCAAGAGGCACAGGGGTGCCAAGCAAGCAGGATAGCAAGGAGGAGGAGCAGTGCTAGAGGGGCCCCTGTACAGTACTCGATGAAGAAGGTACTCTCTGGAGAGAGAGCAGGAGCAGCGTCACTGGCGATGCTGTGAAGAGGTATATAACCATACTTCTCATCATCAAAGGTCGAGTGGATCCTCATCCACTCTACACACATCATAACTAGTTATCACTTCAGCATAAGTATATATTAGTTTCAGTCAGCATAGTAGCAATCTATCAAGGTTGCTCCTCATTGTAGTGCATGTGTTGTATCACCACTACCTGATGTCCAAAGGTGGTTCATAGCAAACCAGCAGTCCAGATATAGATAGAACCAAAGGCAGTAGTCCACTGCAGTCTGGGGATCACTTCAAGCATCAAGTCAACACACTGGACACTCATGTTGACACCACCAACCTTATCACCAACACCATCAACCTCATTACCATCAACACTCACCAACCTTATCACTGACACCATCAACCTCATCATCATCAACACTCACACCAGACCTTGGTGTCATCATAACCTATGTATTGATATTGATCATGCCAAGCTACCCCTGAATGGAGTGTCCACAGAGGTCAGCCGAAACCTATGACAGTATATACAATGAACACCACCTGCTGTCATTGCGCAACTTGATAGTCGCCAAGTGATGTAGCTCATCGAGACTGATACCAAGACAATAGCTGTTGCACAGTTTGATAGTCACTGAGTATCTCAACAGACCGACCTGGGTTTCAGGCGCGAGACCCCTGACACGTTCCTCCCCTACACACACCTGTCATTGTTGGGGATCACGATCTCCCTCGATCTTACACCTGGCTCCCTCCCAATCCCACAATGAATGAGACAGATTTGGATGATGTCGTCCCTTCTTCACTAGAGCCATACTCTTGTCAATGACACTTGGCGACTCATATGGAACCGGAAACCCCGAGCTTTGATCATGAGTGGGACTGCATGATGACAGCCATCGAAGAGGCCAGGGAGATCATAATCAATCTCAATGCCATTGCCACTGATCTGAGAGCAGACCTGGATGCGACAATGTCCAAAGGGGGGAACCATTTGCTGGACCTCATGAGCACTCTGAATAGCGAGCCCCTGCTCGAGACCCCTCGCAGTGATGCCACAGCAGAAATATATGATGACATCTCCATACTTGAGACACCCCACACAGAGTCGCCTGGCCCTGTCAACTACATGGCCTTCACCATGGCATGCTCTGACAAACAGGCACCCACCATCAGCAATCACCACTTAGATCATATAGCATTCGCAACCACTGTGATGGCTGGTGCTGCTCTCATTGCAAGCAGACAGCAGATGTGCAGTGCCAATGGCATCCTGCTAGAGCCACTCTCCCTCAATGAGGCCAAGACTTGTGATGACTGGTACAAATGGCAGGAAGCCATGGTCAGTGAGATGAACAGCATGTGCAAGATGAATGTCTTCGAACTGGTCGATGTTCCAAAGAATGGCAAACTAATTGGCATTCGATGGGTTTACAAACTCAAGCTCGATGCACAACAATGAGTGACAAGGTACAAAGTGCAACTTGTTGCACAAGGATATGCTCAACATCAGGGTCTGGACTACGATCAGACATTCAGTCTGGTCATCCATCTGCAAACAGTCAGGATACTACTTGCCATTGCATGATGATATGGATTACATGCAATACAACTCGATGTAAGCACTGCATTTCTGAATGGAAAGATTGATAAAGATGTACATGTCCAGATACCTCCAATGTTTGAAGCAAAGGAGACTGAAGGGAAATGCTATAAGAAAGGCCCTCTATGGTCTCAAGCAAGCCAGATGACTGTGGCATGCAGTGCTGGATGAACAACTACAAGCATTTGGTTTCAGATGATGTAGAGCAGAACCATGTGTATATACATGTGGCTCAAAGGATGCAATGATACTCCTCACTGTATATGTCAATGATCTGCTCATCATTGGAGCAACTCTTTCATGAGTACAATCTGTATGCCAACAACTCTCAAGCATGTTCAGCATCACTGATCAAGGAAATGTGTCTCACATTATCGGGCTGAATGTAAGATACAACCAAGGAGCTCACACACTCTTCATTGATCAAAGTGGGTACATTGAGGGTATCATAGTGAAGTTTGGAATGGACCAGGCTTGGGCAGCCTCGACACTGGTGACAGAGAATATCAACTCCCTCAAACCACGAGATGGGAGCATAGCAAGTGTGGAAGAGATATGCCACTATGCATCACTTGTAGGATCACTGCTGTGGATAGCTCAGGGCACAAGGCCAGACATCACATTTGCAGTTGGCAGATGTGCACAGTTCATAGCAAACCCATCCAGAGAACACCTTGTGGCTGCCAAGTGCATATTAAGGTATTTGAAAGGGATGACAGGAATTGGCCTCTCAACAAGGACATCAGGCAGTGAACCATTACTCTCAGGATGGGCAGACAGTGATTGGGCTGGATCATGAGAATGTAGGAGGTCGATGACTGGTTATGTTTTCACAATTAACAGTTTCACATGCAGCTGGGCCTCGTGACTTCAACAGATGGTGGCAAACAGTTCAGTAGAAGCCAAATATGTAGCATTGGTGACAGCAGCCAGAGAACTATTATGGGCCTTAATGCTCTTGCAAGAACTGGATCAACCAGTGTTGAAGACAACAGGGATACATGTCAGCACCAGAACATCAAATATCTATTCCCATGATGGAGAGCTGACCTTCAATCAAGATGTACCAGTCCTACACAGCAACTCATCAGGTGCTTGGGTTATAGCAAATGATCCTCAACACTTCAAGAGAACAAAGCATATTGACATAGCTCATTTCTTTCTATGCAACAAAATCGTGAGCAAACGACTTGTGATTGCTCCTGTTCAGAGTTGCAAAAATCTGGCTGACATCCTGACAAAGCCACTTGCTGCACAAACACTCTCACACATCCAACAACTACTTGGATTGAACATTTCATTGGAGTATGTTGGATCAAGAGGGGTGTCAGGGGTCTCGCGCCTGAAACCCAGGTCGGTCTGTCGAGATACTCGGTGACTATTAAACTGTGTGACAGCTATTGTCTCGGTATCGGTGACTATCAAGTTGTGCAGTGACAGCAGGTGGCGTTCGTTGTATATACTATCGTAGGTTTCGGCTGACCTCTGTGGACACTCCGTTCAGGGGTAGCTCGGCACGATCAATATCAATGTTATGATGACACCAAGGTCTGGTGTGGGTGTTGATGATGATGAGGTTGATGGTGTTGGTGATGAGATTGGTGATGTCGATGATAATGAGGTTGATGGTGTTGGTGATAAGGTTGGTGGCGTCGATGATAATGAGGTTGATGGTGTTGGTGATAAGGTTGGTGGCGTCAACACGAGTGTCCAGTGTGTTGACTTGATGCTTGAAGTGATCCCCGGACCGCAGTGGACTACTGCCTTCGGTTCTATCTATATCCGGACCGCTAACCTGCTATGGGCGCCTTCGGACGTCAGGTAGTGGTGATACAACACACGCACTACGATGAGGAGCAACCTTGATAGATTGCTGCTATGCTGACTGAAACTAATGTATACTTATGCTGAAGTGATAACTAGTTATGGTGAGTAGAGTGGATGAGGATCCACTCGACCTATTGATGAGAAAGCATGGTTATATACCTCTTCTCAGCATCGCCAGCGATGCTGCTCCTGCTCTCTCTCCAGAGAGTACCTTCTTCATCGAGTACTGCTCAGGGGCCTCTCCTGCTTGGCACCCCTGTGCCTCTTGAGCTGTGTCGACTCCTTCGACACTGCTCCTCCTCCTCATGACCTGGTGTCGACTCCTTCGACACTGCTCCTCCTCCTTTGATCAGTGACAGTTCCTTTGGCTCTTGTCTCTCGAGCCCCTGAGTGGTAACCATCTGCATGCTCCCTGAGCTTGGTCCTCTTCGTGGCTGTGCCTGCTCCTTGAGCTTGGTCCTCCTCGTGGCTGTGCCTGCTCCTTGAGCTTGGTCCTCCTCGTGGCTGTGCTTGGCCCTCCTTTGCATGTGAGTCCATAGGAGTCCATGGTCTCCATGGAGACTGCACTACGACCATGCTCTCTACTGGTGTCGACTAGGTCTTCGATACCTGTGCTCCTTCCATATGAACCCATGACCCTCCTGCTTCTTGAGCATCCAGGCCCATGACAAGGGGGTGCTGAAAATGACGATCCAATGAGGTGGTGAAGAATGATGCAGAGCTGATCTGATCGAAGATCAGATAGGGCCAATTCACTTGAATTACTGATCCAATGGAAGATTAAGCCAAGTCAATCTAAGGAGAGATCGGGTGCAACACTGTCCCACTCATTGTCATGACAGATCATGAGATAGTAGTAATCCCACACTAGGCAAGTGCCACTCACATGTATATATACTTCATGGAGAGCACTAGGCTCTCACCATGTTCACTAGTCAATTGAGTATATTTGTTTCTGTCTATAAACTAGCAGTGACATCATACTTAGACTATCCCCGATCACCAGTATCGGGACCCAAACGACTTCAACTTTCATCAAGAACAAGTCACTGAGGGTTGGTTTGATGGTGCAAACCTCCACCAAAGACTCAGCCTTAACATCGCAAACATTTCGATGCGGAGAAGAAAGAGACGCGCATTTTTTATGTGAACCGCGTTATTTTACGCGTTACTTTACGCGCTACCATCAACAGGTACTTGTCGCCCTTTTATCGCCCTTGACAACGCGTGAAAATTGATGGAAAAGGAGGCCGAGAAATTGAAAAAAAGAAAAAAAAAAGGGAAAAAAAGGAGGGAATGTTAAATTTCCCAACTCAAGTAGTAGTATGTGTTGGTCACGTGCCCCTTGGCTCACCATTGAGAAAAGCGCATCTATCCATTCGCACGATAAAGTCTGGGCCCGATTTCAGAGACCAACACTCGACCTCCGCCTTGCCTTTTCCCCGTTCACCATCACTTGCTTGTTCCTGTGCGTATCGCCAAAATCGGTAGAGTCAATCGGATCGGGCAAAGTGTTGGTTGCGTGTGGTGTGTGTATGTGGAGGCTCAGTTTTGATCGACAATATACCGCCACTATCACTGCCAGCACCGATTGCGCTCCTACCCTCCCTTCCACCAACTGCATCGCGCAATTTGATTCCAATGCTTCCTCCTACACTCAACCCCGATTCCTCTCCTGCCTCTCCCGTCGTGTCCACTCTGCCACATGACGCGCCGTCTTTGCCGAGCCTGCCAGGCTTGCCCGCATCACCACAAAAGAAGCTCCTTTATGATACACTCAAGAAGCCATTCGATGATCAGGATTTCAGCGTCATATTTTGGCTTCAGGCGCTCAAAGCAGCAGCCCTGCCCAATACTGATCGCCAGATACGTCTATATACACTCAAGTGCTTTCTCGATCACGCATACTTTGATCGGCTCATCAATGAGCTCAAATCCATAGCCGATCGGCTTCCGGAAAAGTTTGTCCATAGCTTCTTGCACGTTTCCGGCTCCGGAGCTGATCCCTCTGCAAGTCTCAGAAAAAGATTCGACGCCGAAACTCTCTTGACACGTATCGAGAAATCCGCCTTCTTTCAACCTACCTTCGACCCTGTTGACCGCCTTGCACTTGTCTTGCAGCATGCTTTCGTCCCAGGTGCACCCTAGTCGTCCTCTGCTGCGACATCACGTGTTCATAAGTGGTCTCACACCTGAAGGCTTACCATTGCTGAAGCAGCTCCAGGGCCCCGCCGCTAAGCAGGTGAGCTTGCTATTTGGCGATGCAGATTCGCTTGACACACTCGAGTTTGACGAGATGCATGCCAACTACGTCTGCCGCTTGCCATCGGAAAAGCATCACAGAACTTGGGATGAAGCACAGATGTGCATGGAAAGCAGACTGGTGTTCTTTTCGTCATCTTCGTTGACGTGATTGATTTTGACACTGATCGGGTTGGAGCTGGACCAGTCAATAGCTTCTGCACTGTCATCTCATTGCTGGTGAATGATGGACGAGAAAGGAGATTGAAAGCAAATAAGATTGTGCTGTATGCATGTCGCCACCAACGCTCAGCCATTCGCTGTCAACTCATCTTGAGAAAACACATATCAGCCAAAAGGAATGGTAGTTGGTTGAAGTCTTCCAACGTCATCGCTGTTGAGGAACACGGTCAGGTCAAGATAGCGAGCGGTCAAATCGTTGTATTTCGTGAGAACTAAGTACAAAGTACAGTAATGTCAAGAGTATATATGCTTCTTCGGTCAGTATGTGACAGTAAGGTGCCACGTATGACTACATGCTTGTTGAATGAGATAGGGGTCGTTGGTGGGTGGTGTCGGACGTTGGTTAGAGTTGACGGATGGCGACGCTGAGCGAGGTTTTCGGAAATGTCGGGAAATGACTAAGCAGTCATGCGTTTTTACTATCGCTACTCCGATTCAGGCCCAGGCAATCAAAACAAAACAAATTACTAAAACAAGACTGTGATGGTGCAGATGACAGCGACCGACCGATGGCGATGCTACAACCCGTCGTTCCCCCTTCCCACCTTCCCACCTTCCCACCTTCCCACCTTCCCCCTTCGTTGGGCAAACATGACAATCACAACATCAACTAGCGTCCCTTCGACAGCTTCATACCTGATCTTTTTCAGTAGTGGCAGCCCACCTTGGTGTCCAGACTGTGTAGATGCCCAACCAGCCATCGACAAGGTTTTTGGCGGCCAAGGTGTGGATGGACATATGGTACTCGTTGGCGAGAAAGCCGAGTAAGTCGCACGCCCACAAATCGCATAAATCGAGTTAAACTCGAGGGAATAACGTACTGATGATCAAGTGTCGCGGGCGATGTAGGTGGATGACACGAGACAACAAGTTCAGAAAGGAGTACGGAATCAAGTGCATCCCTACCATTACTAAGGTGGTTGATGTAAGTTACCACCCGCACAGAACACGAGATTGACAAGATGCGACTGACGAGTAACCTTTGCTGGAGTTTCTGGCATTGCAGGGCAAAGAAGTTGCAAGGTTAGAAGATGCCGAATGCAAACATGTCAACACAGTCTCTGCTTTTGTCAAGGCTTAATCACGCCTCAAGCTCTCTACAGTTAACACTATCGAACAGATACTACATTATGAAATGACCAGCTTGAAACGACGCAACAAGGATATATATATATACAACCACAACTGCTTACTATGAGCAAGGGTACCTTGTACTCCTCCCTGGTGCGGTGCTCACTTGAAGAACCCACCAAATCCACCAGGCTTACCGCCATTATGGCCATGAGAACCATAAGGATTGCCAGCGTATCCACCTTGATGGCCGTGCTTGTTCTTATCGAGCTTCTCAAACACGGTCTTACCAACCTGCGCTAAGATGGCTCCGGATGCCATTGATGAGAAGCCACCCATGTGTCCACCGGTCATCTTGTTTCCTGCCCAACCGGCGGCGGCACCAGCAGCCATGGTGCCGATACCGCGCTCGCCGTCAATGGGGTTTCCGTTTGCGTCGTACTGCACAGGACCCTGCTGACCGAGGTGCTGCTGACCTTGGTGCTGCTGGTGGGGAGTGTAAGAGGAGGATGAGGGAGAACCGTACGACGATTGAGAGCCATAGTTGTTGTGGTCCGGTGCGCTCGAGTATGAGGGATGGGAAGCGTTAGGAGGAGGGCCGTAGTTGGAGTTGGAGTCTGGTGCGCCGCCGTACAAAGACTGTGGGGTCTGATAGGTTCCGCTACCAGGATATGAGGATTGTGGACCGCCAGGATAGGATGACTGGTATCCACCTGATGAAGAGGAGGAAGAGAGGGGGTCGCCAGGATACGAAGACTGTTGGCCAACGGGGTATGATGATTGAGGGCCGCCAGGGTAGGACGACTGGGGTCCACCGGGGTAGGACGACTGATTTGAGCCTGGTCCGCCTGGATAGTATGACATGTTTGCAATCGTGTTGACGAGTGTTGAGGGGAGATGTGGTATGAGTAGAGGGAGGAGAAAAGGTGTTGGCAAGGCAAGGTGGCAAGGTGGCAAGGCAAGGGAGGTGGCTGTGCACGACGCGGCAAGACGCCACCGAGCTGTCATACCACAAAAGGCAGTGCAGCGCACGGACAGTGTTTCCGGCCGAGAGAAGCGCACGAAAGGAGGCCTCCTTTTCGTTGGAATGTTTTCCTTTTAGATATAACATCCCAGGCGAGAACGCTGATTGGCTGTGTAGAGTTGATTTCCTGTCACTGTCTGTCTGTGCATACGATGAAAGCTCGCATACAACCATGCCAGTCCTTTCATAAGGCGTCGCAAACACATGCATATACAGAAGACTCGATAGCTCAGTTGGTTAGAGCGTAGCACTGTTACACTCAATGTTGTCTGGCGGGAGGTTGTGTAGGATGCGACGGCAGCTGTCAGCCAGCTAATGCGCATGTCCGTGTTTCGACCCGAAACCGAATTCAGGCTGTTAGAGCTCTACTTTGTTCTGCGTCGCCAACGTCACTCGCTTCCCACTTGGCGTTATCTGCCAGTCGACGTTGCTTCATACGTTGCTGCCACAGTGGCCCGGCTATAAGAAGCTCATACTACAGACAATGACTACCGCCAGGACCGAGGACAATAGTATCAAGCACAAGACCTACTTGACTCTTGATGAATAGCACAATGTCAAAGCGCACCTATCGTGGCAACCACGTCACTGGCGGGTTCTTCGAGTCGATCCCGACTTGCGTCCAGCGAAGGCCCACATTGTTGCTTTCTTTCTCTCTCTCTCTCTCTCTCTATCGCAAGATGTATCTGCACTTTGACGCACCAAGGCGTGTCTTGAACTTTCGTTTCATTTGGCGGGTTTGGTTTGGTTTGCAACCAACAACTCTCACTCCTGATTCTGATGTCGAGCCAAGTGTGTGGCGTTGCATATCCAGGGGCTGTCCTTCGGACACTGCTTGCAATAAGCAGCGAATATGCCACTCGAGATCCACCGGTCACTTGACCTAACCATTTGTGGCAACCTTTGCCAGTTGTCTCACGGTAACCATCTTTTGGTGCCCTCAACGCCGAAACTTGATCGCCGCTACCAACTGAGCATCCCTCTTGCTATCAGGCTCTGGGCTTCCACGATCGAACGAGTCAGCGATTTGGCAGCGGCTGGTCCACTTGTCCTTACTCTTCCGTTGCTGTGCAGCTTGGATCGCTCTGAACACTAGTTCCAGACCCAGCCGCTCCCCCCGACATCCTCGACATCCATCACTAATCCTCTTCGGCAGGACTGATGAGGCCTTTTGCCTTGCTGCGGCGCTTTTCTACGATTAATCAGCATTCACCAGTCACATTCTCTTCTCTCTCTGATATCACGCCTGCAACTCAGCCTCGACGATGAACGGCAACGTAATCATCTCGTCGCTACACATGCTCGCCGCGATCATCCTACTGATCGATGCCGCGTTCCTCTTCTTCGTCCATCCTCTCGGCATTAGCACTTCCACCATCACCTTTGTCCTTGCTGGCTTCGGCAGCACACTCCTCATACAAGAGCTATCGACATTTGCTTCTAAACAGACACGATACTCGCTCCGAATATTAAGCACCTACCTCTCACGCGGTGTCTTCTTCTTGCTCACAGCAGCTGTCATCTTTGATGGGCTATCTAATGCGCCATGCCATGTTCAACTCGCTTCAACACCCTACCCAAGCTCGCCGGCAAAGTTCAACATCTCGCCTGGAGCAACCTCACGCGATCTCACAACGAGCAACCAACATGCCACGTACACCAAGGCGACTGCGCACAGTGCTCCGCCTGTCTTTGGGGCCGCTTTCTATCTCGCAGGTGGGCTAGCTCCTAGATGTGTCAAGGTCGACAGCGTGCCAGGTCAGCCAGAGGGTAGTGTAGCCTGGCTCAACGTGGGTACAAATCGCACAGCGAGGTGCTTGGTGGCAACTGCTTTTGCCCTCACCATGGTCCTTTCGGCCTCCTACTTGCTCCTAGCCATCCTGCATCGGTCAGGCAACGTCAAGCCAACTCGCAGTATGGAGTGCGAGCCGCGTAAAGCGCAAATCGTTCAACACAACTCAAATCTGGTAATGCACCAACCGGACAAGAAAGGCGATCCCAACTCCTCGACCTGTTTTGTTGATCTCTATCCCGTCGATCGACATGATAAGTGTCGCAATCATCGCTCAGTGAGCCCAGACATTGGCACAGCCTCCGCTATCTCCCGCCCTTCTACTCGCCGTCAACGCAGCACCAGCACAACTCAGCTATCCCAAATCGCCGTCGACGCACGACAAGGCACAGCAAGCACCACGGACGGGATCTATCGCATCCAGCCTATCGATACCTCCCGTGTGGCTAATCAGGCCGGTTCAGGCACAGTCGTTGGGACGGATAGGTCCGAAATCGCACCATTGCCGCCGCTCGAAACTCAGTGCACGGGAAGATACGGCTACGGTGGAGGCTACGATAGAACCGTAGATTTTGCTTCCGGTTGTATTATGCATTACCCTCTCTTCTCGAAGAAGAAGCGCGATGTGGTGCCGCGGTTGGATGTGTATCCTACTTTGGCCCCTCCTGACTTTTCCAAGAGCTCGATCGAGAGTCCTGCTGGATTGAGCCCCAGGATAGTGGGCAAGGCTCGACTCAGCGCTTCCTCCAAGGTTACTACTCGCGATACGCCGAAGAAGCCGCAGGAGGAGCTGTCCGCCACCGATGTTGAAGCAATCGACGCTTCTGATCAGGCAGACACTGCACACTCGAACAATTCCTCTACCACTACCACCACCGCAGCAACAGCACTCGTCACAGGCATGCTGCTCTCGCCCCTAGCCTCGACGTTGACCAAACCGGCCACCACCACCAAGACTAGACGCCCTTCAAAGCACCGCCATTTCACCCCATCATGCGCAAATAACCGCCTTGGAACAGCGGATTCCTCGCTTTCAATCCCATCCACTTTCAGCGCACACTCACGACCCAGCACTGGAAACTCTACCAGATCGACCAACTCAACCGGTCTCATCCGACGCACACGTGGACTTCTTGCAGCGCTGGAGTTGCATCTTGGCGGCGGCGGCGGATCTAGAGGGTTGAGTGCGGTAAGTTTCGGGAGTGGGAGAGGTTCATTTGATTCGAATAGGACCTGTAGTGCTGGTACTTTTGGCGATGGGGTTGATGAAGCTGATTCGCCGTTAGCTACTGCCAGGCCGGGGGTTGCGTTTACTCCGCGAGCCCCTGCTGAGCAAAGAGGTGGGGATACATGAATCACATTCGTTAAACTCAAGCAAAGCTCAAGATCGCAATGCCAAAACAATCAACTGTCATGCTGTGTGTGGGGGGTTTGAGGCAAGTGGGCAAGATAACTTGGTGCATAGTTTTTGCGAAAGAGCTGCTGACTCTGACGTGAGCCAAATTCAGCAAGCTTGTTACAATGTTACATGCGCAAGCTATATGCATGTTGTAATGGTGTAACTAAGTGGATTGCAGGAAGGAAGGAGGAGATCTAAGGAGAGGCTAGTTTAAGTACTAGCTTCCCTACAGAGCAAAGATAGCTATCGAACTTTGTGTGCGACGTGTATCGCGCGAGAAGATGCTGATTGTACGTTCTCGTGCGGCTAGTATTAATCGCACGAGAGAGTACCCAGACGTGACAATCTGACAGTCAAAAGTGGACTAACCCTAACCATCTCTCTTCACCATCCCCCTTTCACTCACACCTTGACCACCCATAGACACTGCGCAAGACAGGATGGCAAACGAAATAGATCATAGCTCGGAGCTATACCCACCAATCAGCTCGCCGCTGAACACCACCACCACTGCCATCAAGAATGCATCCTCCACCCCACCTCAACCGAAAGCGAAAGCTTCGGGATCAACGCCAATGAGCATGCCTTCAATCCTTGGTAATGGTGGTGTTGCAAGCTGGTCATCATCCGCTTCCTCTTCTCACCCAACTACCTCTCGCGTTAAAGTGCGCTCCAGCGGCAGGTCGAAAGAATTAGGCCGACGAAAACAACGGAGAAGCGAAAACGCACGTCTGCTCTCCAACCCTCACGCGGTTGGACCTACACTAAAGGATTACCGGCTGCATAGCAACCCAATTTGTCCCAGCTTCTCTTCCTTACCCTCGAACTTAGGGAAAGGTGTTCCCGTACCAGCACATAGTGGAGCAAAGCATTCGGAGCCGAGTTACGAGGCCGAATCGGCAATAGCAGGACACTTTGGTAAATCTCTTCGTGATGCACACCAAATCCTCAAAAGGTTGGAAGCGGGCAATGTAAACGATGGCATGGTTAGGGATGGCAAAGCTGGAGGCTTGGAGAGGTTTATTTGGTTGGTTGATAGAGAGATTCGGACTTGGGCTCAGGCTGAGATTCATCTCTACCCCTCATCTAGCTCTGCTGAGCGAAAGGTGGGAAGGGTGTTGTTGGATTCTGATTTCAACTTCACCAGCACACCCTTGCAACATGACTCCACTGCAGCAGATGGACATGTCAAGCACTTTGGCGTCAATAGCATCGATGGCATTCACGACCTTGAGGAGAAGAAACATGTAGATTTAAACAGCATCAAACAGGGAGAAGCAGGCCAACTAATAGAGTTCCAACGAACTGCAAATGCCCTAGTATGGCTTGTACACGATCCTTTCCTCCGCCTCGTAGTTCATTGCTTGGCTAGAGTGTCGCGTTGTCCTTCTTTTAGTAAAGACGATCCTAGTCGAGCAGGTTTACGTTTCACCTGGATTCTCAACCGTAAGCCTATGGCCAGAGGGTCTAGGAGGGATCGTCGAGTTTCTGTTTCGAGTTCGGCCATCTCTGCCCCTACTGCAACACTTGGCCTGAACGGAGCCAGAAGACCAAGCGAAGCAAGAGTAGCAGCAGGAGGGCTAGGAATCGAAACCCCACCAACAACAGACTTTGACTCGGCAACCGAAAGCGAAAGCGGCGTTGAGAGCGAGAGTGAAGTTGACAGGCAAGAAGCAGCGCCAGCGGAAGAGGAAGAGGAAGAGGAAACGGATCAAAAAGAGGCGCAAGTTTTAACAAGAGTACCAAGGTGGCCTATCGATCCTCATCGAGAGCGAGATACCGAGGAAGAGCATGACGAGGCGAATAGGGCGAAGCGGAGAACGACAAAGTTGAAACAAGTGCACACGCACAACCAGCAGGAAGGCGAGCACGATCCAGATGCCACACTCACCGCCAACGACGTTATTGCAGAGGAGGATAAAGATGAGGTTGAATCATATACATCTGCATAGCAAGAGGCTCTTTGGCTCTCAACTCAAGCTGCTTGCGACCATGATCGTATCTGTGCACCACTCTCAGAGACGCAGAGGATCGGATTTCGATGACTTTGTTACTGCTGCCGCCGTACTACATGGAGTGAGGGGGGTGACTACTTCTTCTTGGCAGTCTTCAACCGAATCGTCTCTTGATTAACAAAGATCCCTTTGCCCTTGTACGGTTCGGGTTTCCTCCAACTTTTAATCTGACTAGCAAAAAGCCCCAACTGCTCTTTATCGGCACCCTTTAGTACGATTCTATTGGGTTGAGGGATCTGCACTTGGATCCCCCATGGTACTGGCAAAAGAACGGGATGACTGTATCCCAATCTAATATGCAATCTTACATTGCCCGCCTTCTCTGCCTCGGCCCTGAGCTTTTCTTCCCTTTCGATCTCGGCCCTTTTGGCCTCTTCGGACAAAAAGAAGCTCTTGGCCCCACTTAGGGCAACATCTAACTTGGACCGCCTTGGAAGCGGGTCAGCTTCAAGACTGACCCTATAACCGACTCCAACGAGCAGGAGAGAGAGAGTATGCCCCTCTGTTACGCCGTGTAGAGCGTTGGACAGGAGCGATCGAGTGAGGCCCCAAGTGCCACGTTGTTTATTTTGGGAACTGTCTTTAACGGAGAGAGAGATGACTGAGTCGGATTGAGAGAGTTGGATGCAGGAATGGAGGGGCACGACGACTGAGCCTTTAGGACCGGTGACGAGGATCGAACGGGCATGGCGAAGTGATGGCGGCAGAGGACGGGATGGGTTTGGGTGTGGGGGAAAAGGGAGGATGGAGACCGAGGTTGAGGCGGGGAGGTCCAGTGGGGCTGATCCTACGTGGGAATGGCGGACGATGGTGAGGCGGCTGGTCGATGCGATCCGTGGTGTTGCGACTGCAGCGGTGCGGGAGGAAGAGAGGAGCAGTCCTCCGACCTGACGCGCTAGAGATGATGTCGATGCTGAGACGGAGACCATGGTGCGCATGTAGACCTTAATTGAGCGCGAACACGGCCAGTGCATGGATGGTGTAGGTGGATGAGATGATGGTCAAGAGCAACGACGATCGTGACAAAGACATATATGCCTTTGTTTTTCTCAACCGCCTCATCACCCGATGCCCTCATCGGTCTTCCCCACCCCGATTCTGAGAGGGAGTCTTTTCCTATTCTTTGTATGTTAGACCATCTTGTTTCCTACATCGTGTCGCCTGATGAAAAAGCCGGATCCGCTGTCACGTGAACATTTTTACAGTTTTACAGTTCTTCTTGTGTGCTCACGTGATTTTGCTCTTCGCGGCTTGGAAACTCTGAGATTAAATCCAAGGCAGTGGCTGCTGAGCGAGCAAGCAAGCGCGGCTGAGTTGGTCGTCGCCATCTCGATCCTCACCTCCCTTACCACCACCCTTTCTTCACCAATCACCCCATAAGAATTCGTCAAGGTTGGTATCCATACAGCCCCTTCACAGACGGCATAAGAGAGAAGAGGACAGCATTTGCATCATCGACATCTATCAGCAATACAGCCGCATAATGTGCCGACATTGAAGAAGAGATGTTCAGCATGAAACGACAGCGCAGTAGCCGCAAATACCAATTGCTGGTCGACGACGACATCCACCTTGCTCCCGTAACGCAGCAGCCAGTCAGTCTGAACGGCTTTCAATGGCAGATCCGATTGATAACGCGGAAGAAAAGGTTTTGGATGGATCAATGTTGGGATGCGGATGTCGACATCTCTGTCGGCGGTCGTACGATGTTGTGACGCTGTACAGACAGAGCTGCGGCGAGAGCTAGGGAGATGCTCTCGACCCGTTCGGCCTTAGGGCAGGCCAAGGCATTTGGAGATGGAGCATGGGAAGTAGCGAAAGACGAGAATTGCAACACCTTGAGAGTTGGACACAACCGGCATCTCAGGTCATAAATGCATTGCAGCTATATCCCGATGCAAGATGGAAGTCTGTGCGCATCCTCTTGGACACTGGCAGAGACTAGATCGTCGAACGAAGATTGGATCCAGCATCGAAGGCCCATTGTTTCAGTTGTAGCGCCATTCGACCCAACAATGCCTACATCCATACTGATTGATCAGCGTCGTGATCTTCTGTCGCTTGGATCGTCGGAAGGTCGTCGACAGTCTCTTCCGGAAGTCACGTCTCGCCGTCTCGCCGTCTCGCCGTCTCGTTGTTCTCGTCGAGCTCTAGCCTACATGGCCTCGCCTCGCCCTGCTCCTGCCTGGAAGCCCCACAACCTGCGACACATGATCCACCACCGCACCTTCCGAGTTCAACTTTGTTCCTTTTCTCTCTCTCTTATCCCTCTCTCTGTTTTCGTACTGACGCTCTTTCTGCCCTGCGTTGCTATTGGATTTTAGATGGCCGAGCGTGTAACTCTGCGCAAGCGCAACCCTTACAACACCAAATCGGCTCGTCGCCAGATCATCAAGACTCCCGGTGGACATCTTCGGTACCTTCACGTCACCAAGCGTGGAAGCGTGCCCAAATGCGGTGATTGCCATTCGGACCTTTCTGGTATCAAGGCTCACCGTCCTCGTGAATTTGGAACGATCTCGAAGCGTCAGAAGACGGTCAGCCGTGCTTACGGTGGTTCGCGTTGCTCCGGATGTGTCAGGACCCGCATTATCAGGGCCTTTTTGGTCGAAGAGGCAAAGATCGTCAAGCACGTCCTCAAGAGCCAGGCTAAGGCCAAGTGATTTCTCTGGATCAGCGGAAATGCTTTTGCTTTCGGGGTTTTGGTTGCACTCTTTTGCATACTCTTTACGCACATTGACACCTATACGCTTCCATAGGCACCCATAGGCACCCATAGGCACATATACACATGAGCTGATCCAGCTGGATTGCTATCTCTCTCTCACACACACACACACCCAAAATGTTGCAATGCGATCTGATGAATCGATCCCAACCAGTCGCTGTTCGCAATACACACTTGTCGTCTTGTACCATTCCTCTTTTCCTTCTGCCATCCTAGCGGCCTTGCAGTACGAGACGTGAGATACGCACCATTCCAAGCTCCACTCGAGGATGGTGTTGAAAAATAGAATAGCAATCCAACATGGTGACACGGGCCGATCAGATCGGAGATCAGGCAGAGCCGATCAGGTTAGATGAAAGATCTGATCAGAGATCGAGCTGGGACGACCTCACCAGAGATCGGGTGCAACGCAGTCCCACTCGTTGTCATGGTAGGTCATTAAGTAGGAGTGCTCCCACATTAGGCTAGTGCCGCTCACAATGTATATATATCTCACAGAGAGCGCTAGGCTCTCGCCACATTCCCTTAGGTCAATTGAGTATATGTTTCTGCTGTAACAAAGTAGTGACATCGTACTTAGACCCTCCCCGATCACCAGTATCGGGACCCGAAACGGCTTCAGTTTCTAACAGATGGGAGTCGATCGGTGTTTCTTGTTCCCCGATGAGCCCGATGAGCCCGATGAGCCCGATGGGGTAAGGGGGGTGGGGATTTCGTGGCAAATATTCTGCCAAGGCGGCAAATTCCGGGAAGTGGATTGAAATCAAGCAATCCCGAGTCGGGGGTGGGGGTCATGTGACTAATTGGAATGTGTTGGATTGTGCAAGGCGAGGTTTGGATCTTGCGAGACTGTAAGAAAGGCGGAAAGCAGGTTTGAATGAAAGAGGGCAAATTGAGATGCGAGTTGAGCGATTGTGGCCTTGTGTGGAATCCGTGTCGTTCCGTTGGCATGCCAAGTCGGGAAAGTTACGGGTTGCTATGGTCTTGCAGACAATTGCCGTTGGGTAGAATGCAGGGTGCAGTCGACTGGCTCGGTTAAGGTCGGACAGGCGCCAATTAACGCTCCGCCATTCGTAAGGCTTCTCTTGAAGCCAAGGCGCAAGTAGAATCGTCCGTGCTTACCCAACTCAGGCCGTCTTTCATGCCAATGAAACGCAGTTGGCCGTGTGCTACCGGGTTCGTTTGAAGCGTTTGCGAGTATATCATGCCTACTTCCTAGCTCCTTCCTCGACGTCCGCCTCCCAACACTTACACTCCATTTCACCAGACCACTACTACCGAACACCAAAGCTATACATCATCACCATGGTCGGCATAGGCACGTCGCCGCTGCTTCCCATACGGAGCACCATACTGCTGTCCACCCAGACACTCTCCCCTTTCGCTCCCTCTCAACGTGCCTTCTCCACCACGCTCTTGAACGCACTCAGTTCGGCTTCCCAGCCTGCACGCAAGCCTGTCCAAGCAAAAGACCGCCCCACCCCCGGAACCAAACATCCAGATGGCAGCTACCTCCTCTTCCACCCCATCTACTCCGAACAGGAGCTGGACAACGTCAAAGTCGTCCATCGCGAGTCGAAAACCTTTGGAGACAAGGTTGCACGAGCCATGTGCACCGCAGCCCGAACCGTCTTCGACCTGGCAACAAGATATCCTGATCACCGAGGGGTCAAATTCCCACCACTCAAGAAGCAAGATGTCGAGAAGCGGGTCGGGTTGCCATCAAACCTCGCCAAGCAGGTGGACAGGTTTAAGGAGCAGCAAGCCAACCCTTCCACCACTGAGAGCGCTGTGGTCAACACCACTAAAGCCGACATCAACCAGCTTTCCAAGATCGAGGATAGGGACGAGGAGGGAATGACTCTCGCCGAGATGCGAGCCAAGCGGCTTTGCTTTGGCCCGGACGCGTGGCTCAACAGGATCATCTTCTTGGAAACCATCGCTGGTGTGCCAGGAATGGTAGCGGCAACCTGTAGACATCTCCAATCGCTCCGCTTGATGAAGCGAGACAAAGGATGGATCCACACTTTGCTCCAAGATGCCGAGAACGAACGGATGCATCTCTTGACTTTCATGCATCTCGCCAAGCCAGGAACCATCGCTCGAGCATTCGCGCTGCTCGCCCAGGGCGTCTTCTACAACCTCTTCTTCATCTTCTACCTCTTCTCGCCCCGTATCGCACACCGATTTGTTGGAGTACTGGAAGAGGAAGCCGTCCTGACGTACAGCTGCATCTTGGAAGATATCAAGCAAGGTCGGTTGCCTGAATGGGAGAACGTCCCAGCACCCGAGATCGCAAAACACTACTGGCAGCTAGGAGACCAGGCATTGCTCGTCGATGTAATCAGGGCAGTCAGGGCCGACGAGGCAACGCACAGGTGCATCAACCACACGCTCGCATCCCTCGACTACAAGGAGGACCCCAACCCATTCGCAAGCCGCGAACTCGATGCTGAGGTACGAGGCGAGAGATACGGTTTGGAGAGGCAAGAGGCATTGCAGTGGGCCAAAGGAGAACAAAGCAAGGATAGAAGCGAGAGTGCCGAAAAGACTGCCTAAGCTAGCTTTCACTTGGCAAAAAATAAGTATCAACTGTGCATATCAGCAACCTGTCCTATCAAGGAATAGGATCACATTCTATCCATCCAACTATCCTCGTCATGTTTGGAGGCCATGATTTGCAGGCGGTGAAGACGCATGCAGTGAGTTGGTGTCGTCATTGGGTGAGTTGATAGTTGGACAAGGTTGATTGCAGATCGCAAGATCCGCCCGCCTGTTGGGATTGGCATCATCGTCAGACTCAGATATGCACTCGGTCCCTTGGTGGACGCTTGGTTCGACCACCGCTTCCGGCTTCATGTTCGGCTTGCTATTTGCCGGTCCCAACCTTGTTTCCGAGCTTGATTCTTGTCAAAATTTGCCTTCGCAAAGATTGAGTCTCTAGGTTTAGAACATTCGGAACCAAGGTTCATATTCTCCGTGATGAGGTCGTGACACGTCCCGGGGCGGGGGGGAGAAGTTGAAGCAACGTCTCTGAAAATGCTATTCCGCCGGACTGGATGTGGGCGTTATGCCGCCACAGTTCAAGGATGAAACAAGATGCCGCGAAATCGTCGCCTAGTCCCTGCCACCTGCTGGTATCTCCGCCTTTACCCTCGTCCTTATCATTGACACCGACCAGGATATACTCGTCCGACGGAACGCTGCTTGTCCAGAGATGCTTCGACAGAGCCGTCAAGGTAGAAAGCTTATCTTTTCTGCTTTTGTCCTACGCTTTGACTCTGGAGTGACACAGACAAGCATACGCTCATCTTGCCCCTTCTTCTACCTTGCTGCGCAGCTCGATGGCTGTCAAAGTAGTGATCACGTCCAATCCCGCTCCTCTGGAAGCTGGAGGACAAAGCTGTGTGCAGTGGGCCGTGGCTAGGGGTGTTGCGAGAGGACATAAGATCCTCGAGGAGGGATCAGTAGGCAAACCTTGTGTCTCGTTCAGCTACATTGCTGAACTCTGATGCTGTCGAGCTAGGCTTAAGAAGGCAGAGATAGAGCTTGCCTGCGCTGCCGGTCATGATGACGCAAAAAGTGCCGAATCAAAAGTCGCTCGCGAGAAGGCAGAGGTGGAATGTGTCTGGTGTTGCACGCACGAGGTCAAGAATAGTACTGGAGGCTGTCACTGTCGCTATCGCTGCTAGGTTGTGTCGAGGATGGATGGCTGCCGTTACCTGATGACGAGCAGAGGATTCGATGCGTAGAAGGCTGCTGGTGCTGCATGTAGCGCGCCCCTAAAAGACAAGCTTCGACCTCCTTATCCTCCCATCACTTTCCTGAGTTCCTCACTTGTTCACAACGCACACACCCACTCGCTCCAAACGCTCGTTTGCACCGTTCATTCTCTTACATACCCAAAACTCCTTCTCTTTCTGCAAGGCAATCCAGCTGCAAACAGTCTCTTGGCTCGAAATCTGCGTACAATCGACGCAATCTGTAAGCCTCCTCTGCAGCTCTGTAAGGACGCCGGCTTACATCCGAACTCCTCTTCAGCATCAAGACTCTCGGCTCTGGCAGGTGGGTGCTTGTATCGATTTGGTTGCTGCACTCCACACTCCGGAGTTTCGACTGGCAGTACCGAAAAGAAATCGAGGGTTGATGTATGTAAAGACAAAAGGTGAAAGGGGAAGAAGAACTCGAGAGCTGACAATCCGTTCCAATTTGGATTTGCTTGCTTGCTTGTTTGCCTGCCTGCCTGCGTATGCCTACAGTGCTTGACCTCTGCCGAGCCGTGATCGCAGCTGATCCTTCCAAGCTTTGCCGAAAACACGCTCGCAGATTCGCGGTTGTTAGGATTGTCATCGTTCCTTGGACAGTAGCTGCTTCATCGCTCGCTGTCAACCGAAGATAAGCAAAGCAAACTTGGTGTTGGGTGTTGGGTTGTGCTCGCTTCGAGTTTGACAGGCAACAAAGAGACCAGCGCCAACGTCACCACCGGCATCAACGTCAAACAACGTCAACAGCGACGGCAAAGACGAAGAAAGACATTTGGTTGTCAACTTTCGAACGTCATATCGAGGACAAGCTCCTGGAAAGCTCTATCTCTCTCGCTCTCTCTTTCTCTACTTGAGGAACAAGGTTTGCTCTTCTTCAAAGTTGCTCGCAGTCGAGCTGCCTTGGAATGCTCCGTCTCGACCTCTTTGCAAGAGCCGCCTAGCCTCTATCCAGAGTCTGGTCCCGCATCTTGGATGCTGCTACTGTGGTCATCGTTGAACTTGCCGCGGTTTCTGCTTGATCGCGTCTTTACTATCGGCACCGAGGAAAGAGATTGATAGCAAGAAGGAGTCGACGACGCGGAACAAGATACCTACTTGCTTACCGCCACCTTGGATCTAGAGGAGTGAGCAGCCGCAGAGGCAGTTGCCTCATCCTGCTTTTTCTGCTTTTTTCTCTATTTGGAGCTGAGCCAAGTAGCTGGAGAAGTAGCCAGACGTCGCGATTAATTTCCGCAGGAGTCAGAGTTTTTCAAGGCACAGCACCGCGTCCTTGCAATCTTGCAACCTTGCGACACTGCGACACTGCGACACTGCGACACTGCGACGCTTGTTCCTTTTCTTTTCTTTTCTTTTCTTTTCTTTTCTTTTCCCAACGGACAGAGTTAGGCTTTGGAGCCCAAGAGACTTTCAGTCAGCGAGTCGGAAGAGCCGAGCAAGGAAAACTCACCAAAGCTCTAGCTTTCCACCGCCCAACTTGGCAGGCATACATTCACAGTGACTGACTAGGCGCTTCCTTTCGCATTCACACGCCTCGACTGCCTGCTGGAAAGAAGCATCTTGACCAGACGGATCCTTCCGACGAGTATTCAGCCATCCCAGCCAAGGAGAGCAAGCAAGATCGACGTTCCCACGACGTTCCCACGCCCTCGTCCTTCTCATTGCAGGGACAAGGCATCGGGCTGTTGCAAGCTTTCGAAGAGCTTTGGGCATTCAAGCCAACGCAGATCTTTTGAGATCTCGGCGAATCGAGGCTTGGTTTTTGAGGTACACTGGCTTCTTTCTTTTAGCATCCTCTCCGCCTTGCACTGCTGCACGTCAAGGGAAAATAAAAAGACAAATCTTAATCTTGCTGTTTCTCTCTGCAATCCAAGCGAAAGCAAGCAAACAGAGCCGCTTTTCTGCTCAATCCTTTTCCTCCATCGGAACGTCCGACTTGTCTTGGATCAGCGCAAAGGACTAAACAGTCAGTCCACTTTTCTTTCCGCAGCAGCAAAGGCTTCATCCATACCAAGCCGGAAAGAAAAAAAAAAAAAGAAAAAAAAAAAGAAAAAAGAAAAAAAAGAAAAGGCTTTGGCCCCTACATCCTCGGAACCAGCCTGTCCGATCTCTTGCCTTGCCCTCTTCTCACGCACATCACCGACGGTCCTCGTTTGGGTGCCGCCCTTGTGCCTCTCTGGATTGTTGCTTGTCGTCAATCACTGGCTTTGGCGTGAGAAAGCAGGTGTCGGCACTTGCGTCGTCTTTGCTTGCTCAGCTTTCAAACCAAAAGAAAGGGCATACAATCGGAGCCTTGCAAGGAGAAAGTGCAGCGGCCTGCCTCACTTGAAGCGGAGAAGGAGGTGCGAGATTAGCCATTTGACAGGTGGCCGTCTCAAGTTAGCAATCAAACTTGGACAAGGCCAAAGACGAAAGAAGCAACGCAGCGCCCCTATCGCAAGCTCTCAGCACAGCAACATACTCGGACAGAAGCCTGAGTCTCTCCTGAAGTGCAGTAGGCAGTAGGATCGCAAAGCCAGAAGCACTTGGACCGCTCGTTTGCCTATTCCTGCCAAAAGGGATTGCATCTTTCAATTTGTGCCAACCGGCTTCATATCCTTGCACTGCACTCCTTCTGTTCTTGCTCAAACAGACACGAGACAGGCTCGATTCGATTCGGTTCATCGTGCAACAAGCAAGAGTGCTCTTCTTCACATCCAGTCGAACCCTCTTGACTTGAGTTCTGCTCTCTCTTCTTTCTCTGTCGGAAGGAATCCGAAAAGTGTCTCATCCGTTCCAGATTAGCGATCTGGCACGACACGCTGGAACAGCTCAAGTGCCACTTTACCGTCACTGTGACTGTGTGACTGGCTGTCTGGTTGACTAGGTGACTAGGTGACTAGGTGACTAGGTGACTGCTTGACTGGGCGACTGTCGGCTTGCTTCCGATAACATCGCTCTCACTGTTCCCACAGGCACACGCACAGAAGCTGTTCGAGCGGCTCTTCCGATCTCTTTTCTCTTTCTGTGCTTGTACAGTGCTCAGTCATGGGAACAGCAGAGGCGACCGTCAGAGCAGCGTCTCTGAAGCTCGCTGCTGCAAGTGAGCAAGTGCCTTTGTCCAGGATGGGGTCGAGCAACAGTCTTGCTTCTTGGTATAAGGAAGAGACATTCCCTGTGCAACGCTCCTCGCCGCCATCCCTCGCTGATCCTCATCCTCAATCGCCTCCTCCCTCATCCACATCGGCATCGGAGCTGCCTACCATTACTACCAACTCTTCCACAGCCTACACTGCTCCTACCTTCGCTACTACCACCTTCACTACTACCACCACCGCCACCATCGCCACCACTAGCACTAGCACCGACGGAGACCCCCCCTCTAGACGTCCCCCTCCTTTCTCCCACCGACCCTTTCCACTCGTTACCCCAACACACAAACGATCTTGCTTGATCACACCTTCTCCCTCGTCCTCCCGTTCCACCGTGTTCACCCTCCCTACTGTCATTCCTACCACGACGGCAGGACTGGAACAATACGATTGGCGCCCTATCCTCCTCACACCGCCACCGACGGCCAAACGAGGCGACTCGAGCACTTTATCCTACACACCCGTGCAGCAAGGTAGAGACACCCCGACGCTCTCCAAGCCTAAGACCCCTCCGAAGTGCACCTTTGACTACCCTCCGAACTGCAGCGACGCTTGGCCACTGTCTCCAACCCTCTCCACAAAGAGAGCGAGGAAGCATTCTCATCGCAATCCAAGCCACGCGTCGCTTCGTGTCGCCGTCAAAAGGACCGGCGACAAACTATCATCTGGAACGATGGCTTCCTCGTCCTCCTCACAGGTACCCTTGCACTCAAGCGTCCCTTCAAAGGACAGTCAGATCGATAGCCATCACCTGGATTCCATGGAGCCTACTCCATCAAGCGTAGACACGCACAGGATGCTTCCTCCCTTCAAGCCACGTGCTTTGACGTTGGACGGGATCGATCGACCCAACTTGCCGCCCATGCTCGGCTATCATCCGACTCCCAACCTAATCCGACACAGACACGGACATGGACATGAACATGGAAGCGGACACAGGCACTCTCGCAGTATGCTTGGTCCCATCCGAGCTTCACCTTCTCGTTCCTTTTCTTCATTCCGAAACGGGCCCGAGTACAGGAGCAACCCCTACTTTGTTTCCACACCGGGACGGAGGTACATCGACCACACTCGTTCGACACCCTCTCTTTCTCCCAAACCAACACGTGAAGCGAGCTACTTTGACAATTGGACTGCCGTAAAGTAAGTACTGAGCCCAATTGTAGATGAACCACGATGAAAGCCAACGCTAACCCTGGGATTTTTTCTTCTTCTTCTTCTTCTCCTAGCAGCAGTAGTAGCAGCACACCCTGGACTCCGACCAGCTCGGTCCGCTCCACTTCCAGCGGCGTGTACCAGCACCATCATGATGTCTTTGCTTCAAGCCACACACCAAGTCGCTCCTCGCTCGCTACGCCACCCTTGCACCTAGATCACAGCTCACCCAATGGATCACTCACCAGGAAAAGCGATTCGATCGAGCTTCCAGCTCTGCCAGGTGTTCCTGAGGCGGCCCTCCCAAACAATCTATCCTTTCATCATCACCACCACCAGCAGCATCCGGCATGTGTCCACAACAATGCTCTCGGACTCTACATGGACTCGGCTCCCTTTCCACCCGAGCTGCTCCGCCTCGACCTTGGTCACAGAGCCCACCAGTCCCAAGGTGGAAGAGGAGGAAGCTGGATACCACGCAGCGAGGCAGACGGCTACTTTGGTCCGAGTGCACTCACTCGGCATTCGCCCATCGGGAGCCGACCTTCCTACGCTCTCACCCATTCGCCAGCACCCATGTCTGACTTTTCTCCACAGATGCCTTGGCCCATTTCAGGTGAGGATGCTCTACCCAAGCTGTCCCTCGGCCATCGCCATGGTCTAGACTCCAACATGTCGCTTCCAGCCCTGCTCCGACCTATTCCGATCGTCCCGAGCCAGTCGCTCCCATTCCAGCGAATGGCTGAGCGGGCGGACGGCGACCGCTTGTACAAGATGCCAGTTCTTCGATCCATGTCTCCATTTGCCGACATGAGCAGTGACAGCGATGATGAGGAAGAAGAAGAAGAAGAAGAAGAAAAAGACAAAGACGAGCAGGACCAATCAAAGACAGCATCCAGTAGCCTCACGACGCTATCGGACAGTCATGGTTCTGCTGCTTCAGGATCGAAAGCAGAACAGAAGCGGGTTGTTCTACCGGAAGAAGGTTGCACTGGCGAGATCTTCCGCAAGATCAAGACACAGCTTCCGATCACGCTCAAGCAAGGCAGCGGCTCTGACGCAAAGGAAGAGCAGTAAGTACAATCAGCGGGATAGATGCAAAGACGAAAGCTGAAGCGCGGTCACTGACACAATGCCTCGATGTCTTCCGGCTACCATCGACAGTCTGTTCTGCAAGCTTGACTCGACTACTCATCAGTGTTTCAGCGTAGTGTAAGTGTGTTTCCAGACTCATTAGTAAGATTACACAGTGTTATGGAGCTGACCGCAATCCTCACGTCGCCTCCTCTCTCACGACTCGGCAGAGACGGAAAGTGGGCATGCTATCGTCGCAACTGTAAGTATCATCTGCTCACTGTGTTCTCTGTCGGAGCATTCATCCTTTGACAAGGGTGACTTACAAGATCGCCCTTTCCCATCTCTGCCATAGACCTCAAGATCGACGTCGTCTTTCATTTCGAAGATGCCTCAGGCCAACGCCGCGACAACGTCGCCGGCGATCTCATCCTCCAGACGCATCCAACCTCGCGTCACCCTATACCCTTTGTCATCGACCACTTTGCCGTCCACATTTCAGCACACATCCTCGACCTCGCCTCAAAGAAGCTTCAGCGCGGTCGACAAGGCACCATCCCTCTGATCCAATTTGGCCCCGCTCGCGAACGCGGTCCTCGCGAGCCTGTCCAGCCAGCCAGCCTCCATCCCGGCGGCAATATCACCAAAGACGCCACCGCCAACGAACACACTTCGACTCGAGCAGGCAACATTGCAGCATTCCGCAGAGTTCAGATTCGATCGGCGACAATGAACAATGGTCAGCGAGGAGCGGCTGGACAGCAGTTTTACACTCTCAAGATGACTCTGTTGGCCTACCCGAGAGACAGTACGGATGGCGTTGAGGTGGCAAGCATTGTATCGGAGCCAATCACTGTCAGGGGCAGGTCGAAGGTTCACTATGCTCCACCGAATGGTGGTGGAGCTGACGATGGGCAGGCAGCTGCTACTGAGGGGAAAGGCAAGAAGGCAGCGGGTTCCAGGAGCCGAGCCAGATCAGTGTCGACGGCGCAAAGCATTCGCAGCGAGACTTGCTCGGCTCGTTCCAACTCAACATTGACGAGTCGCAGGCAACACACGAGCTCTGCCAGCAAGAGAAGATCGGAATACGAGCAGCATCGTCGAAGCACGCGACTCTTGCTTGCGGCCAACAACTCAGGCTCGAACAATAGGGAAGATGCCGGTGACGAAAGCCAAGTCGAGGTTGCCTCTACCACCCGAAACAACGTCATGCATATCCAAAACGTTCTCTAAAGCACACCTCCACCACATGCCTTTTCTAAAGAATATCCTTGCCTTTGACTCGTCACCCACCATCACTCTTGAAAGATGCACGAAACACGCTGTGCTGTTCCTCAAGTCTCAGCGACGAGAGCATAGCCTCGGATCGAGTCTCTCTTTCTCTTGGTATCTTTGATCGACGATGTAGAAGGTGCCCTTGAATGTTGGATGCACGACGGCAATTGTATTACCTCGTTGCCTTTTTTTTTTTTTTTTTTTTTTTTTTTTTTTTTTTTTTTTTTTTTTTCTTTTTCTTTTTCTTCCTCGGACCGAGCTGTGTGCTGTATGTGCGCTCCTCGATGCTTCCTTGCAGCGAAAAAAGGGTGGTCTCAGATTTCGACGAGGTGGTGAATGGAACGCGGCAGAGGCTCACAGGCTGCATAGGCTGTACAGTCGGGGCAGCAACGGCTGCATTCTATATCTTTGCGAAATCGATGTGATTCGACGAGATCGTATAATGGAGAAGCTACACGGGAAAAATACGAATTGAATGACCGCCAGAGAAGGACTCGACTCAACTCGGCTTGACCGAAGCTGACATAATCCCCCCTTGTCGGCTCCTCGGCTTGGTCAAGAACGGTTTGCTTCCCTCCAACTCCGGCGCTTCCCTCCAACTCGGGCAACTTACAGCAGACAAAACGATCCTAAACTAGCCTAGCAAGACGAGGGATTTACTCGTAGATCCAGGCATCGACAGCACGCTGGTAGCTGATAGTAGGCTTCTGCTCACCGAACCAAAGGGCGATTTCCTTCTTAGCTGACTCAACCGAGTCGGAACCGTGGCAGACGTTGCGTCCGACATCGATGGCAAAGTCACCACGGATAGTACCGGGAGCCGAGTCCAAGGGGTTCGTAGCGCCGAGCAACACCCGACCGGTCCTGACCGCGTCCTTACCCTCGAAGACGATGCAGACGACGGGACCGGAAGCCATGTACTTGATGAGACCGGGGAAGAACTTCTTGTCCTTGAGATCGGCGTAATGCTTTTCCAGGTGCTCTTCGGAAGCGTGAACCATTTTGAGAGCGGCGATCTTGTAACCGCGAGCTTCGAAACGAGCGATGATCGTGCCGACGAGGTTACGTTGCACGCCGTCGGGCTTGATCATGATGTAGGCTGCGAGGGGGGGAGAGCGAGCAAGTTACGGCGGAGGAATAAGGACCAAGTCAGCATTTCGAACTGGTTTCAGGAGCAGACATGTTGTGTTGGGGGGAAGGGGAGGTTGGTTGGAGGCAGTACTTACTCTGTTCAGTGGCCATTTTGAAAGAAGTATCTGTCTGGGATGGACAAGAGCAAGGTTGAATGGGTAGGGAAGATGGTGGTGGAGTAGCAAATCGAAAGTGAAAGGTGCAGGAAAGCAAAAGGAGCAAAGCCAACATCCACTCGGTTCTTGACCAGCGCTTGCCTAGGAACTGCATTCTTGCCACAACACACACACACACACACACCTCTCAAACGAACAACACAAGACAAAGGAGAGAGAAGAATATGGCTAAAACACAGGGGCAAGGAAAAGTTGATCAGAGCATCAAAAGAGCAACTTCCAACTCGCCGCCTCTCTTCAATCCTCTTTCGCACGAAAAGAAGAAGAGCTCCTCTTCTCCCACGTGACCAAGAGAAGCTCTTTTGCTTCTCCAAGTGTGGAGGCTTGGAGGCTTGGAGGCTTCTGCCTCGATTGCACCCTTACCATCGACCTGCTCCTTGCCTCGCTCACACAATGTCACTTTCATTCTACCCACCGCCTCCAACAGCGTCAACAAGCAAATCCACCGTCTCTGCGCACATCAGCACCTCCTTCAACTCTCGCTCTATCACTCTGCCCAACTTTTCCTCCTTGAAAACCAAAGATCTCCGTTCGGCCCATCGTTCCTCGGTCCGTGGTGTTGGGTGGTCCATCGATGGTCGCAAGCTCGCCACCTGCTCCTCTGACCGTACTATCCGGATCTGGGTCCCTGAACGATCCATCGACCACCGAGCATCAACCGAACTCCGAGGTCACACAGACTCGGTCGATCAACTAATCTGGCATCCCACCAACCCGGAACTTGTCGCTACAGCTTCCGGCGATAAAAGCGTTAGAATATGGGATACCCGCCTTAACTCGACGACCGAAGCTGCGATGCTAGTTGCTACGCCGGGCGCGAACATCAACGTAACCTATCATCCGACCGGAAACTACATCGCTGTGGGGGACAAATCTGATACGGTATCAATCATAGATTGTCGACAGGGCAAGGCAATTCATACCGTGTGTTCGCGTAGAACTTGTGCTCCTCCTGCAGACGAGACTTTTGATGAAGCGACGGTAATGGGCAGTTACGACGAAATCAACGAACTTTCCTATTCCTCGGACGGGTCGTTGTTATTGCTCTCTTCGGGCTCGGGATGGATTCACATGCACCATACTTGCTCCTCGCGCAACCCTTACCGTCGAATTCACTCGCATCCAGCCCATACAAGCAACGTTTTCTGCATCCAACACGATCCACTCTCCCGCTTTGTCGCAACAGCATCAAGCGACGCAATGATATCCCTCTGGGACTCGAGAGAATGGTTCTCACACAAAATGGTGACCAGTCTCGCCTTCCCCGCGCGAGCAATAGGCTTTAGTTTCGACGGTGAACTGCTCGCAAGCGGAGGAGAAGATGCATTCATTTCGATCAATGCTACCGATCCAAGTCTCGGTGTGCGGTCAGGAGGTGGAGATCAAGTATGCAAAATCCCCTTGGGACAAGGAACAATGATCAACACTCTCAGCTGGCATCCAAGCAAATACCTCCTAGCTTTTGCAGGCGATCAGGCCAATACTAAAGATGCCGCTCTCGTCAGGGTTTGCAGTTTGTAGCAACAGCCATCTTGACAGAAAAAACACATGCCCTTGTTTTCCATTGCACTGCCAACAAGATGGTCTTTGAAGCATGCGAGTGGGTAACGCAGAGAAAGCAAGAGAGTCAGACTTTGCGCTCAGCATCCGTTGGACGACTTTGCAAAAGGCCAGGATGCAAGAAAAGCGGATCGTCTTAGACGCTCAACCCACGCAAGCCTCTCGAGATTAAACCTGCTCAACCAACATGACAACACTCATCACAACCACAAGACACCAAGCATTGGAATAGACAAGGCCAGAAAAACATGGATTGCAAAGGACAGGCTTGGGAGCTAGCCACGCTGGTGGTGGTTTAGTAAGTCAAGCTGGTAATGATAGCATCGAGAATCCTAATGGCCTCTGGTTTATAAAACAATTCTCCAACATGAGGAAAAGGAGTATCCCAACCACCTAGCCTGATTACTGGAGCTTGCAAATTCAAGAAACAAGACTTCTGTACTTCTGCTGCGATCTCAGCGCCAACTCCTGCTGTAACAGGAGCTTCATGTACTACAATACACCTTCCCGTCTTTGCAACCGATTGAATAACAGTTTGCCTATCCCAAGGAAGAATTGTTCGAAGATCAATCAGTTCCACATTTGCACTTCTCACAGCCTGAGGAACATGCTTTGCAATCTCCCTCGGCGGATTTGCAAGAAGCTCAAGTGCTTGCACACAAGCATACAAGGGTCCACCCCAACTAAGCAAAGTGATATGATCACCACCCTTAACCACCTCTGCCTCGGAAAGAGGAAGAATAAAATCATCCACAGGAACCTCTTCTACACTACTCCTATATAAAAACTTTGGTTCCAAAAACACAACAGGATTAGAATCAACAATACTCGCCCTAAGCAATCCCTTAGCCTGAACAGGACTCCTTGGAACAACCACCTTCAAACCCGGAACAGCCATAAAGAACTGTTCGACACTCTGGGAATGGTATAAAGCGCCATGACCTACGCTCTGACAAGGAGCTCTAATGGTAAGTTTTCCTACATGAAACTGACCAGCTGAACGATAATTGTATTTGGCAGCCTCGTTTACGATCTGATCGAAAGCAGGAAAGATATAATCAGCAAATTGAATCTCAGCAACTGCCGTATGACCAATATCAGCAACACCAATAGCAAACCCTACAATCCCTTGCTCCGAAAGAGGCGTATTAAAAACTCGATCGCGACCAAAACATTCGGACAAACCCATAGTGGAACGAAACACCCCGCCAAAAGCAACATCTTCTCCGAACACGAGAGCCGTAGAATCCGTCGAGAGAGTATGCGATTGTGCGTCGCGAATAGCCTATAAGCGTGCAATAGGCATGACAAAGCGGACGACGATGCATGTTTGAATTGAACGTGTAAGTGTTAAACCGAAGTAAAGTGAGGATGTCCAGAATTCGAGTTGAGTCAAATGGTTATGCGAATGGAGCAGAGTAAGCAAACGAATCGAGACAGGTAGAAGATAAAAACAAGAAAAAAGAAAAAAGAAAAAAGAAAAAAGAAAAAAGAAAAAAGAAAAAAGAAAAAAGAAAAAAGAGGCCCAAGGAGAGCAGCAAAGGGTCAGTATGCTCATGCCAAATTGAAAGCCAAACGAAAGGATCGCAAAAAGAACAAGAGGATCCAAGCAAAACGGAGGCGCGAAACACAGCACGAGATCGACAACACGGGCTAACCACAGCAAGGTAGCGATAGTGACGGCAGATACGAATCTACGGCATGTATAGTATGATGAGAAGGAAGCACACATCGAATATTCCTGTGTCATTACACGTTCTGTGCTTTCCTCTCAAGATCTCTCTTCCTACCCTCCAGCGTCAAAGCCAACTGCTGACCAGCGGCTTGACTCAGCACACCAGCCAACTGCTGAGCGCAAGTTGAAAGTAATCCAACAATCTGAACCCTCAACTGCTCCAACCCACCCAACCTCCCCACATCCCTCGCCTGGGCAACATGCAACAACCTCCCCCCCTCCAACAGCGCCGCCAGAGGCACTAATCTCGGATTAGCCACAGCCACCTCGGGGAACTTGACTCCTCCCGCCGGAGCCCTTGGAGCAACATGTCCCAAAGCGCGATCCAGGACATTAAACAAGCCACTGAGATAGGTAGGATCCAAAACATGGCAAGTCAGCAAAGCAATCGGCCCGCTCAAAGCCGGTTGCAACCTCTCCATGACGGCGCCACGGTTGCTCTCGGAACTGGCCAACTGCCTTGCTGCTGCCTTGATCACGCCCGCTCTCACGACCGTCAAGGTAGCCGGAGAGGACTGCGAGGCGGGAAGCTTGATGGCAGCAATATCGGAGCGAATTTTGGAGAATTCGGCGACAGAGAGGTTATTGTGTTGAAGCACAAGAACCAACTGACTGTCGGCTAGGAGACGGAGGTATTTTTCGTATAGAAAAGATTTCTTCGAAGGATATTTTCGAGATCCAACACGAGCAGAGCGAGCACTAGGGGGAGAAACAGGCTTGGTAGCAGGGGAGGACGAGGAGGAGGAGGAGGAGGAGGAGGAGGAGGAAACGGAAAAAGCACGAATTGGAGCAGAGGTGGAAAAGGATCGGGTACGCACCGTGTACATGTTTATCTTTTGCGTTTCTCTCTGAATGTTCTCTTCTCCGTCGATGAATTTGAGTCCGGGAGTGGCGAGGGCAGATTCGGAAGTGGTTCGTAGTAGAGGAGACTCGCTGACGACCGGTGCCTCCGACCTGCTGGCAGCTTGGACCTCGGCAGTGACAGCAGATCGGCTCGAGGTGGCAAAGCTGCGCAAGAACGAGGAGGAGGGCGACTTGGAAGCCATACGAGCCTGGATAGCAGTAGCTCGACGGCGGCTTGCAGAGTTGGTTGCCATAGGATGGGCGGCGGTATGAAAGAATCTCGCAGGAGTTTGAGGATCGTTACGGGGATCCAATCTATGCTCGATCGGCGATTGAGAAGCAGGAGGTGGAAGATAAGCTCCACCCTTCAACTCCATCTCCCTGGTCTGATCAATGCCATCCTCAAAGATGGCATCCTCCACGGCCCAAGCCTGGGTGGGATCGACGGTTCTCTCGATGGGCCTGCTCAAGGCCTCGTTGGTCAAATGCTTGATCTCGTCTTGAGGAAGCTCAATCTGGAGCGTACGGAAGTTCTCCTCGATGCGCTCCGGAGTGATACTCTTACTGATAGGAATAATACCTCTTCCCATCGTCCAAGCCAACAAGACCTGGGCAGGAGTGATGTTGTTCCTCTGCGCAACATCCAGGACGACGGGATGGTCGAGATACTTGGCTGCGTTCTGGTTCGAGCCGAATGGAGAGTAGGCCTGAAGGGTAACGCGGTGAGCATGGGCATAGTTGCGAAGCTCCTCGTTGTGAACACCAAGGTTGACCTCGACTTGGTTGACAAGGGGCTTGAGATTGGATGCTTCAAGAAGCTCGCTGATACGACGGATGTTGAAGTTGCTAACACCAATGCTGCGAACCTTGCCCTTCTTGACCATTTCTTCCATGAGACGGTATGTGGACATAAAGTCACGCGAGAGACGAGTCTGTTCGACGGGGTGACCACCGGTGCTGCGAATGGAAGGAACCATGGCACCGTTGGCGTTGAGGAAAGCAACGGGCCAGTGCATGAGGTACAAGTCGAGATAGTCCGTGTCGAGATCTTTCAAGGTATCGTCCAGGGCCTTTTCAACGTGGGCAGGATGGTGGAAAGAGTTCCAGAGCTTTGAAGTGAGCCACAACTGCGAACGAGGAACGCCGGCTTTCTTGATACCGGCAGCAACGGCATCTTCGTTTCGATAAGCCCAAGCGCAGTCAACGTGACGGTAACCAGTCTTGATGGCGTGGGCAACAGCAGGGACGGCTTGTTGCTTGGTCATCTTCCAGGTACCGAAACCCAACTTGGGGATCTCGGCACCATTGGCCAAGGTCAAGTTGGCGGACCTTCGGATAGCTGAGACGTACATGTTGGTGGTCAAAAGGGGACGACGACGCTGCTATATGGATGGTGCGCAAAGGTGATCGATGAGTGATGATGGAGAGCAGTGGCAGTGGCGGTGGCGGTGGCAGTGCTGAGCTCTACGACCAAGGTGATGAGGGGGATGGCAGGTGTGGCGTGGGAAAAAGAGAGATGTGACAATATGGTGGTGGTGGGTGGTGGTGGGTGGTGGTGTTGCAAGGATGGTCTTGAGGTGTGAGAACAGAGAACAGAGAGAAACCTAGAAGGAAAAAAGAAACAAGTACACAGGCGCGAGGCAAAGGATGAGTAGGTCCAAGCGGACAAGCCGATGAAGAGTGGGGCAGAGGAGGCAGAGGAGAGGAGGCAGAGGAGGGAGGAAGAGGAGGAGAAGAGCCAAGGTCGATGACAAGTCCAAGAATCACAGAGAGTGCTGGTGGGAAAGCAAAAATAAAAGCTGCGGTGATGTCCTAGAGAGCAGGCTTTCCCTGAGCCAGTCTCAAACTGTACTGACTGCGAACCAAAAAAAAAAAAACAAAAAAAAAAAAAGAAAAAAAAAAAAAAAGAAAAAAAAAAGGTTTAAAATAAAAATAAATCGTCTCTGTTTCTGAATTGCCGCCTTTCTCCAACTGTGATCTTGTTTAATTGGCACTCACCGGATGCCTGCTTTGACTCATGGTTCGGTGAATCCGAAGTAATTTAGCTCTCCTTCAATCAGAAGCCTATACTGGGGCAACAGCTGAATTGTTAGTGTGCCAGTGTGGGCAGAGAGTGATAGTGGGGATCCCCGCTTCTTTTACACGAGCTCTGCTTGACTGCCGAGTCGCGCTTACAGCACAACAGCAAGGCGATTGTCGTCGGCACCTTTGCACACACGTCCATCCTTGCTCTGATCCTCGGCAAGCTGTTCACTGCTACAGTGCATGGTCTCTTTCTCTTTCTCTCTCTCTCTCTCTCTCACGCGAAAGTGTCCTCTTAATATGTCGGTCAATTGCACGGAACACACCAATACAGAACCGCATGAAGGGAGCCCTTTTTCCCCGTTGCCTTCTCGCGATGCCAGCAGAGGTCAGCTCGGCTTGTCCGTCTCTGCGCAGCTCGGCGGTTTCTCTTGATTTGATCGCTCTTGGTCAGGTGAGCATTCGAGAGCCTGTCACCCTTCCAGAGACTGGCGGCAGCGATAAAGGTCGAGCAAGGCGTAAGAACTGCAATCATATCAGCCAGCCAAAGCAAAAGCGATGCGAGAGTTTGCCCCGTGGTAGCAAGCCGTCAAAAGCGACACATGCGAAAGTACCAAAAGTAACCATCTCCCGATATCGAGATCATTCCCCGATTCAACCCACCCAAAACATTCAGCTCAGTTCGCTCCCTTCTTCTTCGGAAGCGCCGAAAAGGGGCAAGAGACCAGCAAAGATATTTGACAGCTTTGACGGCGCCAAGGAAAGCGTTCCCACACTCGCTCGGCATAGAAGCCGAGATGAAAAGAGAAAAAAACAAAAAAACAAAAAAACAAAAAAACAATAATAAAAATTACAAAATCATTTCAACTGCGAGCCATAACCTCCTGTCCAGCCCCTTTTTAAACAACCCCCCCCCCCCTTTTCCCCTTTCCCTTTTCGACCCCCCCCCCCCCCCGGTCAGTTTCACTTGGTAGCAGCAATCCTAGCCCTCAATCTAGCCTCTAATTTCTCCATCATCTGTGCCAACCCTTGGTGCTCTCCAGCTACACCACCACCAACACCGCCGGAAGCCGTCATTGGTTTTCTCTCGGGCAAATCAAGATGTTCGTAGTAGATGGCCTTACGCGTATGACCCATCCTCCAAAGTTTCAACGTTTTCGCCATTTCCTTCATCTCTGCTGTGACGGGAGAGTGCGGGGAAAGAGAGGCGAGTGTGCGCAGTCGAGCTTCGCGAACGGAACGGATCCAATTGACTTGGCCGCGAGGGAGGTAGTCGTTGGAATAGGCTACCTCGCTGAATCGCATCTCTTTTGTTGCTTTGCTGCTGACACAGGTGACAGTGGCCAGTTTGCTGGCAGCCCTGGTCGAGGCTGAGGGCCACATCCAGTTATATAGTCTGCTCAACATGCCAGTGGCTTCAGCACAGACAGCACGAGTATCCCAACGCTTGACTGGCACTCGAACCGTAGCGAATGGACAACCGGCTCGCGTCTCGAGCGGAATCTCAAGCAATGCATCCAGAGTACGTATAAGCAGAGAGTGGTCACCAGAAACACCATCGAAACCATCAACCCCCCAACCGTGGAAACCCTGAGCATGCGACATCCAAACCGCCTTTTGCATCTTTTCCTCGGTCAAAGTGTCGAAGAAATGCTTGAAAGCGGCTTGAAGAGCAACATGTCCTTGCTTGAGCGCATGTGCTGCTTGCTCTTCTTGTCCTTGCGCCAGATAGGTCTGGCATTGGGCCATGGAGCGGTAGAGTGGCAGCGAGATCCTTTCCATTTCGTAAAAGACGAAAGCGTTGTATCGCTCTGCGTCAATGACGGATTGGTGGGGCATGTGTTTCATGTTCGAGTAAGCCATCTCAAGCTTGCTGCCGCTTTTTGGAATGACGTTGACAAGGGTCATGGAGAAGAGACAGCCTCCGCTAGACTGGATACCGTAGAACTCGTTGAGCCAACGAAAGGGTGCGGCGATGGTTTTGGGCAAGTCGATCTTGTTTTCATCCTGTGCCATGGCTACAACTGGAAGTGTACCCCATCGATAGAGGTGGCTAAGGTAAGCCATGCAAGCAAGCAGGCCGAGACGCGCGTTGGCATCAAGTTGAGCAAGTGTCGAGATGACTTGTTCCACCTTGACAGAAGCCAAGGCGTCGCAAAGCCATTGGCGGTTGTCATCGATCCTTGCTCTCAGTTCTGTGTCGGTGTAGTTGGGTCGCAGCTCGCAAGTGACAAAGCGTGGTGGTGCTTGCTTTGCAACTTGGTCGTAGATGTGAAGAGAGTGCGGCCAAGAGTGGCGATAGGTGGGCTTGGGTGGCCAGCTTCCACCTCCTTCTGTACGGATCATGTCCTCAAGAGCGCATGCGAGAGAGGTTGTCGTCTTGGAGCATGGGAGTGCAGAGGAGAGCTTGGGTGCCAGGTCGGATGTGGAGTAGAAGGGTTCATCCATCATGGATGTGGCTGAAGAGGAGAGATGGGAGCTGTTGCTTGTGAGAAAGTCGGCTGTCTCAAGTGCTTCCAAGGAGCAAGTGGACGAGTTGCGACTGCTGGATGCGAGTGTTTGCGACATTTTGCGGGATTTTAGCGACTCTTTTTTTTTTTTTTTCGAGGTAGATGGGTGGATCGAGACGATAGTCCAGATGCGACGGTGCTGAGAGACGGTGCTGAGAGACGGTGCTGAGAGACGGGACTATATGAGTGCAGAGTGATCCTCCAAGTCGTCCCTATGTGCGAGTCTTGTGTAGCAATGAGCGGTGGAAGGCGATGTCAGCTGCACTAAATCGTGGGAAGGAGCGAGATGAAAAGAGGACATGAAATGAAAGGGCGTTTTGGGTGTGGGAGCGAGCTGGGTATATGCAGCAATGATGAAGATCATCATCGTCATTAACATCATCATTATCATCGCCAATTCTAGCAGTAGCCGAATCGAACAAAAGAGAGATACAAGCGCTGTCGGTTATTGACGGACAAGGGCTTAGGGTTTTGCTATGGCCAAAAACCGAGAGTAACCGATCGCTGGGCAGCCTCTTTCTCTCTATCTTTACAGTCAGTCAGAGTTGTCAAAAAACATACCAACAGTCGTCAAGAGCGGTTTGCTTGCCTCCAACTGCCACATTTCCAACTTGCTATCCGCTTTCCTCACACTCGCGACGCGAACATGCTTCGGTTGCAATGGAGGAGCCACATCGAATCTGTGTAATCAGCTTTTAACTTGGTTGTGTGTCCTTTTCGAGCCTAACATTGATCCCTAACCTCCTTGCTACGCTCAAACTCGAACTCGAACTTGAACTCGAACTTGAACTCGAACTTGAGCACTTGGTTGTTGGTCTTTGCCGTCGTTGAAGCAACAAGCCAGTCGAGCCAAGCCTGAACGTGTGAACGGCTATCTCGATCAACTCTGCTGAACTAGAAACGAATCGGCGATTCCAAGTGTCGCTCTAACATTCTTGAGTCTGAGCTTGCTTTCTTCTCGCGTCACTCGACCATGCCGGAAAGTGGGAGTGAGTTGCCAAGCGCGCGTGCGTGTGTCTCTCTCTCTCTCTCTTTCTTTGTCACCCCTCTTTTTCAGCTTCAGCTTGTGGATTCTCTCTAAAGTCACACCAAAAGCGTGAGAAAAAGCATTCAAATCCGGCTTTGACAATCATCGGATCACCCTATCATCGGATCACCCTATCATCGGATCACCCTATCTTGGCCATCTTGTTTGGCTATTATCACATCACATCGACTCAGCCATCGTGTTTGGCTATTATCACATCGACTCAGCCATTCGAGGTCGACTCTAATCGGGGAGAGAGAGAGAGAGAGAGAGAGAGGAGGGAAGAGAGGATAGCGTCAAGACCACAAACAACCACCACTACCATCATCCTAATCCCCCGCTTGTAAAGCGTTCATCCAGGATCTCGTTGACCTCCTCACCTCTCCACCTCCCCATCTCCCCTCTCCCCCATCTCCTCTCTCCCCCATCTCCCCTCTCCCCCATCTCCCCCACCTCCCGCTGCCATCATCATGTCGGACTCCAGCCTGAAATGACTTGTCCGCTCACACAACCAGGAGGCGGAGCCGCTCGATTTGGCTCGCCACCTCCGCTCCCGGACAATGTGCAGCGTCAGCTCGAGCGAGTTGGCTCACATCAGCTCGATGTCGATCTCTTCTCCGACCTGCTCCAAGCCGCCTGCGACTACCTCGATTCGGGCAAGGCGAAGCAATCCCACATCTTCTGCTCAATAGGCAGGCCTTGCGACTTTGATCTTGAGAGCTGCATGCTTCGTGTCTTCAGCTTTCGTGCCAAGGATCAGGTCGAGCGTTGGACTAGTCGTATCACCTCGGCCATCTACTCCAACTGCATCGAATGCTACAAAGGTTTTCTCCGAGCCAAGCACCATCTTCGCACCATCTACCTCTCGCAGTTTCCGCAAGACAAGCTCAACACCTTTTTCGCCTACGTCGACTCGGTCGAGGAGAAGCTCGCGCTCGATGTGCTCGAAAAGGCCAGACAAACACAAGGCGACCTCCTCCGAAAGCTCACTCGCCCAGAGATCTACGCCCTCCTCACACTGGCCGCATCGCCAAACGCAGCCAAGCTCAACCAAGCCCTCAAAGGCCTCATCAAGCTCGAACAGCTCCCCAACATTCAAGAGCTGCCCGCAGGTCTGTTGACGCTGTCCATCGACGATGACGCTACCCTTCGTGCTTTTGCAGCGAGACAGATGCTACTGCTTAGACCTCTGCCACCAGAGATGGCCGCTACATTCGTATTTGCACAAGCACTCGAACGCGTACAACGCCGATACTCGGATCAAGGCGCAGTGGCAGACTGGTCTTTGCTCTCTATTCTCCTCAATGCTGCTCCCACATCCGCACCAGCTCTGACCCCAACCATCCTCAGCCATGTCCACGACCGAGACGATCGCTTCTGCGACCTTCTCAAAGCTTACGCAGTCTTGCTCAAGTTGCGAGGTCCAGCGATATGGACCCAAAACACCTCCCACATAGCTCCTTCCGACAAAGACGACGAGTACCCTACAGTCATCCTCTCCGGCATTCTCGACAATCCATTCTTCACAAAGCCGCTCTTTGAGTCACAGCGTACCCTCTCCAATCCACGCGAGAAAGGTCTCTTGTTCGGCTGGATGCGTCTCCACCTTGACACACTCCGACCGCAAGGTGGCAAGCCCTTCCGCGAGGCTATCAAACGCATCGCCAACTTTCTCTTTGAACGCATGCAACAAGGTCATGTACCCAACGAGACTCGAGCCGTTGCTTTCGCAGAGGCCATCGACCTCGTTCTCAACCATGCGGATCAAGCCAACAGCAGGGATATCGTCAATCTCTACGCTGCTCCTATCGCTCGGACCGCTCTAGCCCAAGACAGCAAAGCCCAAGACAACAAAGCCCAAGACAGCAAAGCCCAAGACAGCAAAGCCGACGAGTCCACTCGACGCGCTGCACGAGATCTCATCGCGCAAGCCTTTGAAAGAGACGCGACCAACCTTGCGCAAGCTCTCGAAAAGCTGTCGGCGCTTTCGACTCGCAACAACCAAAAGTGGAAAGAGCGAACAAGAGCCCAGCGCGACTCCAAACCTGTCGTCTCCCTCGAGACCTTCTACGAGGACACAGCCCGCCAAGAATATCCTCTCGTTGAGATCTGCAGCGTATTGTGGAAAGAGGTGTACAACGTCACAGCATCTGGCTCTTCAAAGCAGGGCCTCAGCATTCTCCTCGGTGCTCTAGCCCGTATTGCGGTCTGCACACAGCCATCTTTGCAGACGCACACGCTCAAGCCACCTTCCACCACCGGCTCCAATGCTGCTTACGACGCCTATGTGACGCGTATGCGACAGTCGATAGCTAGCTTACTTGGCGCTTTCCGAGCTATGCGTCGTTCCGACTTTGCCGAGCGTCTCGCCGACTTTGGTGAGCTCACTGGCGAACAAGAGGTTCAGCAAGTCTGCACCGCCGACGCCTACAGTCTCTTGATGCTCAACTTGTGTCCAGACGCGGACGTCTACCGCCCCGCTCAGAACCTGCTTCGACAAGCCTTCAGCACGGTGGAGAGTCGTGCTGACTGTTTCCGCATCCTCTTCCAGATCAACCACACTTTGGCTCTTCGCGCTCTTGTCGACTATCTGCAGCTCTTCATCAATGCCATTACCAAGATGATCGAAGCCAACGAGCTAGCCAAGTGGATGGTGAGAAGTTTCGCCGACATTGTCAATGTGCTTGCTGGTAGCACCGACGGCCTCTTGCGTCCTGGCACTTGGTGGACACTCATCGAGGATCGCTCTACACTTCAAGCGGTGGCGCTCAAGGCTCCCGCTATCTGGCGCTCAATGTGCGACAGTGTAGCGGCCATCTTCAAACGTACTCCATCATGGTCGACACTGCTCCCCAGAGAGGAAATGGTGGCGTGGTTCCGTGATGTCACCATCTTTGCATCCGAGATGGTCGATGCCTTGGCAGTGTTCCGCAACGTTGTGCGTCGTGCTGCTGAAGCTCCGTCTCGATGGATTGGTGGCCAAGATGCAGACGCCCTTGAGTCGGCAGAGGACGAGACCATGGTGCAAGCGCTTGCTCTACCCGTCGAGTGCGCTACCAGCTGGCTTCGCATGAATGATGAAGACATTCTCCGCGAGACGCAGTCGTTCATCCTCAAGGCGCTTGACCAGTTCGGTGTCGAGTACGATTTTCCATCACGTTCCAAGACCAAGATGCTCACTTTTATCAACGAACAGATGGCTATCAAGGATGCAGCAGCTCGACATACCTTGCTGACACTTGACGAGTTGGCCGATCTCAAGGTTAGGCTCGACCCCGACGCCGGCATCATCGAGATTAGCGATGAGGATGATGAGACAACCAGCACTGCTTCGGACGTCAAGACAACTCAGTCTACGGCTACAACCTCGGTCTCCTTCTCCTCCTCCTCCTCCTCCTCCTCCTTCTCCTCCTCCTCGTCGTCGTCGTCGTCGTCATCCTCTCTGAAACGCACCGAGGATGCTTCATCAGCTTCCAAGTATTCATCTGGACCACGCACAACATCCTCATCTTCTGGTCGCGCTAAAGCTGAGCAAGACAACTCGCACTGGTGGGCTGGTGTCGGCAACTTTGGCATGCTCTCAAACAGTCAAGAGCAACGGCGCAAGAACAAGCTCAAGCAGTCCAAGCTCAGCTTTGCCAAAGTCGATCCCAACGACATTATCGATATCGACAAGGATGAACGCTCCGATGCGGGCACCACCAAGAAGCCCATCACGCTCGACTTTACCCGCCCCAAAGCTGCACCGTCCCCCTCGGCACCGATCAATGCCTACCGAGGCGCTTCATCGCGAGGCGTCTACTCGTCTTCATCGAGTGCGTCAGCGAGCTCGCGGGCGGGTATTACCAAGGGAAGCACTGGTAAGCTCGCTCAACTACGTCAAGAGCTGGGCAGCGGCTCTGGTCGCTCGTTCAAGCCACAGAATGCCAACGTGCGATCAGGCGAGGCTCGATGGGGTCGCAATCACGAAGACGACGTTACCGTCAGGGCACCCGCTGCTGTCAGCTCCGTGACTGGCGCGCTCATCAGCAAGATGCCGCCTCCTACGACGGAAGCTGCCAAGGCGGCCGCTGCGAGGAAAGCGGCAAGAGCCGAGAGCGAGAGTACAGCTTCCTCATCCTCCTCTTCCTCCGAGTCTAGCGATGAAGAGAGCGAGGCGAAAGGCCTGGCAGCGCTTCGTGCCAAGACGGATCGTCCACGTATTCCCAAGGTAGCTCAGCCACCGCAACGCAAGATGATCATCCGCGAGGACTATCATCTTGAGCGGGCTAAGCTTGAACGTGCTGATGCCGAACGCAAGCGTATCTTGCGTAGTCCGCCCGACTTTTCGGCACTCTATCGCAGCATTCTCTGTTGGAAGTACAACCATGAAGGCGATCGACCTCCAGCACAACCCGGTAAGGAACCCACCTATCGACACATCCAGCCGCACTTTGCTAATGCCAACGAGTATGGCCTTGTGCTTGGGCCTCTTCTGCTGCTGGAATGCTGGGCGCAGTTCCGTCAAGCCAAGGAGGAAGCCGACACCAACAATGAGCCCAGCATCCCTCTCGAAGTGGCTGGACGATCTACGGTCGACATGTTTGTCGATGTCAACGTCACCATTCCACCTGACGTGCTGCCACCGATGATCAACTACAACGATGCCGAAATTGTACGACTCAAGGAGAGGAGGCCAGCCATCTCGGGCAAGGAGGCCAAGATCATCTTGGCCAAAGTGCAGGTATTCAAGCGACATCCTCAAGGTCATCAGCTGACACTTCGATGCTGTTTGGCAGATGACCGTCAAGGTGTCAGCACCGCGCTGGTCAATCGATCCAAGTGGGAAGTCAAGAAGCTCTTTTCGCTCACTACGCTGCATCGAGAGTATGGCGCGCTCATGGTCGCTCCGCACTTTGATCTGTTTAGCGATGTCATCAAGGCACGTGTCGCACCCAAAGCGACGCTTGCAGCTGATGAGGTGCGCAAGGCGATGCAAGGGTATCAAGTCAACGAGCCGCAAGCGCGAGCCATTCTTGGCTCGTTGGCAACTGGAGGCTTCTCGCTCATCCAGGGTCCTCCAGGTACAGGTAAGACCAAGACCATCTGTGCCCTCATTGGCGCCTTTGTCTCTCGCCGGAAAGGTCCTTCGACGTCGGTGCAGGCTGGACAGGCGCAGGGCAAGGTCGGTGCGACGAAAAAGATCCTGTTGTGTGCACCGAGTAATGCAGCCATCGATGAGGTGGCGAAGCGTGCTCGAGCCGGCATTCGCCTACTGGATGGCAAAGTCATCCACCCCAAAGTCGTTCGTGTCGGACGTGAGGAGACGATCAATGTCAGTGTCAAGGACATCTCGCTCGAGTACCTCATCGAGCAGCGGCTGGAGGGAGGCAGTGCCTTCGATGCCAATCGTAACAGTGCCACTGCAGCCGACCCAAGCGCCTTGCATGCCGAGATCCACAAGCTCAAGATGCAACGAGAACAGAAGCAGGACGAACTGTCTCAGGCTCGAGGATCGGGTGATGGAGCATTGGCGACGCAACTCGAAGCCGAGATCCGTAACTTGTCCGCCAAGCGTCTGGGTATCATGTCGAAGCTCGATGAAGCCAAGGATAAGCAGCAGAGCCAGCATCGTCAGCGCGAAGCCGATCGTAGGCGAGCCAGGCTAGAGATCCTGGGCGACGCCGATGTGATCTGCACAACTTTGTCGGGTGCCGGTCACGAGATGCTCAGCGGTGTCGCCTTTGACTTTGAGACGGTTGTCATCGACGAGGCAGCACAGGCTGTCGAGTTGAGCACGATCATCCCGCTTCGATACGGATGCAAGCAGTGCATCATGGTCGGTGATCCGAATCAGTTGCCACCCACAGTCATTTCACAGCAAGCCGACAAGCTGGGCTATTCGCAGTCGCTGTTTGTGAGGATGTTTGAGCGTGCACCTCAAGCGGTGCATCTACTCAGCATTCAGTACCGTATGCATCCCGAGATCTCGGTCTTCCCTTCGAAAGCGTTCTACGACTCGAAGCTGCAAGATGGACCCGATATGGCCGAATTGACACGCCAGCCTTGGCATAAGTACGAGCTGACGCGACCGTTCAAGTTCTTGTCGACGAAAGCACCCGAGTCGCCTGGTCGCTTCCATTCGATCATCAACAAGGAGGAAGCCAACGTCGCTCTAGCTCTGTACGAGCGACTGCGAACCGACAATCCGCGAGAGAATTTTGACTATCGAATCGGTATCGTCACCATGTACAAGGCGCAGGTGTTTGAGCTCAAACGGACGTTCCAGCAACGCTATGGACAGGACATTGTCGAGCGCATCGACTTTAACACGGTCGATGGTTTCCAAGGTCAAGAAAAGGACATCATCATCTTGAGTTGTGTCCGTTCACTGCCCAAGCCGAGCAGCATTGGTTTCTTGAGCGATCGTCGACGTCTCAATGTCGCTGTCACCCGTGCCAAGAGCAACCTGTTTATCATTGGTAATGCTGAACATCTGCGTCGAGGCGATGCGATCTGGGAGAGCTTAGTAGCTGCGGCTGAACAGCGTGGAGCGGTGCAACCCATCACGGTAGCATTGCTGCAGAAGGGAATTCGCACTCTGGCCAACAACTTTGTTGCTATCGAGTCGAAGAAGCCAGCTACAGCTGCAAATTCTAGCACGACTCGATCGACTACAGCAAGACCTCTGCCTCGGCCTCCAAGTGGTCCACTGCCAGCTCTTCCTCCCGGACCTCCTCCAGGTTCACCTCCCGCTCGACCGCCGCCATCGACTGCTAGGCCGCCTGTGCAAAAGCCGGGCACTTTGTACGCACCTCCACCCGTCAATCAGGGCAATGGCGCCGCGAGGAAGCTCGTGCAGAGCCCAAATGGCGTGCCTCCTCGAGGGCCGCACAGTGACCCAAAGAAGCGCAAGTCGATCGTGGTCGACGACCCCAAGATGATCCCGAAGAAACCGCGTCTTTCAATTGAGGTCGACATTCCTGCAGGCAAGCCGCGTCCTCATTCGAATGCAGCTTCACCAGTCGGTCAAGGTTTGCGACCTGGTGCTGTCAATGGTCGACCCAATGGCGGCCAGAACGGCAATGGTGCGATGCGTCCTCCTCGAACAACAGATAATCCCAGCAACGACCTACCAGCGGGAAAGCTTCGAGTATCGCCTATGCAGCAGCAGCAACAGCAACAGCAACAACAACAACAACAACAGCAACAACAACAACAACAACAACAACAACAACGACAGCAACAGCAAGTTCAAGCTGGAATCCCCAACAAGCGGCCGGTCACTCCTCATGGTGCTAGCCCCAAAGAGCGCGTGCCGATCGGTGTGCCTAATAGGAATGGAGTAGCTCATGGAAGTCCACGTGGATTGGCTGCGCTGTCTCGCCGACCTGCCAGTCCACCGAAGCCCTCGAACGCTGCTCTCGACGCCTTGTTTGTCAAGAAGCGCAAGTGATGCAACAGTCTCGCCTCGTACTCACCGCGGATCTCTGGCACCTCTTCAGGATTCTGCCTTACATGCTCAACTTCCTCCTTGACAATTTATTGCAATGCATCTCGCCGCGTCGTCGCATTAGGACTCCCCCTTGCCAGCATCCTCACATTTGTATTCTAGCATTTCAAAAGCGATTATCGGTCGGATCATTCCATCCTTGCATGCCTCCTTGTATCGGTGCGTCGTCTCAGGGTGCGCTCCGTTAGAGAGCGGATGTAAATGTAGCGATCGTGAGTGTGAAAGTCAGTTGCGACTGGGCTGGTGTAGAATTTGTGGTGGTCAAGTTGGTGTTGCCTTGGAAGAAGAAAAGTCGAAGTCACTTAGCCTCTACCCTAAACAACCCTAAACCTGTAAGGGTTCCAGCACCTAGTGCGATGAATCAGGACAAACCGAGGTTATACGAGAACATGTTGCTTTCGTTCTGAAAGACGATCAGATTGGCTTGAGCGCTCTTTCCGTTCTTTCCGCTCCTTGCCGCTCCTTGCCGCCTACGCGATCATCGCGGTGCTCGCCACCATAAGAGCCGTTTTGCATCTCGCGATGTATCGCAGGCGAGTCTTCTCTTCTAGCTCTTCTCAACCTCACTCTTAATCGCACAGCATTGCGACAAGAATGTAGAGGGTAGGAGTGGTTATGAGGAACTTGAATTGGTTTGGGGCAAAGAGTTGTGAAAACGGTTCACTTGTTTACTAAGCTAGTCGAAACAAAGATCAGAAAGCCGAGATAAACAGCAGCAGCAGCAGCAGCAGGAGGAGGAGGAGGAGGAGGAGGAGGGAATACTGCACATCTGCCTCTGCAAAGCAAGTGCATCTCAAGTTGCAACCACTGCAGACACAGGATATAGTCGAAAGCTGCCATCAAAGCGAAGCGCAAGTTCCTCTCAAGTCGATTTTCAAGCCAATTGGCAGAGACGAAAGTTTGCACACCTTAGCGACAATCGTTTGCATCACCACGAACCTGTTGCATATGAAGCACCAGTGTTGAATAGAACCACGATAAGTACGAGTCGACTTCAGTACGTGCCACTTGTGATACAATGCCCATGCCAAACAGGATTTGATTTGAAAACTGCACAGAAACAAACAACAGAGCTTTACACGGACACCAAAAGAAACACCAACACTCTACACGAAGCGTGGCGAATGTACAATTTATGGAGGATAACAAGGCAAAACAAAGGAAGCTCAAGGTATACGAGTAGAAAGTGGGAGTTAGATAGGAGGAATAAAGTCAGAGATGCGATCCCTAGCATTCTGAGCAATACATTCTGCGATCCAAGTGATGCTTCTAATCTCCTGTTCCTTGAGTTTCAACCATGCGTAAAAGATACCAAACTGAAACTGCGTAATGGTGAGCATCCTATTGAGATGAACCTCCAACTTGAACATTTTATCTTCCAACATATCTGCGTTTGCCTCTACAGCTCCGTTGGCTGCTGCGCCACCACTTTGAGTGGAGCTATCGAAGAAAGAACGGTATTCAGGAATAGCATCGCAAACGCTCTTGACCTGATCCAATTCGTCTGCTTTAGCTAAAATGTTATTCCCCGCTGGAAACAACTTTCCAATACTGGGAAACAACCTTGCTCTATCCTCCTTACCAAGGCTCGTACCGAAAGAGTTGATAGTGATATTGATCGTTCTACGATCGGCTTCGAAGCTCAACAACTGAGACATGGTCTCCTTTGTCGTTGGGCCTAAGCTCTGGCAAAAGGAGTAAAAATCTTCGAGGTAGGCCTTGTAAAGAGTGTTTCGAATGATTTCGATGTTCAAATCATCCAGATCTGAAGCCGAAATACAATCGCGGAAATACGGCGCCAAAGGTGTTTCGACCAAGACCGAGTTGTACAACTCCTCCACAGTGGTAGCTACACACAGTGCAGGCATTGTATCGAATAAGCCGAGTGGATGGCATCTTTGCAAGAGTTCGTGCGTGTCACGTTGATGAAGTGTACCGGTAATAAGAAGGATGACATTGTCGATCATATACGCATACGTCATATAATCGAGGAACTTGGAAAGAGGCTGAACAGCATTAGTCCTAAGATATTCGAATTCCGAGACGAGTTTCCGTGTCGCTTTGTCGGCAATGGTCGAGGTGGAAATAGGCCAAGGTTCGTTTTGAAGGAAATTGCCGTAGTCTGTTGCTGAAAGTTGCATTTTGAAATCATCAAGCGTTTCACATTGAGTCAAAGACTGATAGTGATTTGAAGCGAGAAGAGATGTACAGTAACCACGAACTACTCCTTCGAGAAAGCCATGGTCGACATTGAACGAGATCATTTCCATGCTGTGCGACGATAACTGCAGCGATCCAAAGCTGGCTTTGTGGCAGTTGCTCAGTCGGCCGTATCGGATCGAGTGCCGCGCGATGGGAGAAGCCAAGACTGTACCAGTGTAGTCGGCTACTTTAACAAAGATGGCAACAACGACGGTGTCAATGAGCGTCGATGGTGGTGGATGCGATTGATGGTCAAGGTGAGATGCCAACTTGTTGGAATTGCGTTGCCTTGCTGACATTCCCGACATTCCCAACTCGCACTCTCTCAGTCTTTGCTCCAAGCCCCCCCCAAAAAAAGCGGCCCGTGCGCAGTTCCAAAGCCAGGCAGCACACGCAGGGGCAACACGCAGCACAGCACAGCACAGCACAGCACACCATCCCCTGCGTCACGTGCAACTTGGGTCAAATCTAACAGACTGAATTGTAATTCGATAGGCGCGGCGATACGCTCGATACGCTCGATACGCGCTGCGCCTGACTCTGACGACTGACAAGCAAGTGGCAGACTGGAATTATGTTCCAGACAGCCTGTCTGAACACGCGTCAGAAGTCCCTTACGGACCCCTTTGATTCTCTCGCATGAATCCCCACTACCTTTTGTTTGCCATCACTTCCCTTTGATCACCATCGCTCCCCTTTGTACTTAGGAGTGCCCTTCAGGCACTCAGCAGAACACAGTCAGGCATGTAAGGTATATATAGAGAGGATTCACATTCCCCCTTCACTTCTTAATCCAAGCTTCCCTTCTAACGTACTTGAAGGCCCTAGGAAACACTTTATCGATAAAGTGGTTGCTACCCCTGGTGTGTAGTTATCTCTTTTCGTACACCCCCCATCTTCTCTACCTCTACCCTACGACATGTCAGCCCCCCTCCAGCTCCTGGCGCCACTGCCGACGCTCGAGAGCCTTGCAGCCCACACCTCCCAGTTGTCGGCCGAAATGCGATCGTTCTTCGTCTCCTATGAAGAAGAGAAGATCACCAAGGAGACTGTTCTTGGTAAGTTTAGTGCTTTGGACGTTACCCTCACTGCACTCAAGAACCAGATCACCGAACTGTCCAGGCTCCATCTGCAGTTCAACCTGTTCAAAGCCACGAATGATGTAGAGTTTGCAAAGGTCAAGACTGTGATGCAGAACAGCCTTGACAGTCTCTCTGATAGCATCAAAGCTCTGGGCAACGAGACGAAGCTGTCGATCGATGAGATCAATGGTAAGCTGGGCGCTTTCCCCACCCAGTTCACCCAGGCCATCGACGACTGTTTTGCTCAGCTCTCCCAACAGAATGAGCGACGCACGCATGAGATCGTCCAAGAGTATGCTGTCCCTCAGCAGCCCGCTGAGGGTCTGCTCCCCTCTGATGAAGTGATGCCCTCGCCGGCCAAGCAAGAGACCTCTGTCACCGACACACAGGATGCTGGAGATGTCAGCCTAGCCCAAGTGATCGAAGACAAGATCGACTGGTCTGAGGATCTCAATGATGCCACCAATGACCATGAGATCTTCAATGCCTCCAAGGATGCCCGCATCCCCAAGTTCCGCCCCTACAATGACTCCACCGAGGAGACTGCTGGTGAATGGCTTCAGGATTTCGTGGAAGTACTGGTTGACAGCCGAGTTAGCAAGAGCAGGTGGCCAGTTGCCATCTCTAGCTGTCTCGAGGGTTCCCCAATTGGGTGGTGGCATGCCTTCAGGAAGAAATATTCCTCCTTTTCTTGGACCCTTTATCGGCAAGCCTTCCTGGAGGCTCACGAAGAACGGAACCCAGCCTTCACAGCAAGACGCAAGATCAAGGCGCTTGTTTTCAAGGACATGGACAGCTATATCAAGAATTTCCGTAAGCTCGTGTTACTCACTCCACCAGGCAGCTTCACGGACTCCGAGTGGGTCGATCGTTTCTGCGAGAAGCTCCCCTCTAGGTACTGTGACCTCGTCCATGATATCCAACGGAAGAACATTGTCGACAACTTTGAGGAGGTTGTGCAAGAGGCTTGTAACTTCAAGAACGGCAACGTGGCTGTGCAGAGTCAGTTCGCTGACCACACAACCAAGGACTCTTCTGGTAGACAGTCTACCCACTTCAATGTGTGGAAGAAGGTGGAGCGCAGGCCTATGTCACTCCATGCCACTTCCCACAAGTCCACCAGGAACAGTCACCTGAAGAGCGCTCGCCGATCTGAGCCAAGGAAGCACACACCCACCCTTCCTGCTCCAGTTGCGGACGAGAACACCAAGTGCTATCACTGTCATAAGCTTGGTCATTTCTCCCGCGACTGTCCACAGAGGACCAAGCGTGCCGGCATGCATACCCTGCATATGGTGTCCAGGGTTGATCATCTGCCAAAGATCAACGTCCATCTTCCCGATGGTTTACGAGTGTTCATGCTTGCGGACACCGGCGCCTCCCACAACTATGTTGCTGGAGACTTCCTCGAGTTCCTGCAAAAGAATGGTACCCATATCACAGAGCGTAAATGCAGTTTGGAGGTCATCCAGACCACCTCCAGCGAGATTACGACCGCTTCGAAGTTGGTCACACTCCCATTGATCATTGCTGGACAACGGGTAATGCTCGAGGCATTCGCCCTTGACCTCCATGAAGGCTGCGACTTCAGTCTCATTGCAGGATTACCCTTCCTGTGAAAGACCCGAGCCGAATTCGTCTGGCATGACGACGAGCCTGCCCTCGGGTTGAAATTGCTGATCAATGGACATGTGGTACAGGTCAGCTGTGATATGAGTACTGAGGATTCGGCTACAAAACTAATTAGCATACTCGAGACACAGGCACCTCCTCAGTTTGAGTCTAATCTCAGCGATTGGACGTCAAGCCTCGCTAAGTGATTCCCAACCTTATTCTCCGGTAAATTAAACTCGGACCCATCAAAAAGGGCCAAGATCGAACACGAGTTCGACCTCACTGACTTGCGTCCGATCCGACAGCCCCCACGTCGTCGCTCACCTGCAGAAGACTGTGTGATCCATGATTTCATTAATGAAAGTCTGGAGAATGGCACTATTCGACATAGTTCTTCCGCCTGGTCTTCCCCAGTGCACATTGTACCCAAACCGGATGGTAAGAAGCACGTCATGATCAACTATTGTGCCCTCAATCGAGTTACCCGCTGGGACGCCTACCCAATCCCTCATGTGGATGACCCGTTGAACCTGCTGGCTGGAAGCCGCTACTTCACCAGTTTGGATTTCCTGAATGGGTTCTGGCAGATCCCAATGAAGGAAAGTCACAAGGGCGTGACAGCCTTCTCCTGCCAGTATGGCCACTTCGAATGGAATGTCATGCCCATGGGTCTTACAAATGTGCCTGCCATGTTCCAGCGAGCAATGAACGACGTTCTGGCCGACTTCATTGACCAGTGTTGCATAGTGTACCTGGATGACATCACAGTATTCTCCCCTGACCTAGAGACACACAAAAAGGACATCGACAAGGTTTGTGCTGCCCTCAAGGCTGCTGGATTCGTCTTGTCACTCCACAAGTGTCACTTCGCAAAGGAGGAGATTAAGATGTTGGGTCACATCATCAACAGCGGTAAGACCATAATGCCGAATCCAGCTAAAGTTGAGGCAATTACCACCTGGCCGTTCCCGGCCGACATCACAAGCATCTGAGGATTCCTCAATGTGTGTGGATATTACCGACGTTTTATTGAAGGATTTGCTGGGATCGCTGACCCACTCTACAAGCTGACCGAGGGAAGTCCCCAGAAGGGAGCAGCGATTGACATGACAGAGCCTCGAAAGTGTGCATTCAATGAGCTCAAAGCGGCAGTACAGAATATGGTTCTGGGTCTTCCCCAACTCGACAGGCGTTACTACGTCGAGTCGGATGCATCTGACACTGCCATCGGTGCAGTTCTATCTCAAGTTCGTCGCAATTGGCAGGGCCGACAGTTCAACGACTGGGAACTACCCCCCAAGTCCGCTCTGCAGCCAGTCGCCTTCTTCTCCAAGCGTCTATCCAAGATGGAGAGGAACTACTCTGCCAGGGAGCAAGAGCTTCTTGGTGGCATTGCCAGCATGACTCATTTCTGCTGCTACATCGATGGAGCTCCTGGCGGTTTCACTTGGATAACAGACCACAAAGGAATCGTCTATTTTTGCACCCAACGTGAGCTAACTCCACACGAGTACCGCTACCTCGATCGTATCGAGCAATATGATCCCCACATCATCTATCGAAAGGGTGAGGAAAACATAGTGGCAGATGCCCTAAGCCGACGACCCGGTTTGGCCGACAATGATGAACCCAGCAATGACTTAAAGCAGGTTTTGGTCACTAGAAGAAGACCTGCTCTCATCGGCCCTCCCGGACCTACCACTCTCGAGAGGCTCACTGCCGATGTGTCCGACGGCGAGCTCGCTATCAAACCTGGTATGGCGGAAGCAGTCACTGAGAGCATAGCTTGCGAGGGTCATTCCACCTGGCTCTCCATCGAACAGAAGGCGCTGTCCATTGCAGAGACAGCTGTCAGAAACTCAGTCTCTGCTGAGGAAGCTCTGCCCAGTGTGGACATGGGCGGGCTCGATGATGGCAACGTAGCCAAGGCATTACAAAAAGCAGAGCACTGGGTGCTACAGTTGTTTGTCGAAGATGGCTGTCTATTCTGTCTCAACAAGCTGGGCTCTCGGGTAACTGTCATCACCTCATTTGAGAGAGCTTGCTCTCTGACCAAGGCCTTACACAACGAGGGAGGACACCGGAAGCAAAGTGCTCTCAAGAATCTGGTTACAGATCGATACACCTTCCCAGCCATGCTTGCCATCTGCGGAGCAGTGGCACACTTATGCATCGAATGTCAGATCGCGGCGAATCCGGGGAGGAGCTATGGTCCCCTCCATCCCTTACCTAGGATGGATGCTTTCGAACGATGGGGGCTGGATTTTCTGTCCCTGCCTGGCTTAAGGTTGGGCAACACGAAGCTCATCACTGTGATCGACTACTGTACAGGTCAAGCACATGCCTTCCCCACCAAGAACGAGAATACTGCTGATGCACTGCGCATGATGGAAAATCTGATCCACAGGTATGGAAAACCATCATCCGTCATATGCGACAACGGCTCGGCATGGATATCCTTCGGATTCTGCGATTACATGTGTTCTCTGGGCATCAGGATCATTTACATCTCCCCATACCACCCACAGACCAATGGCAAGGTCGAGCGATTCAACGGTATCCTCCTCAATGCCCTCAAGTGATATGGTGCTCAACACCAACTCAATTGGGATGACCCCAAGCTCCTCAACCAAGTCTTGTTTGGATACCGTGCCACCAGGTCGGAAATGACCAGCGAGTCTCCCTTCTTCATGATGTATGGCCGCCACCCTCGTTTCTGGTTCCAGGCAACCGACAATGCCTCAGACGCCCTGAACACTTCTCGGAACCACGAGTTAGAGGCTCAGTTAGTAAGGGCAAGACATTTCGACAAGTTCCGAACTGCCGCCAACATCAGAGCTCGCCAGATCATGGAACGACGAGCCCTCCTTCGTGAAAGGTCCCATCCAGACTGGCCAGAGATCGCTGTGGGGGATATCATCCTAGCAAGGAATCGTCTGGAAAGAGCAGGCAAGTATGACCCTCCCTGGAGCAGTCCTTATCTGGTATCGAGCATCTCTGTCGAGGGGGTGGCCAAGCTTGTCTCCCGTCAAGGTCGAACGCTCAAGTCAACCATCAATGTCTTGGATCTCAAGCTTGCCCATGGTCCCAGCGCCGACCGGTCTCATTGGTTCCCTCGACCACCTCCTCAGCAGAGCTCCTTCATCAGCGAGGCCGACCTTCGTCGCTGGGATGCCATGGAAGCGGGGGATATGCAGTCACCATCCAATGAAGGCGATCCTCCCGCATCTCCGCCACTGCAGATGACGACAATGCCTCCTCCAAGCAGCTTGACCCGCCAGCAGAATCCCCAGCCCACAGCCAGAGCAATGATGACGACTCCGGCTCCAGGGGAAAGGGCAAGCAGCGAGCGAGATCCCCCAACACTGACCCTGAACGACTACCGTCGTCTAGCAGGAATACCGCTCAGGCACAGTTGCACCTCCTGACCCCCAACTGCAGAGGATTCGCGAGGAGCAAGTCCTACCACCAGTTCGAGTCATCAGACTCTGGACTAATTCCCATTCAGGAAGACGATTGGGATGCATCATTGGCAGCAGTGATGCAGGTCTCTCATCTCCAACAGGAGTTGTTCGACAGAGAGGGGGATGGGAACAACGGTGATCCTGGCCCCTCCACCCATGCCACAGCTGAGCCACTCGACCCCACCTGCTACAGCTGTGGTGAGCCAGGCCATGCATTGCGAGACTGTCCCGCCTTGTCTACAAGTGCTTCTCGTACTGCAGCCTGGAAAGCTCCAGTGCTTGAGCCCAGCAAGCATCCAGGCACAAACCTGCTGATCAGAAGAGAGGAGATCGACAGGGTGATGGTACATATGTTGGTCCAAAACAGCTTGGCAAGGCATGCTCTGAAGTCATGAAGGAACTGCGCTGGCAAGCAACCGAAGTGCACCGCCGGTCTCAACAGCAATCAGCTGCTTACAAGGCCTACAACAAAATGTGGAAGAGGTTGCGTGTCACTTGCACTTACCGGAGACAGTACCAAGAGGAGCTCAAGCAACTGAATTTCCTCACTGGTGGAGCCGTTTGGCAGGACCGCAACCAACAGTTCAAGGCACGCTTCACCCCTGAAGCATATCGAGAGTACAAGCTAGCTGTGGCGCACAGGCACCGCGCAACCAAGACGGTAGAAGAGCTTCAGGCACGGCGTCGTAGGTACCACATTCGAGAACAAGAGGCGCGGGCCTCCGATCCTGACCATTACAAAGCGCTAGGAAAGGAAAAGTGGCAATGCCTTTTAGAGCAACAGAAAGCCGATGAGGAACTTAACGAGAAGATCAAGATGAGAGCAAGGGCGAACAGTCGCTGTTATCAGAAGAGGCACAAGGAAGAGCTGCGTGCTAGGAAACAAGCTAAGTATCAGGAGCAGAAGAAAGATCCTGCTTTCCTAGAAAGGAGGAGGCAAATGGAGCACGAGTGGCATCGGAAGAAGGTTGAAGCTGCTGGTAAGACCTATAGGCCAATCGCCAGGACCAAGGCTAAGGCTCTATCCGAACCACCCCCTCTTGCACCTTCTACACTGCCTTCCCCTGACTGCAGTGGCTCAGATACTCGCTCATCCGACGAAAGGGAGCCCCCTCCCTCGCAACAGACAGCAGCACCCTCCTCCAACCTCTCCAACATTCCCAACTCAAAGAATGACGAAGACGACGATAGCGATCATGACACCACACCCTTCTGGAGAACTCGGCGTTGTTGCAAGTGTTGAGACTCTTAAAGACAGTTCGAGGTCGTACTGTCTCGAGTGGGGGATGGTGTTCCAGACAGCCTGTCTGAACACGCGTCAGAAGTCCCTTACGGACCCCTTTGATTCTCTCACATGAATCCCCACTACCTTTTGTTTGCCATCACTTCCCTTTGATCACCATCACTCCCCTTTGTACTTAGGAGCACCCTTCAGGCACTCAGCAGAACACAGTCAGGCATGTAAGGTATATATAGAGAGGATTCACATTCCCCCTTCACTTCTTAATCCAAGCTTCCCTTCTAACGTACTTGAAGGCCCTAGGAAACAATTATAAGATACGCTGTGAATTGTGTATATCATTGCAAACAAGCATACAGAAGGGTTCTTGGATTGAATCTAGGCAATCTTGGCATCCTCAGCAACGATACCTTCAGCAGGCCAGAGCCAGCCAAACTTATCTTCCTGGTCACCGCACTGGTAGGAAGTCACTGTATCAGCAAACAGGCGTACAAGAGAAAGGTCAGCTTGCATACTTGTCCAGAGGCGAAATCAGTCGAGGTGGCAGATAGAACACTTACACTCGTCAAAAAGACGCTGCGAACACTCGCCGGCAGACTTGCCATCGCCAAAGTCGATGCGAACTACCTTGTTCTCTGCAGGGAGCGTGTACTTGGGACCCTCTTTGGAGAGCTTTTCGTGTTGCAATTGAGGCTTGTGAGAGTTGTACGACATGCAACGTACCGGTGTGATGCCCTGCAAGTTGTCAAGAATAGGAGCAAAGCGTGTCAGTAAGTCAATCAAACGCAAATCTCATCCATCAAGAAGAGGAGCATCTCACTCACCGCCGCAGTACCAGCAGCCATAAACTCGACAAACTTGTTCTGCTTGAGCTCCTCAAACGCAACCTGTCGCAGCTCGACCTTCCAACCGCAAAGCTTTTCTGCAATCTCGACAACGCTAACCTTGGTCACCGAACGAAGAATGGATGTGCTCTCGGGAACAACGAGTGTAGTCTTGTCGCCCTCCTTCTGAATGGCAAGTGCGTTTGAAGTGGAAAACTCGTCGATGTTGGTGTGCGTAGCCGAGTCAAGATGAAGCGTAATAGGGTAGCCCTGCTTCTTTGCTTGTGCTGTAGGGCCAAAGACGGGTGCATAATTACCACCGAGCTTGGTGTGTCCTGTGCCCATAGGTGCGCTTCGGTCGAACGTGTCCAAAACAAAGCCATCAACCGCGGCAATCTCGCCACCACTACCGTAAAGCGATCCAACAGGAGTGACCCAAACAAGAAAAGTAAACTCCTCAGGAGCACCCAGCATGAGCATAGGTCCCGTAGCGATCAGAAGAGGTCGAATGTAAAGAGCCCCCCCAGAAGCGTTCTTCTTGTAAGGGGGAACATATTCAAGATTGAGCGCAACAGCCACCTTGATAGCTTCCAAAAACAGCTCCTCGGGAAGTTCGGGCATGGATGCCATTCGAGCACTGAGGTTCATTCGAGACCAGTTCTCCTGAGGACGAAAGACCTTGACCGATCCATTGGCGCTACGGAAAGCCTTGATACCTTCGAAAGCCTGTTGGCCGTAATTGAGACAGGGAGCAGCGGCGTGAATATTGAGATGGTGATCCTTGCTGATCTCAAGATTGGCCCATTTGCCATCTTTGTACCTTACGCGAACGAGACCGTTGACATCGCGCTCCTTGAATCCGAGTTTCTCCCAATCCATCCAAGATGATGGCGCTGTTGCAATCCTGGCTTGAGATGTCGACATGTTGACGTGTTGACCCTAAGATCCGTGTGTCTTTAAGGCAAAGGCAGTGGAAGCGCAGAGGCAGTGGAAACGCAGAGGGGACATTTGATTCGGATGGTCCGATGTGACTTCAGAAGAAGCTCAATGACTCGAATGTGCACTTTGATAAAATCACAGTGCCAGGGCCAATTCACCAACGCATGTTAGTTTTGGCGTCTTAACATTTCTAGAAAAAAACAACAAAAAAACAACAACAAAAACGCACAGACCAACTGCGGAGAATTTCAGGGTTTTGGTTTGTACTTGTTCCTCCTTCTTGACCATCGACTACATCATCCGTCTTGCCTTACCTTCCCACTCCCTGGCTGTCGCTACCATGTCGCACCAGGCAGCCGCATTGGCGTCGCTCTTCTCAAAGGCTCGTCTAACGCTCAAGGCTCCCTCAGCCTCCAAATCCCTCTTCAGATCGGTCGTCTACTTTGATCAAGTTCTCAACGTCGAGGCTATCTTGACTCTTCCCTCCCACCCCCTTCTTCCCATCGAATCAAGCTCAACACACGAGGCGCCATTCGTCCAACCACTTCCTCTTTCTGCGCTTTCAGCCCGCGCTCAGTTAGGCCAGCAGAACATCCCTCCCTACCTCAACGCTCTTCTTGCTTGCCTCCACGTCAATCTCTATACCGACTATGTGCCTCCCCCAACACCATCTTCGCAAGTACCATCCAGGCCAACAAACCCATACGAACCGCTCTCCACAGTGCAGCTACAATTCGAGCACCTTCAACTCCTACCATCACATGCACAACCCTCAGATCCAGCTCATGCACAGCATGCTGCCGTTCGCGCATTCTCCAACTCGTGGGCAGGGAATCAACCTCCCAAACCGCATCGCACCTTGAAAGACTCTGCAGACTCTTCCAGCTCGCCCTTATCGACTTTGTCTTCTCATCATGCCCATCTGACGCATGACGGACAACACTGGAGAGTGCATTGGCACTGTCGTGTCCCCATCAACTTTATCGCCACACCCTTTTCCCCCTTGCTGTCCATCACAGCTGCCCTCACACTCCGACTCGACGATGCCCTTCTAGATCAATATATACCCAACTCATCATCTCGCAGTTCCATTCGATCTGGATTTGCGCATTCGCTCTTGGCTCCGCTGCACGAAGGACCAGTCTATCCAGATGAATCCCCACTTCAAAGCCAGGCACGAGCCAATGCTTCTTCCGCACTCGGTCTCGACGGTCCCAACGGCCTAGGGTCTTACCTCGCACACCTCCCCAGAGACGTGGTTGGAGGCAACAACGCTGTCGTCACTCCTCGCTCCGGTGCTCAGGCTCTCAGTACCATTCAGCAGCGCAGAAACGATGCTCTCTCCGTCGACACCCAGCATCGACGGCAGTTCCCCAAGCCGGACAGCAACGGCGATCTTGCTGTACTCTCCCCGCGTTCAGCGTCTGGCTCCATCCTCACCACCTCCGCTTCTTCTCAGGGCACTAGTCGATCCTCTGCTCTCGGTCTCCAGTCCGAGAACTACTCATCAGGGCTACAGATCTACAAGCGCAGCACAAGAGAAGTTTTGCCGCTGAAAACAGGTCTCAACGTTCGCATGCGTACGCTCGTCACCCAACACGACCCATTCATCTACCGTCGACCATCCTCACACCAGTCTCTAGCACAGCTGGAAAGTAGTCGACTCGTGCTCAGTGTCGAGCTCGAGAACCCGTTCGAATCCGACTCCACATTCACGCTCAAGGATATCCAGATCAAGATCGATCCTACTTGCGCCAATGATCAACAAGACGCACACAATGTCGTGGTGAAAGCGCTAGAGCCCATGTCGTCGGCGTTGCCAATCGAATTGACTCGCGGTAGCCAGCAGAATTTGCTGTTCTACGTATATGTTGACTCGCATCACACCCTGCATACTCAATCTGCTTCCAGTGTTGGTGGTGGTGTTGATAGCAGTACAAGTGCAAGGAATCTTACCATTACAGTCTCCGCTCAGCCTCGTCGTCGTCTGGACAAACAAGTGCTGGCCGACTTTGACTCGCAGTGGAATTGCGCTCTTGATCTTGCACCTGTATGGTCGGATGCTGCTAAGAAGAGCTTTATTGCTAGTGGGTCCAGATTGGCTTCAACAGCAATGAATGTGGCAGTGAGCCAAGGTCCAGTGGCAGGAAATAAGCTGTATTCTGCCTCTGCGCTAAGGTCGGCTGTACGCCAGCTTGATAATCGCAACACTTACCAGCAGGCGGGAGGAAGGGGAGGGGACCGTGTTGAAGATATACGAACTCCTCGACCAGGACAGTTGGGTATGGGTTTCCCTCCACCCATGAGGACTAGCTCGGAGCAGGATGATGATGAATTCCTGCAAAAGGCTAAAGCGAGAGCTGCATCTCACCAGTCCCTTTCGACTCGCCTCAACAACAAGGACACAGTAGAAAGGCAAATCAAACCATGGATGGGCAGCTCATCTTGCACCCTCTCCCCTTCTGCTGCGACAAGAGGCGCTCTGATTATCCTCTCAACCCTTCGTCGAGCCGATTCCCCACCAAACACCCACAAGCCAGGCCAGCTTGCAGGAATCACACTGGAATCGAGGCCAACTCTGGGGGAAGAGCAAGTTGCGCTCGCATCTGTCTCTACCGATGCCAAGGTGCTGGATCCTGTTTGCATCGGTCCGCCCTGCGTTGCCATTGGTGCTGCGCATGATGGAAGAGGGGGAGTAAGTGTGCAAACGGGAGACACTATTGTTGTGCATCTCACGCTACTACACAAAGCTTTGCCTACAGAGGCAATCCGCAATATCGTCTTCTCCTGGTCCACTCCTTCCCACCACCACACAGAACCGACTACAAGAACCAACAGAGATCCAATAGACACAGACACCCTTCTGACAAAAACAAAATTCATCGACACACACACAACGCCCCTCCAACCCTCGCTCAGTTCTAGACAGCCAGAGAATAGAAAGAATCTCATTGCACTGCAAGACCATCTTGCACTACACGAGGTACTGTCCTCCGGTCAATGCAGTAAAGTCGCACTAGCACTCAGATGTCTTTACCCCGGTTACCATACTCTACCTTCGCTCAAGATAAGCTTGCAAGTAGATACGGGAACGAACGAAGCACAGGAGGTCATCTTCTTCTTGCAAAGTCTAGGCGCCGTCTTCGTTGGTCCTGCTGCTGGCTTGTGAATTGCAATGCAGTTGATTCTTCTCACTCCACTGTCAACAGTTCTCACAGCACTTGGACAATTATTCTCACCACAGCCGCAAGGTATTTTCTGGTAAGCTCTCACAATCACACAAACCCGTCTAAAACACAAGGACAAACACATGGCAATCAAAGCTCGCAATCACAAAACAATGCAAAGCGTTCATAAACATTAAGCAAGCTGACACAAAGCCTCAATCAACTGCTCCACGATCTCCCTCCCAACTGGCAGTGCTTCCATCTCGGAATTAGGCCCTTGGACAACCTTGTCCCTCTGCTTGCTATCGAGTCTTCCGTCGACAAACATCTGCAGAATATTGGCATCTAAGAATCCAGCGGGCGCCTGAACACGATGATCTGTCCTAAGCGTTCGCCAGTCTTGATGCGATATGCTAGTCACCACCGACGACGAATTCGAGGTGGAGATGGAAGAAGACAATTCTATGAGCGAGAGAATATTACGTTCGACTTTCGCAAGTAGACGAGCTTGTTCCTCTTGCACATGTGCAATAACGCCGATTGCTCCAGCAGCTGTACAGAATAGCAATCGAGGATGCACTTCTGCCGCTGTTCCAGGATCCGCAACGAGCGACTTTCGGTAAAACTTGTTGATCATATCACCGTAATGCCAAACAGCGTTGCGCTGCATCACGTGTGCGTATCGATCCACTTGATTCGGATCGCGTGTAGTAAGTCGATTGACCTCTCCTACCGAACGCTCTATCTCTCGTTCCCTAGTTCGACGAATGCGAGCTTTAACTTGCTCACTCAACGGCACTCTCTGCGTCGTGTACAGGTTGAAACTAATATCCGCACCAATGTAGGTCTGACTCGCCTCGTCCAACAACTCAGTCGCACTGGTCCAGAACGGATCGCAGTCCCTTGCGATCTCAGTCAACCTGGCCGTATATGGATGTACATGGAGAACGTTGATCGATCGCAACGCATCACCGACGACAATCTGATCCGGTTCCACAACCGAGAGGTTGCACGCGATGAATGAGCATGCCCAACTGCCTCGCTGAACCACATTGATGCGTGGAGCGCTAACCTCGTCGCTGGCTCTTGGATCTACAACACTGTAGATCTTGACTTCAGAATTGACAGCGGTCGCAAGTCGATTATTGATGGATTGTACGCTGTACACGTTGCCTGCCTGCTCCTTCACAAACAGCTTACGGAGACGACCACGCTCCTCTTTCCCTCGAATCGATCCAGCAGAGACGTCAAAGCCAAGGAGGCGCCCGGAAATGACCTCATGTTCGCCATCAGAGATATAACCAGTGCCGACGACGAGCATCTCGTGACCTTGAGCGCGCAACACGGTAATGCAGTTCGGTCGCTCGTCCACCTCCAAACGAAACTCATCCAACGTCTCGAACGTGGATTGGTCGAGGATGCGAATTGCACCTCTTGACTTGGACGCCTTGGTCGCAGAGCCTCGAGGCAGGAAAGCCCACGTGCAGACGGCAAAGACCTTTCGATTAGGCCACTGAGCAATGGCAAGCGGCTGGTCAAGACCAAGAGGGAATGTTCTGATGTCTCGCTGTCGCAAGGCACCAATCGAAGCCAATTCCACCGATTCAGCAAGAGCAAAAGCACCCAGCACACGTCCTGGTCCAACATGGAGCATCGTCACGCTTCGCTGACTCTTGTGCTTGAGCGCGTTGTACGAGAAACGCTTGGAGTCAGCGTACACCAACGTCGGCCGACTTCCAGAAACGGCGACAACACGCGCACCCGCCCAAGATTCGATCGCATCAAGCTTGAGCGCCTGCTTACCCAACGACACTGTCTTGCAGTCCGAAAGCCCGACAATCTTGCTGTAGCTATCGTCTCTGGGAAGGCTGAGGCTGAACGAAACCAGAGTGCCGTCGCCGAGACCAATGAGAAGGTGCGGCATGAGCGCATCTCGATTGCCCACCGAGCTCTTTGTCTGAGAAGATGCTTCTGACTGCTTGCTTGCGAAGCGATGCAACAGAATGGACCGTGGCACCGCTGCAAATCCTTGCTGCACAACCAAGGACTCGCCAACGGGTGCAAGTTCGGGGAGTGCAAAGATCTGGATGCTCCGGGTCTGCCAGAAACCGCAGGCCGCAAACTGCGCTGCCTGGCCAGCAGTCACGGAGCTGGTGTCTAGGCAAGAGACTTCATGGTCTAGCTGAATCTTGTTGCGCTCAATCAGTGCTCCTTCTTCCACAACGAGGTAGGACAAGCTCTTGTCGCTCGAAGCGATCACGAGTTGGCCATACGGGTTGACGCTGGCAGTTGTGATCTCGAGGCCTGCCGAGGGTTTCCACTGCTGAACGAGAGTAGCAGCCTCGTCTTGAAGATTGACGAGCGACGCGGCATCCTTTGCCACTCGAACTAGAAGGGGCCCTTGCGAGGCGTCAAAGACCGTAGACGCCGTCAAGGTTGGCAGCGTTGTATCGACGCCAACGGCAGAGAGGCGATCGGTCGCATCGGCCAGGTTTCCGTTCGCATCAAAGTGCAAATATGCCGTTGAAGTGGCAAACCCGATGAGGAGTCCAGCAGTCTGCTTCGATGTCGCGTCCCCGGCTTCGACCGACCAGATCTGCTGGGCATTAGGTATGGGAAGCGAAGAAACATCCTGAACAGATGCGCCGCTTCGCACTTCACGAATGCTACCAGAAGGGCCGGCACCGCTACAGGTAACAATCCTGGCCTGTGCACTGGCCGAAGTGGTGGGATCACCACCTGCGCCATCATCGACAGTAAAGTCGACCACGGGACCGAGATTCTGCCAGGTCTCGATCGTTACCAGCGAGCCGCCGCATGGGAGCTCAGTGCTCTTGGGAGTTGTGTTGGCAGCTAGAGACGATCTTCTTCTTCTAGATTGAGTCGGAGAAGAGGGCGGCGACAGGAGTTGTGCACCTGGACCAGTATCCATCTCTTCACTGGTGTCCTGCTGAAGGATCTTGTAGAGACAGCTGTCACCGGTTGCACTGCCAACGCAAACAAGGCCGTCACCAAGGTACGAGAGCGCTTGGGGACCCGCAGGCTGAGACGTGGTACCTAGCGTCTCGACCCTCATAGATTTCGGCTGCGGTGCGGCGGCAGAGTGGGAGGGGACAACCTCGGATGCGGCATCTTGAGGCAAGGTCAGTTGGAGGACATTAAGCGCGCCAGAGTTGCAGCCAAAGAGGACAGAGAAAGTCTTGTCATCAGGACGATCGCCAAGGTCGACCACAGACACTACTTGCACGGGATGAGGCAGGCCGACCCGCAGAAGTCTGGGACGAGAATGGGACGGGGCAGAGGCGCCAGAAGAAGATTCTGCGCCGGGTGCGGGGACATTGACGGAAGAGCGCCTGCGTTTGCCATTCTCGTTGGAAGGGGCCGAAGACGTCGCGGCAGTTTCTACCTTGACTGGAGTTGGCTGGGATTGAGCACCGAGGGATCGCCTCTTTGTCTCGATGGCGCCACCTTCGCTTGCCTTTCGCCTCTTGCCCTTGAGGTCAGCCGCATCTGGGGTCGTTGTTGTTTGCGTCAAGTCGGCTTGTCCGCTAGATGAGGGAGGATTGGCGGGTGGTGGCACATGGAGGATGCTGGTCTCTGAAAAGACGAGGACACCACCGCCTACATGGGCAGGAAGGGCATGGATGAGATGGGCACCGTAAGCATCGGTGTATGGTAATGGCACATGACACTGAACGAGAGCAGACTTGGCCCAATCTTGTTCCCTCTTTTGTAGATCGGCGTCAGTGACCTTGGAACCCATGGCGGCGGGGCCATGCTTCTTGCGCACCGAAGCCTTGTTGTCTGACGAAATTGCTTTCATGTCGCGACTTGCTTGAGTCGCAGCTGAGGAGGACTGTGGGTCGAATTGCTTGCCATCAGATTCCTCTTTGACACTGCGAGGAGCTTTGCGCGGTGGACCCCAAGGAAGAGGCGAAAGGTTCTGGGTGCAAGTGTCGACCGAATGGAACGAGAGAACTGGGAGACATTGTTGGCCGAAGCCAGAGATCTTGGATGGCACGCTGGAAAGAGATAGCAGAGCAACGGCTGGGACGGAGGCTGCACTCAACGGGCTGAGCACAGCACATGAGAGCAGGTTCGGGTGAGGGATTCGAGCGCCGAAGGAGTGTGAGAAGTGGGCGAGGCGCGAGTGCGGATCTGATTGGGAAACATCTTGCATGGCCTCATCGTCGTCGTCGGTAGCACCAAGGTGAGATTGAGCCAACGAGTCTGAGAGTGGCGTGACCTTCAGGACGCCTTTGTAGACATGGCTGATGGCAATTCTGTGGCCGATTTGCGAGGTGCTCGAAGAGAATGGCTCGGTCCAAAGGCCAAGCGCTGATTCTGCTGGAGATCGAGCCACTTCGTCGAGAGCCAGAGTAGCGGCGGTAGCGACCACTACTTCGCCCGTGTCTTCACTAATCGAGGCTGTGAGAGAGATGAGTTTGGGCTGGTAGTGGTCGGTGAGGATGACAAGGGACTGCTGGCGAGATTGTTTCGAATCGGCCGAGGTGACAGCCTGAGCAGCCAGAATGCGAGCGGGGAGCGACACCGTCTGGACGGGCTCAAGCAGTCCAGCCGAGCTACTTGCAGCTAGCGAGAGGAACTCGACCGTCGAGTGCTTGACCACGGCCAGACATGGTCCTGTGGGTAAGAAAGAAGGAAGCGAAAGCGTTTCAAGAATCGCGCCAGGCTCGTATGCGTGCGCGACGTAAAGCATCTTGAGGATGTGAGCCACCGGCGGCTATGACGGCTTCCTATCTCGATACCCTCCTGAACTTCGTAGCGATCAGGTAGGCGACATCCAAGTCCGACGAAAGAGAGGTAGAGAGATATGATGGTTGACGCTGCAAAGAAGGTGATGACCAAGTTCCTTGCTCAGTTTCTGCGAAACTTGGTCTGTGCGTTTTCTTTCAGCGCGCCAAATACACAATTGAAAAATACAATCCAGCAAGATGCTAATGCAAGTGTCAGCCAATACAGTAAGGGATTGGGCAGGGCCAATGTGGTAAGAGATTGGGCACTGCTGGGTCCCGCTCATTGTCACACTTCATCATTGAGAGGCATACTCCTGCCTTTGGGTATGTGCCATTACTATATATATATATATATATATATATATATATATCAAGCTGAGAGCTCCAGGCTGCCACCACATTCCAGTTCAGATCTATATAGTACAGCTTTTCTGCCTCAATAGCAGCAGTGATGAAAGGAGGATGGTTGTCAACACTCAATGAGCAATAGTAGTCTAAGCACAGTACTGCTGCTATTGGGGCAGAAACACTATACTATATTGACCTAGATTGAACATGGTGGCAGCCTGGAGCTCTCTGCTTGATATATATATATATATATATATATATATAGTAATGGCACATACCCAAAGGCAGGAGTATGCCTCTCAATGATGAAGTGTGACAATGAGCAGGACCCAGCAGTGCCCAATCTCTTACTGTATCAGCTCTGCCTGATCTCTTACCATATCAGTATCATGGGCCTGGATGTGCAGGAAGCAGGAAGACCCATCAAGTCATATGAAGGGAGTGCAGGAATTGAGGAATCAGGCAAATCATGGGAGTTGCAGTAGAGTTCACTGAGATCTGTAGAAGAAATGGCTCTATGACAGATCTTGCCTAGATCAGCACAAGCAATAATGGTATCACAAATCCTGCTAGGTTCTGTAGTAAACAGGATCATATGGCATATCCCACAGAGATTAGTGGCAAGGATGATCATACAACAGATCCAGTGGAGACTAGGGGCAAGGACAGTCAAGGTCACCACCAGATGAGGGAGGGGCCCTACATGATGATGAAGTTGGCATAAGAAGATGGGTGCTGAAGTCAGGAGGTAGATGAAAAGGGGGGGGGGGGGGGGCATGCACTGTCATTAGGATGAAGTGGGGCAACCCCTATCAACAATGAGATGGTGCTGGTCCTCCTCAACACTGACACAGGAGGAGCAAGGGCTGCCAAGGACGAGACACAACAGCAGCAACTCTGATACAGTACTTGACAAAGAAGGTACTCCCTGGAGAGGGAGTTGGAGCAGAGTTGCAGGTGACACTGCAAAGATGTTATATATAGTCATACCTCCTCATCATGGTAGTCGAGTGGAGGTCCACCCACTCTACACCATATAAACTAGTTATCACTTCAGCATAAGTATACATTAGTTTCAGTCAGCAAAGTTGCAATCACAAGTAGATTGCTTCCATTGTAGCACATGTGTTGTATCACCACTCACTGATGTCCAAAGGTGGTTCATAGTAACCAGCAGTCCAGATAACAATTAGAACTGAAGGCAGTCATCCACTGCTGTCTGGGGATCACCTCAAGCACTCAGTCAACACACTGGACACTTGTGTCAGTGCCACCAACAATCTCAGTCACACCAGACCTTGGTGTCAGTACCAGTCCATATAGCCATTGATCATGCCAAGCTACCTCTGGATGGAGTGGCCACAGCAGTCAGTTGAAACCTGCAATAGCAAACACACTACTACATCTTTGGGTGAGAAAAGTCATAGAGGCTTCTCTACAACATACCTTGATAGAAGTAATAATACACAACATGTTATCACATATCTCAAGAGGATTCGTAATAGACACATTTATTTCTATTACAGATATCAGGTTTTAGGTGCGAGACCTCTGACAATCAACTCATGTCCCTGTCAACATCTTGTTAGATTGTATTCTTCAGCACCCCCCCTCAATCCAGTATACTCCTTCAATACAGTCAGACCAAACAGTTGTCAAAGGTGCAAGAGTGTTGGTGCTGTGAGTGGTGTCATGGGACCGGATGGATGCGCAGGAAGAACTGGATTCATATGAAGAGATCTTGCACAACCATTGTGGATTGGGTGAAAGTAGAGTTCTGACAGAGTTCAGTGAGATTGGTAGGATCAATGGCTCTATGACAAAACTTGTCAAGATTGGTAGGAACCCCAGGCCTTACTACAGGAGTCAGTAGAATCAGCAGTACCACACTTGCTACAACAGGCCTCACAGGAATTGGTTCAAGAGGAATTGCTGCCATCCATATGGCAATGGGATGACAAAGAACAAGGGAGGAGTAGCCACTGGATGAAGTAGGGGCCTTACATGATGATGAAGTCAGTGCAAGCAGATGGGTGCCAACAACAGGAGGGAGATGAAGGGGTGCAAGTTGCCACCCAGATGAAGTGGGAATGGCTCCTGACTATGATGAAGTGGCATGAGGACCATCCATCCACAAGAAGTGAGGGAAGTGGTGCAAGTGGGCAGCATCACAATGTGGATGGAAAGAATAGGAAGGATGAGGAGGAGGAGCAGGGTTGAAGGGGCCCCCCAGAGCAGGAGCAGCATCACAGGCAACATTGCAGGAATGGTTATATAACCATGCTCCTTGTCATAGCAAGGGAGTGGATCCCCATCCACTCTACACCATATATCACTAGTTATAGCTTCACAGAAAGTATAGTTAGTATTCCATCAACAGTTGCAATTGCAGAGCATTGCATCTACATAGTGCATGTGTTGTATCACTGCTCATTGACATCATCCAAAGGCAGTTTGTTCTGCAGTCTGGATATCGATCGACACCGAAGGCGGTTCATACTGCGGTCCGGTGTCAGGGGTCTCGCGCCTGAAACATGATATCTGTAGTAGAAACGTGTCTATTACAGATCTTGTCGAGATATGTGGTAGAAGGCTGTTATTATTATTCTTGTCAAAATCTGTTGTAGAAGGCTTCTATGACTTCTCTTGCTCAAATATGTGATAGAGTGATTGCTATTGCAGGTTTCAACTAACCACTGTGGACACTCTGTCCAGAGGTAGCTCAGCACAATCAATAACTGTAGATACTGGGAAATGACACCAAGGTCTGGTGCAGATGATGATGTTGACACTGACATGAGTGTCCAGTGTGTCAACTGAGTAACTGAGTGATCCCCAGACCACAGTGGACAACTGCCTTTGGTTCTAATGATTGAGAGAGCTGGACCACAGTATGAACCACCTTCGGTGTTGATTGATATCCAGACTGCAGAATGAACTGCCTTTGGATGATGTCAATGAGTGGCAATACAACACACACACTTTGTAGATGCAATGCTCTGCAATTGCAACTGTCAACAGAATACTAATGTATACTTATGTGAAGCTATAACTAGTAATGTATGGTGTAGAGTGGATGGGGATCCACTCACTTGCTATGACAAGGAACATGGTTATGTACCATTTGTCAGGGGTCTCGCGCCTGAAACCCAGGTAGGTCTGTCGAGATACTCGGTGACTATCAAACTGTGTGACAGCTATTGTCTTGGTATCAGTGACTATCAAGTTGTGCAGTGACAGCAGGTGGCGTTCGTTGTATATACTATCGTAGGTTTTGGCTGACCTCTGTGGACACTCCATTCAGGGGTAGCTCGGCATGATCAATATCAATGCTTCGGTTATGATGACACCAAGGTCTGGTGTGAGTGTTAATGATGATGAGGTTGATGACATTGGTGATAAGGTTGGTGAGTGTTGATGAAAATGAGGTTGATGGTGTTGGTGATAAGGTTGGTGGCATCAACACGAGTGTCCAGTGTGTTGACTTTGATGCTTGAAGTGATCCCCAGACTGCAGTGGACTACTGCCTTTGGTTCTATCTATATCTGGACTGCTAACCTGCTATGGGGCACCTACAGATGTCAGGTAGTGGTGATACAACACACACACTATGATGAGGAGCAACCTTGATAGATTGCTGCTATGCTGACTGTAACTAATGAGTACTTGTGTTTCTAAAGTATTGACTAGTTGTATGGTGAGTAGAGTGGATGAGAATCCACTCGACCTATGATGAGAAAGCATGGTTATATACCTCTTCACAGCATCGCCAGCGATTCTGCTCCTGCTCTCTCTCCAGAGAGTACCTTCTTCATCGAGTACTGCTCAGGGGCCTCTCCTGCTTGGCACCCCTGTGCCTCTTGAGCTGTGTCGACTCCTTCGACACTGCTCCTCCTCCTCATGACCTGGTGTCGACTCCTTCGACACTGCTCCTCTTCCTCAGGACCTGCCTGCTAGTGTCCTATACACTGCTCCTTCTCCTTTGACCAGTGACAGTTCCTTTGACTCTTGTCTCTCAAGCCCCTGAGTGGTAACCATCTGAGCTTGGTCCTCTTCATGGCTGTGCCTGCTCCTTGAGCTTGGTCCTCCTCGTGGCTGTGCCTGGCCCTCCTCGCATGTGGCTCCTCCTTTGCATGTGAGTCCGTAGGAGTCCATGGTCTCCATGGAGACTGCACTACGACCATGCTCTCTACTGGTATCGACTAGATCTTCGATACCTGTGCTCCTTCCATATGGACCCGTGACCCTCCTGCTTCTTGAGCATCCAGGCCCATGACACCATTCTTGCAGTGTTGCAGGCAACACTGCTCCTGTTCTGGGAGGCCTCTTCAATCCTGCTCCTCCTCCTTGTCCCTCCTATCCTCTTCATCCACCATGTGATGCTGCTTGTTGGCACCGCTTCCCTTGCCTCCTGTGGATGGATGGTCCTCTTGCTGCCTCATCATTGTCAGGGGCCAGTCCCACTTCATCTGAGTGGCAACTTGCACCCTTTCATCACCCTCCTGTCATCAGTGCCCACCTGCTTGCACCAACTTCATTGTTGTGCAAGACCCCTACTTCATCTGGTGGCAACCTCTCCCTGGTTCGTTATCCTCCTCTTGCCATATCAGCAATA